TGCTGGTAAATTGTAAATGTAAAATATTCCTGACCGAAAAATGGAGAAAGGATCTGGCGAAAAGTGGTGGTTGGGTTGAGAAAAGGGCTGCCAAAATTGAGAGGACCAGGTGATTTTCATTTTAAGTGAAACTTTTTTCCCTCTTAACGCCACTCTCTGGGTTAAATCCTAAATAAAGGGGCGAATTTGATGGGGGAAAATGTGCTCTTTTGGGAGATGGAGAAAGCCGCAGACATGGCAAATGAGCTTCTCCTTTTCATTAATAAAATAAAGTCATTAATAAACAGCAGGAATATAATTTCAAAAGCAGTATATTTTTGTTTCCCAAACAACACTGATGGTGAAATTTCCGTTTGAAGGCTATCCTTAACGTTTTGCATTTTCTCGGATAGAAATTCTTTTGCCTTCAGCCAAAAAATTATGTCATGTGAGGAATTGCATATAAATTTGCCACAAACAACAACAACCACACTCAATGATTCATATCACTGGCAATATCTGATGAGCAAATGAGAATATCCCATCCAATTGGATATCGAGATTTTGTCATTAAATATTAAATGTAATCCCGTGTAGGATGTTATTTGGTATTCAGTGAGCAGAAATGCACGCTATAATGTAAATAGGGGGTGAAATTGAAAAAGTATAGCGTGATATTTGCATTGCAAAAGCCGTGAGATAATGAAAAATTAATGTATATATTGTTTATGTATTTTCTACATAAGGAGAGAGTGATAATCAATTATGTCTGGCTAGCAGTTTTAAAAATAGGTTTAAAAATTGTGATAAACTGAAATTTCTAAATAATTATTCTCAGCGGTTTAAGTTGATCTCTTGTGGCTGGGAAAAGCTTTCTAGCTGCTTCAAAATTTATAGGGGATGAAGAAGCAATTGCTCGTGTGGTCTTTATATTTGATCATATGTGGGAAAATGTGTGTAAATTCCCACTTGACAGAATAATGTGACAACGAATACAAACAATAAAACATTTCCCTTGAGATAATTTCTCTTTTAAATATTTAAGTATACATATCAAGGGAAATGTAATGTGGATTTCACGATGGAAAATTGTTCCGCATCTCGTGAGGCGGAATGAGTTCCTTTGCTTTTGGAAGGGGGATGGAGTGAATTTTATTTATCGCCATTTAGCCTTCTCCTCGGCTGTGGAGTGGTGGTCTTTTGGGGGTGACTTTCACTATTTATTCGCTGAATGGTGAATATGTTGAAGGATGATGTAAACAAAATATGGCATTTCCGTCATATCATCTATCTCCACGCACATACATGCGTAATGTACATAAATATACAAGCGGAAAATTGGTTAGTGTTTAATATATAATAAATTCAGACTACTTCTCCGTTGACACTGAAAGGAAAGTGTGTGGTGAGGTTTGTGTTTTAGTGTTTTGTCAAGGGTTATTCCTCGTCAGCAAGGAATTTTAATCATCAAGTTACATGAAGTGACCCAAGCGTGACAACCATGATAAGTTTGTATCCATCTGAATCATCTTAAAGTATTTTTGTTGTCCTTGCGAGATGGCAAGACATGATAGTATTTGCGTATCATGGAGATTATCATGACATTCTCGCTCTCAATTGGACAAAACACAGAGAGATTTGTGTGGTTTAAAACTCAAATTTTCACAGTGTTTTTGTGTTTTCATTTTGCTTGTAATACTCTGGCGAAACATGGGCTTTTTTCCGTGGCTTCTGCTGGTACGTGCACATCGTCTATTTTTAACCGTCGACCATGTGATATGGTATAATTTATGAGTGGATGGTATAGCACAATTTACCCTCTCTTACGGTCAATTGGCTAAATAGTTTATGCTTATGATGACTTCACTCATATATTTTATTCCAAAAATCTCTGAATGTCTAGTCCAGCGGAAATTATTTTGCCAATTCTCAATTCCTCCGGTCACTTCAAATGGAATTATCCAAATCAGTGGTTATTCATCTTCCTCTCTGCCCTTGTGAGGTCATTGCCCAATTTAGTCAATAGGATATTGTTCTCTTAAAATGAATATTGCGCTGAATTGAACTGGGCTCTTTTCCTGTGCCTTTTGTGTGAGCGAAGAAGAAGAAAATATACGACATTAAAGCGTATACGAAGTTCTCTATATATGAATGTGCGGCTCAAATTTTCCTTCCTCAATCTCAGGGGTTACATTGACGAATTTTCCGGGAGGCTTCACCCCATCATTCAATGCACAGCCAAGAAGTGAGAGACCTTCGCTGAAAGTTCCCTTGGTGTCGACAAAATGTGAGAGGCGGATGACTTCTTCTGTCCGTTTTTCGTATAACGAAGAAATATACCTGGCAGGGAATTGGTAAAATTTTTAACGACATGAAAACTTCCTGTCGGGATTTTTCCCCACTTTTTTTTTGTCATGACATATTTTGTGGCAATTGTGGGAAACAAATTTTTTTCTTTTTTCCTTCTTCGTGGAAAGGTATGTTGAAGTTTTCCGCTTGACAGGCTTCACACATAAACTCTTGAACTTTTCACCACAATCAGCTGGCGGTTGAATGTGATGTATGTTTATTTTGTTATTTCATACACATAACGTACGTACATAATAGTGGGGAGGGCATTTTTCAGGAAACATGGAAGAGAGAAATATATGGCAGAATACATAGACTTTTTCACTGTCACGCTTATTTCATCGTCACAAGAGACTCCTCAACAATCGTGTTGATAACCTTACGTGCTAATTTATTTCAATACTGCAATTTGTAAAGAAAATTTAAACTCGTTTGAGATAACATTATTGACCTTGACCTCATACAGCATCATACCGAAATTGAGAGACATAAATTGTAAACTATATGACACATGAATTGATGGAAAATGCCTCAATATAACTGAATTGAATCATGCAATTCACATTCTGAGCGTGCATTTATTCATAAAGAGAAAGAACAAAGTCCCTCGCAATGTCGTTTGCTGAATGGAAGAAGATTTGCGTCAATTTTTTAATTAGCTCAAATGTTGTGTGTGACTTTGCCATTTAAATATGTCTCAACTCAACAGTCCACGGTCAATTTTCTCATGTAAATTCTGGGGTGATGAGGTTTTTCAGAGAGTTCTCTCAAATGTGTGTTCAAAGAGAAACTTCTCTCCAATATCTTGATAGTTTTAGAGTATATGCGAGAGTCGGATTTCTCATGAATCCATTGAAAGTCGTCAGGCATTTCCTTTTTGATACTCCTTTCCTTTCCACCCAGTGCGTTTGGCGTTCTGTAAACAACTCCACATGTTTATAATAGGCTTCACATACATATGTCTGGAAAACTTGAACATTATTTACACTTTAGCCATTCTATTCAATATGTATGATAAAATGAGTTGAAGAAAAAGTGAAGAGTCCCAGGAATATACATGTATTTGAGAATCTTTTATTCATTCAGTGGATGTATCGGGGGAATGTTGTGAATATTTCCATATCGTCTGTTTCAATGTCTCTTTTTGTGATTGTTTCTGGACATGTGTGTGGAACTTGTGTGTTGCAGAAAAAAAGGCACAGGAGAAAATAGTTGATAAAATATTCAAGTAATACACATGGCGTATTATAAACATTATACAAACGGAGAAAAAGGAGGGAAAACATGAAAATTCTGCTTTTGACAGAATATGTTTCAGTTTTGACAAATTCTTCCATCTTTTTTCTGTACTTATTCGCATATCTGAGCGAGAGAGAAAAAAAAATTAATTCAATATGAGTGGAAAAAAAGTCCTTCTTTCTCTTAAATTTCCGCTTCACTTGGTCAGAAGGATGTGGCCCGTCTTTTGATATGCCACCTGGGAAATTTGGAAAATTAGTTGAAAAAATATTGTATATCGTGCTGAGAATTTCCCTCCAATAGTCTCTGGGTGTGAAAATGCCTCTTTACTTGAATGAACATACGAAATATTTACATTTCATCTCTCTCACATGAGGAATCATGGAAAGTGTATAAACGCGGTCGTACAACATGGGTTTTCTTTCGTTTTAAATTGAACACCGGTCTGACGTAATTAAATGCTTAAATATTTATTTGTATTAGGCCGGAATAGTATGTATGTACGCAGTAAGATGTCTATACGTCATCTTCCTGTATGGAGATATTGGTTTATCCACTCTCAGCTGGGAAGAGTCAAAATTGTGTTGAAGATGCTGCGATGTAAAAATAAAATCGCAGATTTTCTTTCATCTTGCATTATATACTTTTTTTTCTCATGAATTTTCTGCCGATGAAATGTGTGTCATTCTGTAAATATATTCTGTTAGTTTTTAAAATTTATTTTGACGTAAAAATCTTTATTTTTTTACCTCATTTAATTTTCTCAAATCTCATTTCTGTAGCTTTAAAGCCCTTTAAGCGTATTCAGTACACTATTTAGTTGCTTCCTTCGTCTCCTGTGATGACGATGAAAATTCTCACGGGATAAACTTTATGTAGTAGAACAGGAAATTTAAATTCCTTGTCATCTTTCCTCTCAAATATAGTGTAATGAACTTCTCTGCCAATGCATAAAGTACTGCAGAAGAAAATCTTGGCGGAAAAGTTACGGAGTAATCGTATCTTAACTTTCGGTGCTTAAACATGTTAGCAAATGGGAAATATTCCACGGACTTAGATGTCTTTTCCGCTTCTTCCTCACTCTTATTTTGATTCTCATTCGTCCTTTTTTTATTATTTACTCTCTGTCTCTGTGAAAATTTTGCTACGCTGTGCATTGAGAGCTTTGGTGGTTTTGTAGTGTTGGACTTTTCCTTCTTGGTCAATCCACAGGAATATATGTATACATGCAGCGTGTGTACATATATTTGTGGAAATCCACTGAGCTTCGGCTGTAGGCGCTTTTCGCTGAATGCTGTTTTGCTTGTTGTGCCTCTGGCATGAAAAATGCGCGCCCTCTCTTCTCCTTTTGCAAATGCCAAACGTGAGATCAGTAAATTACATTTTCTCTCACCTCGTGTACTTTTTTCTCTCTCTTCTTTGTATACTTCTAGCCAGGAAAATACAGAGACATCACACTTGAATCAAAACCAATTTCGCCAGTCTTCGGTAAGCGTTGGATGTAGTAACATATCTAGTAGTGAACAGTTTGGTGAGAAGAGCGGTGCTGGATCGAAGAGCTGCGATACGCTGATATGTGGTGGCGCATCGTCGGGACCGGTGAGTGGTGGTCGATTGGCCTTGTTCAGTAGCAGTGACGACGCGCCGACTGGTAGTTGTCTCCTGGCCAGAGATCAGCCGCGCTATAGTTCGGCGCGCCTGTTGCCCTCGCACTTCTCGCCGGCGGCCAGCAGCGTGTGCAGCCGTGTTGGCTATGAAGGTGGCGAAGTGATAACCACAGCCTCCAATACGACCAGCAGCAATTCACCACGGTTCGATGGTGATGAAGACGACGACACGCGTTTTCAACCCCAACATCACGTGCACGTGCAATTGTCCCAATTGTCTCAGCCACACCATCCGTATCCGTTGGCGCGCCTTGTGAGTGGCACAAGCGCCGGTGGGCTGAGTCAGAAAACCACATCTGTTGATAGCAGTGGCTGGCGCAACACGAGCTGCAAGAGCCTGCAGTTTCACAAGAGGAGCATCAATTCGACTGGAAATTTGGATGATATCAATTGGAGTGGCAGTGGCGGTCACTATTTAGCAACAGCCGCCACTGGAATTGCGGGGGGTGGTCACACAAGTGTAAAATATCGCGATAAGCACTCCACCACATATAGTACAAGTAGTAGTACATCGGGCCACCACAACTCATTAAAATCGTCTCAGATAGTGTGCAAGAAATGCATGTCAAAATCATTGAGTTGTTTAAAGAATGCACGAAAAAAGACAAATTTGTTTAAATTCCATCTAAAACCACTGAAAATATCCCAGATAACAGACAGTGATGCAATATCAATTTCTTGCCAGGTACCAATAACATTGGCACAATTTGGGAACTCAACAACAAATGGTACAACAACGCTTTGCAATGGGCAACACACATCAATTAATGCAAATCAATCAACGAATATATCTCAGAAAGCAAACTCACGTTATTCCACCTTGCCAAAAATTGGGACAGTTGCAAGTGGTGGTAGTACATTGAATGTGAGACCAAGATTGAATAGTAGTGATTCGCCTAAATTGAGCAGCAGCTGCAGTCGGAGCAATAGTAATCGCGAGACGAGAGAATACTACAACAGTGCCCTGGACGCGACCAATTCACAAGCATCATCCACGACGACGACAATCCGCAGTTCCACGCCGCCGCCACCGCCTTACGCCACCGTCATCGCGAGCACCACCGCCTCTCCTGCGGCCGCGCGATCCGCCACCAATAATAACACACCCACGACAACAAGAAGTGATATCTGTAGCAATAACAATCCAGCAAGTAGTGCAAATTCCCAGCAACAGGGAAGCAGTAGCAGTAGTAGCAACAACAGCTGTGGTGTCAAGAGTAGCAGTAAAGCTGTGAGCGATCCATGTGGAAATCGCAATATCGACTTCAATCGGCAGATCAGTGCACCAATTGAGAACAGATCGAGTTCCAGTTCTGTGAATAATATTAATCCTAGCCAAGTGAATTACTTTCCATCGTCAATCATTAGTTCATCCTACACGAATAGTTTGACGCGCAACAAGAAACACAGGAGTTTAAAATTGACTGGCAGGTAAATCCACCATTCCTTCCGTAGTGATTGTCTTCCTGTAGATTCTCTCTGATGATGGGGTGTTTCATGTCCATCATCTGATGTCTTAAGTGCAATGATGAGTGAATTTCACTCATCAGTCCTCGCATTTTTCTGTCTCCCTGCGATTAAATGTCACAACGGAATCAGAGGCAAAGGCAAATTATATCTTGGGCTCTGATAACATGCAGAGTGTTGAAGTATTGACGCAATTTAAGGCACACACTCAGACAAATGACAGTGCAAATAATCATTTTGTGGCAAAATATAAATTCATCTTGTTCCGCTGCTCAATCTCTCTCATGTCTAAACAGAGCTAAATATCTGATGAGAATGTTTATATGTAAATTGATCATTAAATTGTGTTCCGCCGTTTTAAGTTGCCTGTGTTAATTGCCTAAACGATGGTAAAATAGTCTCAATGGATTATATAATTTCCCTTGAAAAGTGCTCCATAATGTTTGAAGATGCTGGGATTCCGTTTCAATTTACATCCATTTCATCCAATTGCTTTTGGGCCACTTGAAAAGTCATTTTTCAGAATTTGCATATCATACAATGCGAATGGAAATGATGGGGAAGGATAAATCAAGAAAAACATTGTGTAGATGCAGTGGAATGTTTTGGAGTTTCTTAAGATGTTGAAAAGTAAACAGTCGCACTTCCTAATTTCGCATAAAGGAGAGTGTTCAGGCGTTATCCGTTTTTGGGCAATATTATAAGGCCTTGTGATAAAGTTTGGCATAACAACGGGCATATTCGAGACGCTTTTCTTATCTCTCAAGTATTTGCGAATTGCCTCTCGAAAACTACTCCGGAAGACGTGGGGGTAGATAGAGGAATTTGAAAATAATAAAAGTCCCTTCATGGATGATAATAAATTCTCCCTCTGACCATTCGACTGCGCGCCTCCTCCAACTGAAACTGGTCATAAATCAAAATTATCAATATATTTCTCAATATTATCGACTCCCGAGTGCTTTTTTCGCCGAGAGCTTTCCACTCAATAGAAAATATAGTGACTTTAATGGACTCCTTTTCCCGTCTTTCGCTGCCTTCTCTCGCTTTTTTTTCTCCCCGCTCTTCTCCTCATAATTCCAATGCCCAGAGGCGTAAAAATATCAGGCGTGTATATGGCTTAAAATCGCCAATTTGTGCAAAAAGACATAATTCACCGTGAATTTTAAACAAGATGCCATGCGCCTCTTCTTGTGTTATTTGGCGGATTCGCGCGGCTATTTTCTGTTTCTTAATGGAATGCTTCTTTTATGAGTGCACACACGAGAGGGAAAGTGCGCGTCAGAATCAAATGTAGTGCGGACTGAAGAAAAATACACAAATGCCTCACATGTACACACACTCTCTGGATGGGTGAAAAAGAGAAACAATAAATGATGAAAAAGATTCACTCTCAGATATTTATACATGATGGAATTTATTTATAAAGTTCACCTAATAACCTAAATCTCTCCTCGACCTTTCCATCCCCAAACCTTCGCTTCCTCTTGTCTCGTCACACTCTGCTCAAAATCTCACACCCAACTTAGACGTTCGTTTCATGTGATTGTGCCATTCACTGGAATGGATCAAATTGATGTAGGGGAGATGTGCCTAATGTGGCGTCAAAGTAATGGACAATTTGTCAATCAGACCTTGGCTAAGAATTGAGTTACTGCTTAAATTCTTACTTCATTTCGATGATAAATGAATGTGTTGGTAACTGAGGCAGCAAAACTCTAAATACATTGGCCTCATCAAATTACACCACACTTCTCCTATAGCATCAAAAAGGAAGGATAGAGATCGATTTAGGCAATTGTTCAGAATTGTTTGGGATACACGTGAAACGCAATATAACAAAATTGAATAAAATACTTCAATTTCCATGCAAATAATATTCCTATTCAAAGAAGGAGAAACATTCTCAAAATTTTTCATCTGAAAATTGTTCCTCAAATTCAACAATTCTGCTCAAGAACTTAACTTCCTGGCATTTATTTTTCCTGACACAAAAGGAGCTTGATTTGCTGCAATTTTCTCGCGATTCCTTGCCATGTGAAGATGTATACAAGAATCTGGGCTGTGTGTATATTTTGATGGATAAGATATAAGCTAGATTTATTTTTCGTGTCCAAGAGGGCGCAAACACAAATTTACATTTCAGATTAGACGTTTTGTGGTGTGTTTTTGGGAAAAAGTTTTCTATGCACGAGCAGAGGCAGAAGCTCAATAAGTGAGAGAGATTGAACGGAGCGCGGTGTGGAGCCCACAAATGGGGAGTCAGCGTGGGCAGAAGGCACGATGAGATAGTGTTGGGTCGAGTGAGGTGAAAAGCGCAACATAGGAAAAGCGCAATTTTCTTCCAAAATTAAATTGTCCATGACACGAGAGGCCTTGAAGGCGGCGGTTTGGTTCTCTTTTCTCTCTCGCTGTTTTCAAAACTCTTTCCTCTTTTTGTGGCTGCGGCGGAGGTGACACGATGTGTTTACCATGTAGAATTTGTGCTGGAAATCCCCGAGTATATGGGATGTGATTTAAATTGTTTGGGGGCCCAGAAGACACAAACACACACACACAGAGTCACGTTGGAAATGGGCTCAATGGAAAGCTTTTTGAGATGTGTTTGAGGGTCTGAGGGTGGTGTGACCCACAGAACCAGAACCTCTGACGTTTTTACTGAATTCAGACCTCGAAAATATGCCAAATTTAGCTGTTCTATTGCATGTGATTTAAGTTTGGAAAGTTGTGCGGCGAGTTAAAAGTACTCCAAATTAGTTCCTCCAACCTTCTGTGGCCTTAACCCTGGAGGTATGAATGGAGTGTTACGTGAAAAGTGAGAATATTAGGGGGAGTTAATGAGTGGCTTTATTCTAAGTGTCTCCTCGAAATAACTTACTTCTAATTGACTTGCTCAACACCTTCTAATTTTGGCTAGAACAGCTTTGTTCGCTGCTATTTGCGTGAAATTCCTGAATATTGTTACAAGTCAATTAATAATAGCTCAATTATTTTATTATAGACAAGTTGCCTGTTGACAAATGACACCTCTTGTCTCACCGTGAAATCTCTATTGTGTTCTCCTCCTTTGGGAGCTTTTAAGCATTAGACAGTGTTATAAATTTGACGCTGAGCTTATAGGATGTTATAGAGGTGAGAAAGAGGATTTACACGGGAGAAATCATTAATCAGAGGTCACATGCAATTTAGTTTTCAATGAGAATTATCACTCTTCTCAATTTCACGGAAATTCTTCTTTTTTCCCCACTCTAGAGGTGAATTGATTTAATTCGCCTGGGGCCGAACTGACATGATAAAAATTGTGTAAATTATAAATAAAATTAACCAAAGCGACACAATTACATTTGATTGGTAATCTCTAATGGAGCGTTTCGCTTCTCTTTTTTTCACTTCGCTTAATTCGCTTTTTACCAATTGTATTGCCATTGATTTTTTTCTTTTTTGCAAATATCACTGTACGAGGCAATCGACATGTTCATCATGTCAAGGGAGAATTGACGTGAATGTCATATACATATTATGAACAATTCGCGGTGCGTTATAATTGGGAATATCGAATAAAGGCACAGATAAGCACCTGCCGTGAAGCAAATGGGATTTTTCAAACAATTGATAAAACACATGAAAGAAGTTCGATGGGAGATTGAAGTGCTCCTGAACATGGGATAAAAGATATCCCAGTCAAACACAAGTCCTCTCCAACTGGCCTATAAAATGGTAAAATGGTAAAAGTGGAGCGCTATAACTATCAAGTCCACGCTACGTTATTGAAATGTTGCAAATTACTCAACTTGTATAACGAACTGATTCATTTCATTCAATTGAAATTATTTAATAATTCACAAATGGTGCACAATTTGTTTCTCTCTTTTCATTATCATCAATTTGTGCTTTACAGAATGATGGCTACAAAATTTATTAACATGAACTGTAAATTAATCACTGTTTGCTCGTTCACAAATTATCTTGTCACAAGACTTACAATCAATCGTTTATTAATTCGCTGTATAGTGATATGTTTATAGGATACGCGCATAAATTGTCGAAATAAATTAAGAGTCCATTCTTTGGTGTATAATGAAGGCAATTTCCTTTCACATATTCTATAGAATGAATTTGTGTACTGAATGTTCATTTGGGGGGGAATATGAAGTGTTTTTAATAATTCTCGAAATTCCATTCTGATTGCTAATTACAATGTTTAGAGTCAATAATAAAATGTTTATTCAGATGGAAGCACTTAATATGATTGATTTAGTATAGGCTTCTAAATACTCCAATGTCTAATTGGCTATTCATGTGAGTTTATGGTGTAATTTTCTCAAGTATCAAGAGATAAAGTTTTGAATGGAAATCCCCCACTTTGTGGTATTGAAATTCTCAATTGATCTATTGACACGCTCGAGTGGAGTCAAAGATGGGCAAAATTCAAGAATAGACAAGTATAATCGAATTTCAATAGAACTTTCTGATTTGCCTGGAAATTTTTGTGAGTCAATCAAATATTGATTTTCTGGGTAAATGTTTAATTTCTTCACTGGAATTTTCTTAGGAATTCCCTCTTCTCACTCTCAATATTCAGGCACTTTAGAAATATTTCCTCAATTGCAATTTTAAAGAGGGCGTAATTTGCAATAACTGCTGTACTTTAATTTTAGTGCAACCACTTTTTCATACAGGCGAAGGAGCAGAAAAGTGAATTCCCAAGTTCATTATATATTTCTCGATGTAATTTCCATCAGCAAATGCTCCACTTTGCTTATGTGGAACAAGTTTAAACTCCTGCTCGCGAAGCAACCTCTAAAGATTTTGCTAAGATTACAACGAATTTACATATAGGATGGAGTTATTGAAATTTTCACAATAGAAAGCACTTCTGCATTCGATATTTCACTTAGAAATGCAAAATTTGACTATTTTTGGCTTTCAAAACCACCATGATAGCGAGAATATTCAATCTTCAAGTTCTCTGAAAAGCATCTATTTCGGGATTTTAATATAACTTTTCCTTTTAAACTCCCCGCGATGGCTTTAAATCCTATTGATTAATACAGTTTTTTTTCCATGAGAAACAAAAATTCAATCGATTTTCTGATTACTTCTTCGGAACTTTGCACGTGCTGAATTTGTAATAATTTAATTTGTCAAGTGATCTATAATAATTGGTTTACCACAGTGTGAAGTATGTTCAGATGGTTGTGCTTTATGGGTTACATATTGGGCACAATCTTATTTTACAAATTAACATTTCTACAACTTCACCATTGTCATTTCTAATGACATTAGTCACGTGTCACATCAACTGGGGGAATGAATAGATAAATTAAAGCTGAGATCCATGCGATTTTACAATCATTATCATGCATTCTGTCTAGTTTTCCTTCGTTTTAACGAAGTAATTGAAGTATGTGTCTTAAATTTTCGATGAGATAATTAGAAAAGTTAGGTTTTTTTTTAATTCTCAAGTTCGAGCTTTTCCAGGAAGTAATAAGACTCTGGGAAGTTTAGATTTAGTAACAAAAAAAAATAGAAAATTGATGCCAAAATTCGTTGGCAGGTCACTTGTTCCGCCCCAAAGTTCAGCTTAAAATCAAATTTAGTCACGTTCCGTGTTGGCACATCAGGAATGCCGAAGACATGTAAGCTTAGCGAAGCGCCCATATTTTTTTTGCCGAAGAAAATTACTAAAATACAGTGAAAAGCGAATGGAGGAAGCGAAGTGAATAGAAAAGATATTTATGAATTATTATGGCGAAAGACGGAATTATATTCTATTTTAATATGATAAACTGTGTATTACAAGTTCAATCGATTTTTTGTTTTCTTTTCTGTGGTTGGCAACTGGCCAAGAAATTATGATTTAAGTGCAAAAGGCATCAATATAGTTTTTTTTTTCTTCTTCTTTTCCATAACCGTCATTCGGTTGAGTTGAATTTCATACATATTTTCTCTACACATAAACACGCATATATCGCAGAAATGTTGTTTTGTCCAAAAAGGCAGAAGAGGAGATAGAAAAATGGGAAATCATCCCTTTTGTTAATGGCAAATTGATCAAGAAAGTGGTGAAAATTTTCCTTAATAAATCAGATTGGCGCTTTTTTCTCGGTATTTATGCAATTTTTTCTCTCCTCTTTCCAGATTATTTAGTGCAGCTAGTTCCGATTCAATACGATTCAACTCTAATTTATCTAGTCAAAATGATAACGACTTGCGGATATCAGTAGATAATACGTGTACAGATTCTTTAGTTACTGCTCTAGATGATGAAGCCTTACTATTAACGGAATTTAACGAAATGGCAAAATCAAAGGTGAGTCAAGTGTTTGGAGAGACTTTATTGCACAACGTGATTATTTGTACTGTTTCGAATCCACGATATTTAGGTTCATTTCGACGATGTCTCTCTCTACGGCACGCCGAAGGAGGAACCACTACCGACTATACCGGTGGTGCCGGAGAAGACGTCATCGAATTTCATCAAGAACCAACTGCAGTCATGGTTTCAGCCTACAGACAACCGTTTAGCTATGAAATTATTCGGTAGCAAGAAAGCCTTAGTTAAAGAGAGAATTAGACAAAAATCAGCCGGTCACTGGGTAATCCATCCATGTAGCTCATTTCGGTACGTGATCGATCTGTGAAATTGATCTCCTCCCTCCACGCTCAATTACCATGAATTCTTCTCTCCTTTCACGCACAGATTCTACTGGGACTTATGTATGTTGTTGCTACTCGTTGCGAATTTGATAATTTTGCCTGTTGCCATATCTTTTTTCAATGATGACCTTAGCACTAGGTGGATTGCTTTTAATTGTCTAAGTGACACCATATTTTTGATAGATATTGTTGTCAACTTCAGAACAGGTAATCGAATTTTTCACACACTCTTTAGCACTTTGATTTCGAATTAATACAATCCGTATACTTACATGACTCTTCTTTGTGCTTCTCTTTGAAACCATCTTTCAGGTATAATGCAGCAAGATAATGCGGAGCAAGTGATATTAGATCCTAAGATTATAGCGAAACACTACCTTAAGACATGGTTTTTTCTGGATTTGATTTCGTCTATACCACTCGACTACATTTTTCTCATCTTCAATCAGGTAAATTGTTATACTTAAAATTTATTTCAATACTATCATCACAATTTTCTCTGCTGTGTTTATTTATTGTTTCACACATAAATATTGATTTTGTTGAACTGAAAAGTGTATAATTTGGTGAAAGATCCAAACTATTTGTGCTGAAAAAAGTGTGCTTTTATTTTAAAATATATATACTTCAGCATTTTATTAGGAAAGCGCGCGATTCTCAGCTTCAAACTGAAAAATCACACTTTGATCGTGCACTACACATTAAAATGCCCATAGATTAAACTTGAGTATATAATAACTTATCTTGAATTATTTGTATTTTTTCAAATAACCATCAATGTTTGTGGCTTTTGCGTGAATTCACTGAAATTACACACAACAAACTTATATATATATTGTGCTATATCTAAAGCGGGCATATGAGAAAGAAAAGTAACCGTGAAAATGTTGAAATGCGTTTAATATTTTTCCTGCAAAGCCACGCGGGAGAGAAAATTAAAGTGAATGAGCTCTTGTGGTGTTTAATGAGCTCTCGCGGACGAAGAATTCAGTGAAACTCGTGGGGAGTGTTCTTAAGTCTATTTTTTTTTTGCGTCTGACCATTGTTGTCTTGGCCGCACTGAACTGGTGGAAAATTAAAATTGAATTTATGACTTTCCCGATAAAAAAACCTCCACCAACCACTTGAACATTGGCAAAAATAGAGCCTCAGAGCTCCTTCTTTTCTTCTATTCTGTGTGAAATATATACATAATTTCCGTTTTTATTGCACTCAACGACAAACCATGGAAGAAAATTACATTAAGTCACTCATTTTAGCTATTTTGTTCGGTTTTTTTGTTACCTTCCTTTTCGTCTTCACAAAACATCCGCAGCAAAAATACACTGTTTTATTCAGTATCTTAAATTCCGCCGCCGCGAGGCAAATGGAATTTTCATCGAACACTGTCAAGCACTAGACCGGAACTTAGCGTCTTACACTATTTTTAGCATCATAGCAAAATTATCTATTTAGTTCTATATGGTAAATATACTCACGTTTGTATTATCTCTCTCTCTCTCTCTCCTTTACTTTGTGAATATTTTGCAAATTGCAAATTATCACTGTCAGAAATATTATTGCTAGGACAAATAAAAGAAATTATTTTCTCCACCATCACATTATCATGAAGAAAAGAAAAGAAAAAAACTAAATGTGAATTTATTTATTCTAAACCTTTTTTATCTTTTCCAGTACATAGCCTCATCGGTATGTTATTTTTTGTTTTGTATTGTTTTTATTCTTTTTCATCCCATTTCCCAACTATTTCATCACTTTACAACAAAGAATTTATCGTAAATTAAAGAGGAGTAGTAACTTTTAAATTCGCAGAACGTTTAAAGTAGAGCTGCGATATTACAAAGAAGAACGAAATTCACAGAGCAAATATTGTGAAAGCCTTAGGGCTGTGAAAAACATGTAAACACAGACTTTTATAGAGTCGTGTCGTTGAGTATATTGGTGATTTTTTTTGCTACTTGTGATTTTGTCATCCTTTTTAACCTTATATTAAATATTAGTACAGAATTTTTTGGTCTATATAATGAGTAAATAAGAGTTATTGCTCCTCAATGTGTTTTTCAAACTTCATTCTCTCCCGTGTTTCTAAAATCTCTCTTTGTGTTTTGGTTATTTTCCATAATGTTCTTCTATTCATATTTATCAGTCATGTGAATGTTGATTATTTGAGAAATCATGGAATTGCATGGTGTTTTATTGAAAAAGGATTTTTATGAATTCAATCAGTATTAGACAGCCGAGTGATTAAAAATGAAATGAAATTCGTGTGTTCAATTAAATAAAAAAGATGGTTTATGACGGGAGAATTTTTGAAATGAATTGCGACATTGCAAGGAATTGTGGTGGAGAATTTCATTTAACAAGCACTTCACACGATGCCAATGGATTTTAATCAATACTCATATACTGTATGTGCGAGTTGGTATATTCCTCAGCAGCCATCAGTGCTAATTTTCGCGTGCAATATGCTACAAATTTCTCAACATATGTGTATTACGCTTCAATACTTTCTCATATGGGCTCTGTGACATTGAATAATTGAAAATGCATTGCATGTGTGAAAGTTGAAAGTGATTGTTTATGAATTTTTCACCACAGTTCCGTGGGCTTAATCGGTGAACATGGGTGGTTTAATCAAGATTTGAGAGTATATATATATTGTACATTTTCAGAATTGCATGAGATATTGAAAAAGGGGGTTGAAGAGAAAGCGAGAGGCGGAAGGTGAAAAATAATCCAATGCGAGACATTGAATTTTCTCTCAATGACTCCTTCTTCACCCATGAACTACATTTGCAGTCTCATTCGATTTACCTGGGCTTTTAAGTATAACATGGCTGTGTTCCATGAACTCGGATGTGGGTTAAGAAGATTAATGTTTGCCACTTACGGTGACTATGCAATGCAACAACTGATTTGACACGATTGTACTCAATTCAAGTGACAATGTCAAGAAGAGGGAATTAACAATTCATTCATCAATTGTACAGACATGGTCTCTCTTTCACATGGACAATATCCAAAGCGTATAAATTTGTTGGCTGGTGGTTTTCCTAAAGTAATGAGCGGGGATCGAAGGGTGAGACGACGGGCATGGTGAGGGAGAGCTTTGGTTTTGCCAATCAAACATCCAAGGAGGTTCAATGGTGAATAAATAATGGACTGCTGGGGAAAAGTTTCACAGCACAGGAGCGCTTTTATCACAGAATGAATGCGGCCTTGTAGGAAATATTTGGCCATATTACTGCAACTCTACACTCAATAATTCATTAAATTATAAATTTCTTGCTTTCACACCAGACATCAAACAGTTCAGGAAATTGCTTTTCATTTTAAGCTTAATAATTAATACTTGCCAAAAGTCAAAAATGCACTTTCAGCTTTAACGATTGATCGATTTTTTTTCTGTTGTGTGCTAATCGAATTTCTATTCTCGTTGAAATATTTGAACCACATTTTCCAATGTCATTTTTTTTCCTTTAAATTTATGCATCACTGTTTATCAAATTTCGCCAAATTTGATAATGTATCAATTCTGTACTTATTCATTTATTCATCACCGATTTTTCTTCTAATATACAAATATTGGGAATATTTTCAGGATTTCTCGGAATCATTTCAAATTTTGCATGCCGGAAGAGCACTACGAATTCTTCGATTAGCCAAACTTTTATCATTAGTCCGTCTTTTGCGATTGTCTCGCCTCGTTCGGTACGTGTCGCAATGGGAGGAAGTTTATGTAAGTATATATTTAGCAGATATATATAAAATATAACACAGATTTTTTGAGAAATCAATGGAAGTTGCAGTATATCAATTTTATAGGAAATGTCCTGTGCCTTAATAACTATATATATATACAATCGCGAAACAGGTTCAACCAAATGTATGACATATCTCATCAGACATAGAATTAAATTTAAGTTGGATTGGAAAACATTAACCTCATATATTACTATAAACGAAGACATGTACAACACATAAAATGCGAAATACCCAGGAATATTAAACATAGTAACAAGAAAATCTATCAGAAGGTTGTGTATTTACAATCCAGAAGGGGATTGAATATAGTTTGATTATGATTTAATCACGAGAAACAATTAGGAGCGCACTTTCATGAATCGATATAAGACGATACTCCATCCAATCGCATACACAGTATCGCTCAAAATTATCCAGAAATTCCTGTTTTCCAATTTATAACTTCAGAATCAACGTGTTTTCCAAATTATTTTACGTGTCCTGTCGAATTCTCGTGTGTGTGTAAATAATTTTGTGAGATACTGTTTCTAAAGCCTCCATAAATAGTAATTTTTTTTTCATTCTCCTGGTAATCTTGAAATATTGATCTTTTTAGTTTTTCTCTATAAAAAGAATTCCTTTTCATTTCTTTAGGTATTAAATTATGAAGCAATGTAAATTAATGCAATGTCAGAATTTATGGTAATTTGCATCAAACTCCTTCACACATTTTCAGCTTTATATGAAGGGCATTTTAGAACACTTGAAATGAATATGGAATAACATTATGAATCTCTTTAGAAAAAAAAGAGGAAATGCGATAGAATGGAGGAGGAAGTTTTTTTTTCTTTTCCTTTGATATATTAATCCACTTTCTAATGCTTCTTATTTGACATTACTTTTTATTCTCTTACTTTCACATTTGAATTGCGTGTTCAAAGCTTCTCTTTGCTTAAATTGTAAAAATGAAAAAAAAAATGTATCCAATATTAACTACATGTAAATTTATTGTTTTTTGTATGTGTTTCACAGCGCTTAGGAATTTTTGATACATATAATATAATTTTTCTTCAATGACAAGACCATTTTGGAAGAAAAACATGCAGTCATACAGAGTCTATAGTTTTTGTATATTTTATCAAATAAGCAGGTTTTAGGATAGTGTCAATAATTATTGATCTTTCTTAAAGAGTACACAATTTGAGAGAGAAACCTTTAACTATAGAGAAACTATCGATAGTTACTCCTTAATTCTGTCTTTGAGATTTTATTTTTTGACTTTGTAATTCAGAATTATTCAACAGGATCTACTTTTTTCTATGACTCCGCTCGACTCACTACAAAATCTCTGCTTTCAAATCTTTCTCTCTATCCCTCTCTGTCTAATGTGCTTACGCTTTATATTTATTAGCCTGGAAAAGCTGGGCTTTCCCGAAATAAAACACGACATGTTTTTCGCATTATATGGCTTTTTTATTAAATTTTGTGACTGTCATTAGGGAAAATAAGTTTTTCTTTTTTTAATCATTTTGTACAATGAAGTTGGACAAGCCTTAAAATAATGGTATTAATTCTTATTGGCAGACTTTAAAAGAAAAAAAAACCACATTTGTAGTTTTATTTCGTCAAATAATGTCATGAGCGGGAATTGTTGGAAAAGTGTAGGACGTGAGAGAAGTGGTTATATTGTGAAATATGGCGGCAATATGTGGTGAAAATCGTGAAAATGCAGCGTAGAGGGCAATGTTGGGAAAAGTAAGCGCCTTCAGGAACATCAATTTAATTGGCACTAATGAAGATGAATTTTCTCGCTCTCTTCGGATGTACATACATTCCACGGGCGTGTGTTAAATTATGAATGAGAGGATAAGAGTTGGATTTTGTAGTGAGTAATTGTTGGCATAATTTTAAAGTGATTTGTATTTTCTCTTAGGATCATAATATATGTATACAGACTGTAACGAAATTTCACAATTAGCTATATACAACTTCTCCTTTCTATACTTCCTTGTCTTGCTCTTGCTAGAGTCAGCTCGCAAGTCTATTACTCCTTTTTATATAATATAGTGTAGAAGATGATATCCCCCCCACACTTCTTTTCAAAAAATTCAACCTCTCATTGTCACTCTTTGCAAAGACTATCCATGAGAAATGATTCGCTTTTTCTCTCACTTCCCACTTCTAATGGCTGCAAATATACCTATTAATATTAAAATGCGGTATTTGGGTAAGCAGAACTTAATTCTATCTTCTCGTTATATTGATTGTCGTTGTCCGTCGAGTATATATATATTTTATTGGTCCATGAAAAGTCAACATTTTGCCGTTGTTTCTCAACTATTCTTTGGTACATTGTTTTTCCGTTTCCACTATCTATAATAACCTCTTGTCATGATTTTAATTCTTTCAAGTATAACCGTAACCATGTGTTTATCGATTTTTATATATATACAACTTTTATTATTTCTCGCTATCAAGTAATACACACTCCTGGTTCTCAACCTTCAGCGAATTATTCTCTCTGTAGTTTTTTCCCCTGTTTTCCTTTGCATATCTTGTTTGAAAGTGGTCTCAATCTCTCAATTGAGAATATTTTTCCTATCCTTTATACTCTTTTTTCCTTCTTTTCTATATTGCTCTTTAGTGTCATTAGAATGCTGAGTATATTTGTTTGAGTCTCTGGTAGAAAATTAGACAGTGCGTGATTTTGAAACTAAATTATTGGCTCATGTGTAAAAAGATTTTTGGTAAATTTTTGGATTAGAATTACGTTTAGATGCATCGTGTTTATTCCAAATTATGTTTTGATGGGCAATTTATATATTTTTTGTCACTATTGTTTCTCTTATTTAATTCACATTTTAAAATATATTGCAATTTATGAAAAACAAGCACGTCTTACCAGTTAATAAATATTGAGGAGTTGTACGTGGAAATGGAGGATGGAATCTTTGTGAAGAACACAAAAATACATACAATCACTTCAACACTTGGGGATTCCATGGAAAATACCAGAAAATACACCAAGGGTGGTTGAAATCGTGTCAATTGTGTCTTTTACGCCGTCACTCTTCTGAATCTGATAATCTTCCAATATCTTATTTGACTGTAGATGTGTCTCAAGGAAAGCTCAAATGTACTTATGTACAACATACACTCACCATCACAAGGAAATGCGCAGTCTTTCATGTTCTCTCCAGATGACAGCCGAATGAAAACATCTTCAGGAAAAGATTAAATTGACAGAAGTGTGCTAGAATTTGAGATGAGATTTAGACTTTCCATTTATTAATACAGTGAAACACAGTCAATCGCACCAGTGTCTCTCCATTTGTGATTGGCACTGTATTATAGCACCAGGCAAGACTCAATAGTCCATTAAAAGGATTCTCAGTCAATATATTCAATTCGATTTGCTCAATAGCAATATAAAAATCCTCAATACACACAATTTTATCGAATATTCGCTATGTCGATGGATTGTTTGATATAAAAGTCAAGGGAGGAGATTCCATTGCGGTTCAGCAAACCAGCCCACATCATTTCTTCGAGGCTTGTGAAAGAAATTGAGCGCACCGATTCTTTTCATGCTACCCTCTCTCAGTCGAAATTGAGATACCTGTCCTTCTTTGCCACCATCTCTCTTGAGATCAATACAGAGCTCTCGAGAAGAGCTGTTCTCTCGCAACTCCCGATTTCTCCGACATTCACCCTCAAGAGAATGCTCTCCTCTGTAGAAGTGTGATTTGTAGTGTTATATTTCGATACATAAATGTAAAAATATTTCATGATAAATATTGTAGATGAGTGAAAATTTTTGAAGACAAACTGCGTTGTTTTTATTCCATCGTGATTACATGATTGAGTGTCTAGATGTTTATAGCGGAGTGACACTTCAGAGTTCTTTGGTAAATGTTCATTATATGAATAGATGTTAGGATAAGACGCAAGTTATATGTGACATTCATAGATATATTCTGTCATTTGAGTGTTACGAATATATACATATATATTGTAATGTAGAAGAGACAAAAGAGCCAAAACCTACTCAGAAAATGTTATTTTCAAAAATATTACAATTCACTTGAAAACACCTCAGAAAAAAAATTTGAAAGAAAAAGAATTTAAGGTGAAATTCAAAGGAAAATTTGCAATAAAAAATGCGAACATCAAAAAAATTATAGAATGGAAATGAAAGTTAATACCGTTGTACACTATTTTACAAGAATCTTTGATCTTTTTTTTTGTTTCACTTTGATCACGTGTTCAGATAACCAGAAAAAAATGACGACGAAAACGATGAATCCAAAACAAAGAAAAATATTGTAATTACTTGATTCTTCCACTTTTTATAATATTTAAATTTTTCTTCCAACTATTTTGAACGGTGGCTCTAGATTCTGCAAAATCTTCAAAAAAAGCGCGCAGATCGAAGAGGACGATTAGTCAAAAAAGAAAAGGGCTTTTCGAAAAGCAATCTTGTGCTGAAGGTAAAACTTTTTTAAGGCGTTTCAAAAAACATGCTTACCCGCATATTGCTTTTAGCATTTGAATAATTTTTTACCTTTAACTTCGTATAAATACGTAAATTTTGCTATATATACATACATATATATATTTTTTTGATAAAAGAAAAAAACATTGTATATGTATTGATATTGTTATATCACAAAAGATCGACCAAAATTCTCAAGATCTTTATTTTATATACGATTTTTTTGTAACTAAATTTTTTACTATACATTCGATTTTACAAAAATATGTTTTATATTTTGCAGTTAGTTTTTTTGTATCTTATAAATTGGCAGAAGTATTTATAGGTTAATGGATTTTGTGCATAAGTGCGTAATATAAATGACAAGCAAATTTTTTTGAGGTTATCAAATTAATAAGGAAGTGTTGATATTTCTTTTTTTTGGTTTTCTTTTGATTTTTGAGGAATCATTGAACTATAGATGCTTTAATGCTACGTAAGCAAGTATTTATCATTTGGATTTTCTTTTATGATTTTCTGTTTTGTTTCTGCATCTCGAATCTGGATTTATTTGTGCATTTCGATGTTGTTCTCTTAAGCGATGCATTTGGCCTCGTGCTTAAAACTTAATGCTGACTTTGTACGCTTTTATTCTTTTATTTTTATTACCAGTAGTCTTTTATACCTCTTAAGAATCTAAAATCTAATAACTGTTACACACAACAATTACAAAACACTCTCACAAAACTTGTTATGTGCTACACAATTTTACACAATACTTCACTTTTTCCAACTGAAAAATAAACTGTGTCAGAACTATAGATCTTTAGAAAATTATACTGATAGTTTGTGTCATCAAAAATAACACAGGCAAAAGAAAATATAGTAGTTGTTTAATTTGGTTTCTAAATAAAAACAAGATAAAAGAAATCAACATAAATAAAATAAACAGTGAAACGGTATTTGGAATTCCGTAATTATTTTGGCTAATAACAAAATACTCTGAAAAGGAACCCCATTAAAAATACTAATAACAAATTATTAAACAGTTATTTTATCATTTCGATTAGAATATAGTGCCTAACTTCACTATTGTATGAAATTAGATGATTTCTCACATAAACTCTTTCCTGTTCTTCGATGTTGGTTTAGATAAACTCTTCGCATTAGCTTGAGTATCAGATGTGAATAGACTTCTATACAAATCATGATTACTATTTAGACTATCTCGCACCCCAATTAGATATTTTTCCCATTTTTCCTATTCTCTACAACGTCTTGTAGCGCCTACCTTGCCTTCTTGAATGAGATTCCTTACCCATATTGAGATTCTTTCTCTTTCCCTCCTTTTTATTTCGATTATAATTATTATACAAAATGTGACGACATGATGAGGGCAAAATTGGACTTTAGTGCTAAAGGAGAGGCTCAAAATGATCTCTATTGTCCTAGTCCTTGTTTGAGGAGGGTACATTAATTAAATTCATGTGCTGATCACGGACGGTTACTCATAATGCATCGCGATGCTCTTGAGTTGGCCTGCTGGGGGTGTTAATGTCAGTGGCAGATGGAGAGAGCACCCAGCAAAATAATGTGCCGCCACTGGATGCCTTCCAATGGCGGGGACACTGAGGTGATATCAGGCAGAGGGACTGATGAGGTCGTTTAATGTGTTTAAGTGACACATTTAGGTCAAACTCCTACATTTCAAATGCCACCTCCACACTGACTTTCCTTGGTGGATGGGCGATGGCAAAATTGCATCCACAAAAGCTCATTTGCCATTCATACAAATTCTGCATAGCATGCTCAGTGATTATAGTTGCCAGAGAATACCCTCTCAATATGCATAAAGCCAAACAACCCAGTGCAAATTCCATTAAAATATATTTCAAACAATTGTTGTAAGCTTTCGACATTGTCTCACAGTTTATGCCCTAAATTACGCTCGAATATGAATGCAGACGGAGTCAAAAGGAGAGTTTTTTCAGGTGCGGAAATATGTGAAAATTATTTGACTACTTTAATTCAAACAAATCTCTTTGTTTAAACAACTTTTTGTGCTTTTTTTAGAGAGAAATTCCTCATGAAATTTTCTTTACACATTTGTGGAAGTTCCTTTAGGAAATAGTTGTGAACTTCATTAGGTGAAACTTTAAACTATAACGAGAAAATAGATACAAAAGACTTCAAAGTGTCACTTCTCGATGTGAAAAAGTTAAAATTAGTTACAAAGTTTTGGCGTTGTGTGCACATGCACCTGTTTAAAGCATACTTGAAATTAATACTGCCTAATGAGTAGATTAATTTATGCTATAAATTTTCGACATTTACGAACAATTAGAAACCGATTTTATGCATCAAAATACAATTAAAATAACCCTGTGGAAATTAATAGAACCAGAATGAAATGCATTTCATCTTCCGGCTAGTGCAATTGGGGGAAAAATTATGGATGAAATGTCTATGAAAGTCGGCAGAGTTGAAAATTATGAAAATCAGGCAGCATAATTTGTCATCGTGGCAAATGATATTGCGCGACCATCAGATTGGGAACTGCAGAGCATAACTCTGAGTGATTAAAATTCAATTTGGCTTCCACGTGAGTGTCCCAGAGGAGGGCTTGCAGCTGACAAAATCCATTGGCACGGGGATGAGATGGAGAGTTGAGGGATTATTGGGTCAGTTGTCCAGGAACTATCTGGAGAGGGATTTCCATTAATGCGGATAGGAAGATTTGAGGTGGAAGGGGGGATGTTTAAATCAAATCATGCTGAAGGTAATTAAATACAGCCAGGAAACGACAGGCAGGAAATTTTCTATTGATTCAATAAATATTTGATGGTGCACATGCTGTAATACCGGGATTTCTATTTGCTCACAAAATCATAGAGAGAGAGTCTTTCTCTGTAAATATTTAATAATATTTTATGAGTATGTGTGTGTGTGTGTGTGAAAAAATATAAAAGTTATATCTCAAAGTTTTCCTCTTCTGTTCACTTCCAATTCGCTCTCCTTCCGTATTATCATTCATGGAATATTGTATAGAGGTGATGTATGACGTGGATGTGTTTGAGTAAGAAATGAATGAAAAGATTAAGGTGGAAATGTACGAGGGTGGAAATAAAGTTACAGAGAGTTGAATAATGCTTGAGCTTGAGCAATAAAATTATTTTATCTGTAATATAAGTATATATATATGTAACAGTGAGAGAAGTTTGAAACTATCTCTGCGATTTCACCTCTGGCAATGCTATAATTCACACAATATTGCAATTTTTTCTCACATTTCTCATTCAGCAATCGCTCATTTCCCTCTCACCAGAAGTTACTAAGTTGCTCCTCCGCAGAAAATGCTCTGATTGCAATGTTATACCAAGAACTCAATGTCTCAGAATTCCTCTTTATTTGTGTATATAAATTAGGTATAAAGGTTGAAATGAAAAATTTTGGCAAATGTCGTGAACCTATAATGTACTTTCCATATTTTTTTCACATTAATATCACAAGAATAATACAGCTTTCTAACTTACCTTTTAGTTTCTTTTCCTGATTTTAAGACTTGCCTTACGCAATTTCACAGATAAAATGCCCTCGCTTATGAAAAGCTCTTACCACGAACATCATAAGCATATCTTCTATCGCTTCTTTTTATTGGCAAGTTAGGAGCTTTCTTTAATCCACTTCTACATAAATTCCCCTTTAAGTGACAATTGGAAGAACAATATGTAAATTTTCAAGAGAAAATTCTTTTCCAAATAGTATAAATACATTCTAATTAGAACCCCGCCATAGATTTTCACACAAAATGGCATGGCATGAAACACAATGAAAGCTCCTGTAAAATAATTTTACAAAAATTTTTCTCTCAGTGAAATTTAAGTTTTATCTGTAATATTGTTACTATTATTTAATTTTACAAAGCTGATGGTCCTGCTGAGACCAAATAATTGTCACTAAAAAAGCAGTAAGGAAAACTTTCAGCGCGATTGCTATTCGTAGTGGAGAAAAAGTTGCAAATACAGAGTCACGACGCATCTGTTATGTGAAGATAGTAATGATAAATATTAGTAAATAGGTGACTTGCACATGTTTTCGGAATTCCAAGTGTGATTCGTCATGTTATGCATATATGAAACAGCAATTATCAACCAGGAACAGCGACCGCAGCGCATATCGTATAACATTCTGCATATTACAATCACGTGAGAAATCATTTCTCCTATTTACTCCCCTGTCGCTCTCTCTCTCTCTCTTTCTCTTCCTATTTGTAGGTAAATTTGAAATCATAGCCTTTTAGATGCCATTGAGCGATTCTAAAAGGTACTTAGTGAACTGCAAAATAGCTATTCAAATCGATTTCTACCCCTTTATTCGGTTGTTTTATGAAATGGCAAACAATAAAATGAGCCAAATTTCTATCTCCTTTTTTAATTTCATTGAAAGCTTTTGATATGAATTTGTTTGTTTTCTAAAAACTAGCAAATATTCACAAAAAGCTTCCGAATACAGGGGCCAATTGTTCATTTTTTGATAACAAAAAGTAAGGATAAAAATTGTAAACACTGTAAATAATTCTAGAATTCACACATAAATAATAAAAAATCAATATAATACTTATGTACGTAAAAGAATCTGACTAATAGTTTAATTTAGTAATAATAAAATCAATAGAATTTAATGAAAAGTTGATTCTCATTTTGTAAAGTAGGTATTTTTAGGAGTTTCTTATTTTCTTTCGTCTTTCGTTTGCGTAGGAAGGTAATATTTTTGAAGAAATCTCATCTGCAAAAGTAATGAAATTTAATCAAATTCTATACTCTAGGAATATTGTGATTTTTTTCTTAATGTAATGTCACAAATCAGCAACATAGAAGGATCCATTGGAAAAGTACAATTTCAATGAGTATTTTATTCACATGAGTACACAATGAAACAAAGCATCAAGAACACAGTAAAATGGTTTCAGAATCTCATAAAAAAAATTGCGCAATCGGAATTTTGAGAGCATATTGAATTTGTTATTGTACAATTATACAGTGTCCGCTCCTTGCTTGTGTCTTTTCAGTTCCTTAACATGGCCTCGGTGTTTATGCGAATCTTCAATTTGATTTGCATGATGCTCCTTATTGGACACTGGAGTGGATGTTTGCAATTTCTGGTGCCAATGCTCCAGGGATTTCCCTCAAACTCATGGGTGGCAATTAATGAATTGCAGGTAATGTATCGCACATCACATTGGTTTTCTTTTTTCCTATAAAATTTCCAAAACATGGATGAAATTGTTTTGAAATTTGTTGTCTCCATATTCCATATCTTTTTATCAAAATTATTCATGTTTGCCGTTTACCTGTACTGTTGCTCTTATTCTTAAATGTATTTCCTCTTTCACTCGAAAGACGTGTTCAATTTTGCATTTGACAAATGATTGGAATTCAGTTGATGGTTACAAGAGAAAACATCTGAAATTCAATTTTCACACAATTTTCAATTTTTCTTTTTTCCACAAAACACTTTAAGTCCCATCTCCGTAACGTTTTCTTTTTCTGTTAAAGAAATTATGATCATATTCTTTTGTATGAGTATTTTCATTTATTTGTGTTGAAAATTTCATTGCTTTTCCCTTATCATTTATACATGATTTCAGTTTGTTTTAAAAGGTAACTCTTACACATTGTTTCTCTCTTCCACTCGCAGGAAGCATATTGGTTAGAACAATACTCATGGGCGTTGTTTAAGGCAATGTCCCACATGCTATGTATCGGTTACGGCAGGTAAGGTGTTCTCAACTTCCTCATCCTCTGTTTCCCCCCACTCCAACCCCACTATCTCCGCAGATTCACAGTGTACTTGGCAAGGAAAGAGAAAAGGAAGCACTTGTGTCTCATCCCTTCTTTCCGTTCTCATATTTCTTCCATATACATACGACACACAGAGCTTCAATATTGCCATCTGTTTTCATGCTTTTTGATCACTCATTTCTAACTTCTACATTTTCCTCTTGCTATCCAACAATTCGCTACACTCGCAGAAAATGTTCCAGATAGAAGTTACTCTTTTCATTTATACTCAAAATGTTTCAATGGTTTCATCGGGTTATTTGATTCAAATGAATAAAAACCTCATATTGACTTGATGTAGTAGCAAATTATGAATATGAGTAATCAAAAAGCGTGAGAATGACTGAGAATCTAATTATCATATGGGTTTTTGTAGAACACTTTTATACTTCTTCCCCCCCAATTGTAAAAATATGTTTCACCCTAAACTTACCTGACATGCATTATAAGTAACCTTAGTCAGTATCTTTAGTGAAAATTTATACTATTAATTTAATTTAAATTGTTCTCTTTTCACCTTTATTTATTTTTATTATGCTGTCAATTTGCCAACACGTGCGTCGGATGGGATATTTGGATATGACACATCACAAAATGTGGACTCAACGCAATACCCTAATGCCTTTATTCCCATGTAAATGTTGTGTTTGTTGTGTGACAATTCCATAGATTTCCACCACAATCATTAACTGATATGTGGCTAACTATGTTATCCATGATATCAGGAGCTACGTGCTATGCATTATTTCTCGGACATGCCACAAATCTTATTCAAAGTTTGGATTCTAGTAGAAGACAATATCGTGAAAAGGTGATTTATCTCATAAACATCCTCATTTGTCGTGTTTTATACCATTATATCCATTTAAAAATGAAAATAATTCTTTCTCCATTCCTTGCATTGTTTTCCAATAACATGAAAGAAAAATTGTTTTTTTTTGTAAAATTGAATAATGAAATTTTTTGCCAATTAATCTCAAAAATTAATAAACAGCTCATGGGAGGAATATTTCAATTTTCGCCATGAGCTGCTAATTGTGTTTGCCCATGAGAAAAAGGGGCGAGTCAGAGGCCTAAAAATTTGCAAATCATTGTTCATCACTTCGTGTTATTGATAGCAATTCATGAAGTAAAATCCTAAAATACTTCAAATATATTCAGGTTAAACAAGTTGAAGAGTACATGGCATACAGAAAGTTGCCAAGAGACATGAGACAGCGAATAACAGAGTACTTTGAGCATCGTTACCAAGGCAAATTCTTTGATGAAGAATTGATCCTTGGGGAATTAAGTGAAAAGTTGAGGGAAGACGTTATCAATTACAATTGCAGGTGTGTCACATTTTCTACTTTTTCAATTGTATATCCTTTTTTTTGTTATAGGCATTTTTAACGACTCATTTTAAATAAGAAAAAAAAATCTTTTTCGCTCATACTTTTGTGGTGTTTTTACCCGAAGAACCCCCGATAATTGTATACCTAATTTTACAAAATGACCAACATTGTCATATGAAATCCCCGTAATATCGCATACAATCGCCTTTATCAATTTTAAATACCCTTTACTAGATCGAAAATACATACTTATCTATCTACCTTGCAAGTAACCGACCTTGTAAAAAGACACTAAAGTGGATTAAACATGAAATATATATTGCAGAAATTACCACAGTGCCGGGAGTGAATAATAAAATCTTTTCAAAACCCAAAATTCACATTGGAATGGTTGCGTGATTCCTTTTGTGTTTAATTTTATTGTATTTCTCTTTGCAAAAATACATCGCAATCTATGCTTTCACATTAGCTAAACTCAAGTATATTTATATCTCAAAATGTCTACACAGAGCAATTTTGGTCGGAATTCAGCAATTCTTGCTTTCTCACAGAATAAAAAAAACAATTTTCCGATAACCAAAAAGAACAAGAATAATCACAGAAAATTCCAAGAGAATCTTGCATGAATTTATCCCCACTTCAAACACTCTCGTGTGAAATGTTAGGGAAAAAAAGAAGACTTCAAAGAAATTTATATTCTTCCACGCAACAATTTTTTGTGTTCCTTCCATATACAAATATTTATTTCATAGTGATCATTTCTTGCGATGATTTCATTGTAAAAACAAATATATAAATATATATATATATATATTTTTGTGTACTTCCTAATTTTGTGTCTTCCTCATAACTGTTTGCTTGATTGCATACGAAAGGTTTTTCAATTGCTTGACTACTCGCTATCTCAGAACACACACTTATTTCAATAGAAAATGATAACGATGGGAAAAGTCATTTGTGTTGTTATTTATTCCTGTTTTTTGCTTTATCATTCTTTGAGCCGTCTGTGGATATTTTGAAAGGCGAGATGATGAGAAGGGAAATTTGAGTTTATAGCCCTTAATTTATTTGGTTCTAATTACAAAACTCGTCCTTATTTTATTAGCGTGACAAGTCGCTTTGTAGGCAAATTAAATTAATATACTCATGCGCTTAACTTTATTTCAATATAGTATTATAATAACTGAAACTGCGCCACAATGAAAAATACCCACAAAAAAAAACATATTGCCATGGAAGAAAAGAACATTATTGCAGAAATGCTATTAAGATTAATCTGCAATTGCTTAACAGCAGAAATCACTGCTTTCAGTGCACAACACTTAAATACTTTCAAATTACACATTTTGCTACATTGAAATTTTCTTCGTTAAAGCTTTTTTCTGATTTATTCAAAAAGAATTGGACCGAAAAAAATTCAGTCAAAGAAAAAGACGCAAGCCGTTTATCGCAGTTCTCTATATAGAATTTCGCCATATGAACATACATACAATGCCAGACTATTCTCTATAATCGAATTACTCAAAAGTGCCGACTCGGTACAATTTTGTGTGGTAACTTCCTATACTGTTCTGAAGATATACTTGTAATTATGCATAAATGCCATCATGATGGAGATTTTATTCATTTTTGAAAATGTCATGTAAGCTAAAATTTACATTTTATCGAGTGTATTTATGGAATGACCCATGAATATGAGGATGAGGCTATTAGGACGGCAGAGCCTGAGGCCAGTTGAATTTCCCTTTCATTCATACCTTTATACTATATACCCAGTGTTTTATCAATGAACCATCGTTTCTATTGAGTGTAAAATTAGAAAATGTGTATTTCATTTGTGTGGATGTTGTGAAATTTGTCAGATTTGCAATGTGAACGGAGAAGAAGGGCGGAAAGCAGATTTTCATCCCTTGGTGAGCCTAATGAGGGTTATAAGCTAAATGGCGGGAAATTATTTTTCTCTCTCTCTCTCTTTCGATCAATTTTTTTTTCTTGCTGTGAGATTTTCTCCCACACTTTCACAATGGATTTGTATGAAGTATTACTCATAAAATATTGAGTGTTTCCTTCCTGGGTGTTTCAGATTAGGTGCTGAAGAGGAGATAGTTTGAATTGATTAATAATCTCAATATTGAATGGGAAGAAAGAAATTCGATCCCCTATTAATTTCCCCATTATTCAGCACAATATTTAAGATATTTCCCCTTCGCCCGGGCAAATTTCCCACACAAGAGGTCGAGTTTTTACTCATCTTTCATCACTGGGCTGCCTTTCACAGGCGCTACATATAGCGTCATGTGTCCCTCATTATTGCCATTGTTGTACGGCACAACATCATCATTCTCATCTTCTGGAGATGTTTGACTTATGATGAGCCTTCCATGAAAACATCCCCCCTCCCCAACCATCCCCCAATTCGCAAGCGCCCCCGAAATCGCCTTTTTCACAGTGTTTTTCCCTCTCCGAGGCCCAATAAATATTGAATTTTCTCAGCTCCTGATACCCTCCTCGCGCCAACTCTCAGCTCCGTCGCCCATACACTTTGTTTCCTGGAAACTCCAGTGAAATCCTCACAGGCTTAATCGAGGTAGAATTTCCCGATGATTCATTACGCGTCCCCAACTCATGCCTCACAATTTCCTTCCGTTCGTATGAGAATTCTGCGTTGAATGAAGAGGAATGGGTGTGAGTGTATTATTTATTGTGTCGATGGAATGATCCTTGAAGGAAAAGTTGTAAGAAGTCTCCTTCATCGCACCCTGCCTGTAGGTTGGTGGAAATAGAGATTAAGAGTTTGTTCTATAGAGAAGATGTAGGTCGAAGTGACTGGATAGCATTGTTTGCCATGCATTAGAAGACTATCTATATTTTTCCTAGTGATGATGTTCTTTCTTATCATGCACTTTTTATAATTTGATTTGGACGGAAAAACCCTATCGATATAACTAAATAAGAGGATTTTATGTTCAATAAAGAGAATAATAAAACTACGATGCTACACTTTGCTGCGTCCTTAATTATTCTTGAGACAGATATAAAAGTGTTAGGAAATTTATTGAGTACAAGATGTTTTATATCGATGAGTGGTGAAATCGTCTTCAATGACATGGAACAGTGACAATCCATGCTTGTTTACAACCGTTTATGCTCACAATAACTCATTGGCATTGAGCAATATATTTGTCACAGACTTTGGAGATCTTTTATCTGGCACTGGGTCAACTTTCGACCTACATCTCTATATGTGCTCCTGGTACGGAATGTGTGCATGTGTGTGTTTATAGGAGGAGAAAAACGAACCAAAACGTGCCTTATCACATCAATCTGTCCACTTAATGTTTAATACTCAACACCCATCAACTTTACTGAGGCATAAATTTCCACCGCCTCCGTTCGTGTCACCCTCCCACATCTGTCTAGAGAGCATCACTTCTTCTATGTTTGCCGTATGCTGGGTTGGTGTAAGTCATGTATGTCTACATTGTTTGGACTCTTGAGCACTCCTTTCTCATTCAGTGTGCCATTCTCCAAAAAAAAAGGTGCCAACAATAGCAAAAATTACTACAACACATCCTCCGTTGTTGCACACAACCCCCGAGCAATAATGAAGATTGTTGCTCCGAACGTTTATTGCACGGAAAGTGGAGAAATGTAATCTACAATAGGGGAAGCTGTTGCTCTCTCATTTTTTTTTCTCTTTATTTCTTTGGAATCATTTTTGCCCCATTTTTTCCCTCTGCGCGGAAGAGTTTTATGGCTTTTTATTCAATTCCGCACTTGGGAGTGATGAGATGGAAAGAACACCCACTTTTCATATGATTTTCCTGATGATTTTTCTTTGTGAATGTATGAGTGTTTTTTTGGTTTATTTTTTGGAATCCAGTTGCAAAGATTTTTAAACAATATGGAAATGGTTCATGAATCCCCCAACCCCTCTGCCCTAAAAGTCTACTTTGAAACCCCCCTTTTTGTGACACCTTTACCACGCAAACACAGAAAATGAATGAAAATTTGTCTCACATTAAAATCTAAAATTATTGAATAAGACCGAGAAAATCAGCATATGCACGAACTTAAAAATTCATCGATGTTGTTATTGATTTACCACATTGGAGACATCAATACATTTACGTATATTCAATGTGGGAAGTAATTAAATCAATAAGGCGTCAAAACAAATACCATAAACCATCAAACCTCCATCACATTTTATTTTATGAATGTTTGATTATACATATGAGAAAAAAATATGCATAATGTCCTTCGTGAAGAGTAAGTTATGATGTAAACAATTTCTTTTTTTTTTAATTCTTCATCATCTTTATTTTCCTAGTTAGATCAACCACAAATTGTAAGATGAATTCTTTGCAAATTTCACATTCTTTCACCAAAGTCTTTCACTATATATTAATATTTGTTAATTTGTATGTGAACAATCAATCGTAAATTTTTAATGAATATTGTAAGAAAATTCTTTTGAAATGAAACAAGAAACTGCACCACAAAATATTTACGACATTTTCATGCATGTCATCAATTCGATTAATCCTAATCTTCATGTGGTTATTAGTGCAATTAAGGGAAACGGAATTGAATTATGAATAATTTTCTAATGAAACTCCACTTAAAACTGATGATTTCATGAATAAGGAAATACGTTATTTGCTTATGGACTGAGGAAAATTGACTGATCACTGTGCACAGGAAATATGATTTATTAGTGATGAGCTTAGTCGTACGCTCTTCACTATATAATTTTCACTTCGTATGAATATATATGTATTAAATTACTCTAAATGCCGAGGCTGAATGTTTGATAAGATTTGAAGGATTAGATTCCGAATTCAATTCTGTTTCCTCACGTTGAATTTTCATCTCATGCTGCTCTACTCTATTTATTGGCATTTTTCCTGTTCTCTTGACTGTCGATATATTTCTTATCGTCGAAGTGTATATGTTTTCTTCTCTGTCTATCTCTGACACTATAATTTAATTTTTATCAATTCTTTTCTTCACAAATTGTCCGTGTCTAATGAAAAAGTCTATCTCTCTGTGTTTGCTAAAGAATTGTGATATGTTTCCTTCCAATAATGTCCTAATTTAAACACATGTCTTCTGTAGTTATACTATATAGCAATTGAACTATTGAAATGCTTTAAATGTTTCTTTTTAAGTGTACAGTATAGATATTCTCTACAGTGTGTAATAATCATAAATACTAAGAACAACATCACATGATAGATGGTATTTTATCATAAGTATAATAATATATTTCATTTTTATTTATCTTTTCATATTATTCTAAAATATTTACATCTCAAGCGCTGTGTTCATATGATAAATGATCCATAAATTCATTTGAATTTATATATATGAACACTGCGCTGATGCACTTCATATTCTGAGTGAACATGTAATAATAACTATCTATGAAATTGAAAATGATTTCCAGATCTTTGGTTGCTTCAGTGCCTTTTTTCGCTAATGCTGATGCAAATTTCGTATCAGACGTTGTAACAAAGTTAAAGTACGAAGTATTCCAACCAGGTAAATAAATACTTATAAACTGAAGTATTTGAAAATTTTCATAAGAAAATAATAGTGAGAGGAAAAGTGGCGTTTTTTTTTGTCTATTTTTCACTACAACAAAAAACACATCTATAACTTCTTGTAGGTGATATTATCATTAAAGAAGGTACAATCGGAACGAAAATGTACTTCATCCAGGAAGGTGTTGTCGACATTGTCATGGCGAACGGTGAAGTAAGTTCTCTCAGCCCACACGTATCAATTTCCATAAAGTTTTCACTCCTTTTGCCACTGCTCTTTTTTGTTTTTCAACCCCCGTTTTAAATTCTGTGCAAAAAGTTCCCTTATATGTAAAAGCACTAACGAAATTCCTCTCGAAACTTTTCCATCGCTCTTTATTTTTCTTCTCTCTCTCATCCATGTGACTCACAAGTGGTTTTCTCTTGTTTTCTTTTTGCCCCGAAAACAAAAAAAAATTCTAGGTGGCAACTTCTCTGTCGGATGGATCATACTTTGGCGAGATTTGCCTGCTGACAAATGCAAGGCGAGTGGCGAGTGTCCGTGCAGAAACGTACTGCAATTTATTTTCACTAAGTGTAGATCATTTCAATTGTGTTCTCGACCAATATCCTCTTATGAGAAAGACGATGGAAACGGTGGCAGCGGAAAGGTATGAAAAGCTAGTGTTTTCTGTCCATTTTCACTATTAATCATGTGGGAAATTTCAGTGGGATGTTATTTGAGAGACAGATTATTTGATAAAATCAATGTTTTTTGTGCTTTTTCTTCAACAGATTAAACAAAATCGGAAAGAATCCGAACATAATGGCGCAGCGTGATGAACCGAATAGCTTAAATACAGAATCAAAAACAATTAGTGCAGTTGTGAATGCTTTAGCAGCAGAAGCGGAACATGTAAATAATATGAGGTAATATGGCACATATTCATTAATGTAATTTTCTCAAGTGCTCTCCGCATGCGATATTAATTAATAACGTTGATTAATTTGACATGACAAACACCAGCGATGATATGGCACAAAATAGTGGATCAGAGCAGAGTCTCCAAAATCTCAGTGAGAACCTGAAACTTAGCTTACCGAGGCCAAAAAGTGACGAATTCAGATCATTATTCGGAGGCAGTAGTCCGTAGTTTCATTTCTTAGGTGATATTGCTACAATAATTTTAGTGACTAATATTGTTTAAGGATTAAGTTCAGACATAGAGAGAGACATCAAAAGAGGACCTGCAGCAAAAATAGAAACATTGAAAAAGTGAGAGAGAGAGAGAGAGCGTAAGAAATTCTAGAGAAACTCGTAAACGTGCGGTTATAATGATATCAAGTATAACTTGAATGATATTTAGTTTAATTTACATTAATTTTCTTCAGAAAAATAATCAAACTCAAGCAGTAGATTCGCACATTATTTCATTAGGGAGTGTTTATTGAGCCATCTTTTATTGAGAAAGTGAGGATGTATTTTTAGATGTATAATTTATCTGTGTATATGCAAAGAAAAAAAAGAAACTTTACATGACAAAAACTACAAAAGATGTTAGAAAAAAAAGGTGAGACCTAAGAATATTTTCAACAATTTCCTATAAAGAATATTTTATAGAATTTTTCAGAGTCATTAAAGATATCTAATTTTTGATATAAAATTGAATTTTGTTGGCTTTCCATAAAATTTTCATGCAATCAAGTGTGAAAAATGTGACAATTGTCACTAAAAGGAAGATTTTTTTATTAGCAATTTCTCTCTCAAACAATATGCCAAGAAAATGTAGTGAATTATTGTGAAATTTCCTTTTATTGAGTGCGAATTACTAATATCTAAGGGCTTAGTCGAGGTAAAAAAAAGCGTATCCTGCGTATTAACAGTGATTCAGTAATTTTTGAAATAGGCTTTGCAGGAGTGAAGGCGAAAATTAATATTTCATACGCATAAATCTCATAAATCCCGCTATACATTATATATTTTGGGGATGTAGTTGGATATGTTAGGTACATTTCCACAAAATCCATATCGATTTAAATTTGCAATATGAAAGTTTCAGCATGAATTTGCATTGAAAAAAATTTTTAAATATTGAATAAAAGGACATGACGCATGAATACACAAATTGGCAGCGTTTCGTCGCAGTCCAATTAAATATTTCAGCGACTTAATTGAGCCTTTTTTTTGGTACACTTGTGCATTTATTATGACTATGAGTGCGATATTCCTTGCTCAAGCTGAATAGAGAAACTCCTGGCGTTCGCTCTAAATCACCTCAAATGCTGAAATTGCTCAATTTCACACCAGAATTGGTTTGTTTGTGGGTGTTTTCTATGCATGTGAAACAACAGATTTAAACCAATTCAGAATTTCTTGACTTCCGTGAACCAACAAAGATTGCCTTTGAATTGCTGAGGCTTTAGAGCTTTTTCTATATGCAAATTGCATATCCAAAATTAAATTGTTTTTAGCTAAATATGCGAGCACTCAGTGCAATGACTATGTAATTGAACGGGCAACACTGGGTGATGGAAAATAATCCTCAACTATTTTCTGACACATTTTCCTTCTCTCCTCTTTCGCTTATCATGACCCAGAGAGAAAAAAAAATCCACGTGAACCGCGTGGGATTGCAAGAAAGAAAATTTTTATCGAATATTTCTTTATTCATACGACAATCAAATATGATTTGCATCAAAATTGGATTTTACTTATTCAAAAAATTCGATGGAGGGTGAAAATTTAGGGCGACCGACAAAGAGAAAAAAAAATTATATGCAAATTGACTGGAAAATAATGGCAAGAATGATTGCAAGAGAATACCTGAAGAAAGAGAATGAATAAACTTTTCTCCGGCAGATGATGAAAAAATTATTGGTTTGCGATATTGGAATTATAAAAAAAAAATAAAATTTTGTGAAGCTTGGATTTATGCAGATTCAGCTTTGACTGTAACCGAACGTCATGTTGCTTTTCATCACATGTTTTTTTTTGCAAAAATATCCACAAAAGGATGAGAATATATTTTCATTTACTCTGACAGAGTAAAAAAAAAGTTGAAGTGTTGCAGAAAGATTTTGACATATCATTTTCGTGAATATTCTTAAACATTTTGTAGCTTAATAGAGAAAAAAAAGTTATGAGGAAACATTTTGCAAAATTTGTGCTTCCACATAATCTAATAATATTTCCTACCTAGAAATAGAAAGATTCAGTATTGTAATGTAATATATGTAAGCATTCGATGTATGAGAACTCTGTGATTCTACGGTGATAGAGAAGAGCGAAGCGGTTTGAAAACTATACGATTGTTTATTGAATTTCAGTGGATATAAAGTGTTTGCGTTTAAAACCGTCTCACTTTTCCCTATTTGAAAAAGAAAGAAAAAAAAGCTGCTGAAACGTGAAATAAATGGTGTGATAAGTAAATAGCAGTGAAAGTGAGAAATGACAAACAATTTTTAATGTAATTTCTGATTGAGTAACTAAGTAAAGTTATCTCTATTCATATTTGCTGAGTTTCCTTCTATTATCACAATTATTAATTTATCTTATCACTGCATATCAAAGCAATTGGAACTTAATTTCAACATTGTGGGAGACTTTCAGAGTATAAGAAGGAGAGAGAGAGAGAGAGAACATTGCATGGAAGTTTTATGTAAAGTCCACAGAGCAATTTGCTTTACAAATTTCACTGTTGATTCTTAAGAGTTGCCATTCTATATTTTCATGATCTCTTAGATGAAAGTGCCCTCGTTGCTAGAGAAAAATATCGTTGAGAATTGTTGGGAACACTTGTTCGGCACTGTTAAATATGGATGAGGATAGGAAATATATATTTTTCCCTAGTACGAAGAGGCCCTAAACAATGGTGAAGAGCAAAAAAAAAAGTAAACGAGAAAAACTAAAGGACAAACTTCACTCTGTTGTTGTTATAATCTTCTGAAAATCTATTTTTATTGCAATATTGCAGAGAGAGAGAGAAAACAGAGAAACATACATTCATCTATATACAAAAAAAAATAGAAACTAACTGAAAGAAAATATAACAATTATATTTTATTTAAATATTAAGGTATGAAGCATTATATTGTATCATTAGAGATTGATAATGAAATGAGAGAAAGTTGTACATCTTGCGACTAAAATGGAACAGAAATTCTTGTAATTTAACAATTGAAATATTAGTTGTTAGGAAATTTTATTCTTCGCCAGTTATTTATCCATGTAAATAAAGAAGTAATTGTAATAATAATAACGATTTAGTGACTCGATAGAGATTCTTTATCTAATTTTTCTATTTCATTTTACAAAATCTTTTAAAACTCAAAATAGAAATATTTTCAGTAGAACCAATATTGATGAACATAGACAGAAAGAAAAAGAAAAATTGCACTAGAATAATTTCTCAAATTTCTTCTCAAAAAAAAAATCTCATAGCATTTTTTTCTATGAGCGCATTTGAATGTGAGGATAATTTTCAATTTATGTGTTTCTATATTGTTTTTTTTCTATATACATAAATATATATAAATTCTCAAGAATAAGGAAAAAAGCTGTGCAACTGCGAATATTCATGCTTTTTACTTATTAGTTTTAATGTTTGGAAATGAGCACAAACAACAACAGATTTTAAAGGAATGTCAAGAAGATCAAGTGACAAATTAATTTAGTTAGTTATTAAGTGAGAAAAAAAAGAGAGAAACAAATCAACATAATAACCACAAAATAATGTAGAATTCTTTGCCTATTAAATGAAATGAAACAATTAGACGAGGTGAAATCTTTCAGTAGAATACAAAATTTTTCTAAAAAAAAAACCAAAACCTAAAATATAAATTTAAAAAAGGTGAAACAAGATATCTGACAGTGAAGAAGTATATTTACCAATTTAATCAACGGTAGAACAAAGACATCAAGTATAATTATTTAAAGATTTACTAAAAAAGAAAAAAAAATTGGGTGAATTAATTATTTACCACCTCTCATGCTGCTAAGTATCCTGAAAGACATGATAAGACAACGTCTCACAAACACAAAGAAAAATATGTTTATCGAAATGCATTGAATATATAGTGGAAAATCCAAAAAGAATCTAAGAAAAAAAAATAAAGAAAAAACCTAATATACTGACGAGATCAAAAAAAAGGGGGTGAAGCAAGAAATAAAGAAAAAAAACTTATGGCTTATATACATTAAAAAGAAGATGAAATATTATTGATAGTGACAAAATGTAATGTTAATTATTGAAAGAAAGAGAAAAAAAAACAAAAATGATGACGTAGTGAAAATTGATACTCTTGAGAAATTACAAGTCTTATTAGGTCCTAAGCCATCAATTGAAGAAAAACCACCAAGAAACTAATGCAAAATGGGAGCAGACACTTTTCTCTTCTTTTACATATTCAGATGACGATTCTTTGTAGTCGACTAGATAACGTGAAGAAGCGTTACTGTGTGAAGGAAACACTCGCCATGGTGAAAACGAGAGTGTGAATGAGCAGATAGATAAAGAAAAGAAAGAAAAAAGTATATGATATTCAAGAGACAGGAACTCCATGTTGTATTCCGGATAGAAACTTCTGGCAGATTAAGTTTTTCATCTTGAATTATGCTGCAATCTTGAAGTTGTGTTTTATTTTCATTCCTATGCACAGAAGTTTAAATGCTTCGAAATATAGCCTTAAAGTGTGAAATATGTAAAAGCATTTGTTAGTTAATTCTTTATGATATTTCTCAAACTTTCTTCTCTGATCATCCCAAATTTATCCTTTTTGTTTTCCTTGTGTTAATCGAACAATATTCAATTTTAATATATTTCTAGATGAAAAGAAGCCAAATGAATTTTGTAGAGTTATTTTTCTTCCTTTCTAAGCTTAAGAAGTAAGGGAATAGTTTCAGAATGATGTCCGAAATGCCTCTAGAATGTAGAATAAACATATTTTTCGTATTGAATTGCTTGAAAGTGAGAAAACAGTTTCGTCTAGATTCTGCACAGAGCATAAAAATTATAAGTCAATTTTACATATTGATGAATCAGTCAATTATCTTGTGCCCTATGAGTTGTAAAATGCTTTATGACTGTTGAATAATTTGGGAAACATTTATAGGATGATTGAGAGACACAGTCAGTTTTGCTTCAGTCAGTTCTTATCCGGAATATAAATGAGGTTCTTGCGAAGTCTGCATCTCACAAAAGTGGCAAAAGTGACGATAAGGGCAAGAGTGTGATGTGTAAGGGTGAAAAATGCAAAAATGTAGAGATTGAAAAGGAGCTGATATAGGAAGAAATCAATTTCACTATCGATATAATTTAGCAGCTCGTAAAACCACTGGCTCTCTATCAAAATCATGACAAGGAGGAGGAGAAGGAGAAGTATTCGGAAAAGAGACACACCTGCGGGGGTATTTACTATAGGGGGTTATATTGTGCCATGGATTCGCATCACTTGACGCGAGAGAGAGAAAAGTGTTTTGAGAGAAAACAGGAGAAATCTCATAAAATTGTGACAAATAAAATTATGGTGAACGATATTTATTGAAGGGGGTGGGCGGGTGGGTGATGGGGGGATTCTTACATTGAGAAAATTTGTCAAGCAGTGAATAAGAAATATATTTTTGTAGAACTTTCATATTCTTTTCTTCTTTGCTAAGGAGATGCGACGAAAGAAAAAAAGAGACACAAACACACAAATATAAACTTTTTCTATCGTGTTTTACATGCGAGATGGACGAGAGACAAGAGCACGAATGGTGAGATAAACTAAGGCGAAAAATAAACAATTCACAAGAAATGCCACGGAGAGAATTTCTACACATATATATATTTTTAAAATGACCTACGCTGAGGACTTAACAGGACGTTGGGTGACGGGAGGGACACGTGAGGTATTTTAAGATGTGAACTAAGGAGGAAATTTCGAAAGGCAAAAAAAAGGGAAATGTGACAAATAAGAGGACACATAAAACAACTAACCTATACTTTTATTATCGTAAATACATACTTTTCCTATTAGTAAGAAAAAAAAAGAAAGAAAAGAAACATATAGTGAAGTGAAATGCATTTGATGAAGTGAAAAAAAGTATTCTTGAAACATTCCAGGAATTTTACCTCAATCGAGTAAAATTCTCGCACAAGATATAAAAAAAATTTATTTTTATGAAAGAAAACCAAAACAAGCACATCTCTTCCACTCATAACGAATTCTCCTTTAATGAAGTTATCCCTGGCACAATATATACTTCCCCGGGTGTGTCATCTTTGGCACTGCACAAGTGGAATTCTGTAGAATTAAATTGCTGAGTATATAAAAAAAAGGATCATCATTTATGATTTGTCAATTAAAGAAATTTTATTGGGAGAAAAATTATAAACACATTTTTTTATCTAATAAAGCGTATGAAAGCTAGCCAAAGTCTTTTACTTCTGCGTGTCAACGAAGCGACGAGTATTTGAAATGTGTCCTGTGCTGCTTATGCTGCAAGGTGTGCCTATGCTGCATTCACACTGTCGAAGGCCAACAACTGACCAACATTTGAAGGTACACAGAGATGCAATTTTGCGCACGAACGAGAGTGGATGACCCATTTTTCCTAAGCATAATGCCCTCGTAATCCCGTGATGATGCCACGAACGACATATAAAGAGCGAGAAAGTCATGACAGCGTGAATGGGATTTAATGATGTCCATAAAACTCAGGAAAGTAAAGAAGCTTTGCATCTCTTTAGCCACATAAAATGTGCAAACTTGCTGCTTTTGTGCTTTTTACGGCGAAATGAATGTAAATTTAATTCTTGCAAATGTACCAAATGCACTTCTGGGAAAATGCACCAATTTCAACTCCACTCTTTTAGCCTGGATTGAGACTCGTTGTGATCAATTATTCAAAATTCATCTACAATTATTTATGGTCCAGAAAGCCACAAGAAATGGAGCATTGAAATTTGCGATGGTGGAAAATAGTGGGAAGAAGAAGAAAACGACAAGAATTCTTTCGAAACCACATATAATCTTATCTGTTAAAAAATTATTTACATTATACTGCTTTCTAATATATTTCTTTGCTCACGTCAGTAATATTAATATTTAGTATACTCTCTCTCTCTCAAACTAGATGGGACAATTGCAAGCATTATCTTAATTATATGCTTCTCTTATGAGACACAACTATGAACGATTTTTTAGTATTTTCATCTCTGAATTTCCTTCCATTCGCCCCTCTTTTGTCCTTAATTCAAATATTCTGTGGGTAATGTAGTACTTCTTTTTTTTATCTAATTGTAATTTATTACTACATTTACATTGAGAGAACACGTTAATGAAATCATATTTTAAAAATCATAATTCTTTACTAATCATAATTCCACCGTTGGAAATTAATATTTTACGGTCATTTTTATTTAATTTTCAGCTAAATAAAAAAAAAGTTGTTTTTTACAAAAATAAAATCACAAATATTCATATAGCTATTATTTCAAAATATATCATCTTCACATTGTTACACCTTCCCTAACGCTATACGCATGATTTTTTGCCTATTCACTTTTCTGTTGATAGTTTCTCCTTTTTTTTTTACAAATATATAATTGTATTCTTGCTAAACTAGTTAGATAGTTTCTCTTCATTATTCTCTAGTGTTACTTTTTGTGTGTTTTCTGCTTTTTTTCACTTTCTCCTTCTGCAACTTCTTCTGATGTCTCGCTGCTATTTCATTATTTTGAAACTCATTAATAAAAAAAAAACACGGTTTATTTTGTAGATTGAAATCATTTAAATTTCCAAGGAATATTCTGTAATTCCTGCGTCACAAATAAATCAGCTGCAATTGATTAGGAAGAATCCAAACTTATTTATTGACACCTAAATTTTCTTACACACTAACAATGTTTGATTAAGGAATTATAAAATAAATCATCCCACACACACATTAAAAATTGACATATCGACTCGATCTCGTTTATTTTTCAATTTCTTTACCCTACAAAACTATAAAAGACTTCCTAAATGAGACAAATTTTGTTTCTTCAATCTGGTGGTTTTTTTTTTCAAGGATAAAAAGAAAATACGACGATAACAGGATTGTATTGCAAAAAAAAACTCATTTCAAACATCAATAACGAAACATGATAGAGAGAAAAATAGAGCCAAATATTTGAATTACATGAGCTCAAATTAATTTCAAAAAAAATTACTCCACTTTGCAAAGCCTTAATTTACAATGTTTCCATCATTTTAAAAATATTTACGTGTGAATTCTCTTTTTGTTAGTACTTCTTTTTATCTATTACACCTTACAATCTGCCAATTAACATATATTAATGCCTTTCGTCCAGAACGTCACGCGACTTCTTTACAAAATAGAGGTTTAGTTTTCCTGTTCTTCACATCTTCCTTTTTCTTCTTCTGCTTAAATTTATTGTTTGAATAATTGATTTTGACTTTCTTTTCATCCCTTTTTGTTTATCTAAATATTCTTTTTTCTGTTTAGTTCATTATTAAAGAAAAATCTCTCACATATTCTTTCCTCAGCGCTCATCAATAAAGTTATAAGTAAATACTTAAAATATTATTTATACATGATGTAACTACTATTCACACACGGCTATTTATTTTTACTTTATACTCCTCCTCACATTTAGTGAATCTTTCTCATCTCCTTTTAAAATTGCGATTAAGGAGCATTTTTTTAGTGGCATTATTCAATCAGTTGAAGCTTCCAATGCAACGGGAAAAGTAATCAAACTCTGTGTCTCTTCCCTGTTCAAATTTGGTAAGAATAGATCGAGAAGATTCTTGCAATGACAGAGAGAAAAATGGAGAAAAAGGAGGGAAAGAAAGGTGACGGCGAGTTTTTGAGAAATAGTGGATAAATTGGTAATTATAAAACATCTTAGAGGAAAATTATACAGTAAAAGTGGACGTTGTGACGTAGTTTTGTCGCCTCAAGTCTCTCATCTCTGTCAATCACCCAATTGTGTTACGACTCCCCATTGCCACTGTCATCCCCATCTGCATAATCTGATTCCCCGGATTGCTGCTCATCGTCCTCCGTGTCCTCCAAGTCGTAATCATCATCGTAGAAATCGGTCATGTCCAACTGAAAACGACAAAGAATCATTATTATCTCTTGAATCTCTCTTCCAACGGAACAATTATTCTCACTACATTATCACAAGCATTAGTCTCTGATTCGCGTTATCCACTCCCTAATTCCCCTCATCTATTCTCATTTCTCGCGTCAATAGCATAATATGTGCGTCAATTATTACTACACACATCCCTCTCAATTCCATCACAATTTCCCCCCCTTCATTCATATTCTCACTCCAACCAACTCGTGTCATTTGATTTAAAAGACTTTTATTGTATTCGTTTAAACATCAATTGCGTTCTAAGGATGTGACTTTTCATAGAAACACCCTCAAATTTCAATTCAGTCGGGATGTAGATACAGCACAACCTTGACATGATGACCTAAATTTCAATACATCCCCGTAATCTGGGGTGTGTCCTTTGCCGTGTCCTCTTTTCCCCAGCAGAACACCCACACACATAAACCCACACACAAACACATTTCCAGTGTGCGAATTCAAGAAAATTCCCACGCATCTGAAATTTCTCATTCACGAGTTATAGTGAAAAAATTGCTCACGAAATATATCTACACATTTGCAATATCATTTTCCACGAAAAACACGCTCGTCTCATTCATTTCCACAAACATGATATCATCTCTTGTTCGTGCAATGAATCACAAAGTTCCTAAACTTAAATTTAGGGCAAAGTATCTAATTAAACTTGACTAATAATTATTATCTGTCATTATCAAAGTTCTGCAAGTGAAGGCAAACATTATATTTGACAATGGAGAGTCACTAAAAGTTAATTGTATTTGTGGGAAAGTGTCATTAATGATCTGGAAGTGCAATTCTGACACTCTATATATATGCAAAGCCTTTGAACTTGTCTATCTTTAAGTAGTTGCTAACAAAAAGACACTTGTGTTCCAGTAAGTGTGCATAAAAAATCTGTAGCTTATTAGATTCATTTTCAAGTGTTATATTCAAAACTATTGAGACAAATATGTTGAGTAATCATTTCCAACAGAGATAATCAGTATTGCGTTGGGCATCTTTGCCAGTACACGTGGAAGCACTTTCCTCACATGTATTCTGGCCTGTATTATTAGCATCTCTGGAAATGAGAAACTTGATGAAGAGCTTCAAGACTTCAGCAATTTGCTTTAGGGAAATGTGAAAGATATTGTGGTTGGCAATGAAGAATGGTTCTTGGTATAATCAGATGTGAATGTTATTGCCAGTGGCAATTGTGCAATAACTCTTGTAGCAATCAAAGTTATAGTCAATCACTTAAACAGAAATACACGTGACTGAGAATAGCTAATGTCAAATGGATTAAGAGAGTGTGAGGATGTTGGAAACTTCTTCATTGTGTGTCCAAGATTTACACTAAACTCCGTAATGCGTTCAATGTCTCACAATTATGTAAAGAAAAATGGAATTATTAAAGCTTCCATGTGAAACGTGGGTAGAAAATTACCTAAAAAAACGGTAAGAATGTTTCAGAGTTGAATGATCGTGTTCAGACATCATCTAAATTCAATAAGTAGTAAAAATTCATGTTTTTACAGACTTTTCTCCGTCCAGCGAAGTCCATTCGCCCTTATTAAATATTTAATTTCCATACCAGAACATTAACGTCACGGTATTCATCTACATTACGCTTTATGTATTATTTAGAAAATGATAGATTGAGGTTATTTAATAAACACGGGATAAAATCGATAAACAATTTCAATGATACCTTTTGTATCTAATTACTCTTCACAGGGACTGGAATTCCATTTCAAGTAGGTCATATTTTATTCCATAAATTAAATGTCAAACTGTTCTTCCAGGACACGTCAATCAAACTATTGAAACTAAAGCATTGAATTTTGTGCTTGTGATTATTGTAAAACACCCATAAATTATATTAAATATCGATTATTTGGTTTCCAAAGGCCAGAATTAAAATAAACCTCACACTTTCATTCATACCATGAAGTGTGAATTTTAGAACAATGCAATTCACCTGAGGCTCCGGATTTGTTGGTTTAAATTTCGGCTTAATACAGTAATCCTCTAACGTTAATGGAACTACAATGCCTTCCTTTTCCGCCTCAGCTTTCGCGGCCAGAGCTTGTCGCCTGATTGAGAAAGAAATTCAAAGGAATTATTCAGTACATTCATGATCTTTCTTATCGTGTAATAACATTTGCTATCTCTGACCTGATAATATTGGGATATTCATTGTCCTTTCCCTGTGAATCGCGCCACCTCCTGTACATGACCGACGCATCGACATTTGCAGGTGAGAAGGTGTTTGGCTCGTTGAGCAGTGAAATCACGGAAAGCAAAATGGTCCTGACATTTTGTGTTGGATTCCACCTTTCGCACGGCAATTCGCCACTTTGGGGATCATCCACTGGCGGATGAAGGATTGAAATACACAAATCTCCGTTCTGTAAAGACAAAAGAGAGTAAGAAAAAAAATAAGAAATTTATTTGTGTTACAAATTTATTACACAACAAAATATAGTAAATCAATTTGAGGAAATCACTATATAAAATGTGATTCAGTGAAAAGTTAAATGAAAGTGAAGTAGTTTTGCACAATCGATTTGGTTGAAAGTGGTTTTTCGGTTAAACTTGACCTTTCTTTTTTTCTACCGTTCGTCACACTTTATATTTAGAAATCCACACAACAAAGAGAAAAGTTGCAATGGTGAAAAAATACATTTTTTTGCGCCACAAAATGCCACCCATGGCAAAAGCTTAGTACATTTCATTTCATTTTCTCTCTCCACACACAAAACACACAAAACACACACACAACAGATAAAAAAAGAAGAGATCCCGTGAATATCCATTCAAGATTGAATCTTCCTTCCTATAGTTAATACACTTTCCTTTCTTCAGTCACTTAATCAATTTCCTCAACTTACTGAGTGCATATTACACATTGTTATTCCACACACACACACAATCCCAAGACTCATCCAACAATGGCATGATATTGCAAAAACATTCCACTGTGCAGTACGTGGTTGTTTTGCTAGAGGAAATCATAGGAAAACTTATTATCATCTTGCTCTTGAATCAAATAAATTGAATAAAAATACCTAAAAATTGCGGATTTTAATACAAGGATACACTTATTATACACAATTATTATTCATTCTTTGCTTTTATCTCTTCAAATCGAGGAACATGAAATATTCTACACGATAGGGATCACGGCTTTTATATCCTCTTCAAACTAGAATATCAATGAGATGCTTTTTAGACTGTTATTTATAATATATATATATATGTATTTAGAGCTTACGAAATTATTCATTTATTCACAATTCATATCATCAGTGCTATCGCAGGAATTCTAATGACATCCAAAAAGGGATCCCTTCTCCCTTTTCTCTGGACTGGATTTCCATTAGGAATCAACAAAAAACAACAACTCCAGTACGACACGCTCCCTTTCTTTCACCTTCCTCTTGATGTTCAACTGCGCCTCAGTCTCTCACTTTCATTTCCACCCACACTCTTCGATCCAGAAATTACTCAAGACACACAGGCAATAATTCATCATTAAAACTGACCGGTGAAAACTCAAACATTCACACAAACACAACACAACATTAAAAGTCTGACAATTTATTACACTTCAGTGAATAAATTGAATTTACAACTAAAATTCAAAGGTAAAGATGCTTCTTGGAAGGGAATTTCATTACATTCCTCACAACTGATCTCTAATCATCACTTTTTTCACTTTCATCCCCGCTGCATTTCTATTAAAACCTTCCACTGTACAATTTTCACCATCTGTGGGAAACGCAATAGCAATACTTAGGATTAAAAGTATGTCATCGCCGTAAGAATGAAGAAATATTCAAGGCTACAAGTAATTTTTCAAACTAAACAGTGAAACTCATACAGTGCTTGATTGTATGAAACCTTTAACTAATATATCGGCTTATTTCCACGAGTATTTAGCAAAACAGCATCGCTGAGTTTTACATGTACATAAAATCATGTACAAGTATGCTTAATCTGATAAAATTGATTGATTGATAAGTTAATTCTCAATTAAGGTAATCACCGTATTTGACCATGAATATATTCTCTTCAATCTTTCAAATCGATGCATACAAAACCCATTCTCGAGCAATCGTGGTGAATATATCAACGTTCACTACGCCATTTGTATTAATTAATGGAATATTAACAAGAAGTGATGCTTTTGACTTAAAGAAATTAATGAATCGGCGCCTCCGGAAGTTTATCAACTAAATCACCAAATTCTTTATTTCGATGTTGAATTTATTAGTGGCTTTTTTTGTTGTAATGTGAAAATTATCAGGAAAAGCTGCTTATCTTCACCATACAAAAATCACTCCTTATCTTTCAATGTAAGTTTCAATGGTATTTTTCTTCGACAAGAAACGCGTGAAAAGACGACCCAAAATACAGTGAAATCGGGGAAAGAAATGCTCCAAATTATTCTCAATATATTTCCTTACGTGAGAATTTCAAATACGTCTTTCTATATTCTATTTTAACATCCATCCATCAAGTGAAATATCAAAGTGTCGTTGTAAATATTTGCGTGTCTGTAATCACATGAGAATTGGAAAGGAAGAGAAAGAATGAAAAATCCACTGAGCAATTCTCAATTCATCGACAATATGAAAACTATATAACGTCATTACATTACATTCAGATCAACAGACAGGAAAATTTCTCGTTCACTTCTTCGTAAATACATATTTTTCATCATCATAACAAAGAGTGCAAATAAGAATGTAACGTATTGTGAAAATATAAAGTGATGTGTCGCTGTTTAACGTGAAATACTTGTTTTTCTTTCTCGATATCCGGCAAACAAAGAGAAAGGAACAAAACCACTGACAGAGAAGATATAAAAGTATAAGAAAGTTTTATTCTTCAAAATAACAATAAAAAAAAAATTCAAGTACATCTTTGACAATATATAACACTGAAAGAGGCAAACGGATGTGTTCTCTTTCGAACGCACACACTTTTACCGCCTGTCTAATTTTCAAATAGAGAAAAAAATCACAAATTCCACCGTCATTACTTTTAAAGACATTATTTAGGCATTTCCAGAGGGTAAATTTGTGAAGCAATGCGATCATATCTCTCAAGTTTCTGTCTCTCATCAAGAAAAAAAAAACACCAAATTAATTTCGATAATGACCACATTTTTGCTTCCAACATCATGAGACATTCAAATGATTTTTATCATCGCACTTTATGTGGTCAATGACTATATTTATCTATTTTTTGCCATTGCCCACTTCATGTATTCCAATAGAATTTCATTCAGCGTTGGATATTTCACACTGTATTCTCATTCCCACACATAAATACTTATCTCTCTCTCTCTCTCTCTGTATTGATGAATGAAAAATTTTGACAAATGTATGGGAGAAAATTCGCACAAATTGTGAACTATAAAATTTCAAAATGCCAACAGTGTATAGAATGTTTTCATCTTGTTCTTTTGTTAGCTCCCGTTCATGAACATATATTTTCGTGTCATCAATTCCCAAAAGAAACTATTAATAAACCATATTTTCTTGAGATGTTTGCTAATGGTTCACTACACATTTTCACTTTTATGCACAAATTGCCAAGCATTCTCATTCACGTCGCAAACACGTGCAAATTACACGAGACATCGTTACACAAGTACCTACATACCTCATAAACATTTGGATGCCAGACTTTTGTTAAAAATCTAATAGACGGTGGTGAGTATGGATAATCTGGTGGAAATTTCATGTGAGCCTGCAAAGAGAAGAGACACATATTAGCAACAAATAGATGTGACAATTTAGATAACTCATATAATTATCCCAGTCATTGTCTGGCAAAGTTGGCAGAAAATAATGGAGATTTAGCGACTTTTGACATCATTTCACGCAAAAATTCGCAACATTGTAAATTGGAATATCAATTTGCCGAGCTAATAATAGACATTTAACGTATATAAATAAGTAAATCTAACATAATCAAATTGATAGCTTTTATACATAATAATATACCAAAATAATCTAATAAATTTTTCATGGATAAAAAGTTCAAAACAAATTTAGCAATTTACGTCGAATCAAGAAATGTATACGTGTGAATTTTTCCCACTTCCAATGTGCTCTCGAGCAGTGTGTGTATGGGCAATTCGAGAGTGAATGTCACCACCGACTTTAGAGAGGGTGAACAAATTAAATTGCTTCGGTTCACCCTCAGTTGCGAAAATTGAGAGGCAACAAGAGGAGCAATTGAATCATCCTCTGAGCCACACATCCTCGCTTCTCTGCAGACAGATAATAATAATATACATATGTACCCCACAGCAAGTCAGATAGCTGCTCTCTCTCTCTCTGGGATGAATAAACACTCTTGGAGCTGCCACAGTAAATTCAAATATGTTCCCTCGCAATTCAATGTCAATGAGAAATTCTAATTTCATTTGACCTTCAGCACCAGTTTCTATTTCTAATATGGAAAATATACTATAATGCTTTATTTTCCAATCACAAACTTTCATCATTCCTCTTGCTTTTGATATTTCCGTGACTGTCATTGACAAATTTTGAAGGTGTTTCACCCAGAAAATATTATATACTTTGTCTTCATGAAACATAAAGGAATGTAATGAAAATTTTCATCGTCCTTTATTTCTATTGCACTCATAAAACAGAGATTTTCCACCATTTACCACGTTAACCAACTATTCTTATTCCTTTCAACCCTTTTAATGACAATCAGACGCTATTTCTGTGGAAACAATGTATTGATTTTTTGTATTCTTCGTATGCAACACTAAAAATATACACATTAATTGAAGCTTTAATCTATTTTAACCATTTCATTTCATGTTTCACAGATTGAATTCATTTCACAGATAAGCGGAAGTTATTTTAAAGGTTTCTATTCTATTCCTGCTTCAAATACTAACCAATTATTCTTATTTAATATTTCTGGCTCTTCTGGCTTCTCAAATTTGAAAAATTCATGAGTTTTCAAATTCCCAAATTCATCTAAAATTATATAAAGGAATGACTGCAAAACTACTTCAAATTTTGATATTTCTTATCAGCATTCTGATAAATAGAACTGACAAATAAACTTCCTGAACTACACAACAATATTCTGCCTAAATGTACTCAAACTAAAGTCACGAGGCGTTCAAAGTTTTAATGCACTTTTGGCACGTTTTGTGAAACATTATTTTCCAAGTCACCAGTTGGAATTTCTGTCTGCTGCAAGTCTACTAGAATTCTGTTCTGCTTGAAATATTTTCATTGTCTTTTTCTCAATAAATCATTAGACTCAGATAGAGAGTCAAGATCGGATCGATTGCGATATTTCTGAATTACTCAGAATAACAGTTATTAGCTTGGTGCGGAGGAACAATGAGTCACCTCAGAGAAAAGTGAGACTCTGAACAGAAATCGATAGACGTTCTTCTGCTTTCTCTCTCTCTCTCAGTCAGTCCTGAATCTCCCCCAAAAGGTGCAGAACAGACGTGAATTAATCTCCGCTGTCGCAATGGGCACACATGAGGCCAGAGCCCAGAAGAGGGCAAGAACAAGACAGCAGATGGAATTGAGGTGGGATCTCCGTGAGATGAGAAAGAAACGCCACAGTCCGAGTCCGGCCTTGACCTCTCTCGCCCAGAGAGACGGAACTCTCAGGTCACCCGCCGATATTGTTCTTCGTCTCACTCTTTCTCTGTACACGACACTGAAGGATGTCCACTTTGGACCACTATTTCCTACTTGTTTATGGTCTTTAATACACTTTTATGGCCATTTAGCAACACACAATCGTCTTTTTCCTTCACGCGCCACCGCGACTGTTGTCTTGCCACCAGAACAGCTGCTCTGGGGCGCTGTGCTCTCGCTCGCGCACACATCTTTTTTGGCAGGGACAGAAATCTCTTGTGTCGAGAGAGCATTTTATCATCGTGATGAGGAAAAAAGCCACATTTGTGTGTGATTTCCTAATTCGCAATGTTGCGCTCTCAAGGGTACTGAAGACTGCACAAGGTCTATTTTTGTGTGCCCGCGAAAACACAGGCGAAATGGGTGGATTCGTTACTCACTTTGAAGTAGCCCCCCTGGTAGAGTGTGTCCGGGGGGCCGAAGATTGCCACTTCCCACTCGAACAGATTGTCCTCGTTGAGCAGCTTCACGCGGAAGCCCTCCACGGGCTCCTCCTGGAGGCTCTTGTACTCCAGCGCCAGGGCGCGCACGGCAGAGCTCGTTGGGGCGGACATGGTGCCAGAGACCGTGAGACTTCTGCGACGCCACACACAGCAAAATCAATGGGTGCTTCCTGTTCTTTGTCCCCCAAAAAAAACTCCTCACGCCAGATCGTCTCCTTCACACTGACTCCCGAGCGCGCACAAGGGCTCAAATCACTCGCACACCCCGTCCACGAGGACCCCAAAACACCAGGCAGACTCCCAACAGTCTCTTCTCAGTCACTCAGCGCAAAAAGGCCCGAGTAATTGTTTTTGCCCAGCAAAATATGGCGGAGGTGGAGCGATTTCGTCGCGGAAAAAGTCTTTGTTGTCTGCCAAGTGTGGTGGTCGCCCATGCAGTTCTCAATTCATCCCTACACACAGACTAGTAACTGATCATTGTTTCACTTTTCACACCAAGTATTTCGTACTTTATGCAAAGAATTTGGATGAATTTCTGAGGAACTGCGAGTGACGTTTTCCCAGTCTGTCGATTTCTACACTGAATCGATGGAATTTCATTCCCGTTTCCACTGCTTGGTGGCGCGAATGGTGCAAAATATCACACCTCAAACCGCCAATAGCGCTCTCTGGTGATCAACAAGATGCGGGAACTTTGAAAAAATTATTTTGGAGAAATTCATTTAATAAAATCTCTTCACTTTAACAGTATCCAGATCGCAGAGAGTAGGAAATTATAAATCTATCTACGATTTTGTAAACTGGGATAGGAATCACAAATCATAGATCTCCTCCTGCAGAGAGAAAAGACACCGTCAGACAATATTGAAATCATCTGGGAAAACGAAACACTCACTTTTGCAGGCTTCACAGTTCATAAGTCGCAGTTTCGCACTTCACGGCATTGTAGATGAAGGTGTTGTTGATGGGCTTGAATTGCTTGGTGATGATCTTAATCACCTCCTGCGCCACACAGCCTCCGAGGAAGGAAGACACGGAATGCACTTCGGCTCCACCGTAGCGACACAACTCGTGCGCCAACTCGTCGCTGAGGCTGCTCAGATTCATCTCCGAGAAGAGCTTCCCGGACAGATTCTTCAGGCGCGCCGTGTCCGTCTCCACCTCAGCTGGCAAGCATCCGTGTTCCGTGTGGAAGCGCTCCATGGCTCTGAGCGCCACGTAGTGCTCAATGAGAGTCCCGGAGACCTCGAGGCAATCGCCAAAGGCTGGACACTTGTACGCCTTTTCGTACTCATCGGCGATCCGACTGCCTCGATGCACACTGATGTGAGCCGCTTCTCGGCAGAACAGGCGCACGTCCTTCTCCGTGATAACGTCGCAGGGCAAGTTGACTTCCTTCAGCAGCTGCTGAACGCGACGATAGATTGAATCTGCGTCGGCGAGAGCCTGATTCCGATAGACATTCTGCAGGGCAATGTAGAACGCCGTCTCGGCAGTCATGTCTGGCAGAATTCCTGGCAGAGGAAGCCACCCGTGGCCCTCATTGGCCACGAAATCCTTCAGAGCGCGCACGAGGATCCAGAACGGTTTGCTCTCCTTCTTCAGATTCTGACACTGTGGATCATCGAGTAACTTCTGCAGATTGGAGGACGCCTTGCCACCGCTGAAACTCGAATTCACAGCTTTGATCGCCTCCTCGTGGTTCTCCTCATCCTTGCCCATCGCATTTCTGATCAACTCCCTCAGTTCTGTCTTCTCTTTGTAGTTCTTCGGTACCGCGTGAGGCTTATCTTTGGCCCATTCCTGAAGGAATTTGTACAGCACTACCAGCCAGGGCACTTTGGGTGTCACAGTGACGCTGTTCATGTGCTCCCGCAGAGCCGGGAAGGGCACTTCAAGGCGCAAATCTGTCGAGCGATTGTCCGGATGCGATTCAATGATGCAATGCTCGCGGATTTGAAGCCTGGCACTGCCTAGGAAGCCAACAGAGCGACATACGAGAAATGGGATGTTCAGATCCCACAACTTGTTGGACAGCGTCACGATGGACTTCTCACTCAGCGCCGTTCCAATCACGAGATCAAAGTTCTTGAAGAAGTCTGGATTGTTCACAAGCAGAGAATCGATATTCTCATCCACATAGTCGCCGTTCACGTCGGGATTGAGCTCTTGCAACAGATGAGAGCAGCACTGAGCCCGAGATTGACCCACTGAGGTGGGTTCCAGGAAGAAATTGCATCCCACATCCTCCTCAGTGACCACTCGTCCGTCGACAATGGTGAAGCCTCCGACGCCTGGCAGGACTATTCCCTTGAGGATCTCCGTGCCCAGGCATGTCGCATTCAGGAGACACACTTGGGCTGATTCTAGAGCCTGTTGGCCATGCTCGCCCCACAATCTGGAAGGTAATATCAGGAGATTGTAAGGATGACGCTCAGGCAACCAGCCAATGTTTGCAACCGTGCTTCACAGCCCTACCTTATCTGCCGGTCGTACTTTTTACTCTTATCAGATACCTCAGGTGATTTTGGAGCTGGCGAGGACATTATTTCACCTTTAGCACGCTGTAAATAGTTTAGAATCAGAGAGAAAAGTCCCGAGAAAAATGCCAAGACAAACCGGTCAAGCTGACAGCCGTCACTGTAAATCCCGCTTGTGGCGCTGATATCGTTAAGATGGCTCTCTCTTTCTCTCTCTGGTTCTCTCTTTTGGTCTCTCTCGCTGTGACAGAGTGTAAACAAGGCATTTTTTCTTCTCCTGCCCAAAACTACCCAAAATATCTTAAAAAAAACAATGTCTTTAGCTTCAGTTAATACACAAATGAACTCTGAAGTGCTGCCCGAACATCTGAAAATGTACTACAAGCGCTTGTTTCCGTACAAGCAATTTTATCAGTGGCTTTCTTATGATGGTGAGAAGTGAGGTTACACAACATTGCGCGCTTTTCCCAACAACATGTTCTCTTTCGCTTTCCAGATGAAAAACTCTTTCAGCACAGAGAATTCTGCTTCACCTATGACGGTGATGTGTTTCAGCGGTACCTCACTTTCGACGATCAGGAACACATGGCGAAGGAAATGACGGCGAAAGTGCCCTCGAAGATAGATATTGGTCCAGTGATGAATGTGAGGTAAACAAGACTTCTTGGAGTTGCTTTTCTGGTTCATCCTCAACACATCTTCCGATTTTCTAGGCCCAATAAGTTGGGTTTGGCCCAGAATCTGCGCTTCCGGCAGCGAGAGCTAATATTTGATATCGACATGACGGACTACGATGAGATCCGGACTTGCTGCTCTGGTGCTGCGATTTGCCACAAGTGCTGGAAGTTTATGAGTGTCGCGTGTGACATCCTTGGCGCTGCCCTGCGAGAGGATTTTGGCTTCGAGAACATCCTGTGGGTCTTCAGTGGTCGACGAGGCATTCACTGCTGGATTAGCGATCACAATGCCCGAGAATTAACTGGGGAAGTTCGCAGTGCTGTGGTGCAGTATCTGAATCTGGTGGGCAGGAATGAAACCTCTGGTCGCTATGACATCGAGTGTGATTATATGCATCCGCGTGTTCAGAGAACGCTCGCGACAATCAACGCGGTTTTCGAGGAGATTTGCCTTCAGGATCAGGATCTCTTCAACAATGCTGACAATATTCAGAAATTTATTCTCTCCCGCATTCACAATGAGACAATTCGCAATGAATTGAAACTGAAACTCCTGGGATTGCCAAATAATTCGAAGATTGTTTGGCAGACGTTCGAGGGCTACATGAATGCGGTCAAAGGGAAGAATCCGCGACTCAAGTACCTCGTGGATGACTTGAAGATCTTCCTGACATATCCTCGATTGGATATAAATGTGACTAATACGATGAATCACTTGCTGAAGGCGCCCTTCTGCGTACATCCCAAGACGGGAAAAGTTTGTGTGCCTTTCACACCTGGAATGACGGCGAATTTTGATCCGGCTTCCGTTCCCACAATCATGTAGGTTCAAACTTCTTTCGATGATATGCATTAGTCTCAAAAATTACATATCTTTTAGGGATCTGTGTAAGGAAATTGATGCTTATGATGCCAAAAAAGCGGAGGATGCTGAAAAATTCGACGTAGAAGTGGGAAATATCCAGGTATTTATCTCATAAATTGAGTATTTTCTCATTAAATGAAAATTTTTACTCTATCTTCAGACCTACAAGAAGACATCGCTTCACAAAGCTGTTCACATCTTCGAGGAATTCATCAGGAAGTGCGGAAAGAGGGCCGAGAAGAGGAAAGACACAATGGATTTTTAATTTTAATATGAAATGGAACATTTTTCACTTATTTTGCGTATGTTTGTCATGGATTTTCCAACACTTTATCTCGTCATCAGTCCCCAAAAGCTCTTTCTACGCCAAAGGCGAAGCCTTGGAAGTGCGAAGAAGCCTTTTTTCGCGTGAAATGCGTCGACAAAACGAAGAAAAACAGCAGTTACTAATTCAGTTGCTTCAGAACTTTTCTTGAATATTCACAAAATAGTCTCGTGACTTTAATGGCGAAATATTTAGCTCTTCTAATTGTTCTCTGGCTTTCTAGAAGTGTTTTGTGTGAAAATTCACGGGTGTTTACATTGCCAGAAATCTGTGAAATTTCAACAGGACTGAGAATTTATGTGGACTTTGGAGTGTCTGGTGAAGTGAGAAGTGATGGTGCAGCGGTGAGGAAATCCTCCAGTTTGCAATCTCTTGCAAAACTTTCCTTTTATCTCCATTTATCTTTAGGAAGGCAGAGTGGCTGAAAATCCGTGCTTCTTCACACTCGTCACGTGCCCCAGCTGCTCTCTTCGCCTCTCATGGGCGTTCGAGGGTGGCGATGGCATGGAAAAGTTCTCCATTGTTGAGCCACCCTACAATGTGGTGGATGAGAAGACCCTCAGCGATCCCTCGCGACAGTACGTGACGAAAACCAGGGCGTTGTCTCTGCAATTCCCTCCAGAGTCAATCAACATGACTTTTTCACTCTTGTACGAGAGCCAGAGTGGGTTTATCGATCGCCAGACTGTCTGTCCGAATGCTAATCATGCTCCCTCCTGATTACTGTAGGGAATACCGTGGTAGTCGCCGAGCCACTCGGTGGGAATCTCATGGAGACAAGCCGGCAAATCCAATCACCATTCTTCCCATCTCTGTACTCGAGAGACTTCATTGTGGACTACAATATTTCTTGCCTCAGTGACGATTGCAGAATCAGAATAATTTTCACAGACTTCCAATTGGCTCTCATATCGACATTAGAGATTTTCGATTCAAGCCAAGAGCGAATTCACATCTTCTCAGGCGCTTTCTTCAGACCACCGATCATTTTCAGTCAAGACTCCTCGATCAGGATCCGTTTCAGTGCAAACGGTGGCAGTGATTTGGGCTTCTCCGCCAATGTGACCTTCTTCTCAGCCACAGAAGCTACAAATCCTCTTCTTAACCCAAACACTAGTAAGAAAACAACCCTATTTCTAATTGCCAGCACTTGTTTATCTACATTTTCCCATCATTAGATTGCGGAGGAAGCGTCTTGAGTCTCGGAGGAGCGATTTCTATGCTGAACATGATTGGCGAGGAAGATGATCCCGTCTTCTACGACTGCACCTGGATCGTTAAGCCTTCCCATCGATATTTCCATCAGCAGGATCAGCTTCTCTTGCGCGTGCAGTCATTTAGTAAAATGGGTGAGTGGCTAATGAGATTAGACGCCGATGTGTGTGCAAAAAGAAAATTATCGTGGCGTTGCAGGTGACTTTTCCGACTTGTCTGTCCACCGAGGATCCACATCAACGCATCCTCGAGTGCTGAAAGTGGAACGGCCACACGGAAATTACACCGGTGAGTTTTCCGTAACCATGAAGAGTTCATTTTTCTGATTGTCTCTTCCGCAGATACACTTGGTGAGAATCTCATCGTTCCGCTGACCAGTGGCTTTTACGTCCGTCTTCGTGGCTTCTTCACCCACGAATCTCGACTTGTGATCGTGTATGCGGCTTTTGGGATGCGTGATTGCTACATTGGGACGGGATTCATGTGCAAGAATCGCCACTGCATTGCCATCGACTTGCGCTGCGATGGATTCGATCAGTGTGGCGACTCCAGCGATGAACCAACTTCCTGTCTCACCGAAAATGCCAGTAATTGGAATAGCCACGGGAACTACTTCTTCCCCAAAGTTGACACCTTCGATGACGATAACTTGCGAACCGTGTCCATTCTGCTCGTGATCTGCAGCTTCGGCTCTGTGATTCTCATCACTGTCTTCCTGCTGTACCGCGTGAATTCGAGGCGAATGAGGCACCAGAGGAATCTGCAGACTCACCTTCAGACGATCAGCGATCTTCTGGGTAAGGGAGTTGCAGAGGGAGATCAGTTCTCCTGCCACATGAATCAATTAAAGTTGATTTTCTTCCAGATCAAAATGTCATTCCCGTGCAAGAAGCTGTTGCTGACGAACCGCCACCCAATTATGAGGCTCCGCCAGAGTACGAGGATGTCATCAGAGTTGGGATGGAGTATGAGATTCGCAGGAGCAAGCGCAGGAACAGGAGTCAATCGAAGAGGAGGCGTTCTGAGAGTCGAAAGCTCTTCTTGCAAGAGGAGAACACACCAATTCAGGCTGATGCTCTTCAGCAGACCGCCGAAGAGGGCATTCTGTCTGTGGCGTCGAATCCAGAGGAACTTCCAGGCGCCACATCGTCTCGCACACTTGTCGAGAGACTTGATTGTGTAGGTAAACTCAGGTATTTTCTAGTCCAAAGCTTTGCTAATTTTGTAATAATAGATTGATTTCTGGGCTTATCGATTAGATCGTCATCTTGTGAGGCTGCAGAAGCGTGTCCGGAGGCAAATGAAGCGAAAGTCATGCAGACGATCCTGCTACTTTGTTCGAAATCGACGGATAAATAATAGATATGCTGTATGATCTGTGCTTTTGGCACATGTGACCTCATAAATGATTTAAATTGTGCCTTGTTTTCCAGACCAAGGTGTTCTCTCTTAATCCATTTACTCGATTTACTCACATGTTTTGCCATTCTCATAAAATTTCCCACACTTCTCGTCTTTTTTTCACTATAATTACGTTGATTACAAGCGTAAGTCGCAATGTCTAGGAGAGTGAGAGTGAAAATTAGCGATATATACGGAAACGGCACTCGATAGAAGTATGTTCAGTGAGTGTAAAACTTTATCAGAGCAACAATGATTTTGCCACTCAATCAACCCACCAGAAAAGCGACTGCTGATCACGCCTGGACAGAGATTCCAGCAACCACTTCATCTTATCACATCACGATGTGATAGTGTCTGGAGATAAAATGTTCTGTGAAGCGGTATAAAAAGAGATTCGCGATGTGAGATCCACATTTGGAACCGTGAAAAGTGTCTGAAATGATCTTGAAAGTGATTTTAGTGTGTGCAGGAGTTCTTCATCTTGTCGCCAGTCGTGAGTTTCACAAGTGGATATTTTTCCCTTCCGGGAGTTGTAAGATTGTCAATTTCCTCAGAATGCTCGGTGAACATAAGGAATGATATTCCTGTGAGGGATCCTGTGTACTTGAATCAGCAAGGACAGCTGTGGTCTCCCAACGGAGCAGCTCTCACTTGGAATTCCGGACAACCATCTTTCGTCTCGTGCACAGGAAGTGGAAACACCCTCACGTTCAGTGAGTTCTGAAGAGTTTTAAGGGAGAAAATTCTGCGTATATTCAAAGCTTAATTGCTGAGAGCTTTAAGCTTGAGAAAATACGTCGATTCTTGCCACAAAACATCGGTTATTGGCATTTTTATCTAATCTCACTTAAGAATGTGAGAATTAAGGGCTTTTCTTTTTATCGCCGAGTTTTTAATTTTTGATATTGACAATCAGTTTTGAATGGTAAATGATATGGCATATCTGGCTTTGGTAGGAATGATTTTAGCACCCAAATATTATGAATCAATTGATTATTTCTTCCAATCATGTCGCTATAGACGGTCAAAGGACGAGCTCAAAGACATGCATTTCTGGGACGAATTTCAACGTTGGCGGTTCAACGGCCAGTTCCAGTCAATTGGCTTGCGCCAACACGATCACAGGAGACATCACGAACACTGGATCGAATTGTGGCAATGATGGCACAATCCTAAACATTGGCTTCAACACTTTCGACACACCAGGATTTGTTACTTACATCCAATCATGCTACTCACTCTCCACCGGCTCCGTTCGCTACACTCGACACGTGCTTCCCGGCAGAGCGATCAATTGTAAGGCCAAAAATCCCACCCTTTCAGACTTATTACAGCTGTGAAGAGACTCTTGATGATTCTCAGTTGCCGTGATTGAGTCCAGCAGACCGAGTTTCAAGACTGCCGGAACGGCTCCACACGTGAGTCCGGCCACTTCTTACACGCAAGCTTCGCAGAAGACGCGCCTCACGCAACTTCTGGGCTCTCAAGCGCAGGCAGAGATCTTCCTATCCAGCTCTTCCTACATGTCCCGCGGCCACTTGGCTCCTGACGGCGATGGTATCTTCAGAAGCTGGCAATTCACGACTTACTTCTACACGAACGTTGCGCCACAATGGCAGCAGACGAACGGAGGTGAGATGATCATTGTTCTCTTAGAAACTTCTATACAATGTGTGGTTTTGGCACTTGGAATGGGAATTTTTCGCAAGTCATAAAATTGATATTAAAAAGTCAATCATCAATCAATTGGCAATTTGATGAATTGTCGTGATCCAATTTGATGCTATATGTGCTGTCTTTTATTGCTGGAAGATGAATTACATTTCTTTGGAAGGAAGAATTCAAGTAAACATCTTTGTCACTGAAATTTCTCATCTCTTTGAAGGCAATTGGCTGAGGGTGGAGAACGCAGCTCGTACCAAAGCGCATAATATGCAGCAAGACCTCCTGATTTTCACGGGAACATTCGATATACTCACCCTGCCGCACGTCAATGGCCAGCAGATCCCGCTGACCCTCGAGTCGGGTGGCATCGAAGTGCCGAAGTGGTTCTGGAAGATCATCAAGTCAACGACCAACAACGCTGCAATTGCTCTGATCACGCTCAACAATCCCTTCGCCACGAGCATCTCGGCCAACGAGCTCCTCTGCACGGACATATGCTCGTCCTCCGGATGGGCGGACAGCTACTTCAGCAACTTCGCCCGCGGCTACACGTACTGCTGCAACGTCATGGCGCTCATGAGTCGCATCCCGTGGATCCCCAGCGAGGCTTCTGCCAACAACATCCTCAACTGGTGAGTCCAAAATCCCTTCGGTCGCTCGCACGGACAAACACTGTTGCATGGAACTGTGTCTTTTATTTACAATTCAATAAAATGACATCGAGTATTGGCTACAGCACATAAGATTCGAGTCGCTATCAGTTCTTCAATAAATATCATAACTTTTTTCTTACATTCACTCCTCAAACATGCCTCTCTGCTCTCCATCTGTTTACTTCCAAAAAGGGAAAAGGATTGATAAAATAGCCTCTGTGAGTATTTGATTACAAGTCTGAGGAAATACTTTTTATTCTCTCCCACTCTTCATGTGGGTTTTATTCACCAATTTTTTATTCTCTCTCTTTCTCTTTCTCTCTCTTTCTCTCCCTCGTCTCTCGGTATTTCCGCTGACACAAAAGTTAGCCTTTTTTTCATGTGAATTTGGCACAAGAATTGTATTTCCGAGAAATGAATTTCTTGTCGAGTATTCCATTTCTTATCAGAGTGTGTCAGAGAAGGGGTGGCGCTCTTCCTCCCGATCCACAATCCCTCCCTTTTATGTCACTAGTGTTCAAAAATAAAGTGATTTTTCTCCACTCTAAACTCATCTACAGACACCACGAGGAGGTTCACACCAGAATTTTGTGTTTTCTGTGTGTAAATTTGTCAAATGTTAAATTTTGATTTATTTGTTCGTCTTTTTTAGCACCTTCAATTGTTAGTTTAACCTTTTCTTTCGTCCCTACATGTCCATTTACTTATCTTATGCTCTCTTTTGATTCCTTCATAGAGAAAATTTCACACTCTTATTGCTACATAATGTTTCTTTTTCAAAGAACTTTGCAATAAATTTTCCCTACATTTATAATGTCTATATATGCTTATTTATATGTAGTTGTTAGCATAGAATCTTCTATTTCAGAACATGATATTACATAAATTTTCCCATTATTCCCTATCCAACTTCTCATAATGAAAGATAAAACTTTATCTATTTGAGAAATCTTAACTCACAACTTTTATGTCCAAGACATTTAGCAGTTGATAGAGCAAAGAAATGAGATTTCAATAGGGAACAAAAGAGTTATTATTAAAGTTGAAAAATGTTTCATATTTACAGAGATAAATCAAGTTAAAACATATTGTTTAAGCATTAAAACATGATCGTGGACTAATTCGAATTATTAGTTTTTTTATTTTTCAGCAATAAAGCTGAAAATATTATAAAAATTTGGCGGTCCCTTGGCTAAATTTCAAATAGACTCTTATTATTTAATAGATTTTAGTAAAGCTACTTTTCAATTTTGCTCTAAAAATTAATCATATTCTTAATTTCTATATTTTTATTATCTTTAACGCTTGTTTTTTTGATTTCATAGATATTCCAAATCAATTCTAGATACTTTTATTAATTATAATGATTTATGAAATGCATATTCTCATTGTTTTCATGTAGTTTTCGAGTAATTTCATTTTGTGTCAAATGTGAAATTAAAATTCAGGTCCATAATGTGATGAATACAGTATTTTTCATGTATTTATAAGTAAATAATTCCGTTAAGCAGTGATATATTAATTTAAAAAATAATGCTTTTTTTTCATTCCCTCTGGGTTTACAAAGCCTTAAGATTGCAGCATTAAATGTTGTGCTCATGATCACATCAAATATTCCCAAAACATTCCCGCAATTTCATAGTTGGACCAATTTCGTACACCTTTAGAATATTAACAACCATCAGTAAAGCTTTTGCCACTTCAATCAAAATCCACATTTTTTTTCTTTTGGAACACTGAGAACAAAATCGCCGCAGAAAGAGGGAAATTGTTAAATGCAAAAGTGTCCATGTTCTCCTGGTGGTATCTGTAGAGCGACAAATGTTGAAACTACGCTCTAGGAATCACAGTTTTTAAGAAAAATATATGTGTTATGTATGTAAATATCTCTGTCCACATCTTCCCTCGCACGCCGCAAGTTCAAATATCAGATACTCTCAGTTGAACTCTCGTCACGTTCCGCGTGATTTTTGCCTCCGTGCACACATTTTCACAGGGGGTTGGGGGGGAGGAAAGGACTCACCTGGGAGTTATTGTCAGTGAAAACTCCGCGTGACGCTATTCTAAGTGGGTGTCTTGAGGCAGAAGCAGAATTTCTTCAGGTAACTCTTTGGCATGCACCCACTCTGGCTGGCGTAGCTGTTGAGGCGACTCACGGAGCCCGTCATCTGGAATGTCTTGTCGACCAGCGAGTACGTCACGGTGGACTCGAACTCACCGCCACCCGGGTTCGTCTCGAAGACCAGCAAGTAGTCATCGTGAGGCGGCGATGCGTCCGCATACTCCGCCCTTCGGGCAATGGCAATGCGCTTGAGGTGCAGATCGGCGCACATCTTGTGGGCAGTCGCGGTGCTGTTCATGTACGAGTCAATCTCACCTTTGATGAAGTTGATGATGAATTTCACAGCCGCCTTCACGATTGGTGAGCTCCGGCTCGTGGTCTTGTAGGGCGTGCAGGTGCACCAGTGCGCCTCGATGGCAGAATCCGCACAGGATCGATTCCATGGCATCTCGTCGAACACACTCTGGCAAGATGGACAGCTTGTGGCCTAAGGAATGCACACAAAACGTACTTTTGTTCGACATTGAGATGGGAAAAGGGCGTTGAGGACTCACTTGTGGCAGGATAGCTGACGTAATGTGTTCCTCCTCGGGCAGAGCCGTGAGCGCCAGCACATGATGAAGTGTCACGTGGAGATCATAGGGATTTGTGAGGCGATTTCTGTTGATTTTCAATGTTTGAACAATCTCAGGATTCTCCTCCTGAAACCACCTTGGCAGCCAGATAAAAATGAAGGGTAATCTCTCCTCCAGCCATCCCGTCATGAGCTTCCTCACCGGTCCGAACCTCAGGCCGTGGTCCGAAAAGAGCACCACGGCACTCGTATTGAGTATTCCTCGACTCTCCAACTGATTCAGGTAATACTTTATCTTGTGGTCCATGCTGGACGGATCACTGATGTCATTGTGACTGAACGTGTTGGCCCAGAAAAGGCCAAAGAACGGCTGATCTTTGTACAATTGGGCAAAATCCAGAGCGTAGTTGTAAATATAGTCTGCGGAATGCTGAAAACCGACACAAAACTTGAGTGAACTCTTGTACTTCACCGGCAGATGCTTCTCCGCTGCCAGCATCATTGGTCTCAAGTAGTAATCTGTCGGTGGACGAAGAAAGCCCTTCTTGTTGAAGTTGAAAGTGCTAATTTCCGCCTCGTCCTCTGCATAGGCTGTGACATAGCCTGAGGCGCGAAAGGAATACCACACCATTGGACAAGAATCCAATTTCGCCACGTGCACAGGATCGCACACGCTGTACGACAGAGATGAGTTGAAGCCCGTCAGAATGGCCATGAGGTTGGGATATGTATTGTCATCAATCTAAGAAGTGGAAATCCAATTTATACTGAAAAATTGATTGATTCGGTGAAGAAATTTACCTTGTTGTATCCCTTCAGCTCAAACCATCCGGAATTGTAGAGATGTTGGGCTGTATTTGGCATCGCTCGTATGAGATTAAGTCTCGAAATGCTATCTATTCCCATCATAAGGACACTTAGAGGGCGTTTCTTGGTGAACTTGACTTTGAATCGCTGAAAACGCTCCAGAACATCTCGCTTCTCGCGCATCACGTAGTGCACATTTCGATACTTTTCCTTTCCGCCCTTCGAGCTACAATTCACGTAGATGAATTCGGCAGTGTCCGGCAGGTGCAGAGAGTGCTTGAAATGCGTGCAGTTGGACAGAACTATGCTCAGATCCGCATGATCTTCCTTGGGAGAGCGCAGAATCTCGCGATAGCAGCAATGTGGAGTGTCGTAGATGTCGAACTTCCGCAGGAGACTCTTGTCAACGACAATACTGGCATTGCCCTCATCTGTGTACTCAATTCGCGTGAGGGGTGATTTGGTTGAGCACTCTTGCTCCTTTTCGCGATGGAATAGCTTCATGACATCCGACGCCAGAGGATCCAAATCGGGCATTCTGCATCCTGAACTGTATACCAAATACCCCGAAGGAACTGATGGTAAAGGAGACGTTGCAGAATTAGGCTTAGAATCATCACCACTCACTAGAGGTGAAGAATTTTGGAAGCAACATAAAACGAAAGAACCAATGCAACACAGAACATAAAGTGGCTGAGAAACAGAACAGCAGCTCTAAATAACTGATACCTTGGTAGCCGGAGATGTTCTCATCTGGTGGAATGTGGACGATCATCTGCGGATCTGGCGATGATCCCAGATGGTAAGAGGAATAGATGAGCACAAAGAAAATCACCACGGCAGTGCAGAGACGGAAACGCCCGCATTTCTCAGACTGAAGACTGCGCAGCTCACGACGGATCGACAATTCAGAGTTCCAGTGGATCAGCGGCGAATTGAGAGATATAGTCATCTGCTGAACCATCTTTGGCTGTCTTCATCTATTGAAACCAATTGCAAACGATAGAAAAGAAAGCGAAATGAGCTTTTTGCACACCTTTTCTCAACACTTTCCTGACTGTTGTTTGTTTTCGAGAATCGAAAAATCTCTCATACGCCATCTGAGATTGTTCACATTCAATTCTCATTGGGGAATTTAACAACGTGTGACTTCCGGCGATATTGATCCTCACATATATTTGTCACTCTTTTCACCCTTTGTTTAAGCCAATATTGCAAATATAAAGATAAGCCAAATCTTAAGCTAAAATATTCTTTCTAAATTTGATAAGAATCAAGTGGTAAATTCAATTTCCCGAAAATCATCAAACAATATACTGAAGAAGAAAACCTCTTTTGTTAGACTGCAATTAATCTTTGTCTTCAGGTATTGCTGAAGACACTACTTAATAGCCTGTCAATCAAGCCATTCTTCGGTAATTACATAAATGTTTATCGGCCAGCTTCTACCCAAAACATTAGCTACTCGTGGAACAGTAATAGAGCCTCGAAAGCCTCTGAATTCAATTATATACTCTGTAAGAAATATGCAAACCTATAAAGATGTTAATATTCAACGAAATAATCAACTTTTTTTCAGTAGAATATTGACATTTCTGAGGGTTTTTTTAATGATTTATTCAATTCAATAAAAGTAATAAAGTAACTAATCCTATATCATTTGCAATTACTCTGCCAAGTTGCCAAATGAGACGAAAATGGTCGGTTCGATCAAAAGGAAAAGGCAAATCAATGCTCTTCGATCTTACACAACGACAATACGTACTAATTGGAAAACATAAGTCGTTATTACAAGCCTTCAATGGTGAGGAAAACTCCTCCTGTGCTCATCGCATCTCGAATTCCTCAGCTCGGATTCACCAGTCGGTGATGAGGCAATAGGCAAAATTTGTGTCATAGAATTGCTATTTGAAGCTTCCAAGGCGAGTGTCGTTCACGGTTCTCTCCAGCTTCAATTCAGCAATTGCTCGTGATCTTAAACAGTGTGAATTCCTGAATATGCATGCTCGATTGAATCGATTATCTATGAGGCAAAGAGGTGGAAAAAACAACATCTCACATAATTGCTTAACGATGAAAATTGACTTTTCTGGCGTACGCTTTTGTGTTGGCTGGCCAAAGCCTCGAAATGCTCTTTACCGTCAAAAAGTCCGAGAGATTATGTTTGGGTGAACAATATGAAGGCAGAGATGGAGAGTGAGATGAACTACACGAGAGTTTATCAGTAACTCTTCCTTGAGCATTTCCTGTGCGAAACAATTACAATTTCGCAAGCCAAATTAAGAAACTGGATTATTATTTGGCATCTGTATTGTGGCTAGACGAGTGTAAGGTTGAACTAATGGTATAGGAAAAAAAACGAGAAAATTAGCATCATTAAGAAGTGTTATTGCTAACGCGAAAGAGTTGAACGAATGGGAAGCAAGGGAGTGTGAAAAATCCAAAATCATTCAATCATTCGATTGTAGGTCGATTTGTCGAGGGGTTTTGCATATTTATGATGATAAATAATGCTGGGTTTTCCTGAAAGTTTCTTAAAAGAGGTTCATTTATGCAATCTCTCCTTAAAGATCAAGAAACAAAGAACAGAGCCTTGATCGAAAACCTTCAAATGTTTGTAATAAATTCTTGAAAAGTATTTTTACGTCTTTCATTTGCATTCATTTACTCCCAGTGGAGTTCTGAAGTTGAAGTCAAAGTGAAAAATTCCACCCATTGCATTTGCGGTAAGTACGCAGTTAGTGATTAAATTATAACAAATTATGTGTTATTAAGAGTGAGAATGTGGTCTCAATAAGCATGATACTCACCCCCAGAGCCTCAAATTCCCACCCTCTCGCGCGGTAGCTCAGAAATGTCGAGTATCGATTAGTTTGAACTGCGCGCAAAAAGCTCTTTCCCACCCACCCATTCATGTTATCCTTGAACACCCTATGAGAATTATTAATTTGCAATTATCTAGCACATGGTGAAAGAAATCCCACAACTCATCGATCACGGCAATATGAAATATTTACAGCAAAAGGATAAATCGTTGGTGAAGAAGGAAGAGAAAGTGCACTGAAACTCACACTCTTATTGCAGAAATCCCCTCTAGTTCACTCTATGCTCGTCTTTCGAGTGCAGAAACAAGGTGGATTCGTGCTAAATTTAGCTCCATATTCTGGGCCACGAAGGGCAGGGAAAATTCACAAATATAGCACTAAAGGATTGGCATGGAAAATCACTTGCACTGGGTCACTTTCTCGCAGGGACAATGGCACTGTTCTGCGGGACGAGATGCCAGTTCATTGGATGTTGAGACCAGAGAGCGACAAAAGCTCCAGCGATGTCAAACAGATTTTCGCGAGTTGTTTTTGGCAAAAAGTCACGCAGAAGACTGAAGAGCCGACGAGGATTTTCCCTGCTGAGAGACTCACTGCGCGTCTGGCAACTTCGAACGTGCCAAACTCTCGAAGGAGGGGAAATTATCACAAATTTAGCAGCGCAATAGTCACACTCACCATGTGAATTTTCTCGTTGTGAATGACGATGATTCAGTGGATGAATAAGTGGGAGACACCAAAGGGAGCTTCTCCGTGTATCTATGCAGAAAACCTCCTGACGTCCTTCCAAAGCTCCTCAAGCACATCTCAATCGGGGGAGAGAGAGAGTGAGAAAAAGTGAGAGTGGAAGAGAAAGAGAGAGTTTTGAACTTCCCCAGTTCCAAGTCGCTTCATAACAATAAAAAGCATATGAAGCGAATTTGTCGAGGCGCAAGATTGATATCAAAGCCAAAATATTCCCTTGCCCCAAGAATTATCTTACAAAAACAAACCATTGTCTGGATCTGGAATGGATGTATTCATCTCTAATTTCTGACTAGAGACGCAAGGGCAAAAAGTTACAAAATTCGTGGTAAAATTGTGGGAAGTGTGACGAAATATTACTTAAAAATGATCCAATAGTTGTGAATAGAAAAAAAACATTATATAATTGTATTTTAATTTATAGCATAGAGAAGCCCAAAAGAAAAACCTTGTCCAATCGAGCTTATAAGATTGACTCAGTTGCAAGACGCAGAAAAAGAGGAAAAAACCACTTGTCAAGACAAGACGGTAATGTTACGGGCTGAAGACAATCCATTTGACTTGAATGGCAATATGAGAATAATGTAAATTTCTTAGGGATTAAGTATATTTTAAAGTATTTAATACAATTTTTCATACACCACTTTGATTGACGGGCATTAATTTTACGAAATTGTGACTTTTATTATTAGAATGCCAAAGAATGTACATTGAATACTAATTGTTGATTTCTATAATGTTTTTTTTTCATTTAATGAAAACTCGCGAAAATTCACAATTCAATGCACGATTAAATATTTTGTGGAAAACATCAAAACCGTTTCAGTCTCTTTATCATCTCGCTAATTTGCATTAAATCACTGACCGAAAGAGAAATAGTCTCGTGACAAAATCTAGTTTCATGTTCCGCAATTTGTATAGAAAAATACATAAATATTTAAACAGTGACGATAATGGTTTTGTGAATTGCGCTTCGATGATGAGTTGAATCATGTGAGCTTTCGAAGCTTAAGGAGAATCCTTCGCGGCTGGAGAGATTCTCTCTCGCATGAGCGACTCCTTGAATGAGGGGAAGCTCGAACATTCCCCTACATCACGTGCTTCGGTTCCATATAATCATTATGCATTTTTCAGCACTTCACCTCCACACCAGCAATCAGCCAGCAAACATGGGAGAGAAAATAGAACGGTGACTTAAATAGACTTTCTATTCCTAATACATTTCCTTTTATTTTTACACACTACAAAAAAAGGGGGAGCGTTTCGAGAATTCATGGTGACGCTGCAAAGGGGCGAGTTGCTATCTATTTACAGGGCTGGGCTCGGGGGTGGGCGGAAGCGCCCTCAGACAACGTTGGGGTTCGGACAGCGACAGACCGAGCAGGAGTCTTCGTCTGTGGCATCGCCGCATCCGTTTCGGCCAGAGCAGGCGATTGCCGTTGAGCGACAGCGTCCGTTGCGGCATCTTAGCGGGCAATAGACGTTCTCGAAGCTGCTGAGGAGCCGGAAGAAGATGGCCGGCATTTCCCGGGAGCCGCAGAGGTACGCCGGCTCATCACTGCCGTCGCGACAGGACACGATGGAATTGCAGTACTCATACTCCGGCAGGCACTCGCCGCTGCGACACTTGAAGGTGTTCGGCGGACACTGGCCGGTGGCGATGGAGCTGCAGTCCGCCTCGTCCTCGCCGCCCGGACACTGCCGCCGGCCGTCGCAGCGGGCGCCGCGGGAAATGCAGCGACTGTTGCTGTGGCAGTGGAAGGTCTGCGGTGGACACTGCGATGCCTCCGTGGCGTTGCATTCCTCGTCCGAGGCATCTCCACAGTCCGGCCGGCCGTCACACACGAAGTACCATGAGATGCAGACCCCACTCGAGCGGCACTGAAAGCATTAAGAAAACAATTTTATCGTCTGTTACGCACCCGGAAGCTGGTTCATCAATCCAACATGTCCACAAAATCGCAATGAGATCGTTATGTGTGGACAAAATAGAAGTGTTTGTGGAATTTCATGGGAATTTAGGCTGTTATGATTTTATATAAATTCAAACAACTTTCTGCACATCGTGAGCGACTGCTGGAGTATGAGTTGTTACCGCTTAGCCTTTTAGAATGTCTCTGGTAGAATCAGAATGCGAAGGTGAAACGCAAATTGCGGTTCTTCACTTCCATAAACCTCTTCTTTTCTCTTTCATTTCACATGCTGGAGAGAAAGCAAAACAATGACTTTATCCACTTTAGCATTTTTTCCGCGTAGTCGCCAAGAAAATTCTAGGAAAAAAGATATTAAGAAATCACGAAGCAACGGTTCAAGCTCACGGCGCAACATACTTATATGGTCACAGAGGCGATTAAGTGAGTTTCTTATCGACTCTCTTCATTATATACATGATGTACATTTAATAGTGACAAATGAGGGTGGATTTAGATCTCCGGTATATAATTTCCCACGCGCAATATCGTAAAAATTCGAATATACATGTGGAGGGGTTAAAAGGCAATTAACATAACAAATCTACAAAGTGCCTAATAAGTAAACTACAAAAGATTTCGGGTTAGGCAATTTCGCAAAAAGTGAGATGCAAAAGACACTCTTAACAGAGTATAAACATTAAAGTTTTACAGCGTGTCGTAAAGTTTAAAGTTCACGGCAGCAAAAAGTCTACTTTCTATGTCGGTAAAGTGTTTTTTTCTGCACCTTTTCCGTTCTCTTTGCGTGTCATCTCAACTCAATTCAAGAAGAAGCGGTGAAAATATCTGGATGAACAAGAACAAAAAGCAAAGTCATTTTCGGTATTTCATTAAATTGTTACTTGAAATTCCTGAAATTCATGCGTAGAACTCCAAGTTGAACGCTCAACATTCCTTCTGATCAGCGAAAGTAAGAATCATAATTCTTTCTCAACGACACTGTCTCGAGACTATTTTCTTTAACCTCCTGCTAAGATTCTATGAATATAAAACAATCCCAATAAGTTTATCAAGATGATGTTGAAATGTTTTACAATTAATTAAGTGACGCACTTTTGATGTGAGAATGTGAAAAATAACGGCCAAGAGTTCCAAATAAGTTTCCCTCCGGAAATCATCTTCTCGCGCTGTTCCATTTTCTACTGTGAGGTCTTGAGCTACATAGTGAAGAAATCACCAAATGAATTGCGAAGGAAAAAAAAGCATCACTTAAGAAGAAAATTAATTGACTAAGCCAAGTGGCAGCGATCTTCTGCGAGTGGCACTCGAAATTCTGTCTCAAGTGCATGTTACCTTAAGCGATTTAAATGTTTTGGTCTCTTTCCCTCTTTTTCGGTGAGCAATGACAAAGCCTTTCGTGCTTTTGGTTCTATGGGATTTTTCTTTTGCTCCAAATCCGCTATCTCTTGAGATGCTGAAGCACGAGGGAATCACGAAAGAATTACCCAGGTAATAACTTTCACAGCATGAAATCCATTCATTGAGAACACACTATATACATATGCATGAAAATGCGCGCGCGTGAAAATTTTCAATTTTTAACTTCATGCTGACCTTAGGATGGAACGAATAATAAAATCAAAACAAAAACAGAAAGATAGATAAAATACAAAGAAGCGCTTCCGACAGATCTCAATAAAGGTAATTGATTTTTGTGCCAAACACACACGCAGATCTTTGACTCCTCTTTTATATCGAGAGACATTCAGGGCAATTAATTTCATTTTTTTTTAATCATAATCCCTCTGATCTGAAGGGCTTTACACATCGAAAAGCACGCAAGCATAATTGGAAAACTTTATAAGCATGCATTTTATTCACTTTTAATACAAATTTACATATATGGTAAGAAGGTCTGTTTAATTCATTTTCTGCATCGCTGATATTCGAATAACTAAACTTGTGTGAAGAGCAGAAAATAAAATAAAAAGAATGTTAACAGTGAATTGAGTTAATTTGAGTCCGTTCGTCGATAATATTTCACATATATAAGTATTATTTTCTTAAAATTCGGCCTGCTACTCACAAAAAGCCCAATATAGGTTAATCCCACTAACGCAATAAATTCATCTTACCTGAAATGTGCCAGGTGTGCATCCTGTGTAGTTTGAATTACATTGCTCTGGCAGTCCCTCAATCTTGGCGCAATCGCATCTTCCAGCCTGATTGCAGTGACTGAAGGGATCCGCCAGTTGACACTGCTGATCATCTGAGCAGGGAAGTCCCAGGGATACTGGACCATGTCCCAAATCCACTCGTCCTCGAACGCTGTGGACCTTCAGCAGTTGCTGAAGATCCTCACTGGACGCCGAAGTGTCTTGTCTCGCCTCGTAAACTCCCTTGGAAGCATTTGGTTGTTCATCAGTCTCATCAGAATACGATTCCTTAGCCTGAAACACGTTGAGAAGTCATTAATTGCAGAAGTGTAAACATAATCTCCACTATTACCTCATCACTCAGGACTTTCTCTTCAGATGTAGCATCTGAGGATTCTTGAGATTCTTCTTGCTTCAGCTGAGATGACTCGGGAAGTTTTTGTGCTGCATCTTCAAGAGACTCTTCATCTGTGTCTTGAGAAGTCATCTCATCAAAGGGAGCAACGCAAGCGCTTCCCTCTAATCTTGCCGGAGCTTGGCACTGACATCGTCCGAAGAGATTCGGAATGAGAAAGTCACAGGAGCTCCTCTTGTCCCACATTCGGCAATGCTCGTCGCTGTAACACACTGTTCCAGGCGGCGCCGCTGAGGAGGGTTAATTAATAGTTCTATGAAGTGATTTGTAAGTATTATCGCATAATTTACTCCAGTGAAGCTGAATCGCTCGTCATCGATTCACAACATATGTAATTGACGGAGTAAATAGATTAATGTATTTCCATTCAATTAAGCCGAACGATATATAATCTTACTTTCCATAGAAAGCACATTTCTTTCACATCATCTGCCATAATGAAACCCCCTAATAAGAGATGAAGCTCTCCGTGAGATTTTACGACTATATTTTCAGTGTTAAAACTGTGTGGGCTATTACAAGTCATTCGAGCTGAACATCTAAACAACATTATACAATTCGGCCAACAATTCACAATGTGATAATAGTAATTTGAATTAATTCAACTGTTATTCGCGAAGAAATGTGCAGATATTAAATGAATGTGTGATCTTAGCATCTAATTTTTGCGGAATAAGAGAAATTACAACAACAGTTTGGCATGTTCGAGAATTGAAAAAAATGTAAAGTGTAACAAGTGATGATTATATATATTTTCCATGTTTTGAATATAACATGCTTTTATCAATGGAAAACTGGGTCAGTTTATCATGAATGTTTGCATATGAAAAATGAAATTAACACTTTTCTTTGTGTTTAAGACACAAAATCCAATCTTTTAGCGCGAATTTCTCTACTTTTTCTAAAGGTTTAACTCACGTGATAAGCAAGTGTGTCGCCTGAATTGGAGGAATCCCTCGGAACACAGACAAATTCCGTCGAGACAGCGACTGTTGGCCACCTTCTTCGTGCACTGCTCCTCCAACAGGCACTGGCTGCCCAGCAACTTTGCTGCAGGCCGAGAACAGGAATTAATTAGTGGCAAATTGGGCCACATGAAGAATAGCTGACACTCACCATTGAGACACTGTGTGCTATTGAATTGGACGAACTCCTCTCTGCACTCGCATTCGTTGTTCTGATTGCAATAGCTCGCGGCAATGACATCGGAGCAGTCCATGTCATGCTGGCATTGACTGCCCAGCAGTCTAGTCTCCTCCTCGGCAGACACACACCAAATGATCACCTGGCAATTAAGACGGAGAATCGGTTATTGTTATGGCGTTGCTGGTTTGTCTCCCACGAAAAAAGCGACGCCTTGTGAACAAATCCCTCGCTCGCGAGAATTCCGTTCGCATGTAACGGACTCACACAGGTTGCATGAATTGGAAGTTGGTGATCTCACGATGGAGAACACCTTGATGAGCATCACGATGTCATGCAGAAGTGGAGGACACACGAGGACCCAATAAAGTGGGGAAAACATGCAACGCTTTTCTCACTATCGCGCCCAGAGCAAGACGGTGAAGAAAATGAAATTTCACTTCGATCTCGCGGTTAATTGTTCAGAAAGAGATTTATTGTTAGAGATGCACATGACTTCAGCCGGTGGAATTAGAATGGTGAGAAGAGTATTGGAAATTTCTCATTTCACTGTGCATTTCAAGAGAGAATCTTCAACGGTTAACAATTAATCTCAGAATTTCTTGTCTGTGTGTAGAAATTGTCCCATTAATTATGCATATTTTCTTGGATGCTGTCTTTTGTGCTAGAAAAAACATGAGAATTCATGTAATAGTTCACGAGTGAAAGAGAGAGATTTAGCCAAACTGAATAATTAAATTTGATTGGGATTCTTACTGTGAATCACATTCACTGAATATCTCGTAAAACTTTATGATTTTTCAAGAATGTTTTTGGTAATTAAATTTGCAATTTTTTTCTCCTTCATATTAAAATTGCCAATTTTTATTAGACATCAATAACAAATTTTGATAGAATATAGAAATATCTTCATCAATGTGTCAGAGAATTGTTGTCTAAGAAATGCTTTTTCAGCAGTTTTCCCTCTGCTCATCATCGAAATTTACAGAACCAACATTACGATAACGGACATTTCAATAGCACAGCAATTTGCGTGATTACGAATTTATCTAATCCTATCATCTTTCAGACTAAATAAATATGCACGTTACTCGAGAATTTCTCAAATTTCTTCCCACTGAATAATACCTCACCCAATGCCGAAGCCCAGTTAAGAGAGAATACCGCTCAAGACCTCTTTAATTGACTTTTAATGGATCAGAAAAGAATTTCAATCCACCCAGCGATAGTGCGCGATGAAGACACCAACTCACGTTAGAAAATTGGCCCAATTTCAGATAAATCCGAGTGGTATGAATAAAGATATCTCCCCTCTTCCCATAAATTAGGGTCAAATGGAGTACAATTAGTTTTAACACGTAAAACCCAGACAAAAAAGCGCACAAGATCGCGAGGAGCGTCATGTACTCTTCACGCCGTCTGTTTTCGTCTTCAGCACTGTGATGTGTCTCACTTTGGAGTTTTTCCTTCTGCACGCCCGTGGCAATTCATAAAGATATAAATTAGAATTCTACGGCGGCGTAATCATTTTTTAATTAATACTGGTGGCAATAAAATGTCCAAGAAAGAGCGCCTTTCCGCTGAGCGCAAATCATATCATCCCAAAGACTGCCAACAAAACCATGGGACAATTAAATTAATTCAATTTTAATATTTTTCCTCCTGGAAAACCATAAAAGTGCCTCTCTTGTCTTATTCCATCAAATAAATCTCCCGGTCATTTTTGCCATGGCAGAAAAAACCGCAATATTTCTTCATCTTCTCACATAGACTCTGTGATAGCAAATGTATGAAATGAGGCGCACAGTAAAAAGCAAGCATCAAATTTCTTAGCCACTAAAAAAACATTTAGAAATACTTTATTATCTCCTGAGACTGCGACTGTGGAAGGAAGGCGGGAAAGTGAGTTGAATCACCTCGTGAAATTGGCATACAAAAGACTTCGCCAAGATTCGCTGAGAATCAATTATGAGTGCTTCTAATAAAATTTTCGGCACTCACACCTGCTTCTTCAATGCCCCCCGACTTAAGAAGTGCTAAACGTCAGACGCTGGATTAGAATTTCATTTTTCACCAATTAATACAACAAGTGATTTATTAGAGCTCGATTGTGGGAAAATTTTATAATGATTCTCTTGAGGAAGTAAAGCGAGGATAAAATGGCAAGGAAGCATTGCAAATTAAAGAAGAACAAACAAGAGAGCAAATTTCCTTGAAAGTCTCAGTAAGTTATTTCAATTCGTACGTTCAGAGTTTCTTCTGGCTGTGAAAAAGTTCAACAGCAAGTCAATATGCAGAGAAAATAGAATTCTGTTCAAATATTGAAGACGTTGCGCATTTCCATAATAGCGCAATTTCAGAAGATAATAGCAGAAAACTTGAGTCACAGGATGAATTTAAATTGTCACTTTGCCGGAGAAACAGGTGAAATAATAAAAGGGCTTACCTATCTGGTGCGCAGATAATAATAAAATATATGTATGCCATGAAATTCAAATTGACTTATTGAGACAAGTACCATCGCGCAATGGGAGTGATATTGAAGAAATATGAGGACGAATGCCGAGCAGTAGTTACACTGACTTACTAGTGAATAAGTGAATAAAATTTGCAAGCAATTTCTTCTTATATTTCTTTGCTCTGTAATTTCCCGACGCGTATAATTTACGATGAATAATTGCACGTATGTAATCGCGAGGAACATTTTAGCACCAATGGAATGGGATACAGTTGGAGGCATCTTTGACTAAGTGAAGAACACACAACGCACTAAAAAGTAGTCCAAAAATCGCATTCGTAAGCAGAATAGCATTTTCGTTCCGAAAATGTTAGATAAATGTATTCAGAAATGTACTGTTTGCTTTAGAAATTACCTCTCAAACTCATTAGTTCCTTCCAAAATGTTTCCACTTAAACAAATTTCACTCCAAATTTCGCGATCTTTTCGTCTCTTCTGCACAATAGTTGTAATTTCTCACGGTTGTGACCAATTACATCTAAATATTTTAACAAAGCCAATCTCATCTAGATCGTGATGCTATTCAGAACTTCTCCGCATCTCAATCTTATCTGTACCGAAAATCTCGGGATAATTTTCTCCGACACTCTTGTTGAAATCCATCGAGGATCATTGGAGGATGGCCTTAATGCACATCTCGCATGATTGGATGTCTTTCACTGATAGAGATCTCACATGAAACAATCGGAAAACTGTCTTAATGCCCTCTCCTGCCGATGGACTGACATGAGCCCCAGAGCAGGAAAAAGAATCTAGTCCCGAGGTGGAAGAAAAAAGAACATCTCGAGAGATGAGACGCAAAAAAATGACAGACTTCTAGAGCAACGAACCTCCACATCATATTTTTGCAATTACCATTAAATTGCAATGTTGTGGGAAAGGCACACGAGTGTTACATGGTGACTTCTTGTGAACTATTATTAGGCATGAAGATGAGGAGAATCTCAGCTTCATGAGGCACACACGAGAGAAATACCACACCGCCCGTGATAATAAACACTCCGGTGGAAGTCCGTTAATTACGAAAAATCACTCCTAATGCACGCACTTTGTATTCATTGTGGCATAAATTAAGTGATTTGGGTGGTAAAATTTCAATCAAGGAAAAAAATCATGAAAATACTCACAAATGATATGAGAATGCAGCTCCTTTTCCAATCCATTGAAGGCTATTCCGGTCCTGTTTCAGGTTTCAAATCTACTTCTCAACAACTCAAAATAATCCTTCAACAATTCACTCTTCAACGCCTCATCAACTGATTTGCCAAAGATGAGAAATACCACACAAACTCAAGAAATCACTGCACTGCAAGTATTTTTTTTCCTTCTTCTGCTTCTGATAATCTCTTGCACTGGAGAGACGCTGATAATCCGCTGATCATGAAGAATTCTTCTTCATTGATTCACAAGCGAGAGACGCACTGCTGATGGTGGATCTTGATCCACGTTCATCGCACTCGGGAGACACACTGAAAATAAAATGGAAAGAACCTCATGGAGAACCCACCGGTGAGATGCGAAAGAGTCTCCATACCAGCGACCAACCGACCGATATACCATCGACTTCTTCACCATACACCGCAATTTACCACTAGTTCTTTCATTGTGTGCTAAAGGAATGATGCAAAGTGCATGACAGTACTTCGGGGCGAGTGAGTGGGTACGGGGCGATCTTGCCACTCCTTCCACCGCAGATAGAGCGACGGAGAGAGGGCAAGAAAGCCCACACTTTTACTCAGGGTATTTACTTTTATTCATCAAATGTCCTAAAATTCTCCACCAACTGTTTGCCTGGGCATATTTACTTATCATCACTGAAGACGAATCAACCATTACAACAAATATTTTCTGTTAAGATACATATCTGATCATATCGCCTATTTGAATATAGTATTTACCTTCAGTTCTCGCCCTGTCCAGACACTTAAATATCACACTATATTTAAAATAAACACACAAGACGACAGAAAAAGATATGGCCGAGGCCTGATTTATTCTATTTTGATATAAGAATAGATAGATTAAATTCAAATAAAGGTTCAAATTGTCACAGCATTGATGTTTCAGACAGTCATGAGCTGAAATCCCAGCCACGAGCTTTCCATCCATCGACACAGTCTCCAGACGAATGAAGCCATGAAAATTAAGTGATCATCGTGAAGATCAAAACCGCGATTTTACACAGTGGATCTCACTTGAAGGGCCGAAGAGTCACGCGAGAGATGAGGTGGCGAAAGTAATCACAAGTGATGGAAAGATCACCTCAGGGCGGAGAAAGAAATCGTCAGTAATTATAGAAAAATGCTTCAAAATATTTCAAAATTGAATATTAGGCAGAGAGCGATGATTATGATCTCCCAACGCGAGCATGTAAATTGCTTTATAGGAGGAGCATCTTTTTACCATGGATTGTTAAATTCTTCTTCTTTTTTCAGAGATGTGGGTATGCAAAAATGATTGGAAAATTAATTGTTGAAAGGTGAAAATAAGCGATAAATTATGCACTGATCAACTACTAATGAGAGCGAAATTCCCTTTTGGTATTCGCAAGAATGATTCACTTGCTTAAGATTGATTGCCGCCCAGTTAATCTAATTATCAGAGTGATGCTTGTGTAAATTGAGAAGTCTTCCAGTATTGGAAAATTCTTGAAATATTTCATGAAACATTTTTCATATTCATTTCGAGCCATTTTTCGCAATCTATATACATTATGTATGCAGCAATTTGCTGAAGAATTTACAGTACAAAAAAAATGAAGAATAGATAAATATTTAACATTGATCTTGAAAATCGTGTCATTGTGATCGTTTAGCCAATAAATGTACATATCATTGAAATCTTTCAGAATAATAATTGTTTGAGAATGCTAAAGTCTACCGTTGACTTTCCACTTGGCGAGCTAATGATCACTTATACTTGTGGTCACACTCGATTGATCGCGATCTTGATCGTGGGCATAGTGAAAAAGCGATCAATTATTTCCAATTAATTATCGGGCAGAGAATCTGAAAGTGCTTCACAGAGAATCGCCGCAATTAAAGCAATCTCTCTCTCTCGCTGCCATTCCCACAGGAAGATTCCAATTCCACGGTGCGATTGTGAGCGCCAAATGTGGTCGCAGGTGATCAAAATCACAGGGCGACCGCATCTCCGAGTCTGTCTCATGTTGGGATTCTCAAGTGCGGCACATAAATTACTCTATTTGCTTTGGCTGTGGCGAGTTTGGTCTGAGCCGAGGCTGCGGCCAAACGTAACTGTGGTAACTTACTTTTATGGCGCACGTTCTAGCCATTCATCATTAGAGCTCCTAATCGTACAGAAACCCCGACCATTGATCAATAATTATTTCTGCAAACAATTCAACTGCTTCTTCTCGACTTCTGTTTGGACAACCACCAGTGTTCGCAGGAGCGCGAATGAGGAGAAATAATGGGAGAGAGGCATAAATTATGTCCCTCATTGTTCTCGCTTTGCTGCCTCCTTCCCCATATATATATATCTTGAAATTCCCGCGATCACCACTCGATCATCTCAAATTAATTGAATTCTCTCTTCCATGTCAGTGCAGATGCCCCGTTCCACAGGAGACATCATACTTTGCGCGCTTTTTCACCCCACAATTCACCGTCATGATCGACGATTGCGCGATTGTTTGCGGAATGGATTCGATTGTGATCACTTCTGTGAACTTCACTGTTGCATTCTGGGGACCTACTATTGTGCCACTCTGTGGTGTCACCACAGAGACAATCGCCAGCAATATTGTTACATTTATTTCATAAAAGAGCCGTTAGTCTCTCGTGTAATGCTTGAAAACTTGTCTTGCAGTCTATTTTCTTGCGTGCACCTCAAAACCATCTTCAACATACCGGTCTCTTTTGGGGTTTTTAGGAAGATGGAACACCACCGATGGCTTCTATTTTACGTCTGTGCCACCAAAAGTGTGTCACCATTTCTATTTAGAATTCTCTTCTTTCTTCCCAAAATAAGGCACACACACACGCCAGACATGGAATATTGATGAAGTTCATCGGAATATCATTCGAGAGATCACCTTGGAATATTGATGATCACTGCCGAATTTAGAGAGAATCGACCGAATTGATGAATAGCAAAACATTGATCCATATTTCAGTGCAAGAAATGTCTGGCCTAGTGAAGTGTTTTAAAAATCACTTAAATTAATAATACGCCATTGTTCAAACCCGTTGCTGTATTGTGAGTATTTCGAGCAGAAACCCAGAAAAAAAGTCCATCTTGTATGAATGAAGATCACGAATTTATCAATGGGGATAATATGCACATGTTGACTACGGTGTGCCGAAATTATTGAAGGAGAGAAACACAAATACTCCGTGATCGGGAACTTTGAGGTCATCCATCAACCTCGTGCTTTTGCCCCGCTTCCCAGCCACAATTTGCGGTAAATGCCAGATGAAGTCCCACTGTCTCGGCATGTGATCACACTTCCCTTCGTGGAGGATGTAATTGAGGAAGATGAGAGTCTCGTTGCGGCGAATCTTCTGCCCAACGGGCGCATTTCTCGCCATAAGCACCAAATTCTTGAGCCAGCGGGACACTTGAAAGCAATACTTGGCATTTGACTTGCTTCTCATGAGCGCAAATGCTGTGCTGAGCAGAAATTCAAACTGTTGATCGAGACTCTGGCTCAACACAGCCTCATTCTTTCCCTTTATGGCTTTGGTTGGATCTTCTAGCTTCCTGATCACTCCTAATTCCTTCAAGTCCCTGTGAATATCCTTCAGAATTGGACAATAGTCTGTTGGTGTGTTGCTTCGCTGCCTCATCGACTGCCAATTTGATAAGACACTCCTCTGTGAGGAATCCTCAAGCAATCCGAGATCTCTTCTTATGAGAGTCACGCAGAAGAGGAATCCATCAAGATTTCGATCTCTGTCCGAGCGGAATTTCTTCTGTCGATGCCAGAAATTGAAGTATTGCTTTGCAATCTCTGACATTTCTTGATCACATTCCTCAATCAGCTTTTGCGCCAGATTCAAGTAGAATTTGTACTCATCCATCGCCGATGCCACGAAACACAGAAATTTTATCAAAATTTCTCCAAACAAAAATCAATAAGAAGACGCGATTTATCATATTAAATTACTTGTTCTTTACTTCTCGTGTAAAAATTTGGGGGGGTTTTTGAGGGGATAATAACCAAAAGCTTCCACCTGAAAATGCCGCAAGAATGCGTAGAAAATCTCTGATGACCTACAAGTGACTTCGGCCGTTCAGTCACTTGCCCAGGGCCTTCCTCAGATTCTCCGCAAGCTTGTCCATGAAGGCGAATGTCTCCAAGTAATCCTCGCGCTTCACATTGTTCATTCCCTTGATGCAAATCGCCAAGTCCTTTGTCATGAAGCCAGCTTCAATGGTGTCGATGCACACTTTCTCCAGAGTCTCAGCGAACCTCTTCAGCTCAGCATTGCCGTCCAGCTTCGCCCGATGGAGAAGTCCACGAGTCCAGGCGAAGATTGAGGCAATGGGATTCGTGGAGGTCTCCTTGCCTTGCTGGTACATGCGGTAGTGGCGCGTGACAGTGCCGTGCGCCGCCTCGGACTCAACAGTCTTTCCATCCGGACACACAAGCACGGACGTCATGAGACCCAGAGATCCATATCCCTGCGCCACAGAGTCGGACTGCACGTCACCGTCGTAGTTCTTGCACGCCCACACGAAGCCACCCTCGCTCTTCATCGCATACGCCACCATGTCGTCGATCAGACGGTGCTCATACCAAATTCCAGCAGCCTCAAAGTCCTTCTTGTACGAGCTGTTGTAGATTTCCTCGAAGATGTCCTGCAAACAGATGGAGAAAAGCATTCAATATCCGCTCTCATAGATTGCACAGAACGAAAGTAAATGTATTAATTAAGGTCAGTGAATTGCTTTAGAGATAACATCAATGTCTTAATTAAGCCTTGAACTTGACACAGTGTCCACAGAGTTGACTCGATCTCCTCAGACAAGTTTGCAAATTTACACATCAATAAAATGCAACTGAAACTATAAAGATCGAACCATTTTCAATGTGAATCAGTCTAAAAATAAACCGCTAATGTTTTTTTTCTGCTTGCAAATTTCCCTATCAATAGATTGATAAGCGTTTTGAAACTATTAGTCAATTTACATTTCAAAGACAACTTCATCCTTTCTAATTAATTCACTGGCGGTAATTATCGTGAAAACAGGTGGGAAAGAAAACATTCTTATTGACTTTTCTCTCACCGTCACAAGAACAGCGAAGAAAAACAACTGTACAGCATGTCTATGCTAAACTAGTCAAAAAAGGTGAGTGAATTGGGGTCACAAGTGTAAACAAGCATCATGTAATCTCATCTCGCTTGGTGGTAGTGCTTTTTTCCTGACACCGCGGATTATCTCTTGCAAACAAATTGTGAAAAGATAATGTTAAGTACGCGTGTAGCAGAAATCTCTCTTAATGTTCTTGCATAAAGAATGCGCTGTTTGACTTCTCGCGATTCAAACTCTTCTCAGTTATTCACACAAAAAGATACAGTCAAGTAATTGTGTGCAGAAAAAAGGTGTTAATCACCAAAGGAAATTGTTCTTTTATCATTTCCTAACAGAAAAGAAACTAATCATATTTACCTTAAAGCGTCCATCGTACTTCTTCAGGATGGTGTTCTTCGTGCTCAAGTACAGCGGATATTTCCTGGCCAAGGCGTACTTGAAGGACGAATGGGCGAAATCCACGATCGAGGCGTCAGTGTTGTACATGGCGAGAGCAACTCCTGCTCCCTGGTACTCGTGCACCACGTACGAGATCGTATTCCCGGACTCAGGCGTGAACTTCAGCTCCAGCTTGCCGGCTCCGGGCACAACAAAGTCCGTAGCCTTGTACTGATCAGCGTGTGCATGACGGCCGATGATGATGGGCTTCTCCCAGCCCGTGACGAGACGCGGAATGTTCTTGCAGATGATGGCCTCGCGGAACACAGTGCCGCCGAGGATGTTCCTGATGGTGCCATTCGGAGATTTCCACATCTTCTTCAGCTTGAACTCCTCCACGCGCTTCTCATCCGGCGTGATTGTGGCACACTTAATGCCCACGTTGTACTTCTTCACAGCCTCGGCGCAATCAATCGTCACCTGATCGCTTGTAGAATCGCGATACTCAATGCCCAAGTCGAACACGTGGAGCTCAATATCGAGGAAGGGCAGGATGAGCTTCTCCTTGATCAGATCCCAGATGATTCGGGTCATCTCATCGCCCAGGATGTCTACAACAGGACCAGCACGAATTTTCGACATCTGCAAACGAACGGAGGTCATTATCAGCTAAGTTGAACTCTCTTCCACGATGTTTGTTCAATAGTGGAGATTAAAATACTGGGTCAAGACTGCATGCAGCACTCAAATGAACCAATTTCAGTTCTTTATCAAGTGACACAGTGATCTTGTGTACTCTTCAAAACATAGTTCCAACTATTATCGCCACTTGGAGCCAATCTTCGGCAAAAATGCATTAATTTTATTTGATTTCATTCAATATTGTGCTGCTCAACAAATGTTTTTTGCTTGCAAGAACGAAAAATCGTTCATTGGAGCACTAAAGATGATAAGATATGATAAGATATATCTTGTGAAACTAACGCTGGTTTGGGAAAAAACATGTAAAGGTCGCCAAACGGTCGCCAGATGGTAATCTTAGCCAAAAGTTCGCGTGATCTGTCGCCAACTGTTGTAAACAACACTGTTATTGTATTCTTCACACGATTATATGAAGTTGATCCAAATTCCGGGCATGTTAATAACCTTTTGAGGTTGTTTTTGTGGGTCTTCATCAATTGAACTTGATAAAATTTTAGTTGAAAGGGGTCAAACCCCTTCTATAATCACTTGACTAAATGTTTGCTGTGACAAACAATGCCACATAATGTGGAAAATACAGTATTTATCTTTAAAAAGCGCAATTGAGATAATTTAAAAAAATATTTGCTCTCTCAAATGTGACACTCAGAGCAAAACTCAGTTCACTTTCGCTTTTATCAGCCAAATTGAACGGTTAATTGAATTGAAATTAGGGTATTCTTTTGGCCCAATGGAATAATAATGGAAAGTTTTAACCTCCGCCAATCGGAATATTCATGTAATGAATAGTTTTACATCTCATTCATTTTGTAATGCTCAATGTCAAATCAATTATTTTCCTCTCTCTTCTCAGCGGCGCTTAGTGCAGTTTTAGCGGGACTTATCTTGACGACTGATGAACCCCTTGATCCGGGAATTAATTACTCGCAGAGACTCCGTGAAATTGACATGTTTTTATCTCGCCGGCAACAATGTGAGATTGCGGGAGGCAATCGCAGCACTGTCACCAGCTTCCGGAGATAACTCCAGCTCCGGGACGTGAAAATTCGCTGAGAAATCAGCCAGACTCGCCCAAGAGGTCAACCACGAAATTGAGGCGCTGATTAGGCCCGTTTTTGCCAGCTCACACTTTCCACGGAGCCTCACACAGCGACAAAAGTGGTCAGTCACTTTGTTAACTCTCTCTCCATGGGATTATGCAATCATGACAAGGTGGTTTTCAGTAGTTGGCCAGCAAGCCCAAAAACACTGAAGAGAGTGACAAGAAGACATTGTAGGGAAAATTCACTCACCTTTCTCACAAGTTTTTCAGCACCTGGCAGACGAGTTTTCACACAGATACTAGTGGACGTGGACAGTGGGAGTCACGGAGGATGGGATTATGTGATTATCACACCAAAAACACTTGAATTGAATTAAATAAGTGGGTGAGAATGAGGAACGCGATGAGCTCCGTGCGTCGACTTTGGGCCAAATGCCTGCCGATGAATTTGCCACTAAATGTGTATCAAATATCTGCAGATCTGCAGGCATTTCTGCAGGCGAGCTTTTATCCCAAAAGTTTATTGGATTCAAAAGAGAGTAGAAATATAACGGACGTCTGCATGCTGTGGCGATGCTTATTTCAGCACGAACACCAATTTTTGCCCTGGAAGTACATGTATTCCTGCGGAGGAAAACAAATGTTCGGCATTATTATTCATTTTGAAGGATATGAGCATAACTTACCATGAGGAAAGCAGCCCCTATCATTAAGGACTTCTTCTTCACATCCAAATCCTGATCAGTGAAGTAGATGTTGAGGGAATGCATTGAAATCTCGGAGTTCCATGTCCGCGAAATCGTCCCAACTTGAGTCAACATGTCTAAGCTCATGAGCCTGAAGGACGTCTCGCTGGGCAGGAAGCCAGTCCAGGAATGAGGACCGTGAATGTAGTACAAAACCTCCTTGTTGGCGTGCAGCACGCGAAAGTCGCAACTGGTCAGGGAGTCGGCCTGCTCAACGTAGCCCAGCAGATCTCCAGGAGGAGTCCACACCTGTACTGTCTGGTTCACGCAGAGCGGCGCATAGACGGGTCCGCAGCACGTCGTTCGCCGCAGCGTGAGCGCCTCTCGGTTCGTCTTGTCGGTGATGTGCATGGAAAAGGGACGTGAGTAGCCGCATAGAAGACGACTGTTCTTCGAGGAAGTCTCAGAAGCGTAGAACAAGGCTTCGCCACTGCCAGCTCGCACAGTGTAGCGATTTTCAGACGACACGGCCGATAAGTCTACAAGATAGAGAAGCCCTTGAGCAATCATTCGTGACAATTTGACTGTGATTCCTCACTGTTTATGAGCTCAAATGTCTGCTGGATATGAATTGAGGGCTGCCCACGAAGGGTATCAATTCCAGTCCGATGGATAAAAGGGATCACAGGTGCGCCTAGAGTGTGTTCGCCCACTTGCACAGTTGATATGGACATTTGCTGATCTGGAAAAAGGGAAGCTTTTTTAAATGATGGGGAAAATATTGTGGAGGAATTTGATAAGCTGACTTGAATGGGGTGGTTTAGGCTGAGCCGTAATAATTCCCTGGTCCTCTCGATACACTGAAATGGCACAAGATATTGTGTGAAACTGATAACTCTCTTATCTCTCTGTGTTCCAGGTGACAAATCACTCACAGATGGGCTCCGCTCGGTTCTGCTGAGAAATGTAATTCTCATCGCCAAGACTCTTGACTCCGTCGCCCTCCAGCATCTTTTCTCAGGGGATTTTCTCGCTCTTCCCAATTCCTCTGCTCACTCAGAATGCGGAGCAATTTCGCAATCGACACGCACTGGTTCAGGTCAAAACAGTGACTAAATCAGTCAATTGTTGGCTGTTATCAGTATCGAAAATGGCATCGTTATCGCAAAATATTTCTTCTACCTTTCATATTTGTGATAAAAACACTTGTTCATGTGTATTGTCGCGAGATCGTCAATAAATGCCTCATCACAATACTGTGTACTTGAGAGCAAAGTGAGGCTCTCGATGGTCGTATAAAATACCTTTACGATATACTAATGACCTTTTGGATAAGTAATTGAGAAAATTGAATGGAAATTAGAGAAGATTCAGGCGATTTTCCAATTATCTGTGGTACGTTTATGATTTATTACAGCACCTCTTCGTACACTGTAATAAATAAACACGACGATTCAAATCTTATCGAAATCAAAACACAGGAATATTATACATTATTATTTAATGGATATTTTACTTTATTGAGACATTACCAATAATAAACATTGAATGGGATTTCACATTTTAGATCGACTGTTCCTTCGGATCACGATTTTTTTTGAAAAGTCAACTTCACAATTCCACCGTGGAAACCTAAAAACTCTGTAACAGATTTTTCATCTCTCAACTCTGTGCCATTTTTTTTCATTATAATTATTGTCAGAGAATATGTGTTTAAGTATATGTTATGTTATGTCCCAAGATATTTTTTGACACGTCATCCAGTGCACATAAATTTATCGAGAATTTAATTATATGGAAATAATTGCTGAAGAAATGAGATAGTCAAAATTCCAAAATCTTACACAAAAATATTTTTTTCTTTTCCACCATTATCAATCCAATTAAGATTTTCTTTTTGTCATAATGTCTTACAATACTAAGAATATTCCATTTTTCAAATAGTTATTCATCTCAATTAGTTTACATTTAATAATATATATATATATATGTTTTCCTTCCTTGGTAGATTTTATGATCAACAATTTTTTTTTTGTTTATAGAGGAATAAATTTCACAATAATTACATAGATTTGGTATCATTTTTTTCTCTCCTCTTTTGCCCGAAAAAAAGGAATAAACAAAAGTCATTCTGTTGTTCAGCCTCGATTTGTTGTTCTCTTCCCCCTCGATGGAAATTGATTTTCTGCCATTTGCCATCGAGAGCTTTCGCACCATTGCCGCCCACATAGAAATCGCGCCTCCGTCAAGTGCAAACATTTGTATATTTATATATGGAGGTCTCTCATTTCCACATTACTTGCGAGATTTTATATCTCTCGAGTGATTAAAATGCCCGAAAAATTGTGTATATTCCCAAAAATTACCACTAAGTTCATCTCTGTAAAGTTAAGAAGCTGCTCTCGAGGGGACCTCGGGTCCGGCTGGGACCACACTATATGATTCAGCTCAGTATGAGGGGCTCTTCGGCGCTTAGTAGCCGATGTCGCGGAGATAGACACTCAGACAGGGGTTCCGGGAGCACTCGCGCGGTCCCAACTGAGGCCCTGGATTGCCGCGGAGGATCATCAGCGCAGATCGGGCGGCGGATTGGCACTCAGTGTTCGCGTTGCACATCGAGTCAGCCTCTGCCAAGTATTGGAAGTCGCATGCCGTGAGAGAAGTACCCTGGAAGACAGAGATTTCCCATAAATCCCACAATTCAGACACTCAATCTGAGCCACAGATCAACTCACGCAAATGTAGCAAAGCTGGTGGCTGAGACACACTGAGAGGAGGTCCTGCTGGAGATCACCGCTGAGAAGGTCTACTCCGCGGCAGCGTCGCTCGATGGCATCCACAAGGGGACACTGGGCGAAGGAGCGTCCGCCGCCCAAGCTATAGGGATCAGCCATGAGATCAGAATGTCCTGCGCCGAGTTCCTCCTCGAATTCCCCCAAGTTGTTGGCAATCTGACCAATTGGGTAATCGTAGCGATTGATATTTGTGCGCTTCTTCTTCCTGTTGTCCACATCCTCCTTCTCGAGCCCATTTTCTGGCTCCTCCTGAGTCACTTTCTCTGTGGCGGACTCGATCTTGTGGCTGAAATTACGAAAAACAGAAGTGACCATCGAACTATCTCAGATTTCACTCCAGTTCAACTTACTCTTTGTTCTCAAAATCCACCTTCTCTTTCTTCACAGCAACTCTCTTGTCCTTGTCCTTGTCCAGAGCCTTGGAAGGTTCAATCTCATTCAGCATCAGATGGCGCTCGGCTTCAACGGAGTCCTTGAGTCTCTCCAGAGCCTTTCGCATCTTCTCCAGACTGTACGCTGTGGCCAGTCGTGAGATGACGTGATCCTTCAGTCGCTGGATATCTTCAGGATCAGAGATTCCCTCATGAGCGCCAGTGTACTTGATGGTCTCATCAATGATGAGATCTTCGATGTTCTTCAGTTTCTGGTCCATATTCTCCAGCTTATCCTCACTCACTTGCTTCTTGTCGCGGTGCTCGCGCTGAAGCTCGCGCTGCTCACCAATATCGTGGACCCGGAAGTGCTGCAGCGGATACTCCTCCGCCTTCTTCATCATGCTCTTGTACTTGTCATTGATGTAGCCAGATTTCTTCTTGCGATCAATTCCGAAGTACTTTGACCATTGAATGGACTTTTTTCTCGTCTCGTCAATCAAATCCCCGGGGATGATTTGATCGTCTTTCACAACTTCAAGGTTGGTCTTCTTCTTCTCATCAGCCGCACGTTTCTTCTTCTTGTCATCCTCTGGCTCATCCTCGTGGTCCTGATGGTTCTCGTGGTCGTGGTGCTCCTCCGAGTGATCGTGGTCGTGGTCATGAGAGTGTTCCTTGGTGTCGCTGGAGCGCTTCTTCTTGCTCTCATTGTCTCCATCACCGAAGATTCCCTGTAAATCCTTCACAACCTTCTCATCAGTGCCGGACACGTTGACCTCCTCAGGAGCCGGGGATCTCTTGCTCACTGGGAAACGCTTCTTGCGCGATGCCGGAAGCCACGGAAGAGCCGGGAAAGTGCGTCGCTTTTCGGGAATTGGAGCGGCATACATAGCTGGGAAATTGGCTGTTTTTCGCGACTCATAGAATCTTCCTGGGCTTCTGTCCTCAAACAACGCCCTCTCGATTTCGTTCTCCTGCTGCTGGTACTTCTCCCAGAGTCTTCGCAAAGCCTCCTTGTATTTCTCCTCCCGCTCAGCGTTGTTCTCCCGCTCGATTTCTCCAAGGAAATCCTGAGCGAATGACGGATCACTGAAGGCGTCCATTTCACGCTCTCGGAATACTGTTTGATATGGAAGTTCTGAAGACAAAAGAAATTACGAAATCAAATTGATAAGATTATGAGCTTTGCATGCACTCACCATCTTCTCTCTCGCGGAAAATCGATCGCTTTCTGGCCATTTCGTATGGTGAGTCTTCGGCAAACGCCTGATCGTTCGGCATTACTGGAAGCCTGTCATCTCTCTCATCTTCCTCCTCTCGGGACAGATAGTTTGCCAGCATTTTATTCAACTCACGACGACTACCATGAAAGGGTGGGTTTATCGGGACTTCTCCTGCAAATTTTGCAAAATCATTGAGCTCAGTGTGGTTGATTTTGCGCTATAGTTCGATTCCCTCTCATGGGAGGATGTTTTATTTCTACTTTATAGGCAAGATTATATGCCAATTTGAATGTGAGTGGCTTTGAGTGGGCGCTCAATACATCTTTTGTGATGTGGAAATTTGTATGGACATACAGAATCCGAACAAGAGTTTTAATTGCTATACTTGTTGTGATATTGGCCATATTCATAAAGTTTGTAGCTGCAAATTATGTAATGATTTCACAAAGGGGAATTGCTCGGAAGTAATGCGTATCCAAAAGCAATTCTTCGAACAGCTACGGATTAATAAAGTGCATCCAACTGAATTAGTTGTGAATGATAACATTTTACTACACGCCGTGAAAATGAGAGGAATTGTGCAAGGACTGTATTTTAAATATTCAATCTTTTCAAATATGTATGAATTTCTCAGAAAATATAATTAAATGCTCAAAAGACCTTTTTGTTTAAGCAATTTATGTCAAATGCAGAGTGAAAAGTTTTGTCAAATTATTAAAGGATAATTTTTGGGTTATCCTTTCAATAAACAGTAATTTTCTTATCAAATATTTTGATAAGAAGACAACAAAGTCTTTAATCCCACTTGCTAATCATATTTGAACTTCTTAGTTTAGAAATTCACACAGAAAGACGTGAATATTAGAAATCTATAGATATGTGACATTAAGGGATATGTGATATAGGCGTAATTGACTTGTATTGAATTTCAGAGAATTTCTTAAGAATATTTCAACCTCCCTCTTCTGGAAAGGATTACGTGACAGAGTTTCCCCAATTAATTATTTCTCTGTACATAAACAGCCATTAAACTCCTCCGTTGGGCCGTAACTTTTCATTACATATTTCTGCCGTTAAGTTGCTCCACGATATCCGTTTTCTTGCCTTCTTCGCCGCAATTTCCGAAGACAGGATTAATTGACGTGACAAGGGACTCACCTTCTGGCCAGTACTCGGGCTCCTCGTCGGTCGGTGGCAAGTCCAGGTAGTCCCTCAAGGCCAATTGCGCCTCGCGGTGGTGCAGCGCATCCACCGCCGACTGGAGGGAGTAGGGAGAGCGGGACGGCTGCTGCGCCTGCACCAGAGGCAGGAGCAGCACGAGGAGCACTCGGGCAGCCTTCAGACGTCCCATCCTTGCGGCCAGTTCCACGGAAATCCTGCGGATCGAGCTTCTTGAATAATTGCGTGATAAAAAGCTCTTTGCGCGAGCTTCATAAAATATATTATGGTCTCATTTTATTGCATATTTGCACCTTTACCGGACTACTGAAGGTAATTCATATTTACGAGTGCTTTGAAAAACTATTAAGTGTTGTTTAGTTATCTTGAATTTAGAGAAATTTCACTTGGGTACTTAAAGTGGGAGATTCTTAAGGATTTTCAAACATTCTTCATGACTTTTTCGCAATTTTTGGTTAAGTGATATTATTCAATTCCCTTTCTATTTTTCACATCTGCGGTTTGCGTAAGACAAGTCTATAAAAAAATTCAGAGTGACAGATAATTACTCATGGAACCATTGTTGACAAAAAAATTTAGACCTCTGTCTAAATATTAAAATTTATGGCATATCCAAATATATTCCCAAGCGGTTTCAGTTCATTTTTTTTTTACACTTTGTGTGTACTTATGTAGATATGTGAATATTAACATGGAGGGAAAAATATCACAAGAGACTGTCAAGAGACGTGAGATAAAAGAAATGCCACTACAAATAAAGTTTTAATTGAAAAACTCCCGCTTTGTTTCGGCATCTTTACTTTATCTTCGAGTGACCATTTTCAGCAGAAAAAGAGGACGAGAGAGAGAGAGAGAGAGAAAGTGATATATAGTCTTGCGAATATGGAAGAAGCAATTTAAATTCTCATCACAAATGCGAGCTTTCACGTTTTCATCATCCACGATCCTTCTCTCAATATTTCCTCCATAATTTTATTTAGATATAGACATAAGTATTTTTCCAGGCACATGAACAAATATTTTTCATACGAAATCCACCCTCTTGGATGATGCTTTTGACATTGAAAATTCTTCCATTTTTGTCTGAGTCACTTTCGTGGATATTCCAGTGTGCCAAATCATCTCTCTTTTTCGGTGAGTGAAGGAAATTGGAGTGCACTTTAATTATGCCTTCAAGGGTGAGAAAATTGAATTAAAAAGGGGACTACGGCGGTTCACAGCAAACACACTCTTCGCGGAGCTTTCGAGACTCGGCGTCTCCATTTGCGAAGGAAGCTCTACACTGCGAGTGGCGTTGAGGTAGGGAAGAACGTCGCAATTCCAAGTGTAAAGGTAAGAGAGTGAGGCTATTAATAAAACTCACTTGTTCAAATTACATTTTTTTTCTCACATAATCTACTAAAAGAGGAAATCGATAAATGCCTCTTGTCTGTATGAAAAACAATACCCTTCCGTATGAATTTTATCTATATATTCACTTTTCGCCGCGCTTGCGAGTGTGAGTGTAGGGAAAAAGGCGAGCTAACAAATTACCAATTAGTCTCTGTGGGTGTCGAGAAAATGTCCCCAGTCAGAGCCGCCCAGTGGGCTCGAGATGCTCTCCTTGGACTTGGCTGGCGAAGACACTGATATGGCGGTGAAAGAGTCCCGAAAGTGTGGCAACTATTGCATCAAATGGATCACAGAGGAGTGGGACACTTGTTGGGCTCCACTGATGGCTGCTGAAAATTTCCCCCAAAAGCACTCTTCTCCCGGACTTCCGCACACTGTAGCCACGGCACTGGACACACTGGAGGAGTGATGTGGCTGGCGACTGGGTGGCAGCTTTTATACGCGGCAACGACAGCCGAGGAAATCAATATGCGCGCGATGGAGCCCCCGTGATCGCATGCGTCCGGAGGGGAAGTGCTCATGAGAGCTTATGAATGGACTTGAGCTCACACAAGCCTCTCATGAATAATGCCGAGAGGGTGGCACATCTCGTCCTGATCGCGCTGAGATGACGAGAGGAAAAATGAGAAGCCAAGGTATTCGATAATGAAGTGAACACCACACAGTTCCACATCACGATTTATGTATACCTCTGCGAACTTCCCCAACATTGGGAATCTCAAATTAAATTCCTTGCCGCAAAATGGGGGTGGTTTAAGTTTCCATAGTGGAGGCGAAAAGCCAATGAATTTAATGTTTTAAAGAAGCCGCAGTAAAAGGTTTTCGATGTCATTTCGAACTGATGTCACCTTTGACCTACAGATTGGACGACACATTCTTGTCCGAAATGTGATTGGAAGAAAGAAGGAAAAAAGTTTCCATTAATATTGTATCAATTTGATCTTTATAAATTTGAGATGAGCAATTATCTTAAAATCAATAAAATCCGAATTTAGAAGCACAAAAACAAAACTATCTAGAAATAATAAACTTATCAAGCAGTCATTCCATAAAGCTGTTTATATGCTCACGATATTTATTTACTTACCCACTGAATACTATCATGCATAATTTAGTTTAGGATAGCATATTTCAAGAGCTTGTTTATGAATTTCCTCCCAACTTTTCCAATCAAGCTCCTAATTTACTAAACTTGGGGGGAAAGTTTTAATTGCAATCAATACTCGTTGCACTGTAATTCAATGATTTGGTCGCTGAGAGTTCATAAAAATTGAAATGTGCACTCTGTAAATGTATCTCTTTAATTGAATCCAGCGCTGTTGCGTTATCTGTGACTCAGAGTCATTAATTCTGCCAGATGAAAACCGTCTCTGTTTGCGACATAAGCGAAAGCTCAGAGGATAAAATCGCTAGGAACTGGTGTGCTTTGGACACTTTGACGTGATTCTGTGGCTTTTCATCATCGTGTTGTGGCTGAAATTACAATTTTTTCCCCCGTGGCCGATAGCATTCCTGCACATTCACACTCAACAGATGAAACATTCCAACCCTATTTTTAATTAGAAAGGGTTTTTTGGACTCTAATTCGATTATATTTCCATGTAACATGCATTATGTTCAACAACAAATCATCTTATACAGTTGTTTGACACGTTGATACAATTTTTTCGCTACTCGTGTTTGATTTTATAAATAATATTGTATGATATTGAGATAAACATGATACATTTTTGGCATTATTATGTATAAAAAGAAATCATACTTCACTAATCCCCTACAGTATAAATATTTGAGTAACTCTGATTTGGACTACAATCTAGTTTAGTAGTAATACAAGATATATTCTTCACCTTGACACGAGATATATTCTTCGGCATTTTAGCAATAAGAACAGAGCAAAGAAAGAACCTTCGATATACTCCATTTCACAGTTAATACGTCATCGTTTCCACCAGCTATAATCAAAATTATATGGCACGGAATTGCATGAGAATTCAGTGAATATCTCTCCTCACCCGGAGATTCTACCATCGCATCGCGAGCTCTTCGGTGGATTGTTCATTTTCATCTTAATCCACTACTTCAGCAGCTCACAAGCGAGTCCCGCGGATGTCGTCATTGCTGACTTGATGATGAATCCCACCAACATGACCGGGAACTCTCACGTCGCCCAGCTTCACGAGACCGAAGAAGCTCGTGTGTGGGTGGAACAGAACGAATCTGTGGTGCTCCGTGTCCTTAACAGTGATTTGATCGTCAGGCTTCAAGAGTGCCACTCCGCTCGTGTAGCAAGTATTGGTCTTATTCACGCTCCTCTCGCTGTATGTCATTGCCTCGCAGTGCAAGAAAGTGTTTCCGTTGTGCTTCACCGTGAAACTATTCCGATCACGAACGTCGTCGTAGTAAATCTGCGGGGAAATGTTCAATATAAGTGTTTCCCTTATGGCATGAATTTTGACAGTGAAAAGCAGCTTTTCAGCCCACCTGTGCGTAGATGAGATATAAGCCACCCTCTTTCACTGTTACAACTCCATTTTGCATGCTGAAGAAATTCTCCATTCCCATATTGCTCGCCCATGTCGACGGGGTCCAATATTTGTACACTTGGCCATAGTGACTCAGCCTCGCATTGACTATATGGAGAATTGTGTTGGGAGAAAAGCTCAAGTTATCGGAATAAAATGCCAAAAATAAGTATGCAACAAACCTCGGCTGTGTTGAGCACTTTCCAGGAAATACTTATTCTCATCTCCAACATAATGAATGGCAATTGTGCGAGATTTATTGGCATGGTGATTCTTCTCTGTGTGTGTGTGAAGAAAAGAATTGTCAATCTATATAGGAATTTGTACATTTTTCTGTCAATCTTACTCTTACGCTCTGCACTATCTCCGGGGGCGAAATTGCGAATATTCATGTCACGTCGATTGACAAACTGCGTCGCTGCAGCCACATGTTCCTGATGGATAAAAGCAAAAACACAGATAAATTCCTTTCTTTCTGCCAAGAAATACATCTTCCATTCCAATATTCCCAATTGCTAAACGAATTAACCATAGATAAGAGGATGAATAATCTGCACCCGGTGAGAGACAATCAATTATCCCGAAAGTATGCGCGATGAAAGTCATTGGTAAGAAATTACTTCCATTCCTTGCGCGCTAAAGTGTCCAATTGAGGTGAATTTTTCTATAAAATAAAGTACCATTAATCAAAATGATTTACTTGAGCGGAAACGGTTGAACCTTCTGCAGATATCCCATTTCACCTCACACCGTTTCTGCAACTTTCCCCGTAAATCCTTCTCACGAAGCGCCAAAATTGCATAAATCTCGCATTATTCCACATTATTGCCCTGTTGTTCGCTGTGACGTGGAGCATGTATGAAATTTGGATGGATTCCCACTTTATCCGTCATAAATTATTGTAGAGGAATTTCTATCTTCTTACATCGTCTCACTGTCCAGAATTTTCGCTTGTCGCTGTCTTGACCAAAATCACAATTAGTCCCAGGCACACAAGTTGCCACGCGGTGATTCTCTTTCTTCCTCCTTTTGTGCGCGACCACATTGTCCCATTATGAGGCTTTGTCCACCTTTTATCTTCATTAGTGACCAAGGGACATTATGTGATTGCTACGTGCATAAATTGACTCACTTTCCGCCCAAATTCCACACAGATTGCGTGATTCTTCCGCTCCACGACCGATTTATTGATGTCTCTTTTATGGTTTATCAAACAGCATGAGTTGGAAAACACGTAGTTTCATTGTCCAAGGAGACGAACATTAAAGGATCAATTCAATATTTTTAGCAGACCATCCTCCAAACCTCAGGGTGTTATCGGAATATATTTCCCCAAATGTAGAATGAACACCCCTGTCAATAGACAGGCATAAATAACCGAGTGCGGGTGAGCGTTTACCTGTAGATTTGGCTGCATGTTGGGATGGTGGTTTCGATGGCGAATGTGGAGAGCATTGTGCGGCTTTCCGTCCGACTCCCTGATTGTGAGGGTGACATCCTTGTCCACGAATTGTGTTGGGGCAGCATTGAACGATTGATACCTCCTCGGGGGCCTACGGTGGACCGCATTCTGAGGTCTCCTCTCACTGCCAATCCTGCAATGGAAAGCCCATCATTTGCATGGATAGAAAAGGCGCCCACGAGTCTCCACCCAATCTCACCAGGGCTTCTGACCCCAATCGTACTTGAGTTTGGGGCTCGCATTTCGATTGAGAAGGACATTCACGACCATGTCATCGGCCGGAGTGTTGGTCTTGTTACGTCGCACTGCGTATGACTCCTCGACTACGGGGACACCCTCGTGGGGAGGAATCGCGCGTGGCTTTCGACTGGTGTCAGCACAAAAGAGTCGGAAAATTATTCATAAATATCAGTGAATTTAGTAACAATACAGTAAATCTATTATTACAAAGTCGCTTGTCACACATGATGTTACAGTAAATTTAAGAACATGCGCTATTAATTCAGATTAATAACCTTTCATACTTATAGAACTCAATTCGTTTGCTGTCTTAGCAAAACGTCTTATATAAATTTTATCTATACTTCTTGTGTAATGCTAAAAATGAGAAAGAGAGCAGCGTGTCTGATAAATCTTGTTCTATATTCATATCAATAACATTGCGAGATTAATAGCATCACTAATTAAATAAAAGTCATTTTTATCAACAGAAAAAAGTGGCACAATAAATTCAGCAACCACTGAAAGACTCTATAGATGATAAGCGGCAGAGGCTGATTCACTCATGACACAGTGCTAAGAAAAGGCGGAGCATTAAATGCCCAACATTGAGCAATTGTATGAGCGTAAGATCGTGAATTTGGAAACAGTAATCAAAATGTAATTTTCGCAATTCAGATAAGACAATAAAGAAGCCAAAGAAAGAGAAAAATGTGTGCTGATGAGAAAACTTTTGCAAGACTTTCAGTGCAACTTCTTACCTCTTTTTTATTTCATCGTAGATGCTGTCGTACTCCTCATCGTCTGGGAACATCTTGAAGATTCCACTTCCCTCCTTCCTGTCCTCTGTGTCGTCCTCATCCTCATCCTCCTCGTCCTCCTCCATTGTCAGGTCATCGAATCCATAGTCACCATCGTCGAAATCATCCACGGAGTTGTCAAAGTCCTCCAGGAATGCGTCTGGGTGGTGGTGCGGATTTTCGTGCTACAATTGGAAGTGGACAGAAGAAAAAAAAGCGGAGACTATCAGAAACGAAAAGCTGCCAGGATGTAATCCAACACATCTTCTGAGATGGGTGAAATCTGCTCTCGAGTGACTTTTGGCGCCAACAAGTGTGTTTTCTGCACACTTCACTTTCATCCCATTAATCTTCCCATAGACTTTTTGACCAGCCATAAATCTCTCTGTTGACTCCACCAAATGTGGGCCGAGATCAATCCCTCCCAACACTTGATCTCCGCTATTTCCTGAGCTTTTCCCTCTTTTTGCCACACTGCGACTCCAACACATCTCGCCCTTTTGCAACTGGCTTCCCGGAAATCTGTGTTTTCATTTAAAGAATTCAATTCAATTTATGACTGTTGCGAAATGGCCAGCGCCATAAGAAAAATGAATCAGCCAAGAATTTAATAACGACATCTTTTCAATAAATATACGTCTTATCTCATTGAAATTATCACTCAATTCTCTCGGTCCAATTTCAAGACTCTCTCTCTCTTTGGTTTTTAAAAATAAAACAGAACAGACTATTTTTACAGCATCGACTCAGAATGAATAGAAGCCTCAAAGCAATGTTTTGCTCTACAAGTAATTTACATTAGACATTTATTACCACTTTATTTAAACTTTATATGTTGTCCAACACTTTAATAAACAAAACTTCAACTATATCGTCATTCCTCAAATTAATAATCATGCTTCAGCCATTGATAAGTGGGTGAATAAATTGAATATAAACACTTTAAGTTTGCACATTTTGTACTATTCAAATAGATTCTGATAAAAGTGTGCGTTCTGAGCTACCGAAATATATATTTAAACTTTTCAGAGAAACTTCAAATGTATCTCAATTCAACATGAAAGAGGAAAAACATTCAAACACAATATTATTTACAGTAAACAGAAAACTGTGAGTGTTTTGCTGTCATACATTTTGGTGTTATTTTTAACTGAACACTTGTGATGCATTGCAATTGATTTCCCGTTTTATGTTAATTAGTTTATTGAACCACCATCTCATGGAAGCCATTTCCCGAAGAGAAAAAGACCATTTCCACAAATGCTGCTGGTTTTATGGAATTATCTGTCAATAAAAGAGCAATAAACGCAATAATTGAATATCTGCTGTCGAGGAAATTCGCTCATAAATCCTCGAAATTTCCAATATTATTCACGACCAGAGAAAAATAACTATAGTAATGTATGGAACTACTTTACACAACCCTTTATATGAATTTGCGAGATGGAATTGGTCAATTGCACATGAATATTCACTCAAAACACATAATTAATTACATTTTGGCACAATTCCAACTGATGATGGAGAATTAGTGCACATTTCAACCATGAATAGATGATTTATTTTTCCAAATTTTCGGGGAATGCGCCACAGACTTTTCTACTCCTTGACTCTCAGTTCATCACAAAAAGACGGAAATTATCGAGAAATATGCGAAGGTCAAAATTTTTCTACACTTGCGACTTGGAATTCCTTTCTTGACTCACATTAAGAATTTATTGAGGAAGCAAGAAAAGAAGGAGAGAGAAAATGAATTCGTTGGAAAGAGATATGAAAGCAAATTGAAATTAATATGAATTTAATACAAAGATTTGTCTTTGTTTTTTCACATGCCATCATCATTTGATTCTTAATGAGTTACACATATCCAGTTCTTATGCTGATCCAATTTTAATTGATGAGTTCAAAGTCACATTTGCCATTTTGCAAAAACACACAACAACTCCATTCATTCACACAAATTATTGCTCCATAACTCAAGTTCAAATTAGATGTTTCTCGCGCGCATTCAGATAAAAACCTCCTCGTTTTAGTCAAACTGCAGATTGTTCACACTTTTGGAATTTATGATTTCAGACGTGTTAAAAATTCCACTTCCAAAATAAATGTCTTATCTGAATAATTTACCTTGAAGACAAGATAAACGGTTCTTCACATGCAGTATTATGCAAAAAGTTCTCATTCTCTGCTATTTCTATCAATTATCTCATTTATTATTTATTCTGCGACGGATTTAGATCTGAATGACAATGAAACTTATTTTTCGCATGCATTCAAAATTGTAAGGAAATTGAGGAAATTTTGACAAAGTCTCTGCAAAATATCCTTTCGAAATAGCGTCTCTGCTGGTCATGTTCAATTAACCCAGCGACGAAATTAATTATTGCTCTATTAACTGTGTCCAAACGCTCCAAATGATAATGAACGCGATGATCTGGAGAAGCGTGGAAAATTGAGAGCAAGTTCAAGGTGAAATGTGATGCTCGAAAACAGTCCATATGGACTGAAAGTTAGTTTTGACTTATGCAAAAGCATGTAAATTTCCACAGACAGAGTCAAAATAAAACATCAAAATCACTCATTTTCACGCCAAAGTCTGCCCGAGGAGACACAAATAGGCGATACTATTATGAGAAGTGGGGTTTGAGTGCTTTCTGAGTGTTCCATCATGTGAGTGACAAATTAAAGAATATTTTATTTAGCAGTCCATAAATTTCATAATTTTATATCCTCTTTGAGGCCACTTTTTTCCCCTCTTCACTCTCTCCCAACATCCTCAACTATAATCACATCAATCGACTTCACAAAGTTTCAGCAAAGTGTGACTTTTTATTTGACATTTTCTTGGCTTGAAAACAATAATAAAAAATATATTATTAGTTTGTTTATTTGTAGTGATGCGGAGGAGGATGAAGATGTTAAAATGGGACTTTTGACTTCTCTCACACTTGAGACGAAAAATTGCATATAAATTGATGCTTCCTCGTCTCCTTCGTCTTTACTCAATAAAAGTGCCATTTGGGAGTCTCTTTATATCCCCTCAAATTGCTGACGTATTGTCTCTCAATTAGCCCTTGTTGAGTGCATCACATGCACATAAACCATTTCGTAATGTCTTTATGTTGTCGAACCGCATTTCCACCGTGTACTCTCTTCTTTCTCCTCCATATCACACCGGATGTTCACCATAGAACGCGTATTAGCAACTGAAATAAATATGATATGAGTCTCCGAAAAAATTCCCCCTCTAATGAGACTCCATTTCGATGACGGACGAGAATGCACGCAATTTTTTCTCTTTTTTTGTAAAGAGAACAAAAAGACCTGAACATTTGGTATAAACATTGGCTCTTGGCCAAATGAAACCAAACATCAATTTAAGGATTTCCTCGCCACGCGCTCGAGATTGGCAAATTACTGGGAAGAGAGAAGAGATCAAGAGTTTATTGATTCAGCTCCACACTTTGCATGTTATTTGCGCCACACAATAAGACAACCATATAAAGCAATTCTGAGACGAATGTCTGTCTATATAAATATCGTATTTAGAAATGACCTTTTGTGGGTGTTGATTTTTAATACCAAATGACTTGTTTATGCTTAATAATTGTCTATGTTTTCCATCCAATCATCGAAGCATCTCAAAGGGAGGTATTATAGCTTCTGTAAACAGAAAAAAAATTATCAAAAGGAGCAGAAAAGCCCCGACGAATGGGAGGAAAACATAAATTTCCACGTATAAATTGCTTCAAGGTATTCTGTGTGGAGCATCATCTGAAGAAGGTTTGCGTGTAAAAAAGAAATTGTATAAGAATATCCCATCTTTTAGGAACATTATATATGACGACGAAGCCAATGGTGAGGAGATAAAATTAGAAAATTATACTCACCGCCACTTCAAAGTCATGCAAATCATCCAACAAATCCAGACCCATTCGTTTTCTCAAGTCCTCCAATTTGTCGCGCAGCTGATGGACTTCATCTCTCAACTCGCCCATTCGCAACGACGACCAGATCTGCAACAGAAGTAAATTTACATGTAACTTTAAGCGCATTCCACAGCCGTGATTTATCAATGCTGCACTGAAGAGATTGCAAAAAACTTTTCCACCTCCAATTTTTTCCTCTTCCGTATCATAACACCACCTCAAACCCCAAGGAATTCTCAAATACTCTGGATTTTTCTATTCACCGGGAATCTTGTGAGCTTCTCTTCACCTTTGCCTTTCATCTGTGCGATGCAAGAATCCACAGAAAGTGAAGAAAAACTTCACCTAATGTAATAAAACTGTAAAATGGTCACAAAAGTTTAGCGGGTTAAAAGTGGAACCCAGAGTGTTGAGAACAAGTTCGAATTGAATTCTCTCATTGCGTGTCCTTTCCATTATAGCAGTTGATTGGAAAGTTTCCCACAAAAAAGGAAACTTTGGCAGATAATACTAATTAAAATTTTCTATCAATTGAACATTATATTGGCCGATTGTTGCAGTGAAAAGATTTGGTGGTGAAGAAAAGTTTTTTCCCATTCACTCAAAAGCACATAGAAGAGAGACAATTAATATAATTTCTATTATAACTTTTGAGTTTTGACTATCCCAAAAAGATGTGTAATTGTAAGGGAGGAAAAGTCTTATTAAAGATATCATTCATCGTCAAGCTTCTGGTGAAATTATGAATAAATTTAACTATCATTATACGTCTTTCTCCTCCACTGATTGTGATTCTAATTTCCTGTCAGGACAATCTTGTCCTTTGATGATTGCAATGTGGAGAACTTTCTGAAATAGAACCTTTAATTTTACCAAGAAATTATGCAAATTGTGTGGCTAAAGTTTTAATTTACACTCCTTCTCAACCAAAAAAAAAACTAATAGCGAGAATATTTAATTTCAACCGTTCATTGCATATCTTTTTATTATGCATTTAAGGAAATCCCCGGCAGATTTCCTCTCACACTCTTTCACCACGCACCACCCTCTCTATAAATATTTATTATTCCATCTTGTGGCACTCTTTGCACAAAAGGGGCTGTAAAACTATATTTCCACTATCTCGCAAATTCCCATGAAAAAGTTTACAAAAGTTTCCGAGAAGACAGAAAAAACGAATTAATTAAATTTTATAATTAGAGGATGATATGCAGCATTAAGTTAAACCCACATTTAATTGAATATTCAAATGGAACTTCATCCTTAATTGGAAGGAACTACAGTGCAAGTGTTCTGTGGTAGAACTTTCGCGGAGTGTCGCTATATGTATTTGCTTAAGTGATTTTTCCCTCGAAGAATACGACATTTTCCCTAAGAAATATCTTTTTCTGTTTCCCAATTCTTGGAAATATTTTCTACACTATCAAAATTTGTTTTGAATAGCCAGAGAAAAAGAAACAATTTGAAAAATTCCACGCAAAGTTTACGTGTTCCTAAATTTACCGTGAATCTCAATAAAACACACAAGAAAGGTGTGCTTATTTTAGCCATAAATTGCCCTCAAGTTATGTTCAGTCTCCTTAATCATTTTCCCTTGAATTTTCCACTCGTGGAAAATATGCTTCTCGCATAGTGAAAGCAAGATGTATATTCGAAAAAAAAATTACTCACCACATAAGATGAAATGCCAATGCTGAAGATGAGGACGAAGCTCGACAAGAGGATGAATTTCGTATTTTCGGCTCTCCTCCTCCCATAGATTGTCTCCGTTGGGAGGGTAATGAAGGATTTCAGGGAATCTGTCGTCATCCTCGACTGATCACAAATCACCCCCCGAGAAGAAGCGCTTTTCAACTATTATTCCCGTCAGAATTCACACAATTTTGCTCTCGAGATTTCACAAATTGCATGAAAATCCCCTCAACTTATCCATTCATGGAGATTTCCGAGTCTTCACTCTTGATATCTCTCAATTAAAATATAACTCGTGATAGATTCTCGTCTGTTGAGTGAAGAACGTTGAGAGGGAACACTTTCAAAATGGACTTTTTGGCACCAGCAAATGTTCTAGTAGAGCAACCTTTCGCGTCGAGTGTTGGCTCGAAACTGAGCCACGGAGCTCGAGAATTTCTCTTCAGGCGCAAAGTGGACAGATAGAGATACTGTGGCTGAAATTCTGCTCTACACCGAAAAAACACCATTCAACTTAGAGACGATTTCTGAATGCGCTTTCGTTCACAGCGAACACGCGCGTCACCCTGAAGGAGTTGAGAATTGTTTGCAGAGGAAATATTTAAGCAATACACGCTATGAATGTTTACTTTCATCTCCATTGCGAGGAGAAAGAAAATGCTGAGGAAATTTTCTCTACTTCTCTCTTGTTTTCCCATCTCATGAATAGCAGAGTTTTTCTTTTCTTTTCTTTTCCAGAAGAAAGAATGTTAGAATTACATTGTTTATGTTACAAATCGTATTCGACAAGTGCATATATTTATTTTTTTTAATAAATCATTTAAACGATTTGTATGCAAAATATGTTCTTTGCAGTATTTTATCTTACTCCTAAAATCGTCTCACCTTTTGCGAGAAGAACAGGAGAGTATTAAAAGAATTTATGTGATTAATTTATTGCCCGTTTCTCACCCCACAAAGACCAATAAATTTGCAATATTCTACACCCCAAAAGGACCCTTTAGGATTACCTAAGAATCCCTTTTCAACACACTCACTCTCTCCACCATTAACCCTCAGGTTTGTGTATTAATTTCACAACTTTTACATAAAGAAACATATTTATGACTCTCATTGCTGATTATTTTGAAAAGTCACGAAGCAATTAATATTTTATTTTCAACAGGATGTGCGCCTTCAGCAGTTTTTTGCTTGTGAGGTGTTCTGAAAGCGAAGGGTTAAGGCTCTCGGCCAGGGTTGTTCGTCTAGGGAATAACAAGTATTGTGAGGAATGATGAAGACATGAAAACTCACACACGGATTGTGACACGTTCGCACTAAAAACTCATATACCGCAGTGTCCTTAAGCCTCAAGTGCTTCTAGAGGGAAAATATTATGTGTTTGCTGAAAGTTCTTCGTCTTTCTCTGTGTATATTTCAAAAGGCGAAAAGTCCTCAGATCTGTATTATTAAAAGTTTACGATTATCACTCCTCACCATTTATGTATTTTCCTAATTCAGGTAGACAAAAAGAAGTTCAGTGACTGTCAAAGTCTAAGCAGAGATAAGAGAAAGACGGTCGCGAGGTTTAGTGTGCAATTTCTAAAAGGTGTTTCGCAGAATAATGATTTTTTTTTATAGACATTTTTCGCCTGATTCTAGCTCACTCACAGATCGCATTCCTGCTTGGAAATCCTCTTATCACTCTCTGTATGTGATTTTTGTTTGCAACGGCGTGAGGTGTAAAATATAGCCCAATGGAATGTTAAATAGCATAGAGATAAATGTGAAATCAGAGGTAAATATTAGCGTAGTCTTATATTCTTAATGTTTGATGGAAGCTTCTACTGAACGTCACTGAATTCCATTCTCGTTTTTATATTGTTTGTTGGCGAAAAAAAAAGAAGTTGTACAAAAAGTGAGAGCAAAACAACTTTTCACTCCTAAATTCCAGAGATAGCGCTCGCTGAAGAGATACAATCAGGAGGTGGCATTTCTCATAAATCTCCAAAAAAAAGGGGTGAAAAAATTAGTTTGGAAATTGTTCATTTGATAAATTCACCCAAAACATCCCTTTCCATCATTAACCATATATAAGAAAATATTGAGCCAGTGAAAGAACTAAAGAGACACATTGTTTTGTAAACAAATATTTGATATAAATTTAAAATTCTATTTTTGTAGAATTCCTCTGTTTTGTTTCGTATTTCATGTTTACTCTCATTCCCCTCGCCTGCACACACTTCTTCACCTCGTCAACGGGCAAAAAGTGCGAAGGCATTAGATAGAGACAACAAAAATCACTATACTAATTCGCAATTTGCTCTCTACGCCTCCAAAAAAGCTATTTTAGGTTGCATTCGAACTGAAAACATCATCACTTCACATCAATTCGCAACATCGTGAAAATATGAAATAAATTCAATGTGGCTCAGAAATGATTTCCCAAGTCATGCGGAGACTTTTCCGGTGCCTCCTAATGCGCACGAGTCCCCGATGATGTTTTGAAGAAGAAATGGCGCAATTATAATTCAATCTACATGTGCGCATTCCTTAAATACTTCCAATACACATGGTATTTCAATTAACATTGACTTTATCGTGGAGCACTTTTTGCGCGTAGTGGAGTATATGATTATTAATAGAAAATTACCAAATAGACAAGACAGCAAGGAGGAAGATCGCTGCCAAATTGCATGGAAAACACACCCAGAATTCAGTGTACGAGTCGCAATTGGAATTGCGACTCGAGGGAAAAAGGGGAAGCAGAATCAAGAGGAAGACAGCACAGATTTGGACTACTTGCCAACCCTCTGCCTTATATGCGTAATTTGCACTCAGCTGACGCTTGGCAGCGCTCGAGATTATGTTGAGAGAGATCCTGGTTTATTTTTGCACAACTCAAATATTGGCATTTGAAGCTTACATGTGCGCTGATGGAAAGTCGAAGGGGAGAAATTTGGAAATTCATTGATGAAAACGCATGAAAGAATGCTAACATTCTTGACTTTCATTGTGACCTTGTCAGTAGAGCATCTCTCGATGATGAAACCAATAGTCTTAAACTCAAAATAGAGGAGAACTTTTCAGTGGCGCAGCAAATGGTGAGTGTGGTTTTTCATAGCATAAACAAGGATTAAAATATTTTAGTGATATAAACAAATGTGGAGTTGATTGCATCAATGCGACTTCGCCATGATCTCAAGAACACCCCAAAATTCGCTCTCTTCTGCGGTGTTATCAAAACAATTCCCACACGTGTGTTACTGAAAATAATCTCTGGTCATCGGAATATTTGTCTCAATGACGGTTAAAGAAAAAAGAGTAGAGAAATGTGACGATAAATGTGCTATCGGGTCTATTTTAGAAAGTGCAACCACAAAAATAGCACTTTGTGCATAAATCGCTAATTTATCATCTCCACCCACGATCTTGGCACGACACTATGAGCAAATTTATGGACACCCAGACGTCACATGGGTCATTTAGTCGAGACGAACAGTGTTCTTTTCGCCAAATTTGTCAATCTTCCGCAACGTGTGTTTACCATAAAAAAAAATGCAGAAATGCATGCAAAAAAGCACACATTTGTGTCTAGAGGAAGAAATACCCAAAATCTGATATGTTTCTGTCTTGTTTCTTCAAATTCATTGAGAAAAAAAACCTCTAGGAGATTCAGAAAATTATAATGGTGAAAACACAGCATTTGTCATTTGTAATTTGTCCACGAACATCTCTTTCTTCCCCACGCGAATCGTGTATTTTCCTTCCTGCTCACGACATTTTTATGTCGAGTGTGTGCCTGCAGATTTTACGTTGGGCAACCCGCGCTGAATTTGAGTTTGACGTGTCTGACAATGCGATTGCTGTCAAAATGGTCAAAATAGACCAATTTCATGTGGAAAATCGAGAAAATCGTCAAGGAAATGAATTTATATTGTGGAAAAAACTCAAAAATTTAATGATTTCGTCCATAATGAGCCATCATTGTGGAGAAAATCGGATTGTGTGAAGGCGCCAAAAGTTGATCTGCAGACCAAAATTCTGAAGGGAATCTGACGGGATCGACCCGAGCGATGGTATGAGCAAAATGCTGTGTTTTTACCATAAAAATTGTGCAAATATTGTAGAAATTACATACTGAAAGCGAGAAGCGCAGCAATTTTGCAGAATCATTCGAATCCACCAAGGACTGGCATTTTCCAGAAATTTTCACTTGTGAACTGATTGTTGACATTTAAACATTGTAGAGCGAGTATTTTACTACGCGTAGAAAAGTGCCACTGCTCGAAGTGACTCTCTTTTCTGCACAGAGGCTCTGCGCTGAATCGCTTTCGTGAACTACATTCCCTCCGCAGCTGGTGAAACGTCAAAACAATCTCAGTCGCGAACGGGCGAGGGTCAAAATTACTTTAATAATAAATTTCAATTCAAAGAAATGTATTTAGTGTTGATATCGATTTACCAAGTTGCGTTTATAGTCAGTGAAGTATTCATGTAAATGACGCACAGCTGACCGTCTGTCCTGAGGTATATTTGACAAAATTTGACTTATCAGTCGGCTTTTCTGGGCGCATCAGGCGACTCCTCAACATATCCCCCAATTAAGGTAAGATGCATGGGAGAAAGTTGCGAAAATGAGAATTTGGGGGAATTAAGTGTGATTGATTTGTCTGCATTTCAGATGCCACGATGCCTCAAGTTACTTCATCGTCGTCAAAATCCCAGAAAATCCTCTCTGATCCTCGCATTAATTGCATTTCTACTCACACTGTCTGCGATAGTAACCCTCAAGCATGCATTTCGTAACAATAAGACAAAGTGTTTTATCCTTCCGGATGGCCTCAACACGGATCTCCTCCTGACAGACATCATGGAAGACAATAAGACACCAACATACAGTCAAACGATATTTTTTCACGAAACATCCTGCTCTCAGGATCAAATAATTAAGCTCAATTCGAGGTACTTTCCTTGTCTCTCTCTCTTCTCACAATCACAGGGACTCAAGTATTTTCTTCCTTTTCTTCTTGACATTCTCCAGACAAGCCTGTGCCATTGAATCCGCCGCCAAGATGAATCCGAAGTGGGACGTTTTCGTCCTATTCGCATCTCCTGTTGGATTCCTCAATAAGACATCTCTCCCGCTGATAGACGCTCTCAAATCCTACGACAACATTCACTTTCGCAACGTGAATCTCTGGAATTATGCAGTTGGAACGCCCATTGCCGATTGGATTCGCGATGGACAGATTTTCTACTCGTCATACATGAACTCTCATGTGTCCGACTTCCTCAGATATCTCAGGCAAGTTCTCAACACTTCTTACAAGACGTGCCTTTCAAATTGCGCGTTCCACCTTTTTGTTGGTGTCTGAAACCTTCATGTGAGAATAATACAATTTAGTTTTTTGGTTAATTGCACCGCAAGAACATTTACACTGATAGTTTTGATAGTTGTGTGACTCATAAACCTTGCAATGTGGTTTTTCGTATCACTATTTGATTGGCAACTCTCGAGTTGAATTGATTTATCACACATCTTATGGGTGTGTTAAGATTAAGAGAATAAGTTAAAAAGCACGGTTTGTGCTTTTGTGTGTGAAAAGAGAGAAAAAGGTAGTCGAATGTTACTTCAAATCGTATTTTTCTTCATTTAGCACGATAGGCTTTTTGAGTTTTTCTATCTTTTTCAAGAGTTTTTTTTTGCTTTTGCTTTTTGCGACTCATTGTTTTACATTTAGTGTTGGTTTTCTCATTGTTTTTCTTTATATGTAAAGTGAAGTACTCTCTTTTTGCTGTGTGTGCCATTGCGAGGTGGCAAATCAACAAATTTTTGACTCTTTCATTATTTCCCAGAAGTATTACGGGCCTTCGGGGTCCCGTTTCTACGATGAAGTATCAGACCACCTGAAGAATGCACTAATTGAATTTCCTTGACATATTTTTTCGCTGAAAAACTCTTAGACAGAATTTTACATCCCTCTTGGCCATACAATAGCACTCAAATGTTCACCTGAAGCTCATCAACGCCAAAGACAACATAATGTTCAGGGTCGCATTCATGAGCCTTCGCGCGTGACGAACTTCTGCACGCGCTCTCATATTGCTCATTCGCTTTATTCCCAGTTTGACCCAGGTGTTCTCTTAAGTCGACAGCGCGCTTGAAAGGGTTTCGCGTGCATTTGACGCGAATGCACTTGAATTCAGCAAAATCCATAAAATTCTTCTGCTCCCATTCATATACATTTAAGTGTGGTAATTAGTTTCTGTTTCACAAATAATATTCATTATGATTTCTGTATTGTGCGCATTTGCAAAAGAGTCATTATTTCTTAATTGTGTGATAAAATTCGGGCCCAAATCGTTAGGAAAATGAACTGCGCTGTAAATTATCACATGACTTTTAACCCCGCTTTTACCCCCTAAACCATAAAGCATGTCTTTCTTGATTTCACATAGAATTGAGGGGCTTCTTTTCCAAGAATGCTATTTATAGATTTCGCGATCTTTCTATGGGTATAAATTGAATTCCACGGAAAAATGCCAGACAATCCAATCTTCTAGTTTGGAATGTAAATTCTAAATTTGGCGATTTGCCAGAATTTCTCAGTCAAATTTCTTTCAAATATTTTGAAAAACCTCAATACTAATTATTAGTGATCAAATCAATCACACAGCCTGTACAAATGGGGTGGAACATACCTGGATTTGGATGTAATCGTCAAGGTGAACTTCGACACAGTTCCTTCCAACTATGCTGGCGCTGAATCGGAGGATTTCGTCGCTGCCGGCATCATAAATCTCGACTACGATGGATTTGGCCATGAAATCGCTGAAATGTGCCTCAGGTGAGATTGATTCGCGGGCGAAATGGATTCAAAGCTGACTTCTCTGTCTCTTCTCCCAGTGATTTTCAGCTGAACTTCAACGGCGATGATTGGGGCAATAATGGTCCAGGTGTAATTACGCGTGTCCTCCGCAAAGTTTGCCAGACCGATCGACCACTGTTCATGACTCGCGACAGATGCCGAGGCTTCAAGGTGTTCCCCATCAATGCCTTCTATGCGATCGGCTGGAAGGATTGGCGTCACTTTTTCAGCGAAAAGAAGACCAAAGAAGTTCTCGAGTTAGTCAACAACAAGTCAATTGTTGTGCACTTCTGGAACAAACACTCATCCAAGGAGCGCATTCGCGTCGGCAGCACCTCGGCGTACGGCCAGCTGGCCGACGAGTACTGTCCCAGAGTCTACAGGTCGAGCGGTGACTTCTTCTAAGGGATATAGAGAACAAGAGAATTTAAAGAGCGACTCACAAATTCCAACGTCTCAAGGAGTAGAAATCACAATATGATCAAAATATAATGTACAAATAGAAGCCTCATGAGAACTGTATTCATCACTCTTCTCAGAATCTCATTTTTATTATTATTTAAATGTATGCTTTTGATTTTTCAAGAATGTATTTTTGTGTCATAAAATATGCTGTTATTTCTGATGGCATGCATCAAATTGAAGAATAAGAAAAACATGTATGAATTTCATATCAAAGAATTGGCCTTCGTTTTATTTGCTCTCTAATGCTCAACATCTTCTTGCATAGAGTTAAATGGGTTGTAGTGATTCTGCAGGTAGTCCGCGAGGGACGGCAGCATAACATTCACATTGTTGGCATTGAAGATCTGCTGTTCTTCGCTCATTTCACCGCCGAAGGAGTTCACGAAGGAGCTGATATTGCTGTTCTGACGCTGCTCATCGCGCAGAAATGTGTTGGAAATGTCTGTGAGTGTGTGATTCTGACTGTTGAAGTCGTACTGATCCATCTTCTGCCACTGCAAGATCTCCGACTCGGAGCAACTCTGTCCATTTCCGTAAAATTGCTGTTGCTGCGGCGCCGACTCGAAGAAGTCGTAACTGGGATCGAATGTGGCGTTGTTCTCCATCAGCTCGAGATTCGTGAGAATGCTGCCGATGTTGTACGTCGCCTGGGAGTGCTGTGGCATCGTCTGCTGGTTAATTGTGCTCTGACAGTCAAATTGATTGTTCCACACATCGTAAGGATACTGCGGAAGAAAGGAAGTGTCGCCCAGAAGCTGTGAATCCACATTTGCCGGTGGAATCTCGATGATTCCCTGCGGATTCAGTGTGTAGTTCGTCTGAGAGGGAATGTAGGCGTCCTGCGGGAGACTGTAGTTCTCCTGATAGCCATAGTTTGCCTGCGTCTCGTAAGGCTGCATCGGTTGCATCATCTCTGTGGGCAGAGGGAAGTCGTCCTGATAGCATTGCGACGGCGTCGGCTCAGCCGTTGCCATTGGCATCACTTCAGTGGGTATTTGATCGGAGATCATCTGAAGGATTGTGGATTCTGTCGCTGCTGGAAGTTCCTTTGCTGGCTCCAAAGCGATTTCCTTCATAACTTCCTTCCTCTTCTGCACTTCCTGCACCTTCTCCGGAATCTTCTTCCCATTCTCACTCACTGTGAGCTCTCTGTGAACAGTTTTTCTGTGTCTGTCGCAGTGATGGCGAATCTTGAAGGTCTGCGGACAGAGATCACAGGCATAAGGACGCTCCGAAGAGTGTGTTTTACTGTGACGCTTGAGAAATCTCTCAACTCCAAACACCTTTCCGCACACTTCACAGGAAAATCCCATCTTATCATGCGCAAGCTTCGTGTGATCCTTCAGAGCGGATTTCGTGCTGTATTTCGCGCCACAAGTCTCGCAGACATGCTTCTTCTCCTGCACAGTGTGGATTTTCTTGTGTCGCAAGTAATTCGAGCGCAGCTTGAACACCATTGAACACACTTCGCACTGAAATGTGCGATTGGAGTGGTGACAAGCCTTGTGAATGTTCAGGAGGCTCGGATTAGGAAATTGTGCTCCGCAGAAGGAACAAATCACCCCATCCGGAAGGACAATAGCATAGCGATTCTTCTTCGGCTTCTTCTCACGGATTTTTGGCACTTTCGGCACTTCAATTTTCACGGGTTTCCTCTTGTGCGCCTCCAGGTGAGCCTGAAATTGCTGATTGCGCGACATCGACTCTCCGCAGATGTCGCACACGAACGGAAACTCCTCCAAATGTTTTGTGCGATTGTGATAAATCTTGGCAGTCGCTTCAACGCCAAGTTCCTCACCACAATCCGCACAGAAGCCTCGATGCTTAGCTGCATAGTGATCCACTATGTTCTGTCGCTTCTTGTACACCTTCGGACACTGGAAGCAACTGAAGATCTCTCTCTTTGGGACTTTGAGCTTCTTGATCTTCACTCGAGCTCGTCGTTTCTCCGTTTTCCTCTCACACACTTCCGAATCAGATGGAAAAGTTCTGGATTCGATCTCATCGTCAAAGTCTTGAGCATCAGAATCTTCGTCACATTCTCTACTCTCGAATACAGCCTCTGGAAGGGATTTGCTAGCAATGCTTCGGATGATTGCGCCATGAAGACAAGACCAACTGTTGCCAAGATATCGTCTCAAGTATTCAGAGCTTTGCCGGATTATGTGGGAATTCCTGCGGGCAATGCTGAAGGATATTATCCGAGAGATCTTCAGAGGATTGTTGAGCCTGCCGAGTCTCCTATCACTGCAGTATTTCCTCCCAATTCTGCCTCCGAAGCATCCTGACGCTATTCTTCCCCAGACTTCAAGGCTGTGCTTCGCACTAAAGTTCTCAATCTGTGATATTCGGTACAGAATGAAGTGAATAGCATCCTTCCGGTCAGAATCATCAAGTTTCTTCACATAGTCAACGAGTTTAAGCACCTGAAAGACAGAATTTTACAAGAAATTCTACTGGTTGACATTTCGTCGATCATTCTTACCTGCAATTTTATCTTGATTAGAAGAATTTGGTTGTTATTGTTAATTGAGGACATCGTGGAACTTTTTAATCACAGAAATAACACATTACAAAGCTGCGAATACGCAAGAAATTAAGAAATTACTTGAAATTCAACATTTTTTCGTCAAAACTCGATATGATTTGTTTACATTTCTGAATTGTGAGCCAGAAATACGTTTCGCGGCGACAAATTTGGGATTTTAGTACTAAAGCCGGTTCATTTTGAGATTTTATCGATTTTATGATGTCTCATGTGTTCCTGATTTCTATACACTTCCAATTCCTAAACTTTATACAATACAATGATATAAGTTTTCTAAATTTTCAGAAGAAATTTTGGAATTTATTTACCAAGCACTGCAAATCTGTTAGATTTGAATTGTTGCGTGCGCGCGTCCAGCCGGGTTTCATCGACCGGAAAATTTTAGTACAGTTGGCAACATAACCACACATTTTCAATTTTGTTTAGTGAAGGTGACGAAGTGTTTTTATTAGCTCTTCTCCCAATTTCCGCGACATTTATCTACTTTCCCGAGCAATTTCACTCCCCAGTGTAACACAAAATGGTAAGCTGCGTGGATAGAGTGGGAAATGGTTGGAATTTCGTGTGAAAACCGGCGATTTTGCCGTGGTGTCGCGAAGAGGTTATGCCCGTGTATTTATATGCACTGTCATTGGCTTCCAGGCACGGCGTTATGACTCCCGGACGACAATATTCTCCCCGGAGGGGCGCCTGTACCAGGTGGAGTACGCCATGGAGGCCATCTCCCACGCCGGCACGTGTCTGGGCATCCTGGCCAAGGACGGCATCTTGCTAGCGGCTGAGCGACGCAACACCAACAAACTCCTGGACGGAGCGATCTTCTCCGAGAAGATCTACAAGCTGAACGACGATATGGTGTGCTCCGTGGCCGGAATCACGTCGGACGCCAACGTGCTCACGAATGAGCTGCGCGTGATTGCCCAGCGGTATCAGATCAACTACGGCGAGGCGATGCCCTGCGAGCAGCTCGTGTCGTACTTGTGCGACATCAAGCAGGCGTACACGCAGTACGGCGGCAAGAGGCCCTTCGGCGTGTCCATCCTGTACATGGGCTGGGACAAGCACTACGGCTACCAGCTCTACCAGTCAGATCCCAGCGGCAACTACAGCGGCTGGCGGGCGACTTGCATCGGCAACAACTCCGGCGCGGCCGTGTCGGCGCTGAAGCAGGAGCTGAAGGAGAACGAGATCACGCTGGGCGAGGCGCAGGATTTGGCCGTGAAGGTGCTGAGCAAGAGTCTCGACATGACAAAGCTCACGTCTGAGAAGGTGGAAATGGCCACGCTGACCAGGGAGAACGGGAAGACGGTCATAAAGATCCTCTCGAATGCCGATGTGGACGCCCTGATCGCCAAGTATGAGAAGATTGAGGCGGAACTGGAGGCCGCCAAGAAGGAGAAGTTGGCGCAGAAGTAATGGATTTGTTCACAATTTATCTTTTTTGTCAGGAGAGATCTTCAATAATAAAAACTTTGCTATTCTATAATTAAGAATGCCCGCTTCTTCGGCTGATGGATCAATTAGAGTGTCCGGAAAGAAAAACAGGCATTAGAGGCGCAGCAAAAGAGGAAAGGGAGAAAATATGCAAATGCCGCAATGAGTTAAAATATATTCGCAAATGACACATTGTTGGGAATATAGTACCATGGTCAAGGCATGGGGCAGACAATAAAAATTGGGGAAACGCGCAGATTTCAATTAAAAATTCAATTTTTCACAGGGCGTGAAGAGAACAATGACTATAGACAATTCTCAAAGTATCAGAGCTTTGCTCGTTTTCCCATTTGGCTGGCTAATATATGGACACAGGCAGGGATTTTTTTTGGCGCGGAAGTCGCCACGAGTTTCACCAGTCAGAATTTGCGAAAAATGATGGGCTTTGTTGCCTTCGCAGGTCCGGCCAAGTAGACAAACCACTCTGAGAAGATGTTGACGTCGAGCAATTAATTAAGAGCACCACATCGCGAAATAACCACTGAGAATGAACGGGGAATGAACGCTACAATGTGGGAGACAAAACGTAGTAAAAATCATGGAAATGAGCGGTGATTAGCAGGTGAATTGATATTGTGGGAAGTTGAGTGAACTGATAAGGCAACAAACTCACAATCTGTGCAGTATAATTGCCATTTCAGTTCAGCGCGGTGACATTTTGATGCTTTTTATGGATATTGTGTGACCAATTCAGGGCAAAATTGATGCAATTTCTATTCAATTGTCCACAAATGTGACCACAGATGAGAGTAAAAGTTGCAATTCTGCGTTTGTAGTGCATTATATTTGAGTGAAAATGATTCCCACCGAAATGATCGTGAGATGTGTGTATGGCTTTGGTTATGGACCAGAGATCATTTGATGATCGTGTTTGTGTGAAAAAAGGCCACTTTATGGGCGGCAATTGTTCCTGCTCGCCTAATGCTCACTGAAAACGCACAAACTAACGCACAACTGATGTTATACTCACCCAGAGAGTGGGAGGGAGACGGAAAACTGAGCCAATTATGAATTGGTGACACGCTCTGATGCACGAAAATGTCTCTTTGCACATTTTGCTGGGTGACCCGCTGAAAATTCAGACATGGAAGTTGATGAATTTCCTCCGTGACATCCAAATGCAGCGCGCACGGCTTTTCTTCCGCTGCCGATGCGACCTGAGAAACAAGATCAAGTGTGGAAATAAATTTCACACTCTCACGAAAATGCATCATGTGTTGAGATCGGAGCGATCGCGATGGAAGAAGACTTTCCAACACAGCAACAACCTGCTATTTAATCAAAATGTGTTGCGATTCCCATCACTGTGTCTTCCACTTCATTGTCTTCGGCTTATGATACACTTTTGATTCAAATTACCTGAATTGATCTCTTTGGAAAATGCCAGCATGAATACAATTTTCAAGGGGTGAAGAGCATTTGAATCTTTTCACAAATTTCTTCATGCATTTTACAATAATTAACTCTCCTCTGTTATTGACTCTGAAATGAATTAAACGCTATAGTGAAATACATTTTTCACAAAAATAAAAAATCAAAACAGCGAAATGTGAAGTTGATGAAATCCTCGCGAAGTCAATTTCGCAAAGAGATTCCCCGCAATTAAATGGCTCAAGATCACATCGGTGAGAGCAACCCCTCGATTTCTAACCGCCCAGTCACTCTCCAGGGAAGGACTCTGCGCATCACTGTTGCCACCGACAGCCAGACAATTGGCCGTGCACCACGTGGAACCTGAGTACAATCCCATTTAATGACCATTAATAGAGCTCCGCAAACCACCCACACTTTCGAAAATTACAACTCTTCGGCGTGAAATTCATTCCACTCGCCATTCTTTTCCGCCGCTCCGCAACATATTTTCAGTACACCTCGAATCGCCATCCACATCGCATCGCCCGTCCCAGGTCGGATGGCTTCACCGTGAGTTCAGTGAATTCCCTCCCGAGTGCGAGAGACTTGGAAGCTGTGTGCGCGCGCGTGCGGAAGTTGCCAAAAAAGAGGGTGCAATCGAGTCTAAATTCTCTTGCGGAGCAATTTCTTCACCCTCTCTAGCTGGAAATTCAATTTCAACACACTCTCCGTGGCTCATCTTGTGCTATTGTGTTCCATCATCCGTTCCTTTTATATGCCCGAAAAATACACCCATTCAATCCACTTTCAGTGAGATTTCAATTGGAAATTCTTGCGACTTGCAATTTCTTGGGCATGCGGTGGAATTCTGTGTTAAATAATTGTGTTGACCTCCAAAAGGCAATTTATCGGTCTCACCAGCGCAAGTTTCAGTGCAACAACATGCAGATTCCATCGGCCTCTTCATCTGCACCAGCACTGGCTTCACACTGAAGTGGAAGATTGGCAAAGTAACGGTGGCTCTCTACAGTGGTTGGCTTTTCTTCGGCAAAGAACAACATCCACGGACTGCTCTTTAAATTTCACAGTCTTCCTTTGCCTCACGCGAAGAATGGACGCCAATTGTTCCATCTCTCAGCCGAAAATCAACCTCGCGGAGTCCCTGTGATTTATTTCTTCTCTCTTACATATGTACAAGGAAAAATCCAGTGAAAACACCTTGAATTGTGTGTGCGCTTTGCCCAAGGAAGACCCACAAAAGCTCTTATAGTACACAAAAAGAACACAAAGAATTCATATGTTGAATTCATTCATGGCAAAAACGTCGCTCTTCACACTTGTTTGCATTAGAATCAACATGTAAAGCATAAACAGAGAGTGAATTAATTGGTTATTTGTGGAAATTTATCGCATATGGCAGTGAAGGGCAAAGGAAGAAATATGCTTCTTCTTCTATTCATTGCGCTGTATCTCGTTGATCTTATTCATGGAAATCACTTTCAAGTCACACGGAATTGCAGTGTTAATTATAGAGGACAAAAGGTAAGATTTTATGCGTTTTTCCCTCTATTTTTTCAAGACTGCGAGAGAGAAATTGCACTGGAAAGCATCCATAAAGAGTGCATATTTATGCTTGGCAAGTGTTCATTAGATTATTAGATTGCATGGGGAAAAGTGGGTGCCAGAAAAACCCCCTCTTTCCCCTATATTTTAATATGGATTTCCTGTTCTGCTCCATCATTGAAATCTCCCGCTAAGAACTCACGAAATAGTGAAATAACCACGAATATGCATTTGAAGATTGCTAAAATATTATTCTACGACATGCAAGAAATTTCATCAGATAATATTTCATCCACTTTATTTCAATTCCAAGTCTCTTCTTGCCTTTTATATAACTTCTTATCTGCATTTATTACACACAGAAGCGCGCGCAACTTAATTAAGTGGATATTGCAGAATACTTCTTCTGCTCTTATTTTCTCTCAGTTTGTGCATGCAGAAAAAAAGAGACGAGTTACGAGGAAGTGTCTTAAATCGTGGAAAACAATTGAAGTGATATATACGAATAATCCCAAGAGAAGCAAATAACAAAGTATTTAAATTTCGAAGGGAGTAAAAGTGAAACATTTTCCCATAAATAATTAAATTTTTCATACCATCGCCAAAATGATGACTCCATATCTGATTTCGTGTATTGTTTTAATGCTTTAATGCCCCTTTTTCATCACTGCCAACAAAAATTTAGCACCATTAATCAGGAAATTAGCAATATGAAGCATCGCCAAGACGTCTCTGCATTTTTTTTTCTTCTTTGCGCTCTAAAAAATACACACCAACTCGCGGAGAAATTGCTTTAGTTTGTACCATCTTTTAAGTCATCTCTTTTTTTTTCTTCACATTATTCATTATATTGGAATATTGTTGATGCTCTCGCGAACAAGAATGAAAACACATCCTCAGAGTGCGGAATGACGCATGAATGAAAAGGTCAAATTTGAATGATATGCAGAGGAGATAAAAATTTCAATTTCAATTGAAGAAACGGTAAAAGAAAACTCAAGGTACTTCACCTCCCCTTCTTCTTTTGCCCATATGTTTTGCTTTTCATTCTCCTCCTCCGTTACACATCACGAGAGTCACCATCAATTTCTCGTGTATTATTGAAATTGAAATTAAATGTGTTTCTGGCTGTGCTTCAACACGGAAAGAACAACACACACAATTTTCTAAGGCTCTTTTGTTCTGTATCTGGTGCGTGAGGTGTAACAAGAAAAAGCACGATGTAACAAATGGAGGAAATATGCTAAAAGTTGTAGTCAAATGAACACACCAACGATGTCTGGGAATTGTGGATTAATCTCAGCATAAATGCGCGTGTGAAAATCAATTCGGTATTGATTGTTAAGTGCGATGGAGAGAAAAAAGCTCTTTCAAATCCTTCAAGTCTGACCTCATCGTGACGATACAATTCGGACCTCCCACTATTGTGCGTTCTTCAGCACGACAATTTTGTAATTAATCAGTTTCACTATTTAACATTAATTGTTCAGCGGACATTTCTTAATGGCCAAAAAGGAATTGTCGCCACATCGTTGGTTTCATCAGCAACAATTACATCTGGCTCTTGATGCTATTCATATTTGATAACACGCAGATATCTGATAATCAGCGATAAATCTGACGAAGACAATCATTAACCATTTTAATGCTTTGTTCCATTTTCTTGCAGGTCAACGAGGAGAACATCTATGAATTTCTAGACACTCACGAACGATTCCTGTTATTTGGACACAGTGATAAACAACGTGGTGAGCCAATCTACTTTTCTCCGCCATTCGCAATCGATCGCCACCGTGAAATCCTCATAAATTGCCACTTGACCATTTTTGTGCAACACGCACCAGAATTGATTGACCCCCATTCTCTCTCTGGAGTGGTTGAAATCTCTTTGCTCATCAGCATACAATGAAGATCAAAAAGAGGTTCCACATTCCAGTGGCTTTTGGGGTCCATTGAGAGATCATTGGTTTTCCTCAACAAATCAATCAGCATTTTGTGGGCATGAAAAGGAAAAGAAGAAGAAGTGAGACGCCATGCGTGGAAATGAAGAAAGTTGCATAAAAGTGCTTCTTTCCACCTGACTTATTCTACCTTGAACTTGTTTCGCTGCGCAGTTCTTCGCATATAGCGGGCTTTCAATGCAAGGCAGCTAATAAATTCTGACCGCAGATTCTCACGTCCTCTGGCTTCATTAGCAAGTCAGAAAGTGCACAGGAAACAACTGTTGGTCTCCAGAGTCACAACCTCAAGTCGAGGGTCTCTCTTGACAGTGCAACAAAAGCCACCCAAAAGAGAGGCGCAAACATATGAAGAAAAGACCAACAAAAGCTCTCAAAATCACTCCCTTTGTTCGCGACACTGTCTTTCCAAACATGCACATTTTAAATGTTTCCGCTTCACTCTCATATATCTTTGTCGCCGGAAGTACACAATTTTCAGGGCAGTTAAGTGATCTCCCCGTGAATAATTTCCAGAAATTCCTCCGCAGCTGTCGCGATGGGTTCAAGAACCAACTGCGGTCAATTGAAAATCTGCGCCCAGAAGATTCATTGATCTCCAACAGTCGCCGTCACAGCTTCATTGCACAGTCCACAGACCTCTTTTTCCCTCTGACCATCGAGTGAACACAAAAAGCGTCACCAGAATGCTTCACAACGCGTGGCAAATGTGTCATTTTTTCTCGCGCATCAATAGTACGAGTCAAATTATCCACTCTCGAGGCTATTGACTCTCTCTCTCTCTATCGTGAGCACTGATTTTCCCGTCTGAATAGCAGCGGGATTTTTCCCAGAGCTCACCTGTTACAGTTCCTATGGAAATTCATTGACAGTCAGGCGATCGCTATCTTATACCGGCTCATGAATCCATATTTCGGAGCGAAAGTTTCTCTGCTTTTCCATTTCTTCCGTTATTATTATTATTGTATTTTTACAGCTGAATTTAACTACACTTTTTCAGCTAAACTTATCAATTACGCAATGAGATATAAAACACAAGTAATTTCAATAGAGTTTATGAACCAAACTTTCTTACATAAAGAAATAAATTGATAACTTGACCATTCACGATTTCCTTTCAATGTGTCTCATTCTGATCACACTCTTCAGGATGCTTCTTTTGAATATGTTTCTCAACATTACATTTCTTCTTAAAAATCCACCCACAAATATAGCAATCCAATCGTTCTTTATGAATTTTAGCATGTTCCATTAAGTCTTCAATTAGTAAATAACCATTTCCGCAAATAGTGCATTTGAACGGTGGTCCTTTATTAATGTAACCAGGCAGTCCAGGATGTTGCTTTCGTACGTGTCTCAGCATGAAGCAACTCCTCTTGAAGGTCACTGAGCAATAGGGACAGTCCCAACGACCTTTATCGTTCGTATTCTTATTTTTTCGTGGTTTAGGATCTTTCGAATGCTTTACTTTAATATGTCGATCCAAGTTCGATTTGGAACAGCACTTCAAACCACAAAAGGTGCATTCTGACAGCTTCTCTGTCTTGTGTTTCTCCTCCGCGTGCACCATCAGTTCTTTAAGGCTCTGGAACGCTTTCTTGCACACCGTGCATTTAGGAGTGTCGTCTGGAATGCATGAAAATATTAGTAAAAATACGCTATGAGAGCTTCTTTGCCAAAACATACCCGGATTTTGCGGAAGACCTGTGTGATACCTCTTCATATGCAAGTGAAGACGAGCGACTGACTTCAAGGTCTTTTTGCAGTACGGACACTCTACAGGCTCTGGAAAATGAGTGGCTCTGTGACGCTCAATGTTATTCTCCCACTTGAATGACTTATTGCAAATATCACATGAATATGGTGTCTCTGAGCTGTGAATTTTCATGTGTCTTATGAGTCTCTTCTTCATGTCGAAAGTGCGATGACAAATTTCGCACTCAAGATTTTTCGGAATATTTTCACCACTTTCTTCATGTGACACCAAATGTCGCGCATAATTATGTGCAGCCAGGAATTTCTGATTGCAAATGTAGCAAGAAAATATTGTCCGGGATTCATCTCTTTTCCTATGACGCTCTCTTATGTGTCTCTTCAGTCTTGTAGAATTCTTGAACACTTTACAGCAGATTCGGCAAGATTTAGGCTTTTCCATGTGAAGTTTTATATGAGGAAGGAGAGTATATTTATCCTTGAATTTCTTCGAACAATGAGCACATTCAAAAGTTCTCTCCCGGTGTGAAATCATGTGTTTCTGCAAGGTATATGAATATAAAAAGCCAGCACCACAAATTGTGCATTTGTAGGATTTGTTCGATGATTCTTCGGTGTGACTTTTCATATGAGAAGCATAACCAGAAGCTGTCTGAAATTTCCTTGCGCAAATTGAGCAGTTCAACTGTTTCTGCGACTGTTCCGCATGTTCGATTGGAACTTCTGTAATCTCAAAAGTGACGATTTCTTCTTCTACCGGAAGAACATTTCTGGGAAATAACATAAATTGTAGATGGAAAACAATAAAAGACTGTCAACTCACTTCACATCAACAGGCTCCGGATGTTCTTGAATCTCATACTCTTCCTTCACTAAATCTGTATTAATTGTTTGAATATCAGCATCAAAATTATAACAGAGATCTTCCTTTTCCACTTTTATATCCATTTTCCTGCGTGTGCACACTTTTCTTGTTTACTCGATTGACATTTGCGGAGTTTGCTGTAAAGTTCGCAAAGAGTCGAATATTTGTCTCTTAGCGATATCTTAAGAGATCTCTTAATTCTATGACAATCATATTTTGTTAAGAAAAATTAAATTTACTTGCATTTTTATTGACAAATAATTCATTTTAGCTACAATTCAATAATTAGTCAATTAAATAACGATGTTTTCTTGCACAAAGAATCGAATGTTGCTGCAAATCAGGAAGATCTTTGCATGCAATTGTGCAGATTGAACACTTAAATCCGTTTTCCATGTGTTTCTTCTGGAGTTTCTTTTTGTTACGATTTAAAATGTGCTCTTCATTATGCCTGGTTGAAATGTGTTTCTGCAAGTTGTGCTTCATTAGGGTTTGTCCACAAATTTTGCAAGTGACTTTATTCTGTTTTCTGGGGTTAGAAAGATAATTTTTCCGTCTTCTCTGCTTTCCCTTCGTACACTGATGAATTTTTACATGTTCCGTCAGGTCCTCAAGCAGCAAATAACCATTCTTGCAAATAGAACACTTAAACGGAGGACCTTTCATGTCCATGGACAGTCCAGGATGATCCACTTGTAGATGGCTTTCCAAGAAGCGATTCTTATCGAAAAGTGCCGGGCAAAAAGGACAGGCGAAATGTATTTTCCGATGCTGTTTATCAATGTGTTTAGATAGGCGACCTTTTCTACTAAATTCCATGCCGCAAAACGAGCATTCGAGGAGTTTCTCGAATTTATGTTCTTCCGCATGTGTCCTTAATTCTTCCGCACAAGGAAATATTTTTCCGCAAAGTGTACACTTGGGAATTGCATCTGAACAGAATAATAAGAGCAATATTAAGAGATAATTGAGGAAATTCTTTCTCTAAAAACTCACCCACATCCTGAATAAGGCCTCTGTGATAATTTCTCATATGGCCTATTAATGAATACATTGTCTTCAACTTCAAACCACAATATTTACAATCTGCAGAAGGAAAGTGTACAAATCTGTGAATTTTCACTTTATTCCTGAGACGGAAAGATTTACTGCAAATGTCACATGAGAACGGTTTTTCCGTGCTGTGAATTTTTATATGTCTTGTAAGGACTGATTTTCTACTGAAAACTCTTTGGCATATTTCGCATTCATGTTCAATTTTCTTTTCGCCTTTGTTGTGCTTTGCCATGTGGCGATCAAAATTATATTGACTCGTGACTTTTTTACCACAAACATCACAAGACAATAAAAATTGTGATTGGCGCAATGAGGTCCTAATATTATGCTTCAATCGCATATGTTTTCTCAGCATATACGAGTTCTTATACTTCTTCTTGCAGATTTCACATGGTTGCGGTTTTTCTATATGAGTTCTTATATGATAAAGAAGATTGCGTTTGTCATTGAACTTCATTGAACAATGTGCACATTCAAGATTTTTCTCTCTGTGTGTTCTCATGTGTCTCTTCAGACGCAATGTGATGGTAAAATTCTTATCACAAATGCCGCACTTTAAAGATTTCTCTTCTTTAACGTGAGACTTCATATGACTGTTAATATCACTTGATTCCTGAAATGTCTTCTCACAAACCGGACATTTGTGTTCCTTTTCACTTGGCTCTATATCTTCAGTCACCTCGCAAATGCTAAAATCCTGACATACAGAAAAATTCCTAGAAAAACAGCGGATTTCATAAATCTTAACTTAAGATATACACTGAAATGTCAACAACTCACTTTTCATAAGCAGATTCTGGGGGTTCTTGAATATCATACTCTTCTTTCACAATGTCGCACTCAATGAACTGATTCTCAGCCTCAAGATCATAATCAGGATCTTCCTTTTCCACTTTTATATCCATTTTCCTCGTTTATTTACTTTTCAGGGAACTTCTTGTCTTCTTCTCTTACTTTTATGGCTTTTATGACATAAGCTGTGCAGTGAAGTTGGCTAAATATAGTTTCAAATAATGGTTTACGCGCGATGTTCAAAAAACTATTGAACTGTGATGTAACTGTTGTGCTCGTAAAATAATTCCATGAGACACAAAAAGTTGTTTTGGTGACTTTATGATCAATTACTTTTATATGGATAAAAATTATGGCCATTATATAAATTTTCATGTGACAATATTAGAGAAAAAGTCATCTAATTATTAATTATCGAGAATTTTGATATCTTTACAGCAATTAACTGTTGCTCTCTTTTCAGATCAAAACTACAAACTCCTCAATGTGATAAGAACGACGCGTCGGAAAAGATCAACAGAGCGGAATCTTCACATTCAGTGGGAAGGTGAAGATGGCGAGGATGCAGAGTATATTCTTGAGAAGTCAGAGCAATTACTGGATGAAGATTTTGTCTTCATCCATCGATATACCAACGACTCGAGCATCGAGGATTCTGCTGAGATGCTTGAAAATGTGACTGACTGCTTCTATGCAAATTCCCAGACTGCCCTCGATGTCTGCGATGACAATCTGCGAGGTGTTGTGAGACACAAGAACCAAGACTTTGTAATTCATCCCCTTCCGGAGAGATTTGGCAGCGGAACACATCTGCTGATCCCGAGAAACAGAGTGGACATCAGAGCGACCGAACGAGGCTTCTTCGATGTGGAGTTGATGAAGGACGACTTTCAGCAGGACGTGCATGAGAGAAACAAGAGATATATTGCAAGCAAAGTGGCAACGCCGAGTGTTCTTCACATCGAAACTGCAATCTTCGTCGATCGCGATCTCTTCAGGCACATGGCCAAGAACTACCCGAAGAACACTGAAATGAATCTCATCAGATTCGTTCTGGCGATGGTGAATGGCGTTCAACTTCTCTATCATCATCCATCGCTCGGATATCAGGTGAACTTTGTGCTGAAGCGACTTGAAATCCTCCACAATGATCCAAAGGATCTGCACAGATCCAGTGATATTGACGTCTTCCTGAACAGCTTCTGCATGTGGCAGAGGAAATTCAATCCAGCCGCAGACACAGATGTCATGCACTTTGACCACGCTGTGATCCTCACAGGACTCGATCTTTACGTTGTGGGCAAGAATGGGAAGATCAGCAGCCAAGTCGTGGGATTAGCTCCAGTGGCTGGAATGTGCACACCAACATCCAGTTGCACGATCAATGAAGGGAAGCACTTTGAGAGCGTCTTCGTCGTGGCTCATGAAATTGGACACAAGTAAGATAATCTCTCAGTCTCACAATGGGATGAGTGACTGAAATCCTCTCTCTTTTCCAGCCTGGGAATGCGTCATGACACGTCGGAGAACAACTGTGATCCCTCGCTCTACATCATGTCACCGACGCTGGGCAGTGGGAAGATCACATGGTCCAAGTGCAGCAAGGAATACCTCAGCAAGTTCCTCGAATCCACTCAGGCTCACTGTCTCTTCGATCGCGGCCACTCGGCGCACAGCCTGGATCACGCGGCCGAAGGTCTTCTGCCCGGAGAGCGATTCGATGCAGATCAGCAGTGCATGCTGAAGTACGGAAAGGACAGCGTGCGCTCCAGGACTCAGCCACTGACGGATGTGTGCAGAGATTTGCACTGCCAAAGGGACAGATACACCTGGACATCCCATCCGGCGCTGGAAGGAACGTTCTGCGGCGAAGGCATGTGGTGCAAGAGCGGCGTGTGCAAGCTGAAGGCGACAACAGCCTACCTCGAGTCCCACACGCCCTACCATCGCCCCATGAAGCACTTCCCGGAGAAGAGCGCCAATTTCATCGAAGGCCAGAAGCTCGGCCACTACAAGCAAGACTTTGGCAAATCCGTGACGGGATGGAGCGAGTGGAGTGCCCAGAGTGAGTGCGAATCGGGATGCTTGTACGGTGAATCGGGAAGACTCAAGGAAGGCAGTATAGGTCTGAAAGTGTCCACAAGAACCTGCCTCGATATGCGCGTGAACAGGAAGAAGTGCTTCGATCTCAACAAGCGATACGAGGCTTGCACAGCCAAGCAGTGCTTCAACATTCCACGAACAACGGTGATGGAGTTTGCCAACCAGATTTGCGAGCGCGCCAAGGAGTTCGATAGCGACATCTTGGGCGTGGGAATACAGCAAGTTGCCCTGAATCCGGACGATTCCTGCCGAGTGTTTTGCAAGACGCGCAGCGGAATGCCGAAGACGAAGAACTGGATGTTCCCCGACGGAACCACCTGCAGAAACGTCGAATCCGACTTTGACGACGCCTTCTACTGCATCAACGGAAGATGTCAGGTGAAGACTTCTAATCTCGATCTTGAGTTTCTCTTTGGTAAACCTTTTGTATTGCTTGCAGAAATTCTCCTGTGATAACTCAACTAGCAATCTGTACAAAATCGATCCTTCCTACTGTCCTCAAAGCCAAGTTCGCGAGACGGATTCGCAGTCAAATGCCAGCGCGCCTCGAGTGGAGGAAGAGAAGATTCGCGACAAGCAGAATCCGACACAGAACACAAATGAGAGTCAGCAAGTGGAAGTCAACGAGTCTTACAACGGCGAAGTGGCGCCAGAATCGAGCTTCATCAAGGCGCAAATCTACAACAATTGGCGCTTGCGGAACAGCGAAAAGCAGCTCATGACGGCAAATCATCATCCATCGCTGATGTATCAGAATTCCGCGCTGCGCAACGATCTGTGGCAAATCAAGTCCGGATGCTACTTCAGCTGCATGGACATGGCCAAGGGGATTCAGATAGTGGCATCGACACTGTCCGCAGTGACGAATATCCAGCTCTGCTCACCGGAAGCGTTTCCCTGCGAACACATCCAGACCACCTATGATTTCTCCAGCAAACTCTGCTCGCGCTACAAAATGAAAGTTCGCGGTCTGTCCGGCAACGGAATGCAGATCTCCCCGAGCGTCGAGGATCCCGATCGCAGCTGCAAAGTGGCGTGTCAGGACGAATACATCGGGCATCGCTTCTACCTCGTGAATGGCGAGCAAGGATACTTTCCCTTCGGCACTCGATGCTCCAAGACGGAGAAGCGCTTCTGCGTTCGCGGACGATGTCTTGAGTTTGGCCCAGACAACATGCCTTTGCGTGAGTCTCACTCGAATCTTGCGCTGTTTCAACACCAGAAACGACGACGGCGGAAAAGGAGCTTCATGAATTTCACTCCAGTCAATATCACAGAGCGAATAAGCCAGGAATTGCTGGATAAATTGCTGAATAACTTCAACATATCAATGACTTTTGGTGAGTTTCTTGAGCGCCCCAATTATTGAATGAATTAAGAAAATCCCTAGTGTTTTTTTCTTGGCAAATATTTTCTATTTCTGATTTCAAGAGCTTTTTTTTGGTACACGAAAATGGTTTCCATTATCTTTTGTCCTCCTTTTGCAGATCCACCGGCTGATGTTGCTGAGAAACAAATCGACATGACGAGCCCAATCTATTTATCAGACTCCTTCTAGAATTGCGCAAATATAGATGAATCCATTCTGTCGAACGCTTTTTCTTTGGGCTGATTTCCTTTCTTATCGCTCTGGAGGGCGGAAAAGCGTCCGTTTCGCGGGTTGCCACGCGTGTGCTGTGTACTAAAAAAGCGCCTCGGCCTCGTCTCGGGTGCGGGAGGGGGAAGGCGCACAAGGCCGAACGATTGTGGCTGTCAAAAGGTGCAAAACAAAAGTTATTGTAGAATTCTGCGAAATTCGCCCTGATAATCTCTCAAGTGCCGTTTTATCGCTCAATTAGTTGAATCATCGGACGACGCGCGAACGCATGCGACAGAGATCCTCACACAATGTTTAACAGTGACAAGAAGGACATGAAGGATTTTGGTAAGTGATGGACGCACTGGAGGGGAAATTGCGAAAAACTTCATGGCTTTTTCCACCCTCTTTTGCAGCTGGAACGGGGGGCTTCGCGCCCACCCAGAGTGGCCCGCCCACGGCACCGCAGTACCCGTGGCCCCAGGTACCGGCGGACTTCTACCACGCGCGCCCCGAGGGCGCCCAGATGTGGGGCCCGCCGCCGAGCTACGATCATGTGATGCAGCAGAACATGCCCGTCTACCCAGCGCCCCAGGGCGCCTTCGCCAGCGTGCCGCCCGGCATGCCCGCGTACGCGCCCCAGCAGGTGCCCGGTGCCATCTATCAGCCACCCTTCGCTGCCCCACCCACATTCCAGCCCGTGCCCGCGGGCCCGCCTCCTGGCATTCCCGCGTTCGCGCAGCAGCCGCAGGTGGCGCTCTTCGACCCCGGCGCCCGCTTCGGCGCCCAGGGCTCCTTCTCCGTGCCACCCCCGCCGCCCGGCTACGCGCCCTCGGCCGCCCAGATGGCCGCCATGCAGGGACAGCCCGTGCAAGTGCAGAAGCCAAAGAACAACTTCTTCACCGGCGGCAAGGGCGCCGGCTTCACATTCTGGTGACTTCCCGGAACGTCTGAGGAGAATCTCCGTACACGTGTTTTCCATGTCTTCTCTCCTCCCTTTTATTTTTTTTCTGAATAGATAAACCATTATTTTTGCGCGCTCCTTATCGCGAACGGATTCTGAATATGAAATAAAATTTATTGAATTTTGCGCCTTCAATCCACAACTTCCTCCTTCACCTCCACGATGCTCTCCAGGCCGTCGGGCTCCTGCTTCACCTCCACCTCGTGACTGACATCGGCGACGGCCTCCTCGGCCGCGACGGGCGGCGACTCATCCGCGGGATCCGCTGACTTCTCCTCCTCCTCCTTGATCTCCTCCTCCACCTTCACCTTCGCCGGCGGCTCGTCGTCCTCGGACTCGGATTCATATTTCTGCAGAGAAACGTGTCGTAGAGGACATGAATTCAAGAGTTCCCTCAGTCGCTCTCAATATCTCTGTTATCAGTCAAGGCCCGCGACGTCTGAATCTCCAAGAAGGTCGATTGCTTTTTTTATTATTCACTCCCAAAGACCACTGAGTGTGTATCGATTTACAGTCTCCGAGAAAACACTTAAGCAAACACTGCATCTAATTGTGCCTACACGTCGTCTTTCGCATGCAATCACACTACCGAGAAACATCGTGTGTCCTTACCTTCAGCACGTACGTCCGCGCCGGCGGCATGTCGATGTGGAGGATGCACGTGGCGTCGTCGTAGATCATCGGCACCGGCTCCTGACACACCACGCCGCTCTTCTCCACGCTGCACGCCCGGAACAGCACCTGCTTTTTGTCCTCCAGGATGTGCTTCCTGCAGAACTTGCAGCACGGCACCGTGCGCTCGCTGCACTTCACGCCGCCCTCCGTGAAGGTGCAGCGATTGTGGAAGGGTGTCTTCTGCGCCAAGCCCGCGATCGCCTTGCTGCGCCTCTCCAGTCGCTTCCGGTGCAGCACCGCCTCCACGCCGTGCCGCTTGTGGTACTGGTTGAGCGCCTTCAGCTTCCGGTACAGCCGACGCTCGCGCGGCGTGTCACGCGACTGATTGTGGATGCTGCAATACGTCTCGCGCTCGCGGCGCAGCGAGTGAAGGTACTTCCGGCGCTTCTCGCGCAGCACATGATGCAGACGCTCAAACTGATCGATGTAGAGCGACTGGAGTCGCATGAGCTTCTGCTTCGTGATCATCGTGGCCTCCTCCGTGGTGTAGATGCTCGCGTGCCTGTGGAAAAGAGAGAGAGATTGCAAGCGTTCGTGAACACCAGAAGATTTCTCACTCACTTGAGCAGATCTTCGTTCTGCGAATCCACGCTCTCGTTGTCCGAGTTGTCCATCTCGTAGCCTCTCCAGGTGTTGCTGATTGTGGGCATGTCGTCGTCTGTGGAGCTGTCAGAAGCGTAGTCCAGGATCTTCCGACCTCTTTCATTCACAGCCTGACTGTTGATCTCAACTGCAATAGAAAACACGATAAGCCAAGCTGTTGGGTATTGCTCAGTGGTCACGAGACTCACGGAAAGGGTCCAGACAAGGCGTTGTCACGTCCACTTCGGCTTCCTGGCCGGAAATCGAGGGCGATTTGTCGACCTTGACGTAGTGAGAGAGTTCATTGAGGAGAGATTCCTGAGTCTCCAGATGCTTCAGCTTCCCGGTGGTGCTCTGCGTCTTGGACAGCTGATTGAGACGACTGTGCTCAAAGCAGAAGTTCGTGAACCTGAAACACACGCGTGAGCATTAGCACGAAATCCTCCAGTCCGACATTAAGTCACAGTCACTCACGCAATATTCCTCCGCGACTCGTACTTTGGCGCCGGCTGCAGGCATTTCTTCCCGGTGATGGGATACGCATAGGCGCACTGCTTGTACGGCGCCTTGGGATCCTGCAGGATGTGCTTCAGGCAGTACTCGAAGCCCACGAGCCTGGGCAGAGTGCAGTCGTGCTTCGTGAAGGCGCACGCTTTTGTTTTGTTCTCAATCTCCACATGAAGCTGATCGCGCAGGGCTTTCTCCTCTTCCGGCGTCGTCGTGGGTGGCTTCCGCAGCTGCACCTCACCATGGTTGACCTTCTTTATGGGTGAACTCTGCATTTTCACGCGTTTTCACCTCACAAGTGCGTAAAGGAAAAACCTTGCGAAATTCACTAGACGCGAGCTTCGCATGTACTAAAAATTGCCAGATGGAAAATCTGCAGATTTTCGAGTCTGGCAGCCCTCGGCGTTACTTGCATGCAGTCTTTTTCTCAGACATTTTCGTGAAAACGTGACAAACATGGTGAGTTTTCTGCGATTTCTCCTGGTTTTCCGCCTCTCGGCGCACCAAATTCTGCATAATTGTAGCAATAAAGTGTCCCCGCGTGCACTGCAAGTGGGGGTTTATGGGGAAATGCGATAAAATGGGAGAATATCGGGGTTTTGTGGCGATGTGAGACATAACCTAACACTTGTGTTGTCGCTTCACAGGCTCGTGGCCCCAAAAAGCATTTGAAGCGCTTAAACGCCCCGAAAGCATGGATGTTGGACAAGCTGGGCGGTGTGTTCGCACCGCGTCCATCCCAGGGACCGCACAAGCTGCGTGAGTCTCTGCCGCTGGTGATCTTCCTGCGCAACCGCCTCAAGTACGCCCTGACCAACACCGAAGTCACCAAGATCGTGATGCAGCGCCTCATCAAGGTGGACGGCAAGGTGCGCACGGACCCCAACTTCCCTGCTGGATTCATGGGTGAGACTTCTGCATTAAATCTACCAGTGAAATTCATCGAGAATCGAATTTTCCGCAGAGGAAATTTGCCTTGTGGAAAATACTAACCTCGAGAGAGCATAATTCTCAGTCATTGCCATGTCCAAATGAATTGTTGGGCATCTTTACACACTGAGGACACTCCAATTGACTTCCCGGAGATTCTGTTTCAGTGCAATAATTGCATTCTGTCGCTTGTTTGCAGATGTTGTGACCATTGAGAAGACCGGAGAGTTCTTCCGGCTGATCTATGACGTGAAGGGACGCTTCACAATCCATCGCATCTCCGCCGAGGAGGCCAAGTACAAGCTGTGCAAGGTGAAGAAGGTGCAGGTGGGCCCCAAGAACGTGCCCTTCCTCGTCACGCACGATGGTCGCACCATCCGCTATCCGGATCCCCTGATTAAGGTCAATGACTCGATCCAGCTGGACATTGCCTCGTGCAAGATCACCGACCACATCAAGTTCGATTCAGGTGAGACACTGAGGCGCGCATTTGCACCCCTTCCGGCCATATCGAAGCTCTCTCTGTGGCGAAGAGTCACTCTAGGGAGTCAATAATTGGCCCAGAGCAATTAATTGACTTCAATACGGTCGCAGCAATCGGCCGGAACTCCGCCGGAGATCCACTTTGATTGAAGTATCTACCAATTTGAAGTACATTTGAGTGAAAACTGTCCCGAAGCTCGGTCGCTGAGACTCTCCCTGCAGTGGATAAGATTTAGCCACCGCTGAAGGGTATCCTATGTTGACCAAGAGCAATGATCTCCCTCTTAGTTGGTCAATTGCTCGCGCACATCCAAGAGCCTTTTGACCCAAGACGGAGAAACACTCACTGAATCCGTTTTCAGGAAAAAGAACAAGCGATTAATGTGTTGTTGGCTTTGCAGGAAATCTCTGCATGATCACGGGAGGACGCAATTTGGGGCGTGTCGGCACTGTCGTCAATCGCGAGAGACATCCGGGATCCTTCGATATTGTCCACATCAAGGACAGTCAGGGTCACATGTTCGCCACGCGACTCTCCAACGTCTTCATCATCGGCAAGGGTGCCAAGACGTACATTTCGCTGCCGAAGGGCAAGGGTGTGAAGCTGAGCATCGCCGAGGAGCGCGACAAGAGGCTCGCGGCCAAGGCGGCGCACTAAACGTCCGCAGATCATGAAATCCTGCGGGGTTTTCAATAAAAAGAAAGGCGAAATTGAGAAATGTTCTTTTATTTGTCCCTTTTTACTCCCTAATTAGAGGAAAATATACTCCAAGGATCAATTTTGCGGATTTCTTCTATCTTCACGCTTTTCCCCCATTTTTGACCACGAGAAATGCTGAAATGTTGTGCAAACAAAATCTAAGGATCTTCATTACGTCACAACTTAATGGGTTTCTAAAAGCAAAAGTGTGGGTAGTTTGTAGAGTAAAGTTGGTAGATTTTAGAGAAAAGTTGATGGTTTTCAAGGGAAAAATTACTCCAAAGTTGAGATCATTAAATTTGTGATTATTCAATACATTCATTACAATTTGGATATTTCATACAAAATTTAAATTGTTTTTTGATCATTCTTAACAATTTTTAATTATTTGATTCGACGAGTGCCTCGAAAACTATAAAAAGTCAAAATCGCCAAATTTTCAGCAAAGCGAGTTCAAAATTTTACATTAAAACAGCTGCGAAATTTGCCAAATTTACTTCAAAATACTCAAAATGCCTTCAAATCGTTCGTTAAAGTGAAAATATTGCTCTGTATTTTTTATTTTGTAAATGTTTTATTGGTATTTATTGAAATTTTTGACTAAAATGTGGCAAAATTAATAGAAAATCTGAAAATATTACTTTTCAAAGTGGATTTTTAATGGTTTTTGAGTCGATTTTATACAAAAAATCAACTTTTCATACTTTACTTGAACTTTTTCTTAATGTTTTCAAGTGAAAAAATTTAAAAGATATGAGAATTATTCATTTAAAGTCCAGAAAAACATTTTAGGATAATTCTGAAAATCTACAAATATTTTCTAAAAAGACGTTTTATGCATTTGACTGCAATTTTTAAGACATTTTTTTTGGGGAAAAATTGTTCAGCGTAAATAATGAAAATTCGACTTTTCATTCGCAAAACATGACAATTTTTTTCTCCATTTGTGCTTTTTAGATAAATAAGATTTTTTTCTATTGTCTCATAAGATACAAATCCTCAAATTCTTGTACAGAAAGAACAAATAAAAGGCTTTTCAAAAATACATAAGACGAAAACTATGATAAATCGATTTTTCATAGTTTTCGATTCACCCGTCGAATGGTTTCTCAAAGCAGGAATTTGCAATGTGAAATCTTCTGATGTTTTAACACTCAAAATCTTGATAATACACTGGTTTCTTGGCTAAACACTCTCGTGACTACGCCGCTGGGTTATAATGAGATGTTGCAGATGCAAAGCCGCGACCGTGTTGCACAAATGTCTTTTTAATTAATTGTGAGTGGCAATTAATTACTTTTATGGCTTCTCAATGCTTGTAATCGATTCGATGCTTATCGTCACTTTTTTTTTCGCCACGCTCAGCCCAAGATATGCGGACATTCCCTGCGCAGATTGCTGCTGTTCGCGCGTTGTTTGCAGCTTATTGAGTGCGACATGATTGAGGTGGAGGAGAATGCCATCGCGGAGAGTCCTTGGCTCAGCGCCTCCTTCTGCTGCGCCATCAAGCAAGACTGGGAGCTTTCTGGGTGGAGACGAATCCTCATAAATCATGTGAGAAAATTGCCCTCTTGCGCGCATGTGATTAAGTACACCACTGAAATGTTCAGCCAAGAGGCGAATACGCATGATTCAGTTGCAGATTGTAATTGCGGCAAATGAAATTGTCGCTTCGTGCAATTGAAACGGTTTGAAAGAGCGCAAAGAACACGTGAGAAATTGAAAGTGTTATGCAAAAAAAATCACCAATTCATCCACTATTCATGGTAAAGTTGGCTTATGCGAAGCATTTCTGTTATCCTGAAATGGAAAGTTTTCATTCTTAAGTGGGATTTGTTAGTGAAAATTTCTCTTGCAATCTCTGGATTTTCGTCAATTTCCGGTTGAATGCTTTGAGCTTCTGTGATTTACCGCACATGATATTCCATAGCTCGCAGCGTCTTGTAAAGTTTCAGAGCGTTAGATAAAAATTGCACAAGTTGCAGCTATGAAACTTATTAAGTCATTATTAGCTGGTGGCAGTCTTTCGGTCAGTGCGATTAGAAGTGAAAAGGAACTTGATGAAATTCATGATAATTCTGGGAAATTTGAAGCGGAAAGAAAATTCTTTTCACGCGATAGTTTTGATAATTTCTTACAAGAGAAATTATCTATTATTGCTGTTTCTCAATCAAGAAAGCTTTCTCAATTAAGAAATGAGGCAATTTCAGTGTGATCAAGCGCAATATCTTCCTTTCCTGCACTTTTGATGCTGAGCAACAATTCTCCTTTGATCCTTTCTGGCTGCAAAGGGAGACTTTCCAGCGCCAAGAGCTCCTCGCGAACGGTCGTAAGATGGATGTGAACCTTGCCCCAGATGGGCCGCTGGCCGGGGGCTGGGGTGAGGCTCGGCGGTGGTCATTAAAATATTATGTCATCGCGATTGTGTGTGTGCCTCGGAGAGGTCTCAGCGCGAAAGACGGCGCGCGGGTCACGATTTTTCACACTCTCTCACTCTCCGGCCGCAAAGACATGGGCTGTGGTCGCGAAGAAGTTGGAGGCGAAAAAAAAGTCCAGCACGCGGAATGTGTTGAAGTGAATGAATTTTGCCGAAAGGCGTGTGGAAAAAATGCTCATGAGACTTGCTTGATATTTAAATTAGAGATTTTGCCACGATCCGAAGGAGCTCAGGCAACATCAAAAGGGTGTTCCACTGGACCGGATGCACTATCGCTTGCCCACGGATCAATTTACGGCTGCGCTCAGTGGAGCACGAAATGGCTCGATGGCAACTTTTACGACTCTTTGTGCGCAATGCGCAGAAATTCCAAAAGCGCACTTTTCAACTCCTCTGGGACGTTCAAGGCCTCAAGTGAGGGCGCCGGCTGGGGAAAAAAACGACGATAAATGAATTTGCAATTATATAATGGGACAAAAAGCATCATATTTACGCGCACTTTCATTATGCAATTTTTTGCTCGACTTCTTGTGCATTGCCGACTTGTTTCTCGATCGGTTTCCTCTCCCCCACTTTTCACTAATTAGCGGATGATTTAGTCAATTTGTTAGACTATTTGAATGATTTCCTTATCACTGTTTCTCGAAAATACCTAAAAATTCAATCAAAGCAGTGCAATTTAACAGCTTTTGAGAACGGATTGTTAAACATTCAATTTCTGTGTGAAATTCGCACTAAAGAGAAGCATCAAATGACACATTCCAAGTTTCAAGTTGTCTACATACTTCATGAGCACCTGTTGAAAGGATGTGTGCCTCAAAATGGGTTTTAAGGTGTTTGTGATTATTCAAATACAATGAAATCACGAGGGAATTACCAAACTGGGATAATTTGTGTGCTCTTGACATTCCTTTTCACTCAGAGCTTTCATTGAAAATGCTTGCTTAATAGTTTAATTGCTAAATGACACAAAATATACTACGAGTGAGAAAATGGAAAATTGCTCTTATATAAAATGGTGAGCAAAAAAGGGAATAAATTTCAATGATAAGCAATAAAAGTGACCAAAGTGTGTTTCTTCGCCATTTCATTGGCCCTTCGATGAAACACGATCCTTACGATCACGGCAAGGACTGTCGCAGTGGCATTGGAAAAAGGGGCTTTGCGGTGAAATTGTCACTGGCACACGGTGTAATTGTATCATGAGATGTTATGCAAGATTATGTTGGTCTTGACCTGGAAAAAAATCACCAAAAATGATCATGTTTCAGTCAATCGCGTGCATAAAACGAGGAAACGATCGCGCGAGTGAAGAAAGTGTTGGGGACTTTTGTGTGTCTCTCTGCGATGGAGTGTGTTGAGTGTAAAAAAGGCGGGTAAATTTGCATAAAACAGTGCATGATCGGTGTGTGTATTTAAAATGAGAAATGGATCATGCGGCCGGAGGCGGCCGGCCAGACAACTTTTACAAGAGCGCACGATCGAAATGATTGCACAATTTTTGCGTACGACAAAGGCTCACGGCTGGTGGTGGATGGAATTTATTGAGTGATCTGGTATCTTTCCTCTGTTTTTTACTCCTTCGTCTTCGCTTCTCACTTATCCTCCTTCCATTGACAGAGCGCGCGATCGCAAGAAACCAAAATAGACATCATCAGTCGGCGGCTCTTGGCGGCTGATATGGATTGTGCACATGCTGCATGCGGCGTAAAAGAAGTGAGGCAAAAAAGGCGCATAGTGAAGAGATTTATTTCACTCTGAGTTTTATGAATTGAGTAGGTAAAACTTAAGCAAAAAAAAAAATGTTGTGTAGAAGGAAGACAAAAACGTGACGTGAAAAAGTTTGACAAAATTGGGACAAAAGTGAAATAATTAAAGTATTTTATTTTTATACAAAATTATCATAAGTAAAAATAATTGTACAATTATTAGTTATTTATGACACTTTTATCACAAGAAGGTATTCAATAATGCAAATGCACGCAAAAATATTTTTCTCTTATTGCTCGGGTCATTTTAGTTTTGCTTCATCATTGCGATATTTAATATATATATTAAAAAAAAAATGATCTCATTTATTTGTGAAAGAGAAAAACTAGAGGAGCACAAAATAGGGACAATCAATAGGATAAAATTTGCTGCTGAGAAACGAAAAGTGATCTAGATCGTTTCTTGTGAGTTCCAGTGACAATAATTGCTGGGTGTCTTCAATATACAGAACGCTTTTTTCTTCATTCTTATTTAAATAACAATTACATATGGGCATTATATTAAGATTAGCTGTCATAGAGAAACAGATAGACAAAAAAAATATACAATAAAGGCAATTTGTATATATATAGATATGGAGGAGAAACTCAAAAAGAGGTAAAGAATAAGAGAGGAAAACTATAAATTAAATTAAGTTTAACTTTGAGTATCTGAAATCTCTATGGGGGTTGATCTAGGGGCTTTTCTTCGCGTGTTTCTCTTCTTAGCAAAGGACATGGGCGTCATTGCGGCTCTTACGCCTTCACGGCGGCCCTCTTGGCCACCACACCATGAACTTGATCACGGCTGTTTGTGACCTGCGCGTGGAAGCCAGTCTCCCAATCGGCGTAGTAGTTCACGGTGCGCACATTGCCGTCAGGCTCCACAAGGGAATACGATCCCCTGACGACGTCACCGTCGCGCTCCTCCTTGGCCTCCTTGATATCACCGGTGTGGGGATCATTGACGCCGTACTCGTAGGCGTAGCGAGGATGGTCATCCTGCAAGAACAAAAGTCATGAGCGCTGTGCAGAGAGTAGAGGAAAGTGTACATACGTAGTATTCAAGGTGCTTCTCACTGACGGTCTTCACAACGGCCGGAGCGGCGGCGTAGGCCACCTTGGCGGCGGGCACGACAGAGTGGGAGACAGCGGGAACTGCGGCAGCGTATCTCAGTCCAGAGTGTCCGTAATATCCGTGGCCTCCATATCCGTGAGCTCCGTATCCGTGGCCTCCATAACCGTGATCGGCGTACGAAGCATAAGGTACGGAGTGAACAGCTGGAGCAGCGACCACCTTGCTATAGGCTGGAGCAGCGTAGGATGCAACAGCTGGGGCAGCGTAGGAAGCAACAGCGGGAGCAGCAACGACCTTACTGTATGCTGGGGCAGCATAAGACACAGCTGGGGCAGCTACCACTTTGCTGGTGTAGGCTGGGGCTGAGGCGTAAGTGGCAACGGCTGGTCCATGAGCATAACCAGAGTAAGCGGGAGCGGCCACCACTTTGCTGGCGTAGGCAGGAGCCGAGGTGTAAGTGGCAACGGCTGGTCCATGAGCATAGCCGGAATAAGCGGGAGCAGACAGGACCTTGCTCACCACTGGTCCGGAAGAGTACGTGGTGACAGCAGGGGCAACGACTTTGCTAGCGTAGGCCGGAGCTGAAGCATAGGTGGCAACAGCAGGGGCTGACACGACCTTGCTGACAACTGGGGCAGCATAGGAAGCCACTGTGGGGCCAGCGTGGTACGAAGACACAGTCGGGCCGGCATGGTAGGAAGCCACTGAGGGGCCAGCGTGGTAGGAGGCAACACTTGGTCCAACGGAGAGGCTGCTGTAAGCCGGAGCTGAGGCGTAAGTGGCGACGGAGGGTGACACAAGTTTGCCGAAGGCGGCACCAGATGAATATGTCGTCACAGCGGGTCCGGTGGAGTAGGCCACCTTAGCGGGCGCGGCGTACGTGGCATAGGACGGGGCCACAGCCAATTTGGACACAACTGGTGCGGAGACGTAGGACGTGGACACAGCAGGAGCGGCAGAGTAGCTAGCATAGGCAGCTGGGGCAACGAGCTTGGCTCCGGCGGCGTAGGTAGCCACTTTAGCAGGGGCAGAGACGTAGGCTGTAGAGACGGCCGGAGCGTGGGAGTAAGTGGAGACTGCAGGGGCAGCGTATGTGGCGATTTTGGCGGGAGCGGAGACGTAGCTCGTTGAGACCGCTGGGGCAGACGAATATGTGGCAACGGCCGGAGCTGAGACGTACTTGGCAACAGCGGGAGCGGCATAGCTAGCCACATGAGGAGCCGACACGTAGGCGGTGGATACAGCTGGAGCAGCGTGGGCATAGGTTGCTACCTTAGCCAGTGGGGCGGCGTAAGAGACAGCTGGGGCGGAGACGTAGGATGAGTAGGCGGGTCCGGTGCTGATTTTCGTGACCGGAGGGAGGTATGCGTTGCTCACTTTGGCTGCTACAACGGGTGTAGCAGTGGCATAGGACACGGCGGGCGCTGCATAGGCCACTTTGGCAACAGCAGGCGCTGCTGTGGCGTAGGTGACAGCTGGGGCAGCATAGGCGACCTTAGCGATGGCAGGAGCAGCCGTCGCGTAGGTGACAGCGGGAGCTGCGTAGGCAACTTTGCTGACAACAGCTGGAGCCGCTGTAGCATAGGTCACAGCCGGGGCGGACACAGCCAGCTTAGCCACTGGAGCGGCGGCATAGGTTGACACTCCGGAGGTTGTTGTGTAGGAAGAGAGGCCAGCACTTGTGGCGTATCCGTAGCCAGATGGAGCCACAGCCGCATACTTGGATGATGGGGATTGATCTGCGAGCACGAGTCCGGCAGATTTGGCGTAGGTGACGTCAGGGGTGTAGGCGTGGGCGCTGTATCCTGGCACGACGTTCGTCACTTTCACGGCGGGACCCGTGGAATAGGAGGAATAGGCCGGAGCTGCATGGTATGCGCTGTAGGACGGACCGACGGAAGCGTACTTCACAGCCGGGCCCACGTTGAGCTGGACGGCTGGGGCAGGATAAGAGTAGCCCACAGAATCTCCGTGGATGCAGTCAGGCTGCGCTGTGGCGGATGCTCTGGCGGCCAGAGTCACCACAACGAGGAAGATAGCGAATGTCTAGGGAGAGCCAAGATATCAAGTTAGGAGATCATGTGAATTTGAAGTGGATAGAACAGTTTCTGAGGCAAGCGACGGGGTTTTTTTTGCATATTTTGAGCAACACTCCAAACAGGGCAGGGAAAAATTCACAGTGTTGAGATCATAAAAGAAAATCTGCAAACCACTTCACACGGTCAAGCATTGTCACTTTGGGCTTTTAGCTGAGGAAAATGGTAATGTTCAGCACGATCCTCTGTGTCAATTAATTCAATATGATCTCAATTTTAACCGCCGCGATTGCTTGAGACACAGAGTCCAATTAATTTGAGACAGGTGGAGAGGAAAAAAGTAGTTTATCTTGGCTTTTCTGCTCTCGGTGGTTTGAATTTCATTTTCAATTTTCTCGCTAATTGAAACCATAATGGAAGGTAGAGTGAAAAAAAACCATCACACTGATCACGATCATTGATCCTCGATCTTGCAAGACATGATTCTCTGCAACTTCACTTCTTTTTATAAGCACTAGTAATCCTTTTTTGGGCGGCCGCTGTGTCCTGTGGAGCTTTCAACTCACCTTCATTTTCATTCGCGAACGCTATAATTAATTTGGAGACGGAGCGTCACTTAGCCGAGAATCACTGTGAGAACGATTCGTGATCGTTGCTCTGGGGTTTAACTTAAAATTTGAGGTGCAAAGTTTTTGTGGAAAATTGTGAGCAAATATGTGAAGAAAGAGGTATAAAAAATGAAGAACGTTTCGAATGAAGCTCTACTTCGTAGAGCACAGTGAGACTGATGGACGGCCAATCCCTATGATCGCTTTTATACCACAGTCGCGAGATCCGCACATTTTGCCCCATTTGATCACCAACGACGACGTCCAGTGAGCTTTGGAAGCCCCACCGCGATCTCATTTTTGCGAAGGATACAAACACCGACGGAAAACCAGATCGTCGCTCACACACATGCCACTTCTTGGGCAGATCACAGATCGATCTCTTTCTCTCACCTGGGCGGTTACATAATTCTCCCTCGACGTGCGCCAGCCAGAGTCCACTGGCGAAAATTTTTTCGTACGTACACTCGCGAATTCCAGCAGAAAAAAAAGCACAGAGGAATATACCATGGGGAAAACCTCAAATACATCGAGACGATCTCTCTGACAAACTCCACGCCATTGAGAACGCTTCCAATGTGCGGAGAATCGGTGTGTCTTGCGAGATGTGTGGTGCAGGTCCAATTTAAATGCGAACTCGATCCACTGACCGGGTGGCGGAAAGTGAAAGGAATGTGTCAGTGTGAGGAGAGGCAAGAAAGTCCGCAGGTAGCATCCAAAAACGTCTAATTAACTCTTCCTACGCCCAGCGCGGCAACACCCTCGACATTTCTGCACTGCGTGTGTCGCAAAACACCGAGGAATCTCACCCGGCGCCTCCATCGAGAGCTTTCAGCTTCGCTGGCAAATTATATTAATCTTTGCGCTGGAAGCCTCCTTTAATTTATTTAGTGCGATTTTTATAATCCGGGTAATTAATCATATTCATTTTTTTTCCACGACATGTCAATATTTATTTATATTATGCAAAATTAATGGGTGTATTTGGAAAATAAATAGACATCTGTGAGCAGAAATGTCAATTTCTTTTGTGCTCCTTTCAAACACCATTGATGGCAAGGATTCACGCACTCTGTGATAAATGGACATAAAGCAGTCTCTCAAAAGGCACAGTAAAATCGATCTACATATGCACAGGTTATTTAATTTTTTATTGCTATTTAATTAAACGGCAAATAAACGCAACGCGCTGGTTTATTTGCACTCTCCTCTGCAAATAGCCTAAGGACAATCCGGGCATAAACTTCCAAACGAGTTGGCCACAAAAAGAGTCCATCTTACATAAGGAATATATGTGTCTTATCAGCTCACTTAAGCTTCGTGCGATGGCGCGTTTTTCTTAGCTTCTTGAAATGGTCAATGACTTGCCCTGGCGCAGAAAAGTCTCTCTCTCTCTATATTGATCTTTTGTCACTAAAGTTGTGCTTTTTTCCACCACAAACACTCTGGCCATTCAATAGAATGGGAAGCAGAAAAAATGATTTAATTGCACACTGTGCAAAGTGTTGCTGATTAGTTGAAAATAAATTGACACATTGAGACAGTGTAATCACGAGATTGTTTATGATTTATGTCTCAACACATATATACATTTTATGTTATTTTTTTTTGTGCACGCTGTGCTGAACAGAATTGCAGTTTGTCCTCAGGAGTCTAATAAAATTAATGAAAAGATCATGTTATCGTTGAAATGCACGACAATATAGAGAGTTTTGGGATTGAATTTGATGAAATGACCAAAAATTATGTCACAACGATTTTTACCTATTCGTGTAAGTTTGGAGTTATTAAAATAATCAATTATCCGTGTGTCTTTGATGCATTCAAATTGCCACAGTAACTGGTTTGGTAATTTATAAATTAATTTTAATTACCTCCTCATATGGATATTTTTTCAATAATTGCGAGGAAATGATTGCGGCAATGGAGAGAAAAAAATATCGTTTATGTATGAAGTTCCTTTTCGGGGCTTTGCCGAGCTTTCCTGTTGCTCTCATATTCCTTGGGAGACTCGCAGTGCGTATTGAATGGGCAAAAATTGTTCTTTGGATTGGAGGAAAAAAAAACAAGAAAGTCTGAACGTTTGGCTAATTGAAAAGCTATAAATTTCCTCGCACAAAACCGCCATCGGGGATTGAATGACAAACGCAGAGTTTACAGTTCAATTTCAACGCTTTTTTCCAACAGCCAACACTGTAAAGAAATCACCAGTTGAGCAATGTATTTTCTTTTCCATTCAAGTGACTCTTTTTTTCTTCAAATCACTGTGAGAAAGATTATGATTTTGAATATTGAGGAATGTGAAAAAGTAAGGAAAAAATACAGTCGATTTCAGTCCATCGAAGAGACTACTTAGCATATTATTTTGCTGTAGGATTTCTCTCAGTGTACAATAAACAGATTAGGTATTTTCCCAAGAAAATTTTGTCAAAGCATATGACGTGATTTGTGGGTCACCGATGAATTTGCATGGTGGTTCAGAATTTGTCGAAAGACGCCCCATTAATCTCGTCACGTTTTTTCCACAGCGCCCAACACTGAAGAGTTGCGGGTGTGTCACACATTTGGCGGCAAAAGTCCCACAACTTTGCTGGCAAATGCAGAGTATTTATCTAGCGCGTTAGATTAAGTAATAGTGCAGAGTCATTTGGGGCCAGATCGAGGGAGAGTAAAAGCAAAAATAAGAGCAATATAATAAATTTATATTTAAAAGCTCTCCTTCTTTAGCTCTCTTTCTCTCTCTCCATCAAAAAATCTTTTTCGAGAACATAAAGTGCGCGCCTGTCCAATTCACGCAGGCGATACATGAACATATAGTGAATGAGAGATGGCAATATATGGGCAAATGTCTAAAAACTGGTCTTTTGTGTGTCTTTTTGTGGATTTCTTTTCCCCTTTTTTTCGCGCGCGCACGCTGCATTTGTTCCTCCTCTCATATAGAGTTGTTTTCGCTGAAAAGGTCCAAAAAATCTTTATTAATTGGAGCACACGACTTTTTCTACCAACTCCGAATTCTCTCCTTTCTGACAGTCTTTTTGAGACTTTTGTCGCTCCGGTCTGTCTCTATGGATTGCATAATTGATTTCTTGTGGAATTTCGAATATCGGCGACTGCGGGTGTAAAAAAAAAGAGGTGACACGAAAAAGAGTCACAACTCGAGGAGGAGTGCATATGAATGGATGGAATGTCTGCCGAAGGTGAAAAGGAGCGAGAGAGTGTGTGCCTAATTGAAACAAACAGTAGCACATGTGAAGCACACCATTAAGAGTCTGATTTGAATAAATAATAATTTAATGACACAAATTTTCACACCAAACGTCTACCATGAAATTTGCATATCACCACTCATTTGCTGTTTCGCTAAATTCGCCAAATGGACCATTTTTAGCCAACACACAGACGCACCCAGAGAGATATAGAGACAATCTATCTCTCCATATACTATTGAATAATTGACATGATCTTACTTTATCCACATTATAGATGCTGTAACAGGTGTCTTGTATTCAAATTCGAAACTCCAACGTCGCAAAGAAAGTTTTATGCATCACAATTAATCTTATTTATGAATATTATTTTCACATTGCATCCGGAATGGCGCCAATAGCCGCGAGGGGTAGCAAAAAATGATCGAGCTTCAGCTTTTTTGTGGTCATCATGTAATATCATAAAGTAAATGATGCAAGATTGAAACAAATTACTCAACTTTGAAATTGAGAGTTGAGCTAAAATCCTGTGAAATTCACACTAAGGGCCTTATGTAAATTTGTGAGAAAAATTGTGTCAAGAGATGCAAAAGAAGTCATGGATAGTTTAAGTTTCACGGTTAGGAGTGTTTTGGCTGGAGTTCTGGTGTCTGATTCTCAAGGAGGCGAGGAAATTTAATTGGCTCCAGCGACTCTTTAGCTGCCGGTAATGATTTTTGTGGTGATCACAGTGGGGGCAGCTCAACTGGTGGAGTTGTATGGCTAATTTTTTGAGACATTAATCTCTATTGCTCGAGTGACTCACACAGGCAACATTATAAGAAGATTTATTGCAATGCACTTAATCCCACCTTTTCGCACCTCCTCACCTCTTCTTCAGCTGAAATTCTGTACGGTTGCATCACTGGTGGTGTGACAAACACTGGTGGAGACCGGGTGAGTGATGGAGTCACTGATCGGATTTCTTGCTGAGCCTCTTGTCGAATTAGACCTCTATTAGGTGTCGCGATGTGACGGTCTTTTTGCGCCTCTGCTCGCCGTCTTTCGAGGCCGATTCTCTCATGCCCCAGCTTCTGGGCATGAAACCCGCCTCTCGAGCAATGGGTTGACAGTGTTGCAGAGAACATGTGACATCGCTCTTAAAGGTATACATATTATGCACCTGAGAAAGTTAGTTATCGTCAATCAGCAACTTTCTTCGCGAACACCACTCAAATGCTCGTTGCCGGATTAGCTTTAGTCCTGCAGACAGCGCCCAAACGCCAAGAGGGGTGGGGAGAGGGAAGTGGATATTCTGTTGACTGAATTTGTGTGTCTTTTAATTACAAAATAGCACGCAACTCACATTTTATTGGATGACTGTGAAATATATGTATTTTAAAATGAAATTGCAATGAGTGCAGCGATAAATGTTAAAATGCCGCACTCTGTGTTTTCATTTGACTTTTGCGAATTTTGAAATTGAGGCATACACAAACACACCAGAAATTGAAAGTTGCGCCTTCAACCCCATTTCGAGAGATCTCTCTTCGCTTTTTTTTCTGCACTCACTTTGCCAATATCTCTGAAATTTAATCACATTATGACTGCATTCTTTTTTCTCATTGCACATTATTTTTTTTTGGTTATGATACTTGGAAATGTATATATATGATTATTATTAGGTGTGTGAGGTGCAGCAAAAGTTCATATTTGCCATGTTGACTGATCAATGAGGTAGCCTTTAAAAATACATATACGCACATTAAGTTTGTACCGCGTTTAAAAATATTTAGATCGAGGACATATTCCACGCTCTCGTATTAAATATAGAGTCTCGTGAACTCTGGGCCGATGGAGACACACGGCGTGGCGATGGCAGAGATGAAGTTTCCATGCAAGAGAACTTCTCTTTTCCATATCTCGTTTGTGGCGCGAAAGTGCGGGTTGTAGCGTACCGCCAAGGATGGCTTTTCACGATAAAATTTTTGGCATTACGATATGGGCGTTCACGCAACTGGACAATGATGGCCAATTTTCGACTTAAAGCGCTCCAACCAAATTCCCCAGATGACAGCAAAATTGTAAGAAAATCAGTAAGGATTTTCTCTGCACCAGTCTTAATGAGAAAACAATGAGACTTTGAGGGGACAGAAGTGAGGCGGAACTCCGTGAGTGAGTCATTGAGTGCAATTTTCCTCAAGAACTGCGCTGACAATTATTTTCAACGACTTCAGGTTTGATACCAAAAGCTCTGGCAACCTCGACAGGCGCGATCACAAATACAATATCAATCACGAGTTCAAGAGTCTTTTGACAAACAGCGAAAAGACCTTAACACCCAACACCACAATTGACCACCTTGGAGAAGCTTCTATTTGGCGTTAATGAAAAATTCCTCTTGTCAAATTGGGAGAACAGCGTCTCCCCACCCATGAAAGTGGAGCTTTTTTCATCACACACTCTGAATCAGCGAGCATTTTTCTAACTCTCTCAAATGACTTAATTGGGAGCTTGTGTGAAAAATTGGATTCCACAGTTGCAAACACACCCAAAAATAACACATTTCACCTTGATGCTGTACCTCAATGCAATAGATTACAAATTGTCTTGGGGCCACAATAAATTCATCATCGGCCACGATCACCACGGGGAGACTCTCGCGAGATCCGCCACGATCGGAGCTGTGTGGGAAAATTCCCTTAACACCACACAGAATTATACAATCTGTATGAAAATGGTTCTTGGGTGTGAGGAAAATGCCTCTATGAAAACTTCGTTAAGGACCTTTAGGGCTCTTCAGTCCGCGTGATTGGCCAGAAGAGTCGCAAAATTAATTGAAACACCGCGAAACATGCTTAGTAGATCACGACACCTTATTAAGTGTGACATTTTGTGACAGAGAACAATGAAGAAATAAATTTGGCATTTTCAGAACATTCTGTGACTTCTCCGCATGTTGTGCGTAATTCAGAGTGACTGGAAATGTTAGATAATCTTAAGCCTTTTATCGTGCATTCGTTGATGGGCATTGATGAGCGGAAACATCTGAGAAAAGCTCACAAAAGCTGATAGCTCTATTGATGGTGTGGGAATTGGTCGTAAATGCAGATTGTGGTGAATTGAGACAGGTCAGGTGTGAGATGGAGATCAAATGGCCTCATAAAAGGAGAGTTTTTACTGGTCAATCAGCACATGAAATCGCCATTGAATGAGCTAAAAATAGCCGGATCTTTTCACTCTCTAAAGCAAATTGAGAGAGAAAGAGATTAATAATTGGATAACACCTCCTTGTTGTCAGTGCTGTGAATTGTTTACAAGAATCTCGAGATATTTGTGCATGGGGCAAATATTTCATGTTTCACTCTGAAAACACATACACGACAAAATGTTGATCACCAATCGATTGAGACAATGTAATTTATCGATAGATAATTTGCATGTAATTAGTTTGAATTGTTGTGGCGAATAGGCCGTCGTGGCAATTTGATATTGGCATCGTATCGACCCACGCTTCTGTGTTCGAATGTCGATCGTGTGCAGAATTAAATTATTGGCAAAATCGTCCTGCAGCGAGTAAGTATAATTGTTACGTATCGCGATGTTATTAGATCATCTTGCCGAGGGAAAGGGACATAATGCGTTACAATTATTTATCTATGGACAAAGAGTGTGTGTGTGTTAAAGTATGAATGTGTGGTGAAAGATTTTGAGTCGATATTGAGATAATAAAATTAATTTACAAACTTCTTTCTTATGTAACCACACTCGACGTGAGATTGTGTGACATGTCAATAAAAATGAATCATTTTCTCGTTCAATAAACCTCCTTCTCACTATGAGGGTTCACTACTCGAAAAATTACCCCAAGTATGGGATTTAATTAAATTTTATTTCTCCACGATCGATCTGTGATAGTACAATTAATGCCCATGATTTATATTTCCAATGCATTTTAATGTCGTCACATTGCGAATATTTTTCTGCGAGAGAAAAAAAACGTCTCTTTTTGGCTCATTTTGCTCAACACTCTCTTGCTCTTAATTGAATGTATGACAATGTGCGCGGTGATATTGTGAAATTCTCACCGCCCAAAACAACCGTGTCGCGATCACTGCGCGACTGGCGATCGAGGGCCAAGGAAGCCCTTCATGAGATCATCATGAGAGCACTTTCCTCTCCGTTTCGGTCCCATTCGGCGCGATGGGAACCCCCTCAGCAAAAAGACAACGATGGTGATCCAGTTTCACACCGTGTGGACACTCGAGTGACCTCCCCAAGTGACTGACTTTTATAATCTCGCGATCGGAGTGTAATTTAATTTCTTTTTTTTGCCCCTGCATTCACGAGGAAAATGAACGATGTCAATTGGTCTTGTTTCTGCGGATGAAGCCACACAGATTGGCATTGATCTAGCAAATTCAAATTTATTGCATAATTTTGTCTTGTATTTTATTCAAATTTTTATCACCAATTCACACTTGGCGCGATTGACTGGGCGAAGTGCAAACAAGGTTAATCGATTGCACAACAGGAGCTTAAAAGCTCAGTTCGTAGAAAGCTTGTCAATCCGATGGAATGCTGTCCCATTCGTGGTGTCTCATTAATTTACTAATTTTATGTATATCACCACGAAAATGTCCTCTCAGCTCAAGAGAATTTGACTCAACTCGAGATCACTTGCGATTTCAGCGCACTTTTACTCGTGAAGCGATTCATTGCCCATGAATAATAAATTCTTGAAGGAAAATCCGCTTATTTATCACTCGACTAGCTTGATAAATCTCTCAGAATGTAACAGGCAAACGTTGATAAAGTCAATTTCTCCTTAAACCATAATCTCTGAAAGTACAGGATTCGAAGGAAATAAATGATCAACGCTTGAAAGTTGTGAGATTATGTTTTTTTCTTCTTATAAACCATTGATAAATGTATCACTCGAGGTGCGACATCGCGGTTGTAAGTGATCAAGTTGAGAGGCAACATTAAAATTAGTGTGTATGTTTTTTTTTGTCAACGTAGGTCATTGGAATGCGAACGAGATCAATGAAAGATGGAGACAAACGGTGCAGAAAAAATTCCACGTGAGATCATTGGACAAAAAAGTAAAAGTGCCCAAGATGAAAAATCAATAAGATTTCAAGTTTAATTTCAATGTATTGGATTTGATTTTGCCGATGGGAAGGTTTCGCGCATATATTTCACACTTCACGAAAATTGCTCAATATATATATGTGATGTGAAATGCGCCCCTTCTCTAATTGTCCTGTGACGGGCAAATTGCAGTGCTAAGAGAATGTGGAAGTGATCTGTGCAATTGGTGATCTTGCGATAATACCAAATAGATCGTCGATGATCGCGTAAGACATCACTTTAGTAGCTGTGAATGTTGTTGCGATTATTTCTGCGTGGAAAAACACATCACAGGGCAATTACTGTAATAATAGCCTCTCGATTTTCACGTACACCCCATAAGCAATCTTTCTGCACTCCATTCAGAAGGGAATATCTATTTCACTCCCAATTGAATTCAACAAACAACTCTTTTTCTTTGGGCTCTTTCACTCCCGCGCGTATCGCGCTTTGGGCGATTGGACGTGATCTGCAAATTAATACACTTGTATGTGAGGCTTTATTGAGAAAACACAATTGCAGAGAGTACTGCAGTGAATAAAAAGGAACAACAAAATCTACCATTTCTTTCGCTATAAATTAAATTATAAATTATTGCACACCAGAAATCTCAGGTGATTTCACGCGATCGCAGGATGGTTGTCGATCTCTTATCGGCGATAGGAGATCTCTACTATGATGAGTAGTAGTCTGAGTTGTATTTTGCGTAGACTGGCACGACTCGCACTTTGTCCTTCGACAGCATGGTCTGCACCATTCGCGAGGACGCCACTCTCTGCTCGTAGGAGTCTTCGGGGAACAGCACGGGTCCCTCTTGCCGCGACGGCTTGTCCACGGTCCTGAAGTAGCTGGAGTACTCGATCCGGGGGGATTTGTACTTCGACGAGTAGTGCTTGAATCCCGACGAGGAGTACGACCGCGGGGGTTTCTTCGGTCTGATCGTGTAATGGTGTGGTTTGTAGGCCGGTGAGTAGATCTGATTGAGGCGAGGCCTTTCGCCACCCGGTGGGAAGGGATATTTCTCTTCGGGCTCGTCGTGATATGATGCCGGCTGCCATTCTTCGAAGTACTGGCGATATCGCGACAGATCGGGCGGAGTTTTGCGCTCGTACTCGCCGTGATTGATGTAAATGGGTCGATAGTCTCCGCTGGCTTCGTAATTGTGAGACTTGTGGACCGGACCATCGGGTCTCAATTCGATCAGTTGCGGTATTGTCTTGATCGTCTTGGCCAAATCCACGGGATTCTTATCATAATCCCGGCCTCGTAGATCCGAACTCAGCACAATGTGCTCCTGATCCTTGCTGTAGTGGTTGATCTTTGACTGAGACGACTCATCGTCCTCCAGATATGTGGCAATCGGATGATCGTACGTCTCCGATCGCGCATTTCCCGAGGGATCGTCGTGAGGATGGACGTTGGGTCCTTGAGTTTTCACCACCGCATTGAAACCATTCGCGGCGTCTGCGGTGTAGTCAACGATCCTGATGGATCCATCGGGCTCGACAACGCTGTAGTGACCCTTTATCACGCCACCATCGCGATGCTCCCACTGAGATTTCACGTCTCCTGTGTGAACGTCCTTCACGCCATAGCTGAAAGCGTATCCGGGGTGTTCCTAGAATGTGCAGAAAGTTGCGAAATTGTGTACTTTTTATAACGCCCATTCGACTTTACGATCATAATTATGGCCATAAAGCATTTTCACAGCTTCTCCATCACAAGACAGTGGCTAAAATTGGAATAGGGCCTCGTGGAGAATTTTGAAAAAAAATATAGAAATAAATTTTCTTTTGCCTGATTTTTAGTTTTATATAAAAATTATGATTTCTTTTTCTCATTAGCAGTTGTTTGTACAATCAATTTGTCGATTTAATCTACGTGAAAGCCTACACATAGTAATGCAGGTTTAATGATAATAATTCCCAAGCATCTCTCTAATGACCACAGGAGAGGATCGACTGGTTAAAGGCGAGCAGATATTACCAGTTTTATGGAATTCATAAAATATTATAATGACACAGTTGGAAATGAAATTTATTAGAAAACTTCTCTCCTCAGTGAATATGATTTTGCATATGAAAATTTGTGCGATTTCTGATGAGTTTATTAGTGCTGAGTAATCTCTCCATTTAGCTTAAGTGATATTTATGCAAATGTCGTGCAATAACACAATTTAATTGGATGACCTACAATTTGAGCCTATGCCACACAGATGATTTCCTAACATTGCAAAGGCAACAAACTAATTGTGGAAAAATGTGCGCGTGGTGGAAGAAAAAAGTCCCCAGAGACACCTCAATCAATGCACACAGTGTGCAAGAAATGTCAGTGGAATGAACGTGATAATGCTAATTTTCTGCCACATCGAGCAATTACAGTTGGATGGAAAAATATTGTAATTAAATTAAAAAAGAGCAAACATATGCTATACTTGATAGCCAATTTTCTAATCTCACTGACAATGTTGCAAAATAAAATGAAATAGATTATTAAAAGTGTACAAGAAGTCGATGTTCGTTTTCCAAGCTGGACTGCACAACACTCTCTTTTCACTCGAATACGAGCAACATTTAGCTCAACACTGGCAATGGTAATTAAAATCCGTCCATTTGGCAATCAGTGGCAAATCCACAGTCTCTAGAGTGTTGTAGATAGAGAGGAAATGAATGATTGCGGGATGCTTTTGATAAAACTTTCTTCTTCTGCTCAATGTCTGGAGCCTTTTGAAAAACTTCTAGACATTTTCTATGCAAAGTATGCATTAAGGCATTTTACCTAAATTGTCTACGCATTTCAATTTCTTCAGCAACTTCTCTCTCGCGCCATTTTTTGCATCAAATATGGAGATGTTGTTGGAATTGATTACTTGATTTACTTAAATGCGATTCTAGCCTCAGGCTTCTCTATTCCGTCTCTCCACGTACTGGAAACCTTCCTCTCTCGAACTGAATGTGTGTCTATAAAACCACTTCTTTTCGTATTGATACAGAGCCATGTTGGCTATAAGAATTCTGCCCGAAGAATTGAATTTCTTTTGAATAAATCTTCTAAAGACTGTATAAATTCGACAGGAAATGCTGTGATCTTAGGAAGGGGTTGAAAATAATTAATCAAATCACTGCGTGACGATTATCAACACGATGCTGTATAATCATTTTTTCACCATCATGGATGAATGAAGAAAAATTTGCAATGTGTAAAAGTGGCAGTTGGAATTCACTCCATTCCAATAAAATCCATTTTCCGCCACACACAACAATGTTCTTGGACGCGTGTTGGACGCATTACGCAAGATTCAACAATTCCTCAGCATTCTTGTCAGGAACTATTAACGCTCTTTTTTTTTCTCTCTCTCCTTTTATACCCCAGTTTTATTATTGTATTATTTTTAAGCTACCCAGAGTTGGCCTTTTTTGTCTTGTGCGTCGAAGGGAGCGAGAAGAGAAAGAGCATCCAGTGGTATGGCGCCAATTAATCAAAATAAATTGCATTGGCGGTTGTGAATTGAGAGTAAAATTGTTGCCATGGGGGTCGGAGGAGGAAAATTGAAAGCCATGGAGTCTGTAGAAGAGCGTTAATTGTGGACTTTTCCACTTGCGCTATCAAATGGAGTCATTTACAATAAAGTATGGAGACAATTTACGCCAAGAGGAAATTGCGAGAATTCCGCAGGGAGGCATCAAAGTGCTGAGAAATGTTCATGTCTCTGCATAGACGTGCGTTTCGCGAGAAAATCTCGCGAGAGTTTCACTCAACCTCTCGCTGACTTGAGCGCGAGGATTGCCCAACTGATTTCTCAAACCTGTATTCAACATCCTTCAGGATGATCGCCATGGTGAGCACTGTTTGGCCAACAAGGTTTTAACACATCGCGCGCCAATGGAGTAGTTGGAGCATTTGAGAGAAGTGTTTATATGGCAAAATTGATATTCATAAATCACTGCACTTTTTGTGTCTCTCTCTCTTTCACACAAAATGTGTCGCCCACAGAATGGAGATTAAAAGTGCGTAAAATGTGTAATTTATTTCAAGATAAAATATCTCAATGCGAATTTATTAAAAGTGTGGCGTGGTGAAAAAGTAAATTAAATTATACGTGACGTGTGTGGCACGAAAATCGCGTTCCACCTACTATAAAATAATTAGAGAATATATTTATATGTTTTGTAAGAAAAACTGACCATATTGGATTTCATTGCATTTCATATACATCGCACAGATCTGTGTTGACCTGCATTTACCTCTTTTCAATATTCTACTAAGTACCAATATTTTCTAATGTTCAATAAACTCCGCATGAACTATTATCGTATTTAATTGAACTCTTTGCAACTTTGTGCTCGTGGAAAGGTCGTCAGCGTCATTTCGGTGCATAATAACTTAATTCTGTATTTATGGGATATTTTTCACAATGATTTGTTAGTCTAATGGCCACTCGAATCCACTGCGTTGGAGTGTCTAACATTTCTCTTCGGCAAACTGAAAACTGAGTGAGCTTTTATCAAATATTCCTGGGAAACTTAAAAAATACGTGAAATTTTCTCGCTGAAAGCAGCTTGACTTTGTCAATTGAGTCATAAAGCTACTGTCAAACTGAATTAATAAATTTCAAATTATTATAATTGAAATGTTTTATTATAATTACAAATCAGTGCCAATCAAGTGGCTTTTATGTTTCTCTGCTTGAACATAATCGTAATCCCAGCTTCCATAGCAAATGTACGACATTCGAAAGTTCTAATACATAATGTAAAATCTGAGAAAACAGAATTCCTCTAAAGATAGCGATTTGCCGGTGCGGCGACCAAATGAATATTCATGGAGATCTGCAGTGGGAACCTTGGCGCAAACGAATAACCTGAGTGAGAGAGACACACGCATAGGAATTCAAGACGAAAAGTACCAATTAGCAGATAATTTACAGGTAAAACTAAAGAGCCAGTTTATCAAAATATTCATTTGGATTGACACAGTAGAATGTGCATTGCTGGTTTTGCGCGAGTCGCGCAGCCTTATCATAAAATGGTTTTCAATTCCACTCTTGAACCACATTTAGTGGCGGATTATTTATGTCTGGGCTGTCGATAAATTACAATTGGCAAGAAAACTCTGTGTGTGACTCTTTTTTTTAGGTCTCTTGCACCACTCTCTCGTCATCATATCTTGGGGTATATTATGGGATAAAATAAATTAATTATATGGTTTTCTCTACTGAGCCACTGAGAGTGTTTAAGAGAGCGACTGCTCGTGCACCAGCTGAAGCACATAATTTATTTAAAAGCTGCCTCTACGATCACCAAGATAACAATCTGCACATTTTTTTTCATGCCTCTTTGTCTTTTTTCCCAGCACTTTTCCGCCGTGGCGGCGGGGAGGGAGGTGGAAAATTCACAGATGAATTTATAGTGCAACTTTTGCCAATTCAGGTCATACTTTGACTCTCGCTCGTCCGAATCGTACTAATTGATCCACACCCAATTCAATTAGGGGCCATTTTCTGCACACCAAAAGCTCTTGTGCGCGCGCGCGAAAGCTCACTTACATATTCAGGCGCATAGGACATGTGCAGGGCCGAAGCTCCGTGATTGGTCACGTCCATGAGGAGTGTCGTGATCACAAAGAGTTTCCACATGGTTGAAGCTATCTGCAAAGGAGGAGAAGAAGAAAAAAAAATTGGCCGTAAATTAACTCTCTCGCTCTCCCTTCTTTAGCACCATAAGGCAATTATTTAACAACTTTGACTCTCCGATTGGGAAATTCGTCCGACACAGGTTGTACTGCACATTCTAGAAAACTCAAAATCGTCGATAAGTGTGCGTTTTGCCAATTAACTCAATAGACAGTACATGATTGTGATATTTTTCGCTGTAATTGTATGAATTTATGAATAAATTGCGCACTTTCCCTGCATTTGCCGATGAATTGTGCGAAAGTGGAAAAAGGGAGAAAAAGGAGTGAGTCACAAAAGTCGAACAAGTGATAGCAATTTTCCACAGAAGCACTGCAAAAATGCATAAATGTTGGAAGCACCTCAATATCTGCAAAATTGCATACCGGCTCTTGAGATACAGAGAGTTAGTTAATAATAAGACATGCCAAGATGAAAAATAATATAACTGAGCGACACTGTGGATATGACTTTTGCATAATTGACACATCAGACATTTTTTCACCCAAATGATGTTGTTCAGTTTCCAATGAAATTAATTTATTGCAATGTGCGTGCAATTGCGGGTAAAATGCAATTAAATGTTAATCAAACATGTGAAATTTTTCATTATTTCGCATATGGGAAAAAGAATTACGAGTGCGCCTCGGGGTGTATTATTTTAAATTGGAAAATTTGTTTGTCTTGTACTTGTTGGCGGTGTGTCATATGGAAATGAGCCATGGAGGCGCCTGGTGTGTTTGCAGAACACTTCTCGCGTTCACTTCTTGTTCTCGTTTGGCATGCAAAATGCACTCTAGAGAGTGAGACACAATTATTTGGCTGCTGACTATTGCCTGGGGGAAATGGGAGTTTTATTGATGGTAAATTGAGTGAGAAATTACTCGGCGATAAGTACAATTACTGCGGAAGACAATTTTTCAATTATTTCCCCATATATTGACACTCGATTGCTAATTCACAGCAATTGCAATGGGAGTTTCCCACGAGTTGCGGATGGAAAATCGCGTATTAAACAAAAGTTTCCATGTATGAACATTGGTGAGGAAAATGTGGGATAATCGCCCAGTGTATTTTGCTGTATTTGTAGTCTTCATAAGCCATTATTTAAGGCATTATTCACTAGTACATCGTACTGAGTGGGTCTGCTTTGAAAGACTGCATATTTCATCGAATTTAAATACTAAGATTGCAGATAGAAATCACCTTCCAATCAGCAAAAGGCATTCTTCACACATTTGTGTCTAAAAGTGTCGTGATACTTTTGAACAATTGACTGTGAGCACAGAAAATTCACGTGTTGACAGAATATCCATTCATGCAAAAGCCACCGAATCACCTCACAAAGAGAGCTTGAAACTGCGAGCTTTTCTTGCAAATCACTTGATCACTTTGAGTGCACTTTTCACTTTGTCACTTGAGCATCTTCAGTTTGGCGTATTTATACCTCTGCGGAGAGGTTTTTCTGCTTCTCCTGAAAATGGCTCTTTCACGGCGCAACATGATCATGAATCACCCACTTGACTTGCACAACGCACACAGTCGCGAGACCTTGGCAATGAAAGTTAGAAGAGATTCGCCGCGATGATGGTGGGAGAGAGCAGAATATGTTGAGGAAGATCGTGGTTGCAAGCGGGGAAAGATCGAAAGGAGTTCGCGCGAGCGCGCGGCCAAGGTGAAATTGAAAACGCTGATTCTTTTGCAAAATGCACGAAAGTATCGGGAAAAGGTCATTCACGACAAACACCGCGCATTTATATATGGCAATCGGAGATCGTGATCGTGTTCTTTGAAGTCACTATCACGACGCGCGATCAGCAATGCCAGGAGCTTTTCTGCACTCTCCATGGCGAGCTTTTTTTCTTTCTTTCTTTCTTATGCATCTCTGTTGTTTCACTTTCAGTGAGATGTGTGACCATTTCACTCACATTCACCGGAAAACCAGTTTGCTGATGATCGTGAGAGAAGCGCAAGATCTTCATAGGTTGCTGTAGGTCAATAATATCATCCACACGGATTCGCAGATGCGATTGTGTGTGTTACGGAGAGTGCATAATTTTTCCCGCGTAATCCAATGTTTTCGAGATTGAAAGGGAGAAATTTATTAGCTTCTACTTTGATATTTTCACTTTATTCTTGAAACAGTTTCGATTTCTACTCAGAGCTGGTTTTTCTCCTCCGTGAAAATGAAATCGACATTGTGATGAGAAGGGGGTTAGTGACACGATCTCGCGTATGCAGTTCGTCCGTCTCATTATAACTAACATGAAGAGTTAATATTCCAGAATTAGTATTTGCACTCAGTATTAGATTAATTGACGATAGTAATATATATATTTTTTTCCATATGGCAATTAGTTCAATGGCTGTGGAATTGAAAGAAAATGTTGAACTTGAGACGAGATGAACATTGTCAGTTTGCTGGCGGTGATCTTTCCCCGATTCAGTGGCTGTATAATTGAATTTCTTTTAGAAAAGCCTACCCGACAATATAACAAGTTCAACGTGATCATTATGAGTGAAGTGATTGGCATTTTATGGCGATCGTGAGTGGTGAGAAGAATTCTTTTCACTGCATGCGAGCAATCGCCGAAAAGATCACGTCCAAATATTGCTCGCCCAGCTAGAGACATTGAAAGGAGACACACTCTTGTTTTATAATTTATTTTCAGCATATAAATAGAGCTATTAACAATATTTATGAGCTTTTCATCGTATTTATCTCTAGCAAATTTGATGATATGAAGGCGTTTGATAATAATTGCTAGAAAGTGAAAACATTAAGTTTCAATTAAGGGTATATTGGCTATGTGTCATCATCGAGAATGGAGTGCTGTGGAGTATTATCACAAAACTTACGGCGCGGATGGACTTTGGGATGCTCTACTTGATCTACGTGTTGATGGGAAGGATCTACAAATAGAGGTTGTTATTATTGTAGCTATAAGCTCCGTGGTGATGGTGGCCATATCCGGCGCCGAAGCCTCCATCGAAGCCAGCTCCGCCGAATCCTCCGGCTCCGCCAGCGCCTCCTGCGCCACCAAATCCTCCAGCACCACCAGCGCCCCCGAAGCCTCCAGCACCACCAGCGCCGCCGAAGCCTCCAGCGCCTCCGGCGCCGCCGAATCCTCCAGCTCCACCAGCACCGCCGAATCCTCCAGCGCCGCCGTAGATATGAGGATGGTGAGCGTGGCCGATCTTCTTCACGATCGCATTGAAGCCGTGGTGCTTATCGGCCACGTACTCCACAACGCGCTTCGTGCCATCGGGCTCATACAGGTAGTAACCGCCTGAAAGTATGGGAATGCGAGCCTCAATTCGTGATCGCTTGACTTGAGAACAGTCGCTGAGACACTCACCTTTCACGGAGTCACCGTGTCTCTGCTCCCACTGTTTCTTGTGGTCGCCAGTGTGGAAGTCTTTGACTCCGTAGTCGAATTTGTAGTGCGGATAGTGCTGCAAAATAGTCAGGGGTTGAAGGGCTTGGAATGCTCAGCAGGAATATTGACACTCACCCAGTAGTGATGGTGATCACCACCATATCCGTATCCTCCAATGTCACCGCCGCCGAAACCTCCGCCAGCTCCTCCAGCTCCTCCAGCGCCACCCCCGAAACCGGCACCGCCGCCGAATCCGCCATCAGCACCCCCGCCGAAGCCACCCCCAAAGCCTCCACCGTAGCCATAGCCACCCCCGTAACTGTTATGGCGATCGTGTCTGTGCACATAGCTCTGGGCGACTCCGGCAGCAGCCACGGCGACGCACGCGAAGAAACTCACCACCTGCAGAATTGTGTTTCCATTAGTCAGATGTTGGTGGAAATCATTGAAGAATATTGCAGCAATTTCGCGCAAAGAAATTACTTGCGGAACCATAGAAAAAGACGGTAAACAAGCAATGATTTCCCAAGGATTTTTCACTTTAATACACCCAATGCCAATGTGAAGAGAAGTTTTCATGGTTGAGTAGCAGTTGGTGCTTTGGAAATTGCACTACTCTGCGGGTTGAGTGGATGCAATTAAGTGATATATTGCAATAATTAAAAGGGAATTGATTTTATATAACAGTTTCGCACCTTTTCTATAGAAATACGCAAAAATATTGAGTGAAATTAGATGGCTGATTGAACAAAGCGACTGCCAATTTCGAATTGTACAATTGAATGTAATCCTTTGTGATACACTTTGAGATATGTTTAGGAATTTCTGCGAAATGTATGTTGATGAAATGCAGCGATAAACTTATAAAGAAACATTACGTGAAATATTAAGTATGATATGATGTGCAAATTGAAAATATCGAGCTTGGAACACGAGTAATTACATGATTATGCATAGTCTAACATTTAATATGAAATTTTCTGACTGGTTATCTCTACTGTTCATAACGTTTATATTCCGCTTTATTTGGTTATACCAAATCAGTCATGAAATCACGCTCAATGCTAATCTTGCATCAATTTAATTGATTCACAGAGATTGTGTAAGTCGATAGTATTTTGATATAGAGCACTAAGGATTAACACTCCTTCCAGAATGACTTAACAATCCACAGTTTCATCCTTATTGAGCACAACACCTTTGGCGAATTTGTCACTTGTTATTAAGTCAGAATATTCTAAAAATACCTTGAGAGTCTGCATCCTTATTTATATTATATTAAAGCTCTTCTGAGAACGCCTGCGAAGAACACGAGGAAAATTCGCACTGCGTGGCAGGTGAAAAAAGACTGATGGTCTGGTTACCCACCATGTGAGCTTTTATACAAGAACAATTTAAGCTGTGCAGTGCTGAAATGTGCAGAGAAAGATTGCACCCACCACCCCAACTAATTGAAAACAAACAATAAATTATTTGCCAACACATTCCGATCGAAAGTGGAGTATTGTGAGTGATTTTCAATTTTCTGCCGCGACCTGAAAGACTGGGAGAAAGAGAGAAAAAAAAGCCACTGAGATGGTAGGGAACAACGCAACTCTCTTTACCCAATGCCCTTTGTGGCAAGGCGATTTGCAAGAAAAAAAGGCGATGAAGTTTGCACTCGATCAGTGGCGAAGGTGCAACATTTTCTCAGTGATTTTGATGCAACAAGAATGCACCGCAAATTGCACCAAATGTCTTGGCAATTTATGCATGCTCTGGGTCTTGTGGTGTCTTGTTGTCCACACACACTCTTGAGGAACTGAAAAATATCTGGAAATCTCCCATGAATTTTCGCCCTCCGCGCGCAAAATGTGAAGAAATTTCCTTTCTCACCTCTTTGCCAATCACGATCACAACATTGTCGTGTAATTTCATCAGTAAATCACACCGGAGGGAAGACGTGAAAAAAAAGTAATTTATTCAAGAAATATTTCAATTAACATTATTTCCCTGGCGTATAGAATGAAATTCAATTTAAAGCAAACACTGCTTACACACTTTTTTGCATCTCAAGTGATAATGACTGTAATTTCAGGTGGTAATTTGTAAAATATCACCATTAATTTTCATCTCTATTGGCTCTTAATGGTCTCACAGTGAGATCGGATTTGAGTGACGAGTTGTGTCACAACCTGTGAAAAACCATAATTAATCGATTAATAATTTTTCTAGCGTGTCTCCACGGCGGCGGGTGGGCGACCAGGCTGAATATGACGCCAGAGCGTGAAAGAAGTGCAGACTGTGCAAAAATGCACCTGCAATTATGTTGCAATTAATTGCAGAGAGTTTTTGCCTATTGCAGAAAATACGTTACATGGTCAATTTGCAGGGTGAATGTGGGGCAGAAAGGGTGATCACTCGCCATGGATCATAAATCACGGTTCCGTTTGTCATTTCGCGGTAAAATTGCTGGGAAAAGAGGTTCTGAAGAGAAAATGAAATTTGCTCATTTATAGGACGAAATATTACACAAACAATATTTTGTGAAAGACATCATCAAAGTAGTTATTAAAGAGCAGAAAATGTTAATTAACTTCTTCTCAGTTAAATCTTCAAATATTCAAATTTTCACACTTAAGTTTTCCTTCTCAAATGACATGAAAAAAAACATAAAAAGACGCATCTTATTTCTTTTATATGGATTTTTGCAGATGTTACCAAATCACTTTCTTCCAGTGCTCAGTATTTTTTCTCTCTCTTGTTTTATAATACATATGGAGTATTTTCTATGCAAATAGAAAGGAACTCTTCATATAATATCAAACAAAAACTCTTAAGTAAAATGGATCATTGATTTCAAATCGATTCACCTAATTGATTAAATATATTCGTGCATAGAAATAGTCTGAATATTTCCATAATCCATTTTGCTCTGAATATATTTTGCATTAAGCGCACTTCCTGTAAGTCAAAAGCCAATTCCTGCGCATGCATTTTAACCCACATAAAAGCTCTGGTGGAAGGAAGCTCGCGCAATAATTTCACCTCACTTGATGCGTCCCTTTCGCGGCATTAATCTGTGCCATGCACATGAATTTAGAAGGTCTCTCGAGTCGCTGCTTTTTCACTGGAGCACAAACAGATGGTTTTTCTGTCTGCATTCTTCACTTTTCCATCTTCTTTTGTCAAAAGCACACTCGCAATGTAATTGTTGTGCTCTATTTTCTCACCTGTGATCATTGATGTTTATCACGATCGCATTACTCTCGTGTGTCTTTCGCGGTGCACATTTGCACGATTCCCATCAATTCGAGTTGTGCACGCTGAAAAAAAAAGGCGCCGAGAAGTCAATTGAAGTGTGAACAAGAAGTGAAGTGACGATGGTAATTAATAATAAATGGGATAATTTGCCTTTTCAATCACGCAGTGAGACCATAAGTTTGACACAGTTCAATTGCGAAATGCCACCTTTTTTGTGCACCTCCGCGGCGAAGAAGAAGAATTTAAGTGAGACATTTTCGAATGTCTCGAGCCCAAAAAGTATACCTCTAATGTTTCCAAAACCTGAGGTCGTCAATGTGAATGTGAAGGCTGACGGCGTTTGGTGGTAAAATATTTAGACAGGTCGATTTTGAGTATGACTTTTGCTGCTGAGGAGATTCAAATTGGCATGAGAAGGTGAGAAAGAAGCACGATGTGAACAATTAAAAGTAATTTTGTGAAAAATTGGCCAATTTAGGAGAGCGCTCAAATTGATGTGATGATGAAAATATAGGCGCTGATCGCTGGCTTTCGCCTTCAATCAACGAGGAAGCCTCAACCGAAGGCGACAGGTGAGCAGTCGATGGCATTTGCAGATGCTTCAGGTGAATCGATTAATGAGGAGGAATATTGTGGGTTGTGAAACGCTCACGCTATTTATAACACTGGGTCGTCTGCACAACATTATACAACATATCGCGAGATGGTGCTAAAATTTCACTTTTTCTCGATAGCGCGAGAGAGAATTGATGGAATTTGAAGGCAAACACCGCGGCGCAGTCAATTCAGAACACTCTTGTCTCACAGGCGAAATCCCTCCACGATATCTTCCTACGCTCCTTGTCTTTCTTTCAGTCTGCGATTGCACCATAAGTAAAGAATTCTCATTGAATTAATGTTAAAGAAAAAAAACTGACACGATACTCATTGAAATCGATTTATTGAGACATTGAGTCAATGGAGAAATCAAAAAGTGCAGGCTTTTTAAAAGGATTTCACTTATATCTTGCCGACTTTTTACTCACTTTCTTCCAGTGCTGAAAAAAAGATGTTTCTTTTTGGGGATTGTCTTCAGAGCCATAAAGTGTTTCACTTGTAGTAAATTCAGGCGTACAATCGAAAACCCACGATTGGAAACCCCTAGATTGATGACATGAGTCGTCACCAGAGGGCTAGGTCCTCACGCGAACGGAGAGAGGGGAACTCACTTGGCTTTCGGTGCTGTGAGTCAGTCTCCTCTGAGTGGTTGAAGTTCGCCTGTCGATCCGCACCTTCGGGAGCCCATTCATAGGATTTAAACCCGCTCTATCGAGTCATCATAAATTCGCTACACACTTGACGATTGAATATGTTTAATTTATGACTTCTGCATGTTAATATCCCATTAATTGAATTCTTCAGAGTAATTCCAGTTTACCCAGTTTTCAAATTCCTATCGAAATAGACCAAGATCACACTTTAGAGACGAAAACAAGACGATTGCGTGGGTGGCGGCTAAAATTTGCACTAATACTGTAACTACTTCTTTTCAAGACTTCAATTGAAATGGAGATAAATCATCAAGGCTGGGTTGAATTCAAAACTTACACGTCTTTTCACTCAGCATTGTATGTCTTAATACGGTAAATATTTTGGCAGTTTTTATTAGCAGAACAGTTTTTATTAAAAAAAAATCCTGTCTTTTCTCTCGAATTCTGCTCGCCTTTATGAATAAAACATTTCAAAGATAAGATTGTGAGACGTTAGATGTTGCTTTCGCCAGCTGAAAAAGAGTCTCAAATAGAGATAGTTGTAAGATTATTGAGAGCTTGAAAGCCTTCACTTCTTCTCTTCAATTCTGGGGTGATTAAGTTCTCTTTTCATGGAATTCAGGAAGATCTGGCGGATAGATAAAAAGTCGCAAAATCTCCACTCAAGAGCGTTCTTCGGCGGTGTTTATTTGGTGAAATATTGGAAAGGGGGCTGCTGAACGAGAGCCACCGGCTCTGCGTGCTGCACGGGCTGCAGAGGCTGCCGCCGGTCGGATGCTCTGGTGTAGATGAATTGGTACTGGTTGGAGGCTGGCGTTCTCGTTCTGATGGCTGTCCTGAAGCCGCTGTCGCCGCTCACTTCGTATCGCACGGTGCGAATGACGCCGCCGGGCTCGAGAAGAGCATAGCTTCCTGACACTTGATCACCTCGCCGTCCCTCCCAGTGGTCCATCACGAGGCCGTCCTGGGGATTGTCGATGGCGTAGCGGAATGAGTACTTCACCTAAAACGAGCGGGAGGGAAGAGAAAGTCACTCGATCGCGGCGATCGCGAGTGCTCTTCAGCGGTCACTTGATCACACTGACCTCATCGTCGCGGTGGTAATTCTTGTAGTCCGCGTAGAATTCGACGAATTGCTGAAATGTCACGCGAAACAGTAGAAATGTCACCAGGTACCGGAATATGATCTGAAATTGCATGACAATGGGATCAAATGTTAAGCAATATAATGTGTGGCAAATTCAGGCCATGATTATGGGTGGAGAAGGAGGAGGACTTTTTTACACGCCACACAGTCAAATGGCACAAAGAGGCAAGAAAAATATTTGAATTTCAATCAATCAAGAGCACTTTAATACGACACGAGTGATTGTTGATCTTCGGCATTCTTTCAGAATGATCCGCAAAGGATCCTAAAATCCACTGTCCTTGGCATTTTACTGTCCCACCGGAGAAGTTCTTTTTCGTGCTGGGTGTTTTTTTTCCGCTTAACTTCTTGCGGCATGATTTATTTGACAATTTGAGCACTCGGGGACTTTGTGAGCTGATCCGGAGCTGTTATAAGAAGACAGTTGGGCGGAATAAATATATTGAATATTAAACTCAACTTGCAAATAATCCAATTTGCAAATTTAACTACACAGTGTTGCAAATTCTTCGCTATTCCTATATATATAGGAAAATCATTCAATTATGCGATCATAAAGTCTCAACTGCGGCGATCTGTGATTATGCAGCTTTATGGAAGCGATCGCGATCGCTTGAGACACTCTCAGCGATCGTGACTCGCTGCAGAGCACCGCAGAAGTGATCAAATCATCGCTTTAATGTGCGATGAGAGAGTCTTTCCTCATGGAATCGGAACTGTGCACTCAGAGCAGCTGGATTTCATGCTCACTTCCTCAACTCGAGAACCTGACCACAGTCAACCTTCGCTATTGTAATTGCTTCTCGTGTTTTATACAGAAGACACTCTCTGACCTTCTCCGCAGCGTAAAAACAACATCGTCGTAAACGGTTACAATTTCAGAAAAAAGAAACATTCTGCGCTGCAAGTGTCACGACTCGTAATGCTTTTAATACAATGTGGGTAACTAAAATATCTTCTCTTGTAGTTTATATATATTTTAATTGTCCGAAATTAGCATTTTTTGGGCATTTTTCCCCATAAAGACACGCATATCTGTGATCGAGTTTTTTCCCAGTCGCCGTTTTTGGTTGTTTTGCCTCATCGTCTCTGAACTTTTTTTGCTGGGTATTTTTCGTGTTACAGAAATGTCATCAAATGCCTTTGGGCACAATTGATCTTTTGCTTTACAGTTTCTTCCACTCACACCCAAAGTGCTAATCCTTTGACGAGACTTTTTGCAGTTAAACCGCTCTAGATATAACAAGACTGATATGGATTTTATATATTTCATGAAATTTTTCAAAATATACGAATTTAATTGCACGAATGAATTTCCAGTGTCTAGATAGTAAATCTCTTAGTTAAATCTCAGATTGAGAAATGAACTTCTTTGCTGTAGAGTTTATGGTGAAAATTTTATAATTAGAGACATTATAGATTTTGAAAAAGCACTAAAAATTTATTGAATTGCTTTCAGGTCACTTAATTTTTAGGATCTCTCCAACATTATCTCCAGAGCAACTTTGCAATTCACAAGAGGTTATCACAGACATGCATAAATTTATCTTGATTTCACACGGGTTTTTTTTCTGTTCCATAAATTATACTACTTTATAATAGATGATATCTTCATGAAATACAAAATGCCGTGATCTCGTAAGTCGTGATGATGCGCAAGAAACCATAATCTTCAGGTTACCGAGTTTTGATAGTCTCGTAATTCGTCCGATTAACATTCATGTTATTCGCATTTAATTGACAAAACAGTGTCCTGTTGAAATTTTCAATGATTACCGCCAAAACATATGCCGGAAACTTTCTTCAGGCAATACAGTTGGAAAAGATCGGCCATGAATGTGAAATTGAACGCCGCCTAATATGAATTTCATTGAGATTTCATCAGTGCAAGATCATTGGATTATCACACAGGCATCATATGGCGATCCCACGTAAATTGACTGACAAATTTACCCAAATTGATTCTTGCACAACATAATCGGTGAGTGTTGAATACATTGAATGCGGTGGACGGAAAAAAGAGATCACCAAAGGTGACTGCGCGACAGGAAGTAAAGTGTCTCAAGCGATAAGATTAAGTAATTATACAAGAAGTTCTTATTGGTGTATGGTTTGAAGTGAAAATTGTATGAATATTTAATGCAGATGATAAGAGTGACTCTCTGACGGATTGCGTAAGTCATCCGCGATCGATATGGACGCCGTCTGCGGATGGGAACTTCATGCGCGAGACTCACACGATCGCGAGTCAGCGAGAAGATGGATGAGAGGAGAATGTGACAATATAATCCAATTACTTGTCGAGGAGACGCTATTTAATTAAATTCTATTAAATAATTTATATTGAGTGGAGGTGATTTTTTTCTTGTATCATGAATTATGTATGATTTATGTCTTCCCACTGCGCGATAGTCATACGTAAGCCCACCTTCTGAACGTCCATCAACTTAGTCGGCGGACGGTGAGTCGCGAGCGACTCGCACGCGACATCTCAGCAACGACACTGCGCCCAGGGAAGTGAGAAGTGTGCACGAGTGGAGTGGCAAGAAGTGTGTGAAATTGATTCGATTGGTGAAATTGTGTGCAAATTTTCTCACTCTGGCTTTTCAATAAACAATCGCCGGGTGATCTCTCTTTCTCTCGCGGGCGTGCGCACTCTGTTGCACAAAAGGGCACGGGAAAGGGAATTGTTTATTTGAGGTGCGCAGCATTTCCGGGAGAGACTTCTGAAAATTTATTGGCCTACTCGACTGGCTGAGGTACGAATTATATCGAGAGGAAATAATTTGCGACAACATAAATTATTCACTGGACGTGGTGAGTTCTGCAGAGGAGAGTTTCGCGCGGTGTTTCTCTATGCTTAAATTTGCCAGCAATTGCTCAACACACACAGCGTCTTCCGAGAGAGGCAACAAGAGTGTCAAGAACACGCGGCGATCTCTGTGGCTTTTTTTCATCTCCTCAATGTATACACTTTTCAATTAAACGCCTGGAAAATAAATAATGCAATTAATTTATTAATTTCTCATTGTTCATTGTCACGTTTCATCACTGCAAGACGCTTAGAATTCAGCATTATGTACTCAAGATCACTGAGACTTCCATTCTCCGGGTGATTTTTTCTCCTTTGCGCATTTACATAACATGAAAGTGAATTCAAAGGCCATTCTTTGGACGAATTTGTATCGGGATTCACTGATGTGTTGCCGAAAAACCACAGAGTGTGAAAGATATGTTAAAAGGAATCTATAGGAAATATTAGTCAAATCGCCATTGGCTACTTACTTACTTCGTGGTAATTTATTGAATGAATAAAAGAAGTGCATAATTATACCTTCTTGCGAATGTCGCAATGGATATGTTATTAAATTAAACTGCCAGAGAAAGAATGCTAATCTATTTGTTCGAGCTTATTGCAAAGTGAGAGTATTGAAATTATTGCTTTTGGATTTTAAAAATTAAGACGATCCTCAAGTCAAGGGGTTTTTCTTCCTTGAGATATAATTTTTATTCTTATTTTCCACTCTCATTTGTATAATCAAATATGTTTTTAACACTTCCAACTCTGCTTATGCACTTTTATGTAAATCAATTGAATTTTTTTCCGTCAATAAAAAGGCAATGCTGAGAAGTGTTGAATATTTCCTTAAATCGCAGCATTCTCAGAGTGTTTCTTTCAAGTTGAGACACAATAACAGTGATTAACATTTATTTACATTTTATGTCATAAAAAAGTAATGTAACGCGGAGTGATTCAATTATAAAGGCCTATATATCAAGATTTTCCGGATAACTTTCGTGTTATGTTTTTACAACTTATAATTCTCGTCGGGGGAGCGTGTGAAGAAATCTCCCCTTGAACTGTGGAGCTGCGAAAGTGAAAGAGGAGAAGCAGTTCATGCTATACGTATGTTTTTTTTTTGCTCATTCATAGAGAATAACACTAGGAAGATCTTCGGTGCTTTGGCAGAAAAGATCACGTGTTTGTCGATTCACCTCAACGGAATTCAATATATTGAGGAAGGTAAGAAAGAGAAGCGTGTGAAGATCAATCAAATTGAATGAACATCGTACTCACCATTGTTGTGTGGAATTGCGAGGCAAAAATGACACTGAAAGGACACAAATGGGGAAACTCTTCTTCTCCTATTTCTTCTCCTCTGGCTGATGAAGAACGATCGCACAAGATCACCTCGCGGCCACCAACTAAGTGCGATAGTGATTTGAATGGGAAATTTATGTGTGTCGCTCGCGAAGATGATGAGGAATATTGAGATGGTAGGAAAGAAGACCGCAATTCAGCCACAGATGATGCACTAAATCGTGCCACAGACACAAGAATTGCTCTTGTACGTGTCTATGAGCATCAAGACGAGCGCATTTCGATGGCTTCGGCAGAGTGCAAAATTCCAGAGAACGTTGAGCAACAACTTTGAGCGTTGCCATAAGATCAAGCATCAAGCGCCCTGACTCCGATAAATCTCTCAGCTTTTTGGCAATAATTGCACTTTTTTGCCTTCTCTCCCCTTCAAAATCGCAGGACTTTCACTTCATCCGCGATGAGATTTTCTCAATTCCCGATTGACTAACTCCGTGAAATACTACTTTAGAGACTCAATATCGTGATCGTGGATGAACGCCTGGGTGAAATGTGTCTCAATGCAAGAGGACAAACCGTGAAGCCCATGAAGTGTTTTTCTCAGCAATGATTTTCATATGGCAAAAAGTCAATCTACCGTGAAAAATGTCTCTGAATTTCCATAAAAGCATTGGAGAAACACCCATAGAAATTACTTCCCCTTTTTCTTGGAACAGGAAAAAGAAGCGCAAACAGTGAACTTTCTGATTTTACATTCACCATAATCGGTGACAGTGGATTTACTTTGAGACATGGCAGACAGAAATATGTGGTAAACAATACCATTCAATTGTTCACGGAGAGTCACGACGTGAAGAGGGCAGAAGAGTAACAGCAAGATGTCATTCAGTTTATTTATGGCATTTCATCATTCGCCCATGTCTCTCTGAAGTGATGCTGCGCCGCACTGGAATAACTCAATTGGAATAATTCGTTACGATTGTGTCACGGAGTGATCGTTTCACTGCAAGTGATCGTCACTAAGCACTCCTACTCTTCACACTTTGCTAAAGAGGTGTGCAAAACTTAGATTTAGGGCTTTTCGAGCTCTGACGAGACAAGAAAAGCGAATGCGTTGGATAAAGAAAATCATTTTAATTTATTTCTAAAGAATTATAAAATGTCTACATTTGTTGAAACAGAAGCTTTTGTATATGAAAATATTTGAAATATTTTACCACTTCCAATTCCCAACACTTCCGCAATGCTGTACACCACTTCTGATCAGAATATCTGCCCCTTGTGTTGAACTATTTTCCTCGAGATATGCTTTTAAGACGACACATGGCTTCTTAGCACGGAGTGATGTCATCGTGTTTACCTTTGGGTAGAGAGTCAATTCATTGCCAACGGCTGGATGTGCACATCGCGATCATGCAAAATTGGAGTCTTTCGCAAAAGGCATTCAGCTTCAGAAAGCACAATCGTGATCAAGTGCGATCCCTCGTTTGGATCTCCCGCGCAAAGTGAGGTCGCGCGCGATCGAATCATCTCAGTGACTGAATCTATTGCCGAGGGAGCTCTATTTACACCATCGTTGGCGTCGTCGCCGCAATTTGACTAATTTATCATTGTTGGGATTGTTGGAGTGTCTCTGAATGTGTTTTTTCTGCTCTTCACGCTCTATTCTTGTCAATGTGTGTTCAACAGTGTGGGTTTTGGCGCTTGAAGGCTGCGCCACAGAGTGGATTTCAATAGAATTCAGCAGGTTTCACTGGATCAAACCAAAAAATTGTGTGTCTGCGTAGATAATGCAGATGATGGCGAAAAACGAGAGCAGCAGCGCGCCAAGGACTCTGCGCGATCGGAATGGTGAGAATGTGGATCATCGTAGCCTCGCTGATCCACTGTAGGCCCATTCTTGCGGCACCAAAGCAATATGGGAAGAGAGATTTGCGTCCAAATGGATTATATCTGGCTTGGGTGATTCAACAATGGCAAATTGTTCATACGCCTTTCTTCCACCGTGAGAGAGCAGCACTTTGAAGCTTGTGGTATTCTGTCATCTCGGAATCTTTCCAGTTTTGACTTATAGATCGTGTTCACCTTCAATATAGTTAAGCACATCGCCAGGCTTTAAATTTAAATTGTCGTTTTTGCAATTCACTCCACCACTGGTGGAGTTTATTAAAAGGCACTCCGCATAGGATGGGAATAATAAATGTTGACTGCGCGGTGTTTGTATGTGAGGACGATGATCAATGAAAGAAGGTAAAATGATGCTATGGCGATGAGGTGGAAAAAAATCCATACTTCTCCATCACACCATTTTCTGGTTGTATTTTAATTAAAATCCAAAACGATGAGGTGGGATTAAAACGTCTTCGACTTCGTTGCGCAACTTCAATTACAGTTTTGCCCATATAACATATGGAGTGTTCACTGGTGATACTTTTCTTGGCTGTATTTTATTAAATTAATTCAGAGGCTAACAAGCTATGGCATTTTACTCACTTCTGGTCTCCCATAAACTCTAGAGTGTCTCTTTTTTCTGGACTGCAGTTAACTTGTTGATGAACCTCCTGGGCTTGGAATTAATATCGATCTTAGGTAAATTGTTTTGAGAGTTAGTAAGGTAAGGTATTCCACAACTTGCAAGAGTATCACAACGAAGTGAGATTGTTTAATGACACAATCACCCAGAATGTGTACTTTAATTGACTTTCTCTCGAACGTACTCTAAAGGATAAATGCCTTCAATGTGATTCATCTGGGACAAAATCTTGGACCTGAAGGTAATTTTGTGTCTGTTGATTTATATTTTTTTCATAATCCAGAATAGAATTTATTTCCAAGATCTTGAGAATCATGCCACAGAGAAACACGATATTTCCTTCAGCTCTATATCAGCGGAGTTGCCATAAAGGGAAATATAACCTGGCCGACAAGCGAGGATCTCCTTGAGGTGAGGATCGGACGCAAAGGTCGTCGCATTGGTAAAGAATTGTGTCTCTCGTGCGAGACAGTTTTACTGTGTAAATAATAACAAAGTACAGTGGCAAGAAGAGTGAGGCGATTATGCAATTTGCATAGAAATCAGCTCGCAGCATTTTATGCAAATTGACCGATAAATTGACAATTACCATCTCGCAGTGGATGCCGATTGGAATCAGAGATATCTCAAGTCTGAGTGTGATTGAGTGATTGATGACGCTTCTACCCGGCCATTATCGACTGCTACAGATTTTACACTCTCGCGGACGCTGTGTGTGCTCTCGACGTCTTCTGGTTACAATTAAAACAACATTTTCTCAGTTCTGCATGCATATCTTGGAACTTCCCCCATCGCATATGCACACATGGACGAGTAATGTATTTGGGAAGCGCGCAGTGCAGGGCGAAGGTGACTCATTTCGCAATGTGCTCGTTCTCACTTGAATTTATTTGGAGCTAATGAAGAAGGTCAAATTTAAATATCATCATAAATCAAGTACAAATCATGCAATGTCAATCGACCATCAACACAGGGGCGAAAGATATCCGCCCAGTAATTTTGAATTTCAACAGGAAAAAATTTTATGAAGATGTATTTCATGCGCCGCAGTTATTTATGCGATTTGATAAGGGATCAATATTAAAGAAGTCACGACATAACATACTGGCTGACAGCCTTGCTGGTGGTTTCAATGAGAAATCACACTAAATTACGCCAAAGCGACGCTAAAGTCTACCCAATGTTGTGATAAGCTGGGAAACTTAATATATTTCTCTGCTGTGGCATAAACGGCAGCGAGATTGAATAATAAAAGCCCATACCACACATCGAAGAACATTAATTAGAGTGTTTGTGTTACAAAATTGAATTAAAAGGTCAATTTATCAAAAAAATAAAAAGCTGAAATATCACCTAAAGTCGAAACTTGTTTGCAACACTTTTCCTTCTTTTGCGCGAATTTCTCAGACAGTGAGACAAACTTTATCTCTCCATTTCCCGATTCGCATTGATTTATGTTTTCCACAACATTTGGTGTGCCCTCAAACATGATAAAGTCATTCCTATCTGTGCGTTTTCTTTCACAAAAATTAGTACGAAATGTGATAAATCACGCTAAAATAATGCTGAAATGAGAGTGAAAAGAGTTATTAAATTGACAACATTGTGAGACGGCGGGAATAAATTTTGCGTTGTTGAGAAATTTCATCCAGTGGAAGAGATTTGCATTCAAGAGCAATAGGACAAGACGTGGAATTGCATGGCAAATTGCCAGTGAAATGTGACAAAAGTGTCTTGTACTACCAAAGAAACCAGACATAAAGCACGACATTTGCGCCTTCATTATCATCTCATTAGAATTTATAATGACTTCTCATTATAGATCCAAATTTTCATCTAAGCAGCGAACTGATTTTCTATTGCACATGTCATCATGCGCAGTGGGAAAAAATATCATTTCAATTTATAGGCGTGTTTTCATATTTACATAATATTTTTTCTTCAAATCTTTGTTCAAAATATGTACATAAATACATACCTTTCAATAAGTAATCATCAATCATCTTGAGAGACCAATTAAACAAAACGATGGGATTGGAAAAGATCATTTGTATTTAATAAATCTTGTTTAGCAATAAATTCAGCGGCTATTCAGCTCTGGAAATACTTCAATAAATTTTCAAGGTTCGCTAATATTGTCACATAAATATACTTTTTATTATTACATTTGCAAACTACCGATTTTATGGCTAGAAAAAATGGCTGAAATTGCTTATTCAAAAAAAAATCCCACACGATGATTGCATACGATCGGTGCGATTAGTCTCCAGTGATGTGAATCTGAGTGAAATGTCTGCGTTGATCAATACATAGAACTGCGGCGATTGCCACTTTCCTTCACTCTGTCTGTGCCAATAATAATAATAATTATCGATAATGAAATTATGATTGCCACACACAGCATAACCCTGAATCACATCTATTGTACATGATCGCGCGACCACCGAAGATCACCTCGATCTTGCACTGATGGCGAGAGTGAAAAAGCATCGCGCGGATCGTTCTGGTCGAGGAAGATCGCACAATTTTGCGCAGAGGGGATCACGCGGCGCAATCGCAATCCACTCATGATCACTGTGCTCAGTTTATCTGTGAGACTCGAGCGCACCGGGCACGAGAGTTCCTCACCGTTTTCGGCTTCTCTATCATTTTCAAAGTAGCCACGATCGCGACCGCACGGCTTTAGCTGGCTCTTGTGTCGCCAAAGTGTTTCTTACGCTGACTGTTTTCCTCTCAAGAAGTTCCCCAAATCGCGCCCAAATCGGTGATAGTGCGGCCTTCCTGGGAATTTATGTGCGCTCAGTGTGTTGTTCTCGCCAGCTCTGATATATGCACGGACATCTCAATTGAATAGAAGACATCCAAAGTGGCTCTTTTTGTGGGACTCTGAGAATTTACTTAAGTGTGTGATCTTTTTTCTGATTTTATTTATTTTTTTAATGTGCCAGGTGCTTTTAATTGCCCCGTTGACATTCAATTTAGTTCAATGTTACTGCGAAGAAACCATCCAATTACTGTCTCATTTGCCTTAGATAGATCGCATGACATGCACAAAAGCCCATCATCGCCTGTTGGCAATTAATTTATGAATTCATCACCGATGTTGTGGGAAAAATTCTTCGGCAAATGAGACTCGTAAGTGCGCTGTGTCGGAAATGCAGTGGCTCGCGTGGTATAAATTGGACTTATCGAATGTCAACGGCGACAAGAAGTTTGATATTGGAAGCGTGGGCACAATATTGTATCGAAAAATAAAACAAGTGTGGCGTGTCACAGAGAGTGAATGATGTATTGGAGTGGTGGTGTAATTTATTAGCAGATTATTAGTAAAACTATCAGAAGTACATCGGAAAAGCGACACGTGCGTTTGAGGGAATAAATGGTGTGTGAAAAGTCATACAATCAGTAACTTAATAGTTGGTTGAAAAGTGCGCGCAAAAGGAGAAAAACAGCAAGAGACCCCATAAAATATAATATTTAATAAATTAAGTGTGTGAGTTGTAATTTATATATTGCTAAAATGATCATAACACATCAAATTGTTTCTATGGTAAGGAAAACTTATGATACAATGTGATCATGGCGCGGTGCTTATGATGAATATGATTATGCAAACAGTTGTTCTGGTGGCTTCAGCACCTAATAAAATGCACACATCTGCATCAATCACGCGCATTGCTGCAAGTGATCTTTTCTCCCTCAAGAGAGCCTCGCTCACCGTCCGAGAGAGTCAAACATATTAAAATATACCGAGCATAGTTCATTTATAATTATAGACCAATGCGAAGAGGGAGATTGTCTCTAATATTTTGGTATGAAACAATTTTTCATTCTTCAGAGTCGAGGTGCATTGCAATCATGTGTAATTTACTGCTAAATATTTGCCAGTCGCTCAATTTTGCAAGAATTTCCAACGAAAATTCTCCTGAAATAGACCAAACTTGCTCTTATGTGTGTCTGTAGGCAATTAGAGAGGACTTTTAGTCTCAATTAAACGAAAGACTTCAACTGTGAGCGACGAACTCGTTTTCCTGCCACCTTTTCCCACCGAAATTTCCACACCTCTCCACTCATTTCCACCTCAATCGCCCTGAAATAATCACCAAATGCGACATATTTATTTTGTTTTTGTGTAAATTCACGCGCATTAATGTGGATTTCCGAAAGAATGAAAAATTCTCCATGTTACAGCTTCCAAAATGTAAAGCATTGAAATACAATTTCTATGCACGTTTCATCCTTCCACGTGAATTATTCATCAAATGCGAGATCTAATAGCTTTTTGGGCAACTCTCAAGGACACTCGACCATTCTGTAATTTTCTGGATGATATGACTGAAACACTTGAGGCGTTGAAACCAATTAAAGATGCGAGGTTTCGTTAATTTTAATGATTTCTTATTACTCAAAGACTGCAATGTTCCTTTCAAGCTTATGCATTTGTTAGTAAATCATTCCTAAGACGTTTCATTTGCTTGTTGTCTGAAATATTATATATTGAACATCACTTTGGAGTGACTGTTGCATAAGAGACTTAATAAGACTCATTTTAGCGTCTTTTGATTAGGGAAGTATATTTTTGTTGTGTGTATTTAATTTGCATTTAAATATTCAACTTCCATATTATACTAAATGTGTGTGTTCGTCTCACATCAGTCATTAATCTCAACGCAATTTCACACCGAAAACCAGAACGTGGCTTCGATCTGCCTAATTACGCCAATAATCATCCACTTCCGCTTCTAATTCTTGTCAGACGCGACGCTAATTAATTGGATTTGGTATTAAATAATAAATAATTGTTTATAACCATCCATTACATGAGACACAAGTGCGATTAATTCACTGTGTGTTCAGGCAGTGGTCTTAATGTGCGCTAATTGTGGAGTCAAAATGCAATTAAATTGAATCGTGTGTCTCTCAGACGTCTCAAAGAAGCCCAGGGAGTGAGTCTTGAGTTGCCACCTCGCGCTGATTGACTGTTTTCTAATTCCCATCGCATGATGTGATGCAATGCGAACTCCATTTCCCTCCGACTTTTGCCTCATTTTGCCTCTTGCGCGCACTTTTCATCCCATTCCGCTGATGATGGGATGAAAATGAGAGGCGAGCTTCCTGAGTGGGTCTCTCGATGTGAGAAATTCACGCCGACTGCTCGCATCCGCCAACGTGAGCGCGAAGAAATACCCACCGGACGGAGGACAGCCTTATCTCACTTGCGAGACACCGCGCGGACTTGCGCCATAGGTCAGCGTGCGACAGAACAATTATTCGGTTGAAATATTAAATGGCGAAGACAAATGGCCTGTTGAAACATTGCGGCCTCATTGGGGAGTGTAATGCAATTTTGGGGTCTCAACAAACGACCATTGTTTATTGTTCCTAATCCGATTGACCCGAAGTCACTTTTCACCCAAGTCGCGCGCTTCTCTCTCGCCAAAGCCATCGGCTAAATATTGCCCAAAATTGCCGACTTCATCGAAAGTATATGATCACTGAATGGGGCAATGCGAGGCGCATACAAATCAGCTGATTTCGTATTCCCAACTCATCAATTTGCCACCATAAGTGACGTCTTTTTTACCGATGCTATCTCTTACAAAATAAACCCTCTTGCCAAATCCACCTGTCACTCAGTTTACCAACAAGCAAAGTGGAAATCGCAAAACCAATTAACAAAACCAATAGAGGCATTAGTAGTCAATGAGGAGTGTAACATCTTGAAGACAAATTTCAACTCTGTTTCAGAGCATTTCAGAAGATGTCTCACTGTCTTTTTGCTATTCAGACAACAGCAAAGATTGGATTTAAGTATGCAATTACATAAGGTGTCATCACAAAATTCCCATCAGGATAATTCCATTAATATCGCATAAACAACCATTCGGAAGACGATGATTCAATTGAATGATTACTATTGTAAAAACGTGACCGTGACGCGCGATGAACTAAGTGCTGAGATAATGAAAGTTGTCTGATATATCGCTCCGCTGAATCTTAGGCGGAAAATATGTGTCTTTTTGTGGGAGTCAAGATCACAGTGTCACGGCTGTTCTCTGAACAATACCCTCCAATTTTCCACGCAATTTTCCCTTAAATTGGCAAATAGAGAGACAGACAAATTGTTTTATCATGTGCGAAAAAAGAGATCAAATTGACGTGAATTTTTGGAATATAGAGAAGATGTGAATTGAGAAAAGCGTCGTCAAGGGGGCAAAAAAGAGTGCAATTCAAAAGAAATTCAATAAAACTTTCTGGTGGAATTGGCGTGGAGAAAAAGCCTCCTTCTGGTGTTGAAAGTGTCGGGTTGAGGTGCAAGAAAAAAGAGGCGACAAGAGATCGCGATCTACAATGGAGATTGTCGGTCGAGTTGTCGCTTTGAGAGACCAATAAAATGTTTAGACAGACTATTAAAGTGAATTGAAGTGATTGCCCATGGTATATTAAAAATTTTTCGATGATCTTACCCGATGATATGTTGCATAATCTCTCATATTTCAGCAACTGATCGATGGCAAGAGAGACTAATAAGTGGAGGCTGAAACATGGAAAGGTGCAGATTATATGTTCAATTAGAAAAACATTTAGTGATTCTCATATGGTCAGTTGCGTTTTTCCTTCACTTATTAGGGCCGCCATGAGGTCACGAGATTGGGTGTGATTTTTATCGAACTTCTGTTGCAATTGCCATGAATTGCATCTCAGTGAAATATAGCTTCTAGCTCATTTCACACCAAATTGCACATGGAGTTTCTAGTTTTCCGCACCAATTTTGAGCATGGAGAAAATTCCTCTCTTTCGAATATTATATTACCCACTTTCTTTCGTGTGAGAAAACGCCACGGACCGGGTGATTATTTGCTCGCTGAAGAAGGCGTCAAGGGAGGTCAAAGAAAATCACACTTTTCTCTTCACTTCCGCCCCAGTGATCACTTTAAATGGAAATTATACACTCTTGAAAAATTGATATTCCAACTGAAGACATCCAGCCAACAATACGAATTCACTTTTACAAGATGTTTCCGAAGATTTATTCATTATGTCGTATCTCATCTCTCAAGTCCACTTTAAATCTCATTTTTCAATACGATAGCTCTCGACATTCGTGGCCTTCGCAACATTCATCGGAAGCACATGCGGCATCAGAGTGGACTGGAACACAAACAAGGGACCCATTGTGCCGCCAACATCAACAAAACCTCCGATTCCGAAGCTGCCGTATCGCGATCCGGCGCCCGTTTGGGAGGATCAGTCCAATGACATCCCCAATCCGAACCCATACGTGTAATTTGTCTCACCCTTTTCCCAAAGGGAAAGTCACTCGCGATCTCAGACTGTTTACTTTCTGATTATTCAATCATTTTATTTTGATTTTTCATGATTTTTATTTAATATTTGATTATTGTCTTAATTTTTTCTTCATTTTCTGAAAATGATTCAGAATTTGAATATATTTAACTATTAAAAATTCAGAAAAATTAAATATTAATTTGATTTGTTTAAATGTTTTGCAGAAAATATTTAATTTTTGATTAATTTGCAATTTTACTTGGAAAATAATCATTTTAACAATTTTTCTTTAAATAAAAATTTTGATTTTTTGATTTTCTTTTAATCCCATTCAAGCCAATAAGATTCCTCATAAATCGGCTAGTGACTTTCCTCTTGCGCTTTTCTCAATTATCTGTTTTATCGGCAGATTTCTTGTAATTCAAACGTTTTTCTCCCTCTGCAGATATGTCCTTCCGCCACCGTCTAGGCCGCGCTACAACAACAACACAGGCTTCCAGCAGAGGTCGACAGAGCGAACGCACACGACAAGATCGCCCAACTACGGTTCCATCGTGAGTCCAAACCAGAATGAGATCCCGCGTGATGACCAGTATGTTCGGCCCGTGGCCCATCTGGCGGTGCAGTACGTGCCGAACGTGGGCATGCAGTACTACGCAGTGATCGCCTACAACCCATACGCGAAGCAGTCGAAGAACGTCTACGACAAGCCCAATGGGAAATACAACGCCAAGCTGAAGAAGTACAAAGCCTACGAGGAGAAGGCGAAATTCACACCTTATCTCATGGTGAGTTGAATCACCATGCGAGGTGAATGCCTTCGCGGGTGAGCAAAAAATCAGAATCTCATTGAGTCAAAGTCGAAAACAATCCTTGTGTGTTACAATGTAAAAGTTGGCGCTTTTGAGAAGAATGGCACTTTATTTGGATATCATGAAGATTCATCTTATTGAATAGAAGGTGGTTTTGCGGTTTATTGAGTGGTCCATTGATTAATAATGCTGAATAGAAATGTTGTTTGCTCTCTTATTCACTGGGATGACATGAAAAGAGTAAGAAGAAATTGTTTTCCCAGACAGTCATATTGTATAGTATTTTGCTTAATTACCACAGGGTAGTTCAGAAAACTTACAAGTTAATTGTTTTTTGGCGTGAAAGGTGTAAAATTTGCCTGACAGCCCTAAAAAGAAGTGGCGAAGAAAGAAGGTGTTGACAGATTCCTTATGCAATTTCGTACGTAATTTGAATGAAAGTCCAAATAATTGATCGCAATTTGAGATAGATTGAAAAGTACCGCGCTTATCATTTTTTTCCAATCAAACTAGAGCAATTTATTCCATTTCCTCTCGCTGAATGATTTTTGACGTTGCCTAGGAGAAGATGAAAGTACGGCGTTGAATCCTTTAGATTTTTGCATGCGATACAATGATGGCTGACAAGAATCTCAACACAATTTGACATGTTGTCTTGACAAAATCAGCTCCAAGGTGTTCAACGCTATCTAGCTTGTAAATCTGCACGGATCAGTTGCTAACAGACTTTGTTGCTCTGCAGTACATTCCAGTGCCACCACCACAGCAAGTCCCTCCCTACGGCTTCGTGAGCCAGAAGGCGCAGGTGAGCAAGTCCTGAGATTGCTGAAAATTGACTGATTGTTGGTTTTTGTGTGAAATGCCGCGGAGCACAAAAGCCCAGCAATCTGACCACTCTTTCACTTCGACTCTCCTCGCATCGGCAGAGGAGGCGAGCAAAAAGTACATGTATTATTATTGAAAATATACTGTGTAAATAAAATTATGATGTAAAATTGATAAGCCATTTTCACTCCACCAGCTGTGATTCCTCCAATTCGCGATGCCAATTTAGATGGGCCCGAAAATAAACGCTCTGCTGAATGGATTTTGCTGCGCTCATTCAAATTATGTGCGCGTTTAACAGTCTTTTCTGCCTCAATTGACAGTTCCTGAAGGCTGAGCTTTCATCTCGGCGCGAGTGTTTATGAGAATTTTCTCGGGCGCGTTTCCGCAAATGGAAAAACGGAAAAGATCACTGGCGAGGCATTATTTAACAGCCACCTCTAAATGGATAGTTATGCTTTCAGCGGTTCTAATGAGGCCAATTTAATGCACACACTCGACAACATGTATAATTTTCTCTCTTCGGCCTTTTTTATTCCCTCATTGTTTTCCTTCCTAAATACAACCTTCAGTCTCGCGGGTATTTGTAAAGTGTTCATACATAATTTATGCTTGGGAGTCACGAGATGACAAATGAATTTACTTCCATCATTCTCCAAAAGATTCCAGGCAAATTTCAAAACACTTTAACGAACATATATTGTTGCCTTTTAATTGAATTAATAAACATTGATTATTTATTGCCTTGCACATTTGCTCACCTTAATTATTTTCCATTGAGACTCAATAAATATTCCAACGGAATTGCCCGCGAACGGCGACTCTTGCACAAGTCATCTGCCGGAGATGGAATCAGAGGAAGACTTCAGACACACCGAAGGTGATGCAGATGAAAAGTGGTGAAAAGGAGCGAAAGAAATTAATCACGTTGAACTGACAAGGGGTATTTAATTATGCAAAAGTCCACGATTTGTATGCAAGTTTCGATTGATGTGCCTTAAATAAAATGACAACGAGATTGAGAAATTGACTCCTAAATAAGCATCGGAATTCTTCTGTTGGAAAAAGAGAAACTGCAGAAGAAATGGAAGGAAATTCCTTTGATTTCTTAAAAATATCATATACGGAAAATACGGGATTTTAAATATTATACACATTTTGAAATCATCAATCCGGATGGGATGTTAATTATTGCACATTGGCATAATAAAGTCCATCATTGAATCTGATGGAAATTAACCATGGAAGGTGAGACGCTGAATTGAGTTTCAATGCAGAGCCATAAGGAGAAAATGTGAAGAATTCCTAATGACAGATTATGCGAATTGTTTCAATGTTGCAAAATTCTTCCAAGTTTTATTGCTTGACACTAATTTTTGCAGCAAATTACCACAATTTTTTGCCAACTGCCATGGCTAAATGTGTGAAAAAGGGGAGAGCCTGAGTACAAATTCATTACCATTAATGGATCAATTGCTCTCTTAGGAGGCAATAAAGTATTAGCCAATGACACGTTCAATCGCAGAAATCACTGACCATAACTCATCAATATGATAGCATTAATTTCTCAAGCTCCTTTTCCCATCCGATCCCACAAAGATTATTTAATGCAGAAGTGTTTGAAAAAGCCAGCAAATGGTCCATCGCAGCGTATAATGCGATTATTATGTAAGTGAGTGAGCTTCTGGCATCACGATCGCGCCGATGCGTCGGAGTCTCGCATGCGAAGATGCTGGACTTTTTTTGCAGACTCCGCCGAAGATCGTTGAACCGCTCGCGGTGCTGCTGAAGACGAGCCTGACCCACTTTAGATCGTCGCGATCGGACAATGTCGGCAATGAAGAAGCACAGCCAACACGCGTCAACGCATTGTAAATTCATTCAACTTTTACTTTCTCATCAATGTGTCTCACTCTCATTTTTTTCTACGCTCTGCGTGAATTTCTTCTTTAACACACGCCTTTTGCATAATATTCATGACCTTTCCACAGAGATGGACAATCGGTGGATCCAGAGGTGGAAATTACCTCAAGTTGAATAACTCTCGCGCGCGCTTTGCTGTGGATATAAAAAAAGCGCCTGCCATCGACAGATTTTACACATCCCAATCAGCAACCTGTCCAAATTTGACTGCCCGCAGAAGCAATTAAAACCTTTACTATTTTCGGACATGCCTCTGAGTGACAATAATGAGACTTTGGTAGCTGGAGAAATCGCTTTAATTAAACACCTTCGGCTCATGGGAACGCCCAAAGTCTGATTGACTAATCAAATTATCCAGGATTAGATTAAATCAAATGCAAAGGTTGTGCTTATATGACTGTTTTTTTTATCAACAAGTTTGATTGAAAAGTGTTTTTCATCGCCATATTTCAAGAAGATCTCTCAGTGTGCAATATAAATGAAAGTCTTTGGTAAATTGGTGCAAGTAAAAGAGCATCACGAAGACGTTATTGAATGTCAACATTAAAGGAATAATGAGAATTGATATTGAGAAAAAAAATCAGAGTAAAATAAAGTCAAGGATGATCGAGAGACATCACAAGTTTCATCTCCAAGTTGACCTACATTGGCGTCTTCGCAGCAGCAGCAGCACAATTGCAGTTTTTAAAAGGTGAAAAAGTCCGTATTTTCGATCCATTTTCAACTATGAGCGGCGGCTTATCGTTGACTTTTCACGGCGCAGCGGACAAGCAGTGTTGGTGGCTGTGAAAAAAAAGAGCCTCGCAGAGACCTTACGAAATTACCAGTGAATCGGGATTGAGTGCAAATCTCAAGTTGTAATTGCTTTTGACTGTTTATGGATTGTGGACAACATGAGATGAAAATTACTCGATTGCCTGACACACGTTAGACTTCTTGGACAGCCCAAAAAAATATATATCATGCCCCGCGAGGAGAATAAAAATCCACGGCGATGGAGAATGAGAGTATGAGACAAGATATTGATTTATTGTGATCGCCTGTGATACAATTTTCTAATATAGACACCGGCGATGCAGACATTGTGAATTGAGGTGAATTTTTGATGATTGAGCTGCGCAATTTCAAGTAATTGTTGCAACATTTTTGTCTCTGATTAATTTGCCATATAGCGCAGATGATCGAGCTTCTGCAATTTCCATCAATTTCAAGCTGAATTGTGGTCAAGAAAACAACACCATTAAATTGCTGAACATTTTTCGGATTCCTCTTCACTCCGAGCGATTCATGCAATATTTCACAATCGGAAAGAGAAGAGCACTAAAAAATATACGTAATAATTTTACATGATTCTCATATATTAACCGATAACTTAAAGGTTCTCGCTGATTAATCAATTGTTAAATGATATTTAACATCTCAATTTATTGTGACTTTCGCTTTCTGGAATCTGTGAGAATTCTTTCTTTCGGATTGTTTGCCAGAGAAACACTTTCCGAAATGTTTGTGTCACACACTAAACACTTTTTGCTAAATGAGAGCAATATAATTAAATGCTTTCTGTTTATCCAAGACAATTCTCATGCAATTCCATTCACACAAATTGAATTTCGTCGTCAGATAGGAATCTCATGTCAGGGATGAGCACACAAAGATTCTCCATGTCTACTGTTTCCCAAAGTGTATAAGATTATTATGTGATTTCTGAGACAATTCTGTGGTACATTGATTTTCTCTTGTAATGCTGAATGTGCACGCTTTTACCCAAATTGCCTTGCGTCACGTTTTGGGAGGCACCAAAACATTCTCCCAAAGAGTTGCGAATAAGAGACTTTGTCAGAGTTACCTCAAGATGCTAAATCAATACAAATGGTAAGCAATCTCCCATGTCAAAACTCATAAACGGGGTTTAATGATCTCTCACTCGAGGAAGCGTGATCGAGGCGAAATTGTAACAAAAGAGTCACTCGCTGAACTTACCTGACTCGAGCACTTTTTCGCCATTTGATGTCAGCAAACAGGGAAATTCTTTTACCATCATCAGAGCCAATTAGTTTTGAAATCCCCTCAATTACAGGCAAAAGCATGTCTTCATTTGCAGAGCACGGCGTTGAGCAATTTTAGACGAGGGACTTGTCAAATAAGATGAACAGCCAGTCATTTCTTTCTCTACTCTTCGTTGTTATTAAATATAACCACGCATCGTTCTGACTAATAAAAAAGCTCCTTTATTATACACACACTTGATTTATAGTTAATTATCATGCAGTAATCATGTATTCGATGAGTGTTGTTATTAAATTATGCTACAAATCAAATGAATTTGGAATACAAAGTGATTTTATAAATTAAGCACAGCATTATTTTAGGTCAAGAACTTAAGTAAAATACGAAAATTAAGATATTTAATGATAACGGCTTCCAGTGTAATTGGAAAATACATTAAATACTTCAGTAAAATTGCTTTCTTGTCTTTAAATTTCCAATTAATCTCTCGCATTTTCCACCGCTGCCAAGATTGCTGAGAATTCAAGGGAATGTGCAGCACTGATGGTGCAATTAAGACCCACTGGGAGTCTCATCCTCGGTGGATCTGCCGTCCGAAAACTGTATCCGAAAGAGAAAGTCCATGTTTATTGCCACTTTGTTGCAACTCCTCGATATGACGCAACATTTGATATAAAAAATACACTCACCTGCAGCTTAGCAAAAAGAATTGATAGACCGATGAAGATGATCAGCGCGATCTTCTCGCCACCCGAAGAGGTTTAACCATATTCGCCAATCAAGATCGTATCGGCGGGCAGTGCTGGAATATTGATATGAATGGGGTATATTTACAGCTCTGACACTAATCTCAATGCATAATCTCACGGCGGTGTTACCATATGTTGCCATATCGCGTAATTGATAGGCAATTGTCACCTGAATGCACCGTTGATTTACCTCAGGGGTCCACCATTTCAGACGATTAGCATCCTAACTGGCGCGAGATGAGAATTTCACGTCCAATGTGACAAGCATCAATTATCGTAATTGCACTTTGACTTCTGTAAGCGGTCTGTGGAAAAATGCCACTGAGTACTTTTGAGCAAGGAGCTCACTTACTATATACACTCTGTCCTCATTTCGCGACTTCAAAATACACTCACTGTCGCCACGAGCAGAGCTAGAAAATTGTTCAGCAGTCAAAGAAATAGCATAAAATATTCGATTGAATAATGAAGTCTCAAAGTCTTTCTACATTTCTCAATTTTTCTTACACACTTCATCATGTGAACTTCGGCGCAAGATGTGTTGGTGGGATTTTCTGCGACATTTTCGAGCAAGTAAGTTAATTTGATCAAATAGGGTCGTTTTTGTGTGCAACAAATAATGCCACAACATTCAGTGATTACTTAATTGATGTTAGTTTTTATCGCTTTACAGAATTACTTATAAAAACTGCCAGTGAAATATTCTTTCTCTTAAGAATGTAATTACAAAAAAGTTATAAGAGGTAGAATAGCAATTTAGCCAATGAATTTTAGTGAACAACAAACAATACAAGAAGAACACATTAAAAATCACATGAAATACAACAATCTAATTTAATTTAATTCAAAAGTCACGTGAAGTTTACTTCAATAAATTCATTTTATCATCTGCTTATTGGCGAATTCATCTAAATATATATAAATTAAAAGCTCAATCACAGTTGCAAAAGCTTCTGTGTATTTTTTACTCAATTCTCCGCGCCGAAATACAGGCAAAAGAGTGACTTTCCCAGCAACATACATAGCGAAAAGCTTCTCGAGAGCGTGAAAGAAAAACGGCAAACGGCGCGTGTAGCAAAATGAAGGCTTTTCCCAGCTCTGACAATTTATCGCTGATGAATAGTAGCGAACGCATTTAATTAAGCTCTCCAAATGACCATGCTAAACTCTCCGCTTTTGTGCATATCATTTAAAATGCTCTGTGTGTATTTCAGCGAGCGAAGGTTGTTGGAGCACTTCGTCTTGTTGCTGAGATATAATCCGTGGTCACATGGAGTGATGAAATGGTGACCAAAAGAGCCTCTGCAGACTCAGTCGTCATCGGCATTGTCTCCATGTGGTATTTTGCCACAAACATTGTGCAAAATAGTGTCACTCTCGATGGTGTGAAACAGCAGGAGGGGAAAATCTCATCTACTTTTGTCATATCTTTTATTTTGTAGATATCTTCTTTTACACAATAAAAAATATTACATACAACTATAAATTAACATTTGCATGTCGCTTTTTTGTCTTGCTCTCCATACAGAGTCACATAACTTAAGTACGAGTTGGTTTGTTGGGTGGTTTTCCTTTGGGGGGGAGGGGGGAAGAGAAAGGGTGGATCTTTTTGAGGGGAGATGAACGCACATTCGATGATTTCGGCAGCATTTCACGGGAGATCAGGGCCCTCGAGGGGTCTTTCGTGCTCAGTAGTAGTGGTGGTTGTCGTAGTACTGGCCGTCGTAGTGATCGTAGTCGGCGTAGTGGCCCAGAGGAGCCGCGGCGGCGTAGTGAGCAGTGGCATAGTGAGGAACAACGGGCTGAGCATGTTTCACCACTGAAATATAAATTATACCACGATTACGTTACTCAACATCTCTAGCCCAGCATCTTGAGGTGCACGACATAATGTGGCTTCCGAGCACAAGTGGCTTCATGACAATTGCCGAGTAGATCGAGAAGATCAAAGCACTGAGAGAAAAAGCCCAGCAATCTTCAAGAGTTTTGCGTACTGGACATTTTTCTTCAAAATCAAAACTAACTGAGATTTTGTGCAACTTTTCCCCAAAAACAGCACAGAATATCAATGCGACGTTTTGTCATTTTTGAAAAGATGTAATTTTTGCTTATTTCACTCAGTGAATAGATTTTCCATCTGTCTTCTCTATGTATGAATTCATGTGTGCAAATTTCCCATAATTTGCAGCGAAGATTGCCCAAGATGACCCTCAAGTATGGACACGTCGTGTTGATTTTTACAAATGAGCACTGCTGGGCATCTTGGAATAATTGCCCGGGACAGAAGGAGAGCAATTCAATGCCACTCTCAATCATTGGCACATTGCAGCATAATGCACAAGAAATTCAATCATAATTCACCCATTGTCTTCTCACCGTGTGAGTGTCATGAGAAGTGGCACTTTTTCCCAGCCACACACAACATTGTTGCTGTTTCTGGCCAACTTCAAATGTCCGCACGACAAAATCCCATTTGTCCACTCGCGGGGGAATTTCTGTCCATTGGCAAGAGGTGCAAGAAATGCATACTAATATTCCAGTTGGGTGTCTTTTTTTGCACATTCACGGAATTTCTCATATTCCTGAGAAATTATCCAGGCATAATAAGTATAAACAACCGCACTGCTATGGAAAATCATGCGCCGCGAGGAGTGGAAAAATGAACAATATGCTGGCGGAATATGATTACAATTCAAAGTATCTCGCATTGGGGCGGAGGCCTCGCGGCGAAAATGTGAAAATTCATTGTTGGGATGAATGGAGTGGAGTGAAAAAAAAGGAGAAAAATTGTGATGAAGTAATCAAACAAAATGTACACACAGAAAACCCAACAATTAAAATGAGGCGAGAGAGAAAAATATGGCTTTGAAATTATCAAAGACATTGCACAACATCGATATAATTTAAATAAAATGCAGTAAATTTGGATAAAGTCCACTGATATATTCAATCGTGGCATCATTCATGGTGCGATTGAGTAATGCCACAGAGACCCAATTTCCGGTTGAAATTAATGAACTCTTGTGATCTTTAGACAATATTGTGATGTCATTGGAATTTCGTACGCAATCGCGGAATGTTTGCGGGCTCTTCCCGCAAGAGAGTACTCACCAACTGGGGCTGGAGAGGCGTAGACTGGATGATGGACAACGGGCTTGTGGACGACTGGAACGGGGTGAACGGCGGGAGCGGACTTCGACACAACAGCGTTGAATCCATTGACGGGATCAGCTGTGTAATCCACGGTCCGGACAGAGCCATCGGGTTCGACGAGGGAGTATTGTCCTGGAAAGAGTGAAAACGCAGTGAAAACTCAGTGCTTAAGAGTTCCTCCAGCCAATCTTGGAGTGATCATCGCGACCTCGCATTACCGATGCTGCGAATTTCAATGAGACCTCCAGTTTCTTGGCTCAAGAACAAGAGAGATCTTATCCTCTATGGCCGTACGCACACACCGGATGATCACCGAATGAGAACGCACAAAAGGGAACATTGTGGCACACGCCTTGAGCAAAGGTTGCAAGAATTGAGTTGGGCAATTAAAATAGAGACGCACATGTAATTAAATGAAGTCCGTGGCTTCCCCACCAAAAGGTGAGTCTTTTCCCATTGTTAGGCACCCTTTCTCACGTGTGCATCTTCCAGCATATGGAAATGCACACAAGAGGAGATATATTCTCTTCCAGTGGAATTGTTTGCATTTTGCACTATTGCATAATGTGTCGTTGTTCTCCGCAACTATCATTCAATTTGTATTTGGCTTGGAAGTTGATCGAGATCAGCTTGCAGGAATAATTTTGAAAATCGTGCAATTAGATGTGCAATGGTGTCTCACACTCAAGTGAGGCATTTTCACAATGTGAGGAAAATGAGAGATGTTACCTTTCACGACATCACCATCGCGCGTCTCATGCTGACTCTTCACGTCACCCGTCACATGATCCGCCACGCCGTAGTTGAAGGCGTACTTCGGATGGTCCTGCAGAAGGGAAAGGCACATAAATCCACCACGACTCCACACAGAGGCACACTGGCTAATGCATTACGTAGTAATCGACGTATCCATGGGCATATCCTGGTCGTGCGAGAACACAACTGCCGAACATGGCCAGAGCCACAAAGATCACAGCACACACTTGTTTGGCCATCTTGCTTGGGTGAAGCTTTTTCTTCTTGATATACTCCTCGTGGAAACACTGAGATGTTCACGGCGTGAAAATCACGAAGACACTGTGCAGAACTGTGCAGCGAACTGCTGATTTTATAGTCTCGCGCCCAGAGACAAACGGCGGGAAGCTCAAACATTTGGCCATTCGCGATGTCGTGAGGTGGCCACAGAGAGCCTCCGCGAGATCCACAATGACGAAACACCTCCCAGAGTACACGCGGTCTCTGCAACAATGGGCCAAATGGGGTGGGAGACACAGACACAGAACGTTCTTCATGAGGTCAAAGTAATTTTGTGTTTGATATTGCTTAAGAAAAAAAAATGTGAGCATTCCTGTGAGTTTTCCGCACTCTTTTCGCGCATTGACTGAAAAAAGCTCTTTAAAGAGGGTCGCCCAGAGAATTGGTTGGTCATTTGAGGTGCAGAGAAGAGCGTGAAACTGCCAAGAAAAGTGTTCACCCCTTAATTTTAAGAAAATACTCTTTATTCTATAAGTTTTGACATTTTTCAACATCCAACAAAGAACATCAAGAGAGGATGAAACGTATTTTGCGTAGAAATAGAGCCACTGTCTTTCGCAACAACCCATTGCACTCCTTGGAGCTATTGTTTATTAAACCCACAATTTCTCTCTTGAATTTGAAAGGCTACCCAAATGAAAATTCCTTGAAAGGTCACACACAATTAAATGATCATGTGGCGATAATTGTGCCTAGTAATTCGCCATTTGTTTCCCTCCCATTATAGCCTCTTTTCGGCGCCAAGCCAAGCGGAAATTGGAGTATGAACCTCATAGGTTTTGCCAATATGGAAACCATACAAGCACTAATTGCCAACCGCACTCCTTCTCAAAACACCCTGAGGCCAGCGTGAGGTTGAGACAATCCATATATACCCGAAACTCACCGCTCGAACATATCGAAATTCAATATCGGAAATGATCGAATTTGCCGGTCGTTTTTCAATCTGTATGTCAGCGCGCGCGAATCTTATGCAAGCAGTGAATAATCTGCAAGTGAATCTCGCATCTTGTGGGTTCACAAGAGACACTGTCTCGCCAACAGATGTGTCATTGCTGAATTCTTCGTTTCTTTCGTCTTCGGGCCATGGGATGGGAAAACATCTCAATTGCATCAATGGGACATTTATGAAGCAAGGAAGAAATCATATTTCTCGACTTTGACTCAATCTCGCTCAGGTTTTTCAGTATGTTGTGCTGTAACTTTTAATTAAGTGTCCAAAGAGAGAGAATTGGTCAAAAATATTCATACTCCAGATTTGATGGAAGGAAATTCGCAGGGAAATGCGTAGAGAAGCCCTAAAATATGAGGCCAAAAAGCTCATTTCAATTCCCTCACTTCAATCCTCAATACGATATTTAGGCACACTTTGCGAATGCAACACCAATTAATTATGATTCGCTGTATCACATCTGCATCTTCCTCATTTCAGCATAATAAAAGAATCGCCAGTATTTGCATAGCTAAGCATCCATGCTTGAATTCCTAGCTTTTTCTGCAAAGCACTCTGCCCTACCTCAATCCTCAGCATACGTCTTCGGTTCAACATGAAGTGTCGTTCTTTCTCTCTTGTGAATTTTGTAATTATAAAACAATGTACTTGATTGTCGCTACAATAAATTTCAACACATTTTCTCTCTCTATCTCACATTTTTCCCTGACTTCTTGCAATACATACGCGACGCTTGGAAGGGAAAAAATGTCAAACATCAATTTATATCAGTCACTTGGGATCTCTTTGTGGGTTTATTTATTAAAGAAAAGCCAAAACGTGCAATTATCTCCCGAAAAATGACTCTCAATTTGAGGGATTTGTGTGTAAGAAATCCCAGTGTAATGATGGTAATTTTCGTGTGTGCACTCAAGGCTCAGCACGCAATAAAAGGTTCTATTTTCAATACTCAATCAAATTTTGCCCGGGATGTGAATAGAAAAACGCGCGCTATGGATAAAATTGCAATTTCACGGCGTGTCTCTCACGACAGATGTTGTGGGAATATAAATGTGTGGTCAAGAATTGACATTGAAGTCGTCCACAGCTTCGGACTTGGTTTCAGATCCCATTTTTCTTGTAACCAAAAGCATCACACACGTTTCTCAACATTCCAACTGATCTTTAGCGCGCCTATCTCGCGATCGGGTGAAACTTTAAATTTCTAATAAGAAGACATCCTCGAAAAAATGAAACTACTTCTTTGACTTCCTCGATTAACAAGCAAAACGTGCATAATAAATTATGAGGCGCGAAAATATCCAGCTCAAGGTTTAAGATGAGATTCATGAATTTTCATTGAATCCATCGCGGAGTGTGAGTGAAAATACCATGTGTTATTTTCATGAGTTCACAAAATATTTTTTTGATGGAAACATTTCGTAAAATCCCAACTTTAATGCCGTGCAGCAATGAAAAATTCTGCAAAAGTGAAACTTGTAATTATACGAATTAGAAAAAAATGCCATCAGAGAGTGACCAAGTAACGAAACCGTTGGTCAATAACGCGGAAGGTTCTCCGCGGTAGTCGATAATTTTAGCATGTGGAAATCTCAAAATTGCATCGCGACTCTAAATTTTCACGATGCCACGTTAGTCATTTGGAGTGAGAGTGAAAGAGGAGGAAAGGCTGCAACTGCGAATTATCTATTTGTATCATATATTGTCTCGACTTTGCCTCGATTTTCCACTTCAATGGCCATTGAGAATTTGCAACTTGAACAGTTTCTGTGAAAAGTTCATACTTTTCCGAATGTTTTCAGAACACTGTGCGACTTCTTTAGTATGCAAGAAGTGTTTTTGATACTTCAGCACACATTCACGGAGTGTTTAGACTTTCAGAAGTTGTATTATGTGGCGTGAATTCAAGAACTGTCGTAATTAAATTATTTTATGATTTAAGGAGAATGTAACAGAAGCTGAGGAGAATGTTTCCAAACCGTCTTTGTCCGAGAAAATCTTTTTTTCTGATTAAGTCATTATAGTTCAAAATATTCGCATATTTGATCAGAAACGGATTAGGAGTTATTTTGGGATCAGGTGTCCTTGAAAAGCTCCGCTTTTCACAGAAAATGCGATCCAACCAATCTATCACGCCGCAGTATCTTGAGCCTCTCGAGCTCTTTATAAATTTTATCACGCGATATCAGATGGCATGAGGTGAGGAAATGGCTAAGAATTCAAATGGGAATCTTATGTTGGGTACTTTTGAAGATCTACGATTGCCTTGTGCCCCTTCATTGTGAAGGAAATAAAATCAGTGAGCAACAATTAATTAATTTGCATTTTTATGATCTCTCTCGCCTTGCTCCAAGCCACAAAATAAAAGTGTTCACATTTCTCTGACCAAAGCGCATATTATGCTGGTGGTGCAAACTGGGAAATGAGACAAAAGCTGTGCTTATCCTTCTTTCTGATCGGATTTGACCCAATTTCGCACACAAACAGTCGCGTGGGGAACTTTTTCGGGCGCCAAAATTATGTGAGCGCCCAAAACATGCTCCATTGCACAATGCAATGTGTTTAGCAGTGAAAAAATGCACGATAATCACAAGTTTAACTGGTTTTTATGTATGAAACATAAGGAAGACATCACTAAATAACTCTCTTGCTGCATTATGCGACTCGCAGTGAGATGATGTCTTTAACTCTATGTAGATCATTCATATTCATAACTTTATATTGTATCACATGGAGTATAACGCACATGGATTTTATAACAAGTGTGCGTCTTTCTCTCTCTCTTTTATGTTTCTCCCATTCTTTCATCAACCACTTATTATTATTTATATTTCCATTGATAAAACAAACACGATGGAGACGCCAGTGGAGGCGCCGAGTCATCGTGCAGAGCGCATTGCGTGCCTTCAAGGCGAATTGTTCACCTGAGAGCCAAATACTTTGCCACACTTTTCCGCCCATTTTCACCGCTCTCTTCCCACCGCGGCACTGTGAAAAATTCCTCTCCATATAATTAAAATATCACTCGTGTGATATTTAGTGCACTCAACGTGCAATTTGCATCGTTTCGGGGAGAGCAAAAGTACACATTAGTCAGATTGGCTGAGAAGATATTTGAATGGCCGATTCAAGAACGAAAACTCATTCAATGAATTATTGATCAATGGATATAAATTACTTCATGATCTACTGCAGGAGAATTGCACAACAAGTCCAAATATTGCAAAGAGAAAAGAAGGAAAAGACTCGCGGGAGCTGCAGAGTGATCGCCATACAAATGAAGTGTTTTATTGTTATAAGATTCATTCATCATTGCTCAAATGCCATTTATCATTTATTATGGTCACATAAAAGTATTATACAATTCATTCTTGGAGACTAGAATTACAAGAAGAAAACCTTTTTTTCCACTGGATGTTGAAAAGTGCATATTTGAATCGACAAATTGAATCGTTTTGTTGCTGAGAAAAATAACCATAAGATTTTTTTCACTCAATTTGAAGAAAAAAGATGAATTTTTTGTGAGTAACGATGAATTGTGCTCTTGAAGATTTGTTATTCCAGGCGAAACTGATCAATTTCCAGATGAAAAGCCACTTCTCCTCGGATAATTGCATCAATTCCACGTTGATATGATGGCTTTGGGATAAAACAATTTGATTTGTAATTGTGAAAATGGCTCATTTATTGCTCCATTTCGATTTCCATTTAAAAAATTTTATACAGTGTAAATACATGTTTTCCGCTATTTGTCTCCAGAGACAGGTATTGAGCTTTTTTCCCATTTTTCGCATTTTTTCTTCGTGACATTGAAAAGCTGACATTTAACACGTATATCGAAAGAAAAGACTTTACACATGATTTATTCGCAAACGGCTATTTGGCAGTGGACACTTTTTCAGGCGTCTTTTGCGTGAGGAACACAAACAACGGGGAAAACTTCTGCATCTCGACGGGGAGTTAGAGCTTGAGCGCGGAGTTGGGGAGGTTCAGAGGGTGAGGTTAGTCACAAGAAACATAGAGTCGGAGGAGGGGTCGCGGGAATAAATATTAAATGGCAGCTTCGGGTGGGTGGAGGGTGCGGGAGCGAGCGCGCTTAGTAGTGGTGGTATCCGTAGCCGTAGGAGAAGGGCGTCCTCAGGTAGGGGGCAGCACCGTAGGCGTAGCCGTGGGGGTAGCCGTGGTAGGCGAGGGGAGCGGCCAGGGGGGCGGCCAGAGGGGCGGCCAGAGGGGCGGCGTAGGCGGTGCGGGCCACGGTCACAGCTGGGGCTGGGGCGTGAGCGACGACAGCGGGAGCGGCGTGAGCGACCACGGCGGGAGCGTGGGCAACCACGGGGGCGGCGTGGACAGCGGGGGCGCTCTTGGACACCACGGCGTTGAAGCCGTTCACGTCATCGGCGTGGTAGTCGACGGTGCGCACAGAGCCATCGGGCTCAACCAGGGAGTACTGTCCCTTCACGACATCACCATCGCGGGCCTCGTGCTGGGACTTGACATCTCCGGTCAGGCTGTCGTGCACTCCGTAGTCGAAGTTGTACTGTGGGTGAGACTGAGGAAGAGAGAGAGAGAGAGACACGGATTAATTGTGGGCTCCTGAGCTGGCCTTCAGGTGATCGCGGAGCAGTGAATTTCAAATGGAAGAATTCCAATTAAAATGTCGAGCAATTATGAATGTGTGGCACACGGAAAATGGTCACAAATTGGCGCGATCAAGGTCGAGAGAGACAAAGAAGTCTCGATCGATGGCTCAATCAATGCAACTTGTCGACAAGTCAAGCCTCCGAGTGAATCAGAGAAATGGCGCTTGTGGGATGCAGTGGAGATCGAGAGGCGCGTATGCAAATGGGGATCACTGATCGAGGATCACGACTTACGTAGTAGTCACCAGCGTAGTGGCCAGCATCGTAAACCTTGGCAACGAGGCCAGGGTGGGCCAGAGGAGCGACGGAAGCGGCAGCAACACCGACGATGGCGAGGCAGACGGCCAGCTAAAAGAATAAATCCTCAATAAGATCATCTGCGAGGCACAGGAGAAATTTCATCCGCTGAAGCACAAGTAATAAGCACAGAAACTCACTTTCAGGAAAGCCATTTCGATTGTTTTGAGTGTTAAGTGTTAACTTCACAAGAGGAAAACTGCGAACTGATCTCTGGGATTGAGCTCAAGTGACTGATAACTAGAATCAAACTCTGGGCCTCTTTTATACTTCACTCCACCCGTGCTATTACACACTAAAAGTCCACTAGTAAATTTTCAACTTTATCATATACACACATTGAGGAGTGATTTAATACATTACGTACAATTCCACGTATGTTGTGTGGTATGTCTCTCTATTGTGGAGGAGATTGCAATTACCCAAGGTTGACTCCAAAAGCTTCATGTTTCTCTTGGTGTTTGTTTTCTTGTCTCTCGTTCACTCCAGAGGAATGTCATGGGGACAGTCTATGTGTCGCTGACCATTTTCAGATCATTCTCTCACTCACTCCACCCAATTCCCAGCCGACCAGGATATGTGTGACGGAAGGCAGAAAAACTCATGATGGTGAGCATTTCTCGATCTCTCGCTGGTGATTGTACATTTTTGCCAAAGTTCACGCGCGATCGCAAATGATCGCGATTGGGTATCAGTGCTCTTTGGCGTGCACGAGGCACTTTTTTTTTATTTAATCCTGAAAATGCAATAAACATCAAATTGAATGGCTCTGAGAAGGGTTTTTCCCCACGAGCAGTCACGGATCTCCGAGGATTAGCACAAAAGATCACTCAAGTGTAAATGACTTAATGGCAATCTGCACGTTGATTGGCCTATTCTTGGGGCTGTCAATCTCAGCACCGTCGAAGATCACCGCGAGGGTGTTGTAAGATTATGAAATCATATAGGCGAAAAAGTGAATGATAGTTGCGTTATGTGGAACGAGGATCTCCTCGTGAGTACTCAGAATTTCCGCATGAGCCCAAAACGGGCCTCTTTCGAGTCATTCGAGTTGGTGATCTGATCAGTACGCATGTGGGGCTGCCCAGGAACTGGCCACACTGAGTAAGACTCATCCAGGGTCATGTTCAAAACTGGTAAATTACTCCAAACGATACTATTTCGACATTTTTTCACGTTGTGTCGTTTATCTATCTCTTGCATTTGGCCTCCTCGGCAACAGAGCGCCGTGCCGATTTGAATATTGCCTCTCGCGGGCGCGAAAAGATCACTCGGCAACCATTTGTTGCCCAACATCCACGAAAGTGCTCACAAATTTTTCTCTCTCCAATCCTCCAACACTTTTCCTCATTCGCCCAAATGCAGCAAAGTTCCCTCGATTTATCATGCAATTGTGATCATGGCAATCCACCCCCTCTTTCGGCACTTGTGCACCGCACGCTGAAAACATATCGAAAGCTCCTCGAAGCTTAATTGCATTCAACCGGGGCTCCTTAACCGAGAGATATGGCGCGATACTGTGCAGAAAAACACACAATTAACCATTAAATTTCAAATCACAAAGCAGAATTGCATGAAAATATCGTAACATGCACAATAATGTTGGTTTTTCCCCGCGAGAAATATTTCCACAAAAGCAATTATGTGTCCACTTGGTCACTTATCGCGCGACCGATGGAGAATCAAGCGTTTCTTTTGGAGTCTGCGTGGTAAAAAAATATGATTTCAGTGTACGAAAAGATCAAGAATAATTCCATCGAGAGAACACCGCGAATGTCTTATGATAGCTGCGATTCTGGAGTTTCGAAGCGGAATGCGCAGTGTGATTTTCCCAGCGACTGCATTCACGTTCTATCGCAATATCAGTGACTTTTGGCGCATAAAAAGCCGACCGCCGTGGACGCAAAGAAGTGAAGAAAAATGCATGTTCAGGAAGAAATTGCAGCGCTGCTCCTGAACTGGATCTTCGAGATTGTTGTCTGCTCTGCCTTCCTTGGCATTTTCCCTCCCAAGTGTTCGACGGTGAGGAAGAGCACCGCCAAAGGGCATTGAGACTCGCGCTGTGGAATCACAAAAGACTTTTACTTTCACTGCCGAGTCATCTTACAGTCCCTTGATGCCAATTGGACTGCGACATGCGTGCATTCTGCCGAGCCGGATCAAGTTACTCAGTTGAGACATCTAACATTCTTCACTGCGGTGGCGTGATCTCGTTTGAGAGTGTCCGCAGTGGATAAAAAAGCCCACAAATTTTCTGGTCGTTGTCACGACACTCAATGCCGTCCCCTTTCCACGCTACTCCGCAGAAGGTTGTTCTTCACGCATTTGCGTCTCCTCCATTGTTGTCTCAATTAGAGGAGTTTTGGCGGCAGAAAAAGCACCCAATTTGGCCGCGATGCTGTAAAATTCTTTGAGGTTTTCTCACGCCTCTTGCACACCTCATTTGACACGCACGCCAACCTGTGGTCAAGAATTTCCATCACCAAGGAAGGACTTTCCTGCTCTTTGTCCGCACCCAGCAGCGAGAAGGGCTTCTGATACGCCGTCAAGTCAATTTTACATTCCAAAGTTCAACTGTGTGTCTGGCTGATGGAGTGTTTGCATCCAAAATTAACCTTTCAAAGCGAAACAAGAAGTTAATTCAACGTGACGAGATATTGTGGTGTTTAATGGATACTTTCAGCAACAATTCATGAGCAAATTGGCTGTATAAAGACGCATAGCGGTTTTGCGGATCTTGTCACTTTACTCGGGATTTTCCTTGTAAAACGGGGTTTGGGAAAACGACTTAGAGCCGTGACTAACACTGCAGCTGTACTTCTGATTAAATAGACCGGCGTTGTTATCACAAAGAGAGGATCAATGAATTTGTGGAACAATGATAGGGAAAAGCAGAGCAATATGAACACAGGAACTTATTAAATTATGACTTCGAACAGCCCCAATTCTCCTTATAAATATGAAGTTTAATATTCCAAGTTTTCCAAACCAGCTCTAAAAAGTTCATTGAATTTATGCTAATGTAATCAAATTTCTATACTGTAGATCGACATGGAAACCCACCAATTTTGCATTGAACCCACCAAAGAGGCGATCGGAATTGATTATAGTTTAATTTGGAGCAATACCTGATTACCATTTATTGGGTAAAATTCATTTATAAATTTGAACGGCTTTTTTCCTACCCTGAACTTTATAATTCCTGATACTGGATTAAAGGAGGAAGAATACTATAAAAATTCTTAACGTGTCCAATTGTTGGCCTTTGGATACTTTTTGCCGGCGTAACTGGAATGGAACGCAATAATACTGCTACAACTCCACGTCAGATCTCTTCAGATGGCGGAAAAAAATTGGCTGAAGACGGCGCGAGGCATGAAACCTGAAGCGTGGACAATTTCCTGAAGATTTTGTACCAAAAATCCACTGAAGACATTTTTTTTCTGCCACTTAGAAGTCAACATTCCAAAAAGGCGCTATTTATAAAGATCATTAATTTAATGTGACTGCGAATAAATGTACAACGGTGTGGAGAATATCAATAATTCATTAATTTCGCGTCAGCATAAATATTTATACGATTAAAGAGTGAGAGTGACACGAAGTCAAGTGCAAGAAGTTGAAAATTTCAAGATCAATACCAAGCGCGATGTCTTGTGACGGTGGAGATTTGCCGCAGTGTGCGATCTTGGCTTTTTCCTCTTCAGCTTTATCTCGCAATTTCACATTAGGCTCCATGTGACCGATTCCATTGTGCTGCACTGGAGCCGCTGAGGTGCTCAATCGGCACCTGAAGAGGTGGGAGAAGTTAATGAGGCGCACAAGAGAACTTTGCGGCGACCTTCACGGGCTCAGGGTGTGGCTTTCAGTAGCTTACGCGATCGCAGAATCCTAAATCCGGAAAAATTGATCGTTTTCCTTCACCTCAGGCAAACTTCTCTCGCCGTGTGATCTCTTTTTTTTTCCCACCACTAACAGCAATTTCGATCAATGGGCAAAAAAAAGGCAAAGGCTCCAACTGTTTTTCACTCCATCAACTTCTTGTAGTGGGAAAAAAAAATTGTCTGCCAGTCAGAAATGGCAAAATCGTGGTCTGAAATTTATAGAGTTGATTTACAAGGAAGTCACTCGAGACATTTGTAATTTCATTTGTTAATTGCCCAACTATCTAATATTGGGAGAGAACTTCTCACTCGTATTTGAAATTTTTTTGCCAATGAGGTGTGGAAATTTATTTAATTCCACGCAGCAAGTGATCTTTGCTGGGATGCCTGAAAAACGACCACTCTTTTCGTCCTACTTGGTGGGGGAAAACAGAAAAGAATAAATTAGCGAATGACGATTGAAAAACAACCTCAGCTTTTCGACTATTTGCATGCCAAAATGAAAGGATATAAAAAACTGTATTTGGACGAGTAATTGAGCGATCGCGATCGAAAACGAGTTGTACGAACAATCGCTTGGACGTCAGTATGACTTTCAATCAAAACAAGATGGGCGTAAGAAGGGAGTATTTTGTATAGGAAATGTTTTACTGTCCTCTAATACTATAATTCTTAGGCAATGTCATAAACTTTGCTCGCATATTAGCTGCCTTATTGTCTTATCATGCAGAAAAAGCCAATAATTATGTAGAATATTCAAAGCATTGGATCTAAATCATTGAATTGAATGAGTTTTTCTACGAGTGATTAAGAACAAGGTGCTTTTTTCTTGCTTCTTTTCTCGTCATTCCCACATTCTTGTGGAAAAAGTGAGTGTGAAACTGAAGAAAAAAACCTGATGGTGTGATCTTATTGTAACATTTGACCACATTGCCATGTACTTCCCACCTCAAGTGTTGCGACATCTTAAACACTCTCGCGTGAATTAATCTCAGAGATACAGAAAATCAAAATTAAGCTGCTGATCGCATTTAACAAACACACACACACACAAATCTGATGTGATTGAGATACATGAAATCGATTTTAATGGAATTTAATCTCGGATTAATTGCAATTTCTAAGGAATTCCAGATTCGCTCCTTCTCACAAAAGCGTCTCAATCACAGCGTTCTCATGATCGAATTTTTCCTCTGTCGCTCAACTTGAGTGAGATGCGGAACATTTCTCCGTGAAAGACATTTTCTCTGTGCGACATTTATGAGCAGGCTTAAGAAAATTCCTCGCATAATGATTGTCGGGGAGGAAATAATTGCAGTGTGGAATCGCTATGGTTGGTTGACATTTTAATTGTGGATGATTAATTTACTGGCTTTATGTGGTGAATTAAGTGTGAATAAATCATTCCAACACTCATACATTTTTCACACACTCCCCGTTGTGAAATGTCTCAATTTGTCCAGGGGAGGAATTTGATATAAGATTCCTGTTGCTAGAATGATCATCCTTCACACTGATTTGACATAATGAAGTACGCAATCAATGTGAGATCAATCTCACATTGTACAGCACTTTTCAACACATTTCTAATTCAATAAATCCTTGATATTTGTTGAAAATAAAAAGAGAACAAGATGAATTATGGAAATTCAGTACACAAACTTCGCTCAAAATTCACCGAAAAACCAGAGATAAAGTCTCAATAAATTCTCCAAGTCTCGCTCTCAACATAAAAATGTAACAAAATCCATTAAATTTCCTTCCTTGAGAACCGCGAGCGAGTCTTGTATAGCAATTTCAGCCTCCTTCGCTGTTGAATTTGAGTGTTTTCAGCGATTGTGGGTGTGATTGAAGTTAAAACTCATTTAAATGGATCCGAGCTCTCCCTGATCTTTTTTATCTGTCCATCGAGCCCAGGTGGGAAAAGGCCGCGGTTCAAATAGTGAAAAGTGAGAATGTTTCTCGTGTCTCTCCGGGTTAACGTTCTTATTCTTGTGCGCTGCAGAAAGATAGGATTTGCTATATCCGGATCGGTGTTGTTGATTTCTGTGTGGGTCGACGGAGTCGATTGTCCTCCTCCACCAGTCCAATCAAACGATGTCGAGTACATTAAAGGCCACTTTTTATAATAAATATGATATTCAGTCTTCAGGTGACCAAAGAGTGACTCACCTGGAGCATAAGATGGGAAGTTCTTTTGCCTGCTTCGAGGCGATTCCAAAGTATTGGAGAGAAGAAAAGGCGCGTGATTGCAGAGATTTTTAACAGCCAAAGGCGCCTCGGAATTTCACACGTGATAGCAATTAAACAGCATAAGATTTTTTTTTAATTATTCAGACATCTTTTTATTATACCTTCGTTCATTTACAAAATATAGTGGCAATGCAAATTCTTACGCTAAAGCACGTCGTCTTTTCGAGAAAGTTGAAAAAGTAGGCATGAGAGTAGGAAATGAAATTAATTTCTTATTTTTCTTCACTTAATCTCCAACTTTATGACAAGCTGCAGAGTGGGAAAATCTTTGATTTGAGACACTGTCAACAGTGTCTCGGTTATTTATCACAGAAGTCTTGCTGAATTGGAATTTGAGAAAATGACGAAGATGGAAAATTTGTCTTTTCTTTGATTTTTTTGGTATCGAGCAATATCGCCTTCAACAGACAACAGGTAGCTTTCGAAGATGCTCTCGGGAAATTCGAGTCATTATCAACAAAATATACATCAACATAAAGTCTTCAACGAGAGGAGTAATGAAATCAATACGAAATTCTTCTTGACTAAGAACGCTTGCTTAGGGATGAACTGGGGAAGGAACTTAGTAGTGATCGTGATGCTCGTGCAGAGACTTTGTGGTGTGCACGACGGCGTTGAAGCCATTGTGCTTGTCGGCGGTGTAGTCGACGGTGCGCACGGAGCCGTCGGGCTCAACCAGGGAGTACTGTCCCTTCACGACATCGCCGTCGCGGGTCTCGTGCTGGGACTTGACGTCACCGGTGTGGAAGTCATTCACGCCGTACTTGAAGGCATACTTGGGAGGAGCCTGAGGACGGTAGAGATCGGTGAGTGGGGTCAGTAGGGAGCCAAGCTTCCCGAGTCACTTACGTAGTAGTCCACAAGTTCGTCCTCGTGATGGCCGTATTCGTGGTGACCATCGAGGGAGATGCGCTCGGAGGCAAGGTGGCCGTAGTCAGATTCGTAGCTCACTTCGTGACCCTGCTCCTCTCCGCCATAATGGTATCCGGAGTCATAGCCGGGGTATCCCAGGACCATGGTAGCGGCGGCAGCGAAGATGAAGAACTGTGAAGGAGAAAAATGCAGAGGCGTGAAGTGAATTCATGGAAATATTCCAAAGCAGCCACTCTGAAGTTATCGATAAATGCTTCCGAGTCATTAGAGCTTGTCTCAGCCGGTCAAACAAGTAATAATCGCATTAAATGTTCATTACGATAATTACTTAAATTCGAGAATAAGGTTATCTGTTGAACTGTTAATACAAGTCTAGGCGTTTTCCCAAGAAAGTTATATTTATGGAGTGTTTTTGTATTTAGAAATGCTTTCAAGACTCTAACATTGATCTTAAAAGAATATGAGATATTCAAGGGGTTTTTTTCATTTTTAAAAATATTTGAAATGTGAAATAAAATGCAAAAATCTTATCTTTAATTTCAAAATTTTGTAAGTAAAATGCTAAATAGATAATTTTCTGGAAAAATTGCCCCATCCATCCCGGAAATGCGTTTCCCTGCCCATTATAATGCAATATTCACACTTTTCTACCCAATCGAGTGTTGGCAATTGCAAGTTTGCGGAAACATGTTGTCAGAGAAAATTGCAATGAAGTGAAAGACTTTCAATTTTGTCAACGCACACGCCGTGGCTCCGTGGCCTTCAAGGCATTTTCAAGACACTTCTGTGTTGCTTCTTTCTCCCGTGTTAGACCACCCGAGAGGCCATTGAACACACAACATGCCCGCGAACGGGTTTCAAGTCAAGTTCACTTTCATTTGCTCGATCGCACGCGCAACATCGTGGGTAATAACTTCATCTGGATGGCTCCTTAATTGCGCATTCGTGAATTTCAGCTCGAGTTGCACTTTCTTGGGGTCACACACCATTGACTTCGCGGTTAATCCATCTCTGAGTGCTGAGGAAGTGTCTCAACAGATGATGTTCGCGAAGGGATCAGTGAATATCGCGAGCGCACACGCTTCATTTGAGCGCGGGCATTACCTTGAAAACCATTTTGATGATTGATTGTTTTGGGGGGTGAAAACGAAGGTGTTTGGCTGCACACAAAAGGCTGATCAGCAGAGTAATCCAAGAACTTGTGTTTCTTCTTCACTGCACAACTTTCAAGCACTGAATGATGATGGTGGATGGTAACTTGGCGCCTTTTATACACTTTGCACAAAAGAAAGCGAAATCCCAGACTCTCCTCACCTGCTCGTGTGTTGGGGCGTCTGAAGAAATGGCCCCTGGACATGGTGGGGTAACTTCTTTACACTGTTTAGCCTCAAAATTGCTCTCTTTCGCTTCCACCACCTCAAGCTGCCTCTCATGTAAATAGATGTGTTATTTCCAAGTTATAAATAAAAATCCACAATTTCGTTATTAATTAGCTGACTATCTCACTCTCACATCCACCCCTCTCACCTGCCCAGCCTGTTCAAACACAGGTAATACGAAAATGAAATATATGAATTGAATCTGCGAGGAAAAATGAGATTGTGGGCCTTTCAACAGATTAAAAAAAGTGGATTTTCTCGAAAAACTCGCACATTTTTGCTCCACATTGGCTTTCTCCAAAAATTGTTATTCAATTTAATCTCCTATCTGCAGCGGAAATATTATGATTTATTGTGTGTTATGAAATTTTTCTATCTAAACATGAGAGATACCATTTTCCGTTTAAAACACACAGACAAACACGTTTTTTCACCCATCAACCTTTCATGCTCTCTTCAATCGTATTTTCATTGCTAATATTTCCAAGTCAATTGATATAATTAATGATTTGTTTTACGACCACTTTTTTGCATGAATATTTTCGTGAGCTTCCATCGCTTTGTCGTATCACAGAAGATATATGTAATATGGTTTATGACCCAGAGATTGGTTGGCAAAAAAATGATCGTATGAACATTGCCAAATTTCTGCTGTGGCGATGCAAATATGCAGAAAACTGTGGTTAGACAGACAAAGAAAAACTGGTTAAGAAAACTTTCAAACAGAGAACAAGAATGACTGTGAATGGAGACGCTTGATGGAGTGGAAAGACGACACTGAACACTTAATTAATTGATTATCCACAATCGCGAATTGATAGATCCAATGTCTCATCAATCAAGCCGCGATCACGTATCAAATGCGCCTCCACGGCGGTGAGAGTGAGAGCTTCAATGCTACGAGCTTGATAGCAGTGCAGTAAGTTCCATAAAATAATACCGGAAAAGACTATTTTACAATATCTCCTGATTGAATCTAAACAGTTGTAATTGAAAAAAAGTCTAATTATGGCTTTCTTTCTGTCACAAAAGACACTCTGTCTAGAAAGTTTCATCCGCCGAGACTATATTCTGTTGTGTATATAGTGTCAATGTGATAATAATAGACCAGTGACATAAAAGCTGCGACCACTTTCGCGACGGGGAGAAGTTTTACTGTCAAGTGACGTAAAATTGTGAAGAAGCTAGGAATTGAAATTGGATCGGAATTTCATAACTCAACATGCGACACGAACTTCCGAACAGATTATAAATTGTGTGTCTTTCATAATTTTCTCTCTTTGTTTTTCTCTCGTCCAACAAGACATAATTATATATTATGTCTTTTCAATCAATTCAATGTCTCACGAGGCGCGAAAGGTGAGAAAATTTCACCGAAAATGCTCAATAGCAGAAAAAAGAAACTTAATTCGTTGCCTTTTGCTCGAATACAACCAAAATTGATACCACTAAATCTTCGAGTGGATTTTTTTAACGATCAAAAACAAGTGTTGCACTCTAATTGTTGGGCTAAATATTAAAATGCATGAAGTGAATGGTTGTGATTCATGGGTTTCCTCAGTCGTGAGAGACTTCGAGACATAAATGTTGCATCACTGGCTGCAGAGAAAATACTTTATATATATATTTCTTAACTTTGCCTCAAATTTTTACCTTTTCGGGACTCAGAATCTCTCACTATTGTTCGTCTTATTGACGAAGAAATTCTCATTCTCGTAAATCACAAGAAAATGGCGAAAGAATGCGCGAAAAATCTCCAAAAGCAGTAAAATTCTCTCTGAATTGTATTGAATGATGAATCTTCCCATAGAATTTTTTAGTATGGAATTGCAAAAATTATACCATCCATTATTGTTACATATTGGCAGTGCAAGAAGACTAAAATGAATCCAATGTGTTTCAAATGCATTGTTATTGGGAATAATTGCCATTATGAACCTCTTCAAAATCGCAACAAAATTATATGATCGCCTACAGTAGATGGCGAGAGAATCACTCTCCGCCCGAGAAATGAGAGAGAATGATCGAAAAACACTCACAATTCGTTCAAATATCGAGATTAATTTGCAATAAGGACCAAGTTGGGCAACTTGGCGAAAAATTTGGCCACAATTGCAAATTGATGGTTGTTATGTGAGAGCTTTAATCGCCATGGCCAAATTGACTGTTTCGAGTGACTGAGAAGAAGTGGAATGCAAACAATTAATGATCATCAGTCTGAATGGGTGAAAGAGGAGGATAATTGAGTGAATTTGGACCGAAAATTGGGCAAGACTTGCGTATTTTCCACAACAGTGATTTTCTCTAAACAGCATGGAAACAGGTTCATTTGGAAACGTGACATGAATGAATGAAGTGAAAGACTGTCAAAGTGTGAGAAGATCTGAAGCAGTCTAAATAATCAAAATCCTTAGTAAAATAGCAAGAACTCAAATATAACTTTTTTTCAATTTTCCTCGGTTGGCTTTCAAAATTTATTTATTTTTTCAAAATTAAAATAACTCACGAAAAGAGAGCAGTTTTCATATAAAACATTTTTGCATTTTTATTGCAGTGTTTCTTCAGTTTCTTTCTACATTATTCATATGTATTTCACTCATTTGTCCTCACGTGGCAATGAAATATTTTAATTTGGACGAAAATGATTACATATTAATGCACTAATTGAGGAACAGTCGGAACAGTCCCTCAACCTGGCGAATTATTAACCATGGCTTGAGCGTATTTTGCCTCACAAGTACTGTGAAGAGTTAAAGTGTTGCATTTCGCCTTTTGGATATTGCACAAAGTGCATTTCACGAGTGCTTCCGTGTCTCTGAAACAATATAATTTTATGACTATAAATATACTGGATTCTCATTAAAGTTTATGGATTGATGAAAGCACACTCACATAAGTGGCGTTGAGAAAACACTAAACAAGCGTGTTGAGGAGAAAAGATGAAATTTTCCTGGCTCTGAGCCAACAAATTTTGCACTTGTCAGCTCAGCAGAAAGCCCACGAAACAGGCTATGGATATTGAAGTAAGTGTTTTGAAAATGGACTGCAAAAGAGCTCCCAGAAGTCAAGTGAAACTAATTGACTGCTTCCTCGTAAGTATATTAATAAAGCGCCCCAATATAAGGCGCTCGAGCATCAAAAGCTCCGCCCAAAGTCTCTTTAGAAGCCACGACCCAACGACCCGTGAAGATCTGAACACAATTTCAGCGCGGAAAATTATGTAAAGCATGAAAAAGATCTTTGGCATCGGTATTTTGCAAGGCGAAAAAGTGAGCACAATAAGCGAGAAGCACTATTGTACAGAATTATATCATATGCAAGTTAAACAATGCCCACGACATAGTAAAAGCTTCACTTCCACGTGTCGCTCCAAGGAATTTCTCCGCGCGAATGAGAGAGACGGACTCTCTTAGGGAGTGCTTTATTGGCAGGAGGAAGCTCTCCAAGGCATAAAGCGAGTGATTTATTATTCCCCTATTTATTACAAAATACCGCATGCCAAATGCACCCAACATTACTCTTTCGGACTACCGAGAGTCTTTTTGGCTTCAAGTAACACGTAAGATTTCTCTTCTGGTTCACTTCTAATCTATTGCTGTTTTCCTTATGTGGAACTCCATTTGACTTAGTTACTTTGTTTCCATAGTGGGAATGATTTTAACACCAAAATCGCATGATCCTAAACACACTTTGTACTGTATTAGGTTAAAACTCTTAAGTCAGTCTGGGGAATTAGGATATGAAACCGACAAATTTTATGATTGATCAAATTACAAAATTACTGTTAAATTGCTTTTACTTTTACATGCAGGGTTTTTCTCTCATTTCATACATAGAGTATATAAGTATAAATATTTATAGGAATACCGCATATCGTTTATTTCCTCACATTTTATTTATCTATTGGAAAAAGAAAAGACGGAGACATTTCTCCAACTGATGTGTGACAAATTTTACACTAGCAAGTGTAAACTAGTGAATAATGAAATCTGATTTTATTGTCATGACTTTACAGAGCATAACTCTGAAGAGGCACTTTGTTTGTCAAGAGTGTCAGCAACAACCTCTTTATTATCTCGCAACATTGCGCAGTCATTTGTGGTTCTTCGTGGTGTCTTTATTGTTCCTCAGCATATATACAAATCACTGGTACGTAATTTAATAATATAAGATGTACTTAAGGAAATATTGCATTACTACATTTCTTGCGATTAAACATCTTTGACCTACATATGTATTTTTAATTAACCAATTAATTAGACAATTATCAAATACTAACTTCTGCTTCCCTATTTCCCAGGAAAAATGCAAAAGAGAAATACTTTTCAGCGCATTAACAATATGAGGAAGTGAATAGAGTGCGAAAGAAAAACAAATCCGACTTTTGCCGCTTCTTTTTCCGCCTGATTTAGTTGCTAAAGAGCGTCAGTCACTGAAAATCACAGCAATTTCGCATTTTCTGCACACAATTCTGCCATGGTGGCCAACATGAAAAGGCGTTGCGGAATTCAAGCGCGTGTGGGTGAACGTTTTGTACTAGTGAAGAAGACACCCGCGGTCAAGCTCGACTGAATGGACTTCCTCGAAAGCCACTCGTCAGAATAATCGACCAATTGATGTGGATAATTGACTAGGCACTTCAGTCACACTCTACATTTGCTCAGTCGCTCGTTCGCTTCCTCGATCGCCCTCGGTCACCTGATTGAGACATTTCTGTCCAGGTGTTGGCGCTGCGTAAGGCACTCAGACGCCAGACAGCGCGAGATCACCGATGATAGCCTAATAGGCTGACCGAAAGATTACTTAATTGTGCGTTTTTGTATGCACAAACGACTCTCCGCACTGAAGAAGATAACACACACGATGGGCGAGAAAAAAAATTCACAGCGGAAGAAATTCCACACTGAATTCATGATCAGTGATCTTTCATGGCGATTAAATTCACCACACTCACACAGGGAAAAGCGAAAGTACTTTTTTCTCTCTTCGCACCACATTGTGTGGATGTAAAATTGCCGCGATGCATTTCTGGAGCACGACGAGAGAAGTGTAAATTAACTACATATAATGACACTCTGATGGTGGAGAATTTCATGAAAACTCTCAGAGTGGAATTGAGAAGTCTTCAGGCCTGAAGATCACACTTATTGAGCGTGAGGAGCGCAAAGTGCAGGGACGCGAATTAAATCGGCAAGCCAAGTGAATCTGATGGGTAATTGGATCACAAGAGTTTTTTGCTCAATTTGCTTAATTATTTGAAAGCATGAATTTGTAATGACTGCATTGTGATAAAAGAGAGGAGAAATTTCAGTTCAGTTGAATACAGTCCCGATAATTTCTGTTCATTCACAACATTGCTGAACAGTCACATATTCACCCTTATCGTGATGAATTACAGAGGAGTCTTGAAATCAAAACACTTCAGCATTGATTGATAAACAATTAAGTAATAATATTTCGCAATAGATTTGATCTATTTAGGAATTCGATGAAACAGCATTAATCTTTTTTTCCATTGGAATCGAATGACTGATGAATTATTTCATAATCGCCGTTGTCGAACAATCAATTTTCGTCTCGTGTTTGCGCATGTTTTGCCAGATCATCAAAGTGTTTGCTTTGTGAGTTGAGAGTCAAGGATATTTGGTCGAAATTGAGGCTCTTGCACTCTGAGAGAGGATCATTTATTGTGAATTTCTTTCGTTACAATGTGAGTTTGAGGATACAAGAAGAATTTCTACGACGACGTCACACATGCTCCTCCCAGGGTTGGACTGGTGGCCACTGAGGGGGATTTCCGCCTGGCGGATGTCCTCCCGGAGGATTCTGGTCCACGGGCGGCCACTGGGGAGGATTTCCACCCGGTGGGTTTCCACCTGGCGGGTTCTGATCAATTGGCGGCCACTCCGGAGGATTTCCACCTGGCGGAGACTGGGTCGGTCCGGGCGCCCAGGGATCGTCTGTCGCCGGTGGCCAGCCTGGCTGGTCTCCGGGAGGGTTTTCGCCCGGCGGATTGCCGTCTGGGGAGTCTGTCACGGGCGGCCACTGGCCAGGCTGATCGCCGCCCGGCGGCTGCTGTGGCGTGGATTCTGACGTCGGCGGCCACATCCCTGGCATTCCAGCCGCAGCAATCTCATCCGAGTGGAAGCCATCATCGTAGACAACGCCCAGACATCCTACAATCGACACAAGCACCGTAATTCCGAGGATGATTTTCATTGTCGCACTCTCACTTCGGGTTTCAATTTGGGATTTCCACGAGTGCTTTTGCAAGCGCTCAGTGTTCGATTTTTCGATTGACTGTGTTTTCCACCATCGAGGCGACCTTTTATAATTTGTCCCAGGCTCATTCATCAATCGCACCAATTTGGCTAATCTATCATTTTCAGTAGGAGGGCGTCATTTCGCGCTTTCGCCTGTCTCTTCCCAGCCCTGAGGAATTGTCCAGCCAGTGACAAAGACTTTGGAAATTCTTCAATGATGACTTCATGAATTGGGGTTACCAATCGAGGAAATTGCTTTCTTTCTTATCGCAACAGTGAAAAGAAATCGATAACACTCGTGATGATCACATCAGTAATTCTGTTACACTGAAATATCGTTTCCTAAATTCTAGAACACCTTCTAAGAAATTCAATAAGATTGATAACACACTCTTCGTATCGATAAGACACTTTTGTATGCAACTTGATAAGTAAATAACTAAAAGATTATTTTTCTTCATTTTAAAGCATTTATTTCTTCTCAATAAATATTTTGAGTATGATTTCGATGGACAATGTTTTTCTGGGTGTAGAAAAAACCTCTCAAATGTGCAAATTTTGCTCACTATGTGTTCAATAAATACCCTGAAGTGCCTGAATTTATGTGATTTTCTCGCTGATTTTACATTCTCGTGACTCTCGAGATTCTCGCCTTATCTTCCATTTCCATTGAACTCTCGGAAGGAATTACTTTAAGGTTCTCATCGTCAACTTCCTCCCCAACGAGATACGCCTCCTCGTTATTCTCCTCCTCCTCGATTTCTTCACTCACTGGATAATTTCTGAATTGAAAAGGTCGTGGCATTCCTTGCAGCATTCCATGCGGAAGTCCTCTGACAGCAGCAGGAGGCCGTGGAAGGAAGGGATTCGGGATGTTAAAGTTCTGTCCGAACTGAGTGAAAGCATCGCCAATGCCTTGACCAATGCCATTGGTGAAACCCAGGAAGCCCTGACCAAACTGCCCGATATTTTGGCCAAACTGCTGAATTCCATTTGTGATCCCTGTGAAAATGTTCGCAGGCAGCTGGATCCAGAAGGGTGGCGGTTGCTGCCCAGCAGGACCCGCGGGAGAGACTTCCATTGGGATCACTGGAAGTGGAACCGGAGCTGGAACTGGAGCCACTGGAGCCACCGGAGTCACTGGAGCTTCTGGGCTCGTGATGATTTGTTCATCGGCCAGAGGGTTCTTGAAGCGATCATTTGGGAAAGCTTGCGTGTAGGTTGGCAGGTAATTATCATAAGCTGGTCGATTGGGGAAGGGGTTAAATTGCGCTGGGAATTGCAGAGGGGGAAAGCCAGGAAAACCGCCAGGTGGAGGAGCCTGGAAGAATGGTGTTGCTGGCCTGTTGATTGGTCGGAATGGATAGAAGAATGACGGTGGGAAAGAGTCTCTGTGATTGTCGAAGGGATGAGGATGATGAGCGTAATTCTGATCTCCAAGAATGGGATCACTTAGTGCTGAAGGCGTCGATGATCCAACGATCTCTGCGCTGTTGTCCGGGACTCCGTGTCCGCTCGGCGGGAAGGGTGTGGCGATGGAGCTGATCGTCTGGAATGGACCGACTCTCTTCCGCTTCTCAGTTCGGGATCGGAAGCCCCTCTGATCGGCGTTGTATCGAGTGATTGTGACAGAACCGTCGGGTTCTGCCATGCCATAAGCACCCTTGACTGTGCCATTCCTGAACCTCTCTTCGTCCTTGAATTGGGTATTCCCGGACACTGGATCCTCCACCTCATATCCGTAAGCATAAGTACCCGGACCATCGGGCTCTACGATGTTGTAGCTTGGCCATTTGGCCAGACTCAGTCGATTAGTGGGTATTTCACGAATCCTCTTCGTATTCACCTTGCGGGCATCGACGGCAAGACACCCGAAGAGGGCAAAGATTACCTAATAAAATGAGAAAACATATCAATAACGCTGCATTGATTAGCTCTAAGCACCCTCAGAGACTCATGAACAATAATCTGAACGGCTGATTATTTGCTCAAACTAACCACTAAACCGACAAGTAGAAATGGTAGCAAAATATTTCTACAGAAAGTAAAGACACTCACTAATTTCAAAACAAACATCCTCTCCAGCTCTATGTGACAGAATCGGGATGAATATTCTGCGTGTGTCCACACTTCACGATAACTTTGCAACTGATGGCCTCTGTCCACTCTTCCAGATCTTTTATACTCGCGAACCTGAAGAAGCCACCAAGGAAGAACATAATAAAACAATATAGGAATTGAAAAGGTCTCAAGTTGGAAAGTGTGAATAGATGAGTCAAGAAGTGAATTTGGCACATGTATATTTTCTACAAATATTTTTATGGTTCCCTCCTTTTGTCCTCCGCGACACTCCCGAGGGGTTAATAACCCAGGCAAATGGGGCAGTATTGAAGGAATTTTATGTGATTCTCGATCGTCAGTGCGTTTTGTGGGTGGTGGGATTAATTTTAAGCGCCCCAAAAACATGCTTTAAGGTTCCTTTTATGCGCTTTTATTGACATCAAGAGTACCAGAACAATGCAGCAATAAAAATATATAAATATGGCTATTCTTTATCAGTTCTGAGCAATTGCAAAATTATTGAGGCAGGTTCGACTGATCGTCAACTGAACTGTTTAATTACGCTCCGCCCGCAAAAGTTCATTGTTTTTGTGCCGAAAGAAATTCTGCCCACCTGTAAATTCTTTTCCATGACGTAGAGAAGTAAATTGTGAGATGCAAATTGGTGGTTCTCTCGTGGAAAACATTAAAATTGGCACAAGAAGAGACGGTAATAAAATTTGGGTCATTTCACTGGGAGTTTACACAATATTTGGGAGTTCCATTTTCTTACACAAGCAACTCATTGTTCCCCAAAATTATTTACGAATCGAACGGGTTCTAAGAGTCTATTTGCACAAGCGTCGGTTAGTCACTCGAGAATCAGCCGAATGTGTCACGTGGAAGATCACCCCAAGATGGATTTATTGGCATTTGAGTTCAGTGAACAGATATTTCATTTTGGATTTAAGTGCTTAGACCTGGATTTTATTGCCCATTTTTGTATCCCGTAGATTTATTCCCGCCGAATTGAACAATGTACTATTTTGTGACACATGAAGAAAGTTATTTTTGCCGAAATATCCAAAGATCGCGGCGTCATAAAAATATTCAATAAATGTATGAAAAATATTAGAAGGAAATCCATAAATCCAGAAGATATTGAAAGTTTGTTATTCAATAATAATTTTTTTTATGATTTTAGTTCAATTTGATGGCTCTTCATAAATGACTGAAACGTGTCTCAAAAGATCACTCGTTTAATATATGAAACATTGAACTTGAAGTTTGAAGATTGAGTATTTTCAGTGCCGCACAAAATTATGCTCGGCTCTTTAAGAGACTGCGGGATTAAAATTACTTTGATCTACAAGTACATTCTTACGCAACACTCTGAACTTTTCTCTTCAGCGCTCGTCCAGCCAATTATTATCGATACATTGGATGTAATGATTTACTGGCATGAATTATACGTTATTACATAGCGTTGACGCTCTAAAATGGTCAAATTCTAATGATACACTTCTTCGGCAAGAGTTACTTAAGCAAGTATTAAGATACTTTGGGTTCTTGTCTTGATTCTCGTGCAAAGAAGGACTTTTTCGCGTGATTTCAGATGCAATTATGTGATTTGAAATTGAATACTCGCAAACATTTCTCGGACAAACACTCTTGAGATCAAGGTAGCGACACCGACGATTCTTGATTGCGATTCTTTGCTGCACCCAGAGTGATCTTTCGTGATGCACGAGGAGATGTGGGAAAATCGTGGCATTTGTAGAAGACATGCAGTTTGGTTTTTTTCAACACTTTATTTCATTTTTTTGCTTTTTGTGTTATATACATTGCTTGCTTTTGTCTATATATGCACATTTTGTAAAATAATAAAAGTATGTGTATTGAGAGAAATTGTTCATTATATAAAACACATTTCATTATATTGTTTAAAGGAGAGGACATAGTGGAATTCGAAGAGATCGACGGAAGATAGAAGAAAGTGGGGGAAGATGTGACAAATTTCTCCACTTAGATCTTGTACACGTAGATGTACAAGTGGCGAGAGCTTTTGAAGCGCTTTCGATGTGAAAGTGTGGAGGAAGAAAAGTGTGTAGTAGAGTAAGATAGTGAGATGAAAGATAAGAGTTCATAAGAGAGATTATCACAAGTTAAAACACTCTACATTCCTCCTTCGTTCATTCACATGTCGTCCGATGGCATCGAAAAGCTCCGTCCTTGTGATGTTCAATTGGGAATCGGTTGGCGGGAGAGTGCGTGTGGCAAGAAGAGGCGCGAAAAGCTCTACAGAGGAAGTGATCTCTAGCGTTTGGTGGTGGGTGGAGAGAATCGATGATGATGATGAATAGCGTTGGTTAAACTTTACATTTATCATTTTCTTCGTGATGCAATGAGTCGCTTTCGTCGCTTGTCTTACAGGTAATACATATCAAAAATATATATAATAGAGAAAGAGAGACGTATAACGATTAATGTGTTATGGTAATTGAAATGCCTTTAGACAGATGAATGGCCGCCTTAGTGGAGATAGTGGCTGAGGACTGGAGCATGCGCCAGGTGGACAGCTGGAGCGGCAATGACCTGGAAAAGGCGCAGAGAGAAAGAGGTGAGATGCCGCGGACGAAAGTGAGAGTGGGTGACTCACTTTGTGGGCAGCTGGAGCGGACTTGTGCACGACGGCGTTGAAGCCATTGTGGTCATCGGCGGTGTAGTCGACGGTGCGCACGGAGCCATCGGGCTCCACCAGGGAGTACTGTCCCTTCACGACGTCCCCGTCGCGCTCCTCGGCCTGAGACTTGATGTCGCCGGTGTGGGGATCCTTAATGCCATAGTTGAAGGAGTACTTGGGGTACGCCTGTCGAGAGCGACAATCATGCAAGAATATTGAGTACCGTCAGAGCACCACTCACGATCGCGTCCATCTTACAATTGGTTCGTGGACCACAGCCTTGTGCAGGGGCGCGTGGACGTAGGCAGGGGCGGCGTGCACGAGGGCTGGGGCGGCATAGTGTCCATACTCGACTGGGACAGCGCTAGCCACGGCGGCGATCAGCAGGACGGCAACAACACACTGAAAGTTGCACAAGCCACTCATGATCCATCGGAATTTATACAAAACATCTATCAACGCCACACAGATTCCGCAGATTGGAAATGTGTCTCAAAGTGCCCCAGTTTTGCAACGCCAAGCAGACGCGAGCGTCATCTTGTGAAATATCTATCATCTGACGAAATTTCGCTCTGTCTGTCTCACATTTTCAATTTTAATTAATGCCTTCGGCTCTGAGATTGACATATCGCAATTAGACTGCAAGTATCGGCTTCCAAACTCCCAAGAACAACAACAAGGTTGCCAAGAGACACATTTCCACCAGACACTGTGCACCACTTTGCTGAACAAGGAGTGTTTACGCTCTGCGCTGTGCTTGATAATGCCATGACGTCACTAGAAGGATCACTAGAAACGCGAGGACCTGAGCACAACTTGTCGCTCCTTCGTCGTGGGGGGGAGAGAGAGGAGAGCTAAACACTCCTTGCTTTCGCCGGTTCTTGGTATCCCAAAAATTCAACAGCCACTGTCGGAAATTTACCTTCATTTTTGCGATATTTTTTTTTGTTTAAATACGAATATCGAGAACTAGAACGTTTTCTTAAGTATCTCTCTCTCTCTACGGGAGGAAATCCTGAGCAAGAGGAGCTTGGTACACGTGAGACACCACCGAAAGGTAAACTTCAAACACAAACTGATGCGGTCTGAATGTCCAAAACGCCTTTTATACGATTTACCCGTGTGTCGCCTCGTCGTGAGGCGCGCGCGTATATTTGGCGCCGTGATCGCCCCACTCCTGGATGGGCGCTGCAACAGAAAGGAGTTTTCAGCTAACGACCGGCGGCATGCTCGAATTAAGGTAGGACGTATATAGTGAAATTATGCGGATTATGCAACACATATCAACGCCGAGTATCACCGATTCGCCGGAGAGCGCGAAGGGGAGGAGGACAGCGGTGGTGGTGGATCTCAGTACTTTGTCTTCAATTTTTTCACATCTCTCACTGGGCGATTTATGCCTCGAAAACCGACACCACACCACCAATTGAACAGTCACTTGACACACCTATGGTCGAACACGAGATATTTCGCGCCGTGGGAGACACTCGCGCGTCGCTCTGGCATTGTGAGAAAAAAAACGCTCCAGATTTCGGACAACACTTTTCATGCATAGTCGCTCTTTTAATTAAAAAATCCACCTAATTTGTGTAAATTAAATCAAATAGTGACTTCAGACAGACGCGATTTATTATTCATTTGACTATGCATTCACCATATATCTCTGGCGTAGCTTTATGAGGCCACTTGATACCATTTCCATTATTTTGTAATAACTCTCATGCCAGCCCAACTACTTAATTTTATTACTTTGGTTTTGTCGAATGCATTTTTTACTGCTCATGGATTTGATGTAGGATTTTATATGCACACAAAAATGTTCGACATACATGAAAATCGCTAGTGTGAGAAAATGAGATGTTTCAGTTGAGCGTTGAATGAATTAACCTTCAACTTTAAGCAAATTGCTGGTGAGAATGTGTAAATTTCAGAATTGGTGACTTATTTATTCATGATCCTTTTAGCATTGAAATTTCGGTAGATTGTATTTTTGATATATTATTCTGAGAAAGGTTAATTAACTGAATCCTGTATCAATTTGACCCGCTTTTACGATGAGTGCCTAATAAATCTTTGGGAAAACAAGAATTACAAGACTGAAGAAACTGTTAAAAATATTCTTGATGATAAGATTTGATTTCTAGAAATCAAATTTTATTGTTCAAGATGATTTTGTGCAATTCTCGAGCCATCGCGTGTGGGCAAAGCACCTGAATTCTTAATAGCAAAAATGTATGACAAATGAGAATTCTGCACAGTTGCATCAAACAACACATCTTCGACAGCTTACAAAATAATTCCACTGCATTAACATACATTCCACGATACTAATTGGCCTCAGAGGATGGAAGATGATGAAAAATGAGGTGCTGCAGAGTTTTCCGCTTACGCCAATTGCCCACTCACGCGACTTCGGCTGCAGCGACTAGGAATAGTTCGCGCGCCATTCATGTATCTCCGATATTTCATATTGAGTGCAAAAATTAATTTGACTTTGCGCAATGTTATCGCAGATTTGCAAATACAGTTTCCATATGGTGAAAAAAATATCAGGATTTTCTGTTGTACTTTTTAATTAATCTGCAAATGGTTGTGGATTTTTTGCCCGTGCGACATCGCGACTGGAAACTTGAATTGGGCCATATTTTCGCAATATTTATCCAGAAGCCATAGAGACTTGGGTACGAAAAATTTATAGTTGTAGTGCATTTCGCGATAATTATAGTGCGGGTTGAAAATGCATTGGAAAAAAAGGAGAGAAACGAGGAGATAAGAGGAACCCGTTTTGCGCGCGCAATCGTTTCAAAAGCTCACTCACGTGAAACTTTTTCGGCTGGCAAATTGATGAATCTCACGTGTGACTAACACTCTTCGGCGATGGTGTTGCATAAATTACATGCGGTGCATTTCCCTCCCCTGGAGCGCTGCCAGTGCCGTAGTTGGCTAAGGCCGAAGAGCTGAGCCTGAAGAGGGTTCAATTCTCACGCGTTCTCAATCGACGCCGCTGGCAGAAGCTCCTCTGGCAAGTGATCTTTGCCAGTGTGTCTCAGCATCGATGCGAGGAGGATCCGATGACGTCCATGGTGTGCATCTGATGCTATAAATAAATTAATTGTCTGGCAAGAGCGCACATTTGCAATGGAAACTCGTAACTCCTTCACTTTAAATGTCATTGTGTTGCATTGCGAATTGTTTATATGTTGAAGGCAGTCTGTGCAATTTTATTGGGCATATAGTGATTTTGAAATTCTAATAAATCTCACAAACAGAAAAGACATTCAATTAAAATCACGACCAAAAGTTGGTTCAATGGTAAAGTCAGCCTTTTTTTTCGCTCTCTTCATTCCATCACGAGAGATCACCTCACATGCCATTTGATCTCATGCCTCAATCATGTACGATCGATCGGTGTGGCCATTGTTGAGGATGCCAAGAAAAAATGTCTGAGATTGAAGGGAGTTCATTGACGAAAGTGTGCTTAACCTTCCTCTTGCTCTCACTCCAATTTTTTCCACCGCCCAAACCGCCACAACAAAGGATCCCAAACTGTGCAATTGTGGCATAGATGGGAAATTGGGTTAATTCACTCTTGATTATCACACCATGAATCTCGCGATAGAGCGTCTTATTCAATATTGAACTTGATGTGTACTCATTAAATATCCAACAAGATTGTGTTTGTGTTACAGAAATTACATAACTTTTTCGCTATACTCATTAATATATATCGCCGCTAAGTAATTTCCGTCAATCATATAGCATTTGGCATCACGAGGCAATAAAAAGGCCCAATTAGAGCTGCGATGCAGGTTCGCTGCCTGTCCACACATTCATGTCTTTCCCCATGTATTCAATTTCACTCTCGTTTCTCGCACTATCAACACCAAATGTCGCTCTGTTGTGCATGTCTCCATCAAAATAAACAACAATAAAAGTGTCTCCATAATTTTACTGCTTAATAAGGATGACGATTGTGAAAAATGCTTAATCTAACACTTAATTACCTATTAATGCTAATTTACCCACGAAATTTTCTGTCGCAAAAACCACTTTTAACAGATGTCTTTCCGTCTGGGAAAATTCAAAACATTTTCATTGCTTTGACATGCTTGTATAGACTCAACAATAGTTTGTCTGTGCGGGTGGGAAAATATTGATTTGGCAAACGCGCCGTGGAGACCTCAAATTATCCATTCAGATGATCCAACATGACATTGCAGTTTTTTCTCATAGGAAAACTAAATGCAGAAGACAAAAAATGTTCCGAACGTTTGCAATAATTGTGATGCAATACAGCTCAATAATGGATATGTGTAATTCATACTGTTTACTTATCTCAACATGGATGGGATGCCCAAAAATAAAGATTGCAAATATTTCTTCATTGATACCCAGTGATTGATATGATGATCTTTTCCAATAACTTATGATTGATTATAGAGTGCAGAGTTTCGTGTAAAAATGGTGTGTATTTGTGTGAAAATGAGTTGGATTATTTATTGCAACAACTCCATGATGAACTGCTGCCTTGTCTCCGCATTCTCTCTCACTCTCATGAAGGAAATTCCACGAAATATCGCTCGAAGTGCACACATTTTAATATCACAGAGTTATCAATGCATCAAAGAAGTCAAAGCATGGATCGCACAAATATTAAGTTATTTGCATATTTTATATTGTGAAGTGCATGTGAGGCCTGAAAATGCAACAGAGCCAACAGTTCATAGTAATTTATTACAATTCGAGATTCTATTGCGCCACTTTGTAATGTACACACATGCTTCAAGGTATTTCTGCAGTATTCCTCGCGTGGAGTGCACTGGATTCAGTGCTCCACTGCGATCAGCCACCACTCTCACCTCCGCAGCCGCCAATTCCTAACATGTGTTTATTGAGTGGTTGAGGAGAAGAAAAAGAATTCAGTCCGAAAAATCGTGCAAAATTGTACCAAGTATGCGATTAAAAACTACTTTCATTACTCTACTTTTAATTACGTAAATCGTATAATAAAATCAAGTTTATTTTTGTTTATCGCTCCACGTAAATCTCAACAGTGCGCGCCACTTACCAATTTAATAGTTTCGAGTGAGAAAAATTTATTTAAATTGTATGTTATACTACAAAGTACACTTAAATCACGATATGACCACATATCTGGATTGCATTCTCAAAAGCCATGCATTTGTGCTCGGGAATTATATATGAGATGCAAAGGTGTCACAAAAGGGTGTTAAGCAGCCAACAAATTCCGAAATATCAACTTTTGCTGTGGGTGGGACTTATGAGCTTTTCCCACAGCAACACAAACACACTCACACGTCTCCGGCCGATGCCTTAATTGCCACTTGCCAATTGTAGTGATTTATGAACTCTTCAATTGTGTTTTAATAAAGCCACTATAGTGAGCAATAAATTTTACAATGAGCATCCTCACTGCAATTGTGTGCACACACAATGTTGGTGTAGTTCGACATAAAACTTAATTTAATTAGCCACACTGTCTGACCTCAGCCGAGGCGGAGCATATAAGTGGGCGGAGCTTACGAGCATAATTCTCTAGCACAAAAACAGACCTCATTTTTGTAGAGACATATCTGAAATTCGTCTGATTTGTCTCTGGTACAAGATATCTTGCTGTTTGACTTCTTCATCAGATGAAATGTATATTGCAATTAACGTCTTAATTTTATCTCTGCGCTTCATAATTATCGAATAACTGTCTTGCTTATTGGCAAAAAGCTCATACAATATGTCGGTGAACAGTAGTTTTAGTGATCAAAGTGGGTAAATTCATTATTTTTTGGTGAATTTATGATAATGTTCATTTTTTTCTCCTTTTGATGTATCGCTATGTTTTTATTGAATGAATGAGAAACTAATGAACCCTGTGTGGAGGTGAGTATCTCGTCAGACTCGCTGGAGTGGTCTTGACAAAGATGATGAATGGGAGACCACAGGCAACAGTATCTGTTTACCGAGAAACCACTCATCAGAGTCTGTTTCGCGTGAAAAACCAAATATCCTCCCCGAGCTTCAGGTGCTTGGCAAATGGAAAACGATCGTGAGAAAATATTTTCAGTGTCGGTTGCGCAACATCCATAAGCGACTCACAAACGTCACGTCAAGTTCCATTTTGGCTAATTAACGATCTGCACGTTTGTTCACCTGCTTGAGCATCGTGATACATTGTTGCACAAAATGAGCTTTCAGGTGGGTTTTCGCCAAAAAGATTACGTGAAATCAGGCAAAGGAGGCAAATTAAAATAGAATAGAAATTGGAGATTTCATGTACAGATGGATCAATGTCACAACGAGCTCTCTACAACCCAGTGATTATACGCGATACTTTTCCTCGTCATCCGCGTGACAGCATAGATGCTCACGGAGCTTGTATAGTTTTATTTTAACATTTCAATTATAGGAGACACACTCTGTGTGATCTCAAAGAGAGCCTCAGCAGCGCAGATAACTTCCATATAATACCATACATGAGGCACGCTGAACAATTTTAATGGGTTGGCTTTTAAGACTCCGTGCTCGTTGCTCTACATTTTAAGCGCAAAATTGTGATATAACAATTTCAATCTTGCAATAGATCTCGACAAACATTCGCCTTCTCAGCTTCTTTTTTCTACTTCTTCACATGTCTCCAACAGTCCCCGAGTGTGCGATGCAGTTTTCATTTAAGCCAGCTCGCGAGAGACAGTCTTTTCATCGACAGCCACACGGCACGGCAAAATTTACACCAAGTCAAGAGCTTGCGCTTGATCAGCCAAATGTCCATAGCACATACTGAATGTATGTGAAATTGCGCGCGCGAGAAGATGATGTCGATAAAGGCCCAAAGCATATAGACTTCTTCATGGCGGTTTTTTTTCCCCTCCCCGCGAAGCTGTGAGCAAATTTTCCCATTCAAACGGCAATAATGGAGAGTTCTGTGCTGCATTCCCAACTTGTGATCAGAGATCAATCATGTTGATGATGACGCTTGACATTTTCAATCCAATTAAACTACCCATAAATATACAAATCTGAAATATGGACTTCACTTCCATTTACATCTCTTTGGGTGCTCGAGCACAGCTGCGATGTGGCACAGTGAAAAATTGGATAAAAGAACGGCAAGTGGCTGCTGGTGAGCCCAAGGCTGCTAGAGCACTCGATTGCCCACCAATTGATTATATAAGTCCCTACAGCACACTGACACCAAAGCATCGCAGCTTCTGTTGCTCGCCTCTAGCTTTCATCTAAGAATATTGCGAAATATCGTGCAATCATGCACTTTGCTGGGCCCAAGGCGTTCACCCGCAAGCCGAGTGTTAGCCATGCTCACGTTTTTCCACCAAACCAGTCGAGATTAGGGTCGAGCAGACGTTGTAAGCTGCAGAGCATGCACGATATGTTGACATTTCTTCGGGTATTTGGGGCTGGTTTCTGAAATGCACACACTGGATTAGAGCGACATTGCTAAATTATAACAAGACCTGAATGATTCTTAAACCAATTTGGACGTCTTACGTTGACCGATAGCCAGCCATTGAGCGCACCTTCGCAAATTCAACACGAATACAAAGAGAGAATTCCAGACAAGCCGAAAGGCAAATGTGGAGCGATTTTGATTTTTCCCATCCAACATTTCCAACCCAGAAACCTTTTGTATTCGCGAATTGAGCGCAGCAGAGGATAATGTGCGATTCGATTTGCGCCCACATAGTGAGAAAGAACATCAAACGGAGTGGTAGAGCAGATCAAAGGCAATCGGTCATCGTATGTAGAAAAGTAAAAGTCCAATCTTCTACTCACAGCGGGAGAGAACTTTACGACTTCATCATATATATATATTTGCAGGGAAACAAAGCCCAATTTGTCTGTGAATTGCAGCAAATTCTTGGAGCTATTTGTTAATAGTAAAATAAATAGAGACATTTCCGCCTTTCTTTCCATCCTATAATTGAATTGCCATTTGACAAAGTGACCCAATTGGTGTGTATCATTAAAAATCTCCACTCTTGTATTTCATACAAAGTAACTTGATCATGTTTGTTTCACAAGAAAATTTTCCTCATCACCTCAATTTGTGATTTATGTCACATTCAGCGAAAGAATTTTCATAGAGGAAAAAAAATGAATTTGATTCATCACAATCATGATTAGTGGTTTTATGTCCAAAATAGTCTTTTAGACACAATTAAGAGACTTTATGTATCGTTATGGATCGGAGCAAGTATTCAGCCGCCAATTTGGTACCACACACTTCAACGTCGGTGACGCATGTTTTCTCGCCGCAAAATGTTTACCTTTTTTTCCCCATCACACTCAGTACGCACTGAACAATTAAGTTTTATCGAAAGTGGAGGCTTTTCTTTGCCACTGCATTGAGGAATTTCGCAAGAACTTTGCGTGTGTGGCACTTTTTATCCATTCACAAGACATTGAAATTAATTCGATTGTCTTTTGTCAATTTTCTTCTTGCACTCTCAAGGGTCTCATGGACTCTTTTTGCCATCACTTCACTGGTCAGACGTTGGCCAGACACCTGTGTTTGATGCGATGCGTGCAGCACAAAAAATATTCGGTCAGATATTAATTCAATAATATTCATGGTGATTTTTTTTCCATCCACTCTCTTTCGACAGATATTCACACAATTAATTTTGTCTCCTGACCATGAGGAGCATTGAGAGTGTGTGCTTAAGTAAAAAAGGCGAAAAACAAATCTCTCGATAAAATTCAGGTTATTTTGCACAGCAATTGTGCGTGCGGAATGCAAAACAGACAGATAAATAGAGTCAATGGAGGCGCCCGGTACCCGGCGTCTCCACTTGGGGTGCATGCAATATTTGAGTAATAAAAAGCACTCAATACTTTTCGTCTCAATCAATTTGCAATAGCCAACATTAATCCCGTGATTTATGAGGTTGTTTTAATCGATGTAATGCAAACAAATTACTTGTGGATCAATCCAATTACCGTCTTTCAGATCTCCCCACAATTTATACATAAAGATTGATTACTAAATGTTGTTTTTAATGTGTTCTTAATCTCTTAAAATTCTCAGTCACTTAGCAATAATAAAACATATGATTTTAGTATTAAGGTTAAATTCTCAAGTGTCGTAATATCTATCGTTTAACCCTGATAATAGTGGTTTGATTAGTTGAAATAATCATATGTTTTCACATAAGTTAGCAATGATTTTATTTGCGTTGATGGCTTTGCTAACCCAAATTCAAAAGATTTCATTTTGCATTCATCTGATAAAGCATGAATGTGAATTGAAAAGAAGTATTGCAAATTTCGAAAATTCGCTTTGAAACATAGCCTTCGTGTGGCACATTGGATTTTTCTGATTTTGCCGATTACATGATTTCCTGCCCCTTTCTTGCAAAAATCATAAACTCACCGTGACAGTTTTGGGTTAAGCTAAAGCGTTTTCGTCTCTTTGCATGATCCTTGGGTTACTTGTTCACGTCTGGTGGAGTGTCTGCTTTCTCTCTGACCGATTATCGTTTATTGCCCGTCTGAGCCGCCCACTCGTGTGGCTTTTCATGCAATCAACACGTACTTCCAGGTGGCAGTTTTTGCATTTGCCAAAGTGGCTGTGCAATTTCTGCCAGCGCACAATAGAAGTCACAGAAGCAGAAAAAAGTGCTCCGTTTTTAATTGCTGCCTATGCTTTTCACTCTCTGTGCACCACCAAATGCGAAAGTATCTCTCGCGTATCCAATTTCTTTGTGCAAATCAGTCACTTTTCCCTCCCAAACACGACCGCAGAAGTGTGCGCGAGCGCCATCGATTGACGAGGAAGAGGAAAAACCCGATTGATTTTCATTTGTATCGTGTCTTTCTTTATTTTATTCGTCTCTTTCGCGGGAACAAAACAAACATTTTCGATTATAGTTTGATAAAAAAAAACATGCACGAGACTTAATACTCTAACATCTAACCTGCTATTAATATCACAACTGAGGAAGAGAGTTGTCTTGAGGTGTGTGAAGAGGCAGATGAAGCTTCTGTGTCTCTATCACAAGATGATTTGGGCGCGAGGAGCACTTAGTACTCGTCATCTTCTTCGCTGGTCTCGCCACTCGCGTGGTGCGTATATTGCTCGTGGCCGCCGTGCGGAGCCGCCTGCTGATGATGGCCACCGTCTCCGTAGGATTCGAGTTTACCATTTGTGATGATCTGAGCCTGGAAGCCGTTGTGCTTGTCCGCCGTGTACTTGACGATCCTCTTGGTGCCATCGGGGTCGATCACACTTGGTGAAGAATGGGAGGAGATTGGCGGTGTTAAGACAGTTGGGAAGGCACAGGATTCAGGCTGTGATACTCACGTGTACTCGCCGTGGACGGCGTCCCCGTGCCTCGTCTCCTTGCGACTCTGGGACACGTGGCTCTTGGGATCCTCGACGCCGTAGGCGAAGTGGTAGTCCGGCTTGGCGATGTAGTCCACTTTCACACCATGACTGTGCTCATCTTTCACGTGCACCTCATGCTCGGGACCACTGACTGGGCCACTGAACTTGGCGTAGGAGTAGCCCACAGGGTGGTGATCTTGCGCCACGTAGGCTCCACAGGACACCACCAGAGCACAGACAACGGCAATCACCTGCGACGAGAGACACACTGCATCAGCTCAGCGCCCTTTGTCGGGGGGCTCGAAGAGCAGCCACTTACGTGCATCAGGACCATCTTTATCTCCGGAGGAATGGTAAACTAACAATAAGTTACTACGGTAGCACTACAAGACAGGTGCTTAGCTCTACAATTTGAACACGATACTGTGCCGTTTGAACAATTTCAGCAAAGTATTTATACCAAAGAGGGTTATTTAATGCACCATTGGCGCCTTTTTTCGGTTACGGTGTAAATAGTGTGTTGCTCTTTTGTGCATTACGTCAAATACATTTTTTTCACCTTCTTCTACCCTCACCATTGGCACCGCGCGAGCGCCCGTCAAACGAAATGTATCCGCTTTTCTGTGCAAAATTTTTCATTTGTGGCGCCAAGTGACTGAAAATCGACTTCGACATGCACAACACATCGATCATTTCTTCGCCAACAAACTCACCGCGATCTTGTGATCAGCGATGCGAGAATTTCTCCCCGAGAAACAAATGAAAGATCTAATTGCTGAACAATTATATTATATTCACCATGTATACTGCTTCTTACCACCGAGTAATGCTCAAATTATAAATGGGTATTTATGGGTGTTGAAATCCCCAGGAGTTTTTGTCTTGTTAAATAAGAGGGCAAAAATTGTGTCTCTCTCTCTCGCTTCTTGCATTATTTTTATTTGGACAGAATCACGTTGATTGGAAATTTAACAGTTTCATTGTTGAAATTTTGAAATAATGCCGCGCGATTTGTGTTAATGGGAAAGTGTTGGAAATTACCAACAGACCTTTTTCTTCACACAGTTGGGCTTTTTGTCATCAAAGGTTCTTGAGTTCCATGAAAGTTGCCATTAAGGCTGATGGTCATCATATGCAATTTTGTTATGTTGTGTAGATACACTTTTAATCACAATTAATCGGTCGTTTGAGCATACTGATTATGTTCTTGGTGAATTACACAATCTCCAGAGACACCGCATAACCATATAAGATTTGAGACTTTTATTCTTCATTCGCAACTTCTCGCCATAATTAATATTCATATGGAAACTGAAAAAAGCTTCAATTTTTCCTTCCCTCGTCCGTATTGTAGTGATTTGGTTTTTATCATACGGAACAGTTTTTCGTCATTATCACATGTTTACCATCAACAACAAAGTGGCTCGGTGTACTTTTGTCTTATTGAATAAATTATAGAAAATGCAAAAGATTGCTTAACAATAAACGAATGAGAAATTCCTCTCTTGTCTGTTTCAACTTCCTCAGCAATGCTTCCTAAAGTGCATACAAAATGAAGTTACTATATTATGCCATTGGGTAACATGAAAATAAAAGTGGAATTCGCTGAGGAAAATACTCACTTTTCCAACCAATTGATCACGACACGCCAGTTGAATATCTTTTTAATATTTCAAATCATTTGAATTTACGATTGGATTTAACGAACTTGATAATCTCCGGGGATGAATTTTGTTTATGGTATTCGATAAAAAAAAATGCCAAAAAGCTCTCATTCCGTGTCTTATTATTGTCTGTATCAAGATATCTATTCTATTGGAATTATATATAGTGAACTTTCCAGTTTGCCGATTGCGCCTGAATGTCGACTTCCAGCCGTGCACAGACAGCACTGACAGCCCTTTGACAACTCGGTACACTGTCAGAAAACGTGGTGAACTGAGTGGATGGCTTTATTTTGATCCGTTTTCGGGGCGATTTTTCCTCTTTTCTTCTGGATTTTTCGCACAAAAGTGACACGCAAGGATGTCGCGAATCATCTCGCGCACAGATATGGAAGTTTGCGGTGACTGTGGAGCGTCAGGTGAGGATAAAAACAGCCCTTTTCGTCGTCTCGACTGAATGTCAATAATGGCTCAACATTTTCTCTCCCTTCGCGGAAGATCCTGCCTGGGCGTCCATAAACAAGGGGATTCTGCTCTGCGGTGAGTGCTGCTCCATCCACCGCAGTCTGGGACGTCACATCTCGCAGGTGAAGAGCCTGCGGCAGGGCAAGTGGTCGCCGTCGGTGCTGAATCTCGTGAATTCACTGAACAGCCATGGGGCGAACAGCGTCTGGGAGCATTTGCTGATTGACTCGGCGGCCCAGAAGCATGGCTACAAGAAGCCCTCGCCAAAGGATCCCCTGCACTCCGTCAAGGCGGACTTCATTCGTGCCAAACACGTCCAGGCGGCCTTCGTGCTGCGCCCAAACTTTGTGGACGGAAACGTGAAGAACATCGAGAGTGAGCTGAATAAGCAACTTCATGCCTCAGTGCGAGCGCCAAATCTCGAGACATCCCTGAGACTCCTCGTCCAGGGCGCGGATCCCAACTACTTCCACGAGGAGAAGGGCTCGACGCCACTGCATGTAGCCGCAAAGTTTGGCCAACTCTCCCAAGTGGAGCTGCTCATCATCTACGGAGCGGAAATCAAGGCGCTCGACATCGGCGGTCACACGGCAGTCGATCTGGCGCGGGCTGAGAAGCACACGCAGATCGTGAACCGACTGGTGGAGGCGATGTACGAGGTGACGGACAGAATCTGCAATTTTCTCTGCAACCGCAAACCCGATCACGCGGCCGGGCAGCACATTATCATACCGGATCAGACGCAGGGTGAGATCTTCGAGCAGCTGAAGATCGCGCGCGGGAAGCTGTTTCTCATACCCAACAAGATGTTCGAGGAGCTGGTGATGGATTTGTACGACGAGGTGGATCGACGCGAGAATGAGGCCATCTGGGCCACGAGTTCGCTCAATCCCGACTCGGGAGCCGTGCCATTTCTGCCCACGAATCCCCACTTGAGCGCCACGCGGAATCAGGGACGGCAGAAGCTGGCGCGCTTCAGTCCCACGGAGTTCGCGGGCTTCCTCACGGATGTGCTGATCGATGCCAAAAGGCGGCAGAACATGGCCAATCTGCGGCCGCTGACCAATGCTGTCGCCGGCGCCCCGCCGAGCGACAGAAAGCTCACCATCTCCGATGCAAATCTGTCCGATGACGAGCCTCTGTATGACGCCGTGGCCTCCGACGATGACTACGCGGCTCTGGCTCCGATGGGACAGCAGGTGAGTGCCTCTGCGCTGTGATTCATTCAATTACAGCGCGAGCAGAATGTTGCTCTATTAAACTTGCACGGAACATTTAAAATTCGCACTGCATATAGTGCAAAAGTTCAAACAAAATTGCATTACTCTATAATTGATCAATTAAAATTCACTACATTCGATACTCTAAACGGTCATGGTCTTAAGTTCTTCATCAAATAACAGGGTCATGAGGAATTTCCGTGTCGCTCTAGAGTCTCTGAGTGTGTTCACAGAGAGGGAAAAACGCATGAAAGAAGTGGAATTTTGCGTGACTGGCTTGATTTTGAGAAGGAAATGGCAAACTGATTTGTTTTTCTTTTTCAACTCCTATGAATGTTTGAAGAGCTCTTGTTGTAGAGTTTTATGGCCATTGCGTAACGGAAGCATTGAAAATTCAAAGTAAAAAACATTTTAGGAAAGAATTTATCGACAAAAAGTACCGCTGAAAAGCATGTGAAAACTCAGTTGCCGGTGTTGATTTATGGAACTGAAAGTTTCAAATTTAACCTTGAATTATTTATGATTTTCGACAACTTTGCGGGAAATTCATGTGAAATGAGTGTGTTTTGCAGGTCTTCGGCAGTCCAATGAACAACTCCACGCTCACCAATCCGGAGATTGACGTGCTGAAGAAGCAATTGACGGAGTCAGAGACCACAATCAGTGAGCTCAAGTCTCTGGTGCAGAAGCTCTCGACGGAGAATTCGGAGCTGAAGTCGAGGTGTGATCCGTGGACAGAAACTGATTTAAAAATGTAATTTTTACATTTTTTCATTAGTTCTCTGGATTGAGAAATTTCTCACTCAACTCATGATTTTTTCTTGATTTATGTTTTCGCTGTCAGGCGCTCTGATTCGATGTCCAATGATGGGCGAATGGAGGAGAAGACGGTGAATGAGTTGAAGCAGAACTTCCCAAAGCGTCCCGTGAGCATGTTTGAGCCGCGGGAGAACAACAACTACAGCCGGATAAATGCGACTGGAGACAACAATCGCACGGCCACTTCGATGTATCACATGACGAGGCTCAATCAGTCGGACTCCACGATCTTTCCCACGTCAGACGAGGTGATTTGCCGCACTGACGCCATCACGAGGCGCATTCAGGATCTCGTGGGCGCCATGCAGGATCTCACCAAGAAGAATGCCTTCGTGCCGTGCGCTGAACGCATCCACGCCGCCGTCACGGATCTCGTGGTTATTTTCCCAACGGTGAGTTCTCATATTCTCTCAATTGACACTTTTTTTTTCATCTCTGCGCGCGGTGGAATTTAAGTGAAAAATTCATCAATTGCATTCCCGGCGAGAAATAACATTTTATCAGGATTATAACTACAAATTTCACCTCTTGCTCGCCGGCTGACAAATGGCCCTGTTGAGCGCAATAAATCGCACTGCGTCCCGTGTGATGATGATGTATGTCGTCTCATAAGTTTCACCAGGGTAAAACTTTTAATTCCATTCCCAGTGATGAGAGAGAGAGAGTTTCGGGACTGTAATCACACACACACAAGCTCACAACTGGGACAGTCCCGAGGAAGTCTCGGGAGAGTGTCGCTGGGAAGTCAAGAAAATTGAGAGTGACTCTTTAATTTTCATTATTGCGCACTCAATGTAATGCTGTTATGAGCCTGGAAAGATGGGTTATTTAGTGAATGAGAGAGAGAGAGAGAAATGCTGGATTATGTATAAGCCTGGCAGAGGTACTCGCTAATTATTATGCACATTTCGCCCCAAACTGATGAATGGAAATAAGGAGATTAATTCATGGGCTAACGTTATTTGATGCGTTAAGTGTATAAATGCAGATTTTATGCATTCCTTTGGCGATTAAAAATGAACAATCCGAATTTATTTGGCTACTATCTGGAATTTAAGTCTCATTGTGGGGCTTTTTTCCAGTGATTTTCAAGTGAAAAGCGTATTTGTACAATTGAATAGTGGAAATCCCACAACTTTGTAAATGCTTTCCGCATTTAGAAACTTAATGCCATCTCACCACATCCACCATTTATATCCCATTCTCAATTACATTTCAATTAATTCTATTTGGCTCTAATTGATTTCCTTCCATTGTTCTTCCGCGATGTCATCCAATATAAATTCTCCGAAGGAGATTCAATTAGGGATTACTACGATATGAAGTCCTTTTGCTTTTCTTCTTGTGCGTGATTGCAAAAAAGTTTGCACAGTGCAAAATTAAACACTTTTTTCCGCATTGAGGATTTGGGTGAGGCTGCTTTCCTTGCGGCTGCAATTGGTGAAAAAAGAGAGAGAGAGAAAAAAAGAAAAAAAACTTCCCTGATGAGTGTCTTCAGTGTTTTGTTGTGGTGCGCGTGGTTTGGGGAAGAGGAGATTTTAATTTGCTGAACTTTTCCTCACCTCGTTAGACTCGCAGAGATGAAGTTTTTCCCAGCTTTCTCTCCCGTTCGGTGGGGTTCATTAGGAGTGTTGTTTGTGGGAATAAAGCTTTCGTTTTTCATCCTTGCAGACGTTGGACAATGAGGCGATTAAGACGTCCCTGTCTGAGCTCACGGGCAACATTGAGGAGATGCAAATCTTCTGTCAGTGCCTTCAGGATTCGGTCGTCACGGAGAATCACGAGGCTGTGGACAAGTATCTGCAGGACGTGCGTGCGTGTGCATTTAATCTGGCGAAAGCCACGAAAATGCTCGTGACTGAGTTTCAGTTGCAGTAATTTTGCATATTTTCTCATCATCTCTCTTCACATTTTTTTTTAACATTGTTTTCACCATTTTATTATTAGTTTTCTTTCGCCCTCGCCAAATTTGACATCCTTTTCGCTTAGAGATTTTATCGATAAAACAACTCACACGCGTTCATTGACAGAAAAAAAAGATTTATTAGAAAAAATATATAAGTTGTATACAAATTTTTGACCTGCATAATTACTAACCATGTGTCGTTTATTTGTTTTTTTTCGTTTTTGTCAGTTTTTTAAGAACACTTCCACAGGATGATGGCGAGATTTCCGCCGAAGAAGAGATACAGAATGTTTTTCGTCTCGTATGACAGCTCAAAGCCAAAACCCTCGCCGACGACAACGTGCCAGAAGGAGCCGAACTTCTTGTCCATTGTCTCTTTGATCAATTTGGCGGCTTGCTGGAATGATGAAAGCCCATGATTACACGCTAATCTCCATCCTCACACACACACTCAAAGGCGTCCTCTCACCTCGTAATTCTGTGCGAATTTCTCACACGCCGTGATACACAACTCAATGGCCTCCGTTCTCATCTCCTCATTCATGTCTGAGTGCTGAAATGTTGCAAAAAGATTGCCACCCCCTCAGCGTTAAAGTGAATAATTAATTGACTCGTGTGCTCCTGCTGTAACACCGACTAAATTATTCACACTAATGAGCGAGAAACTCACCTTCACTAATGGATACACATGGAGAATCTTCTTGTCCGTCTCAGATTCCGCCTTTATTGCATCCTCAGCCATTTGGGTGGCAATTGTGAGTGACTCGTGGCGTGATTGATGAATACACGTTCACGTAACATTGTACTGAATCACCCGGGATTGCAATGCCGTTGACGCTCGCCACCCTTCCCTGTGCTTTTTTTTTCTCGCGAAAGAGGGATGACATCCGACTTGCGCACACTCAATCCCACCCCTCGCGCCGTTTCTGCACTCAGAGAAATTGCCAAGGCATCGGCCGAAGGAGTGCAGTTGTGTTTACAGTCCGCGATGAAGTTTATAGGGACAGTGCAGTGGATGAGAGCCACAGTGTTAGATCGTTGGAGTGTTGCAGTGCAAATTGTAGTGAATTCCCTAATTGACCAGTTTCACCCCCAATTTCTCGCATCCCTGAAGGAGACATAGTTTCTCCGAATTTGAAACAAAGATCCGGCCGTTAAACACAGCAATTTATAAGGACATTTCTGCGTGGAAACAATCATGACGGATGAGAGTGAAGGAAAACCATTGAGAGAAAAAAAAATCCATTGATCTTTACACTCATTCCATTGTTCTCTTAATTTTTTTTTTGATAAATTGTCAAAGAAGATAACAGGTGACTGATGACTCCTGCGACACAGTTTCAAACATACCGCAAGCTTTGGCGATTAGCTTGACTGCGTTGGATATTGCGTTGATCTTTCCAGCGCGCGAAGCGATTCCGGAGCGCCAGGCGCACCTCGAAGTTGAGGAAGCAGTACAGGAGTGACACGGACAGACCCTGAGTGCTGAGCAGGAGAGAACGCACGATGGCGAAGACGTAGCCGGCCACGCCGTCGTCGTTGGGACCCGCCAGCACCACCAGATAAGTGATGCCTAAGAGTGGCGTGAGCACCAAGAGGGCCTTGGATGCCTTCCTGTACTGACGCGTCTCCACCGTCGTTGCGGAGCGGAGTTTCGTTATTAGGACCTGCACGGGAAGATGCACAGAAGTACACAGATTAATGCCAGACAGAGAGTAGTGAAGGAGATTGGATGGTTGCTCTTACCCACATAATTCGCGATAGGAAGATGCAGTTGATGAGGAGAACCAAGCATGCTGGCACCTGGAAAATATAGTCTATCTTCGACTCCCTCATCCACGTGCAGTCGATCTCGAGCTTGTTGTTGGGCGCCACTTGCAGCGCGTGAGAATTGCTCGCAATCCCCTTGACCACTGCCCAAGTGATCACAAAGAGTGCCGGAGCTCCCCAGCCGATCGCGGCGTAAGCGTTGAACTTGAGTCTATCCCGGGAGAATGACTCGATCACGAGCACGTACAGATAAAAGCCTGCAATGTAGTGAATTTTCCACAATATGATTGTGTCTTTACATTCTGCCCAAGGAAAGTCTGTGTGTGAGATTTGTTTGACAAATAGTGAAATGTCTCTATTTAGAGGGAAGATTCGGCAAAGTGAAGACACATCAAATGTGTAATTTGCTTCTCTGTTCAAATATTGCCTCCCCTAAAATTAGCAAGAGTATGTGAAAATGTGCCAGACCCCATCAACCCAATTAACACTAATTGAGAGCGCTTTTTTGCTGCCTGTTGAGGCACTTTTCCACACTCTGGCAGTAATGCTACATTGGTATACAGAGAAAATCTTAAGGGTGTACCCAAGCTGAGACGTACCTTCAACCAGCATCCAGAAGAAATTCGTGAGGCTGAAGTAGTGAAAAATCGTGACGAGGAAAATGCACTCAGTCAGACCTTGTTGAGGTGAGGAAATCTGCAAAAGAAATCAGGACTTAAAGATGTCTTTAATGCTTCTGTTATCGCGATGATTAGACTTGCCTGAAGCGACAGAGTTAGCATCCAAAGAAGAGCACTCATGATGTAGGATGTGAAGAGATTGGCATGAATGGTGTTCCGGAGACACCGAAGGTCTCTGAAAGAGGACCAGAAAGGGTGTGGGTGGAAAATTGGCCGTGTCTGTTCCGTGTCGTGATCTTGGTCTCATTGGAATCATCTTAAAATTTCATTTAATTCACCCCCGCGCCACTCCACGGTCACCCCCACACCCCGCAAGTGGGTGGGGAGAAATTTTAATTAGGCCTCAAACTCTCGAGAGAGGAGAAAACAGATGAAAATTTCATGCAAGACTTGTCAGTGGCTGGCACAACCCACCTAAAGTGAACGAAAATGAGCACGGCAAGGAGCAAGGAGATCAGACTTATTGTGTAGCCCACATAGTAGATAATCGTTGGGAGTTCCACGCTCAACTCAAACTCCTCCTGCATGGACGACGACACGGGCACATGGTGGCATTGATTGTAATTCGTGTAATTATCCCACTCTCCGTTGAGCTGACAATAGCGGGTGGCATTCTCTGTAAGAGACAATTCCACCCCCCACAACATTAAGCGAATGGCCGTCTTCCGCACAGGCTAAAAGTCACTCTTACGCCTCGTGTCGTAGCGAATGCCTTGAAATTCCTTGAGGCACGGAAGAGTGGCCCAAGTGCCTCGCTTCGTGCGTGGCCAGCACAGAATTGTGTCGAAGACGGTGGCGCAGTACAAGTCGGAGACCTGAAACGAGATAGGGTTGTAAAAGAGGGCGATTAGCGGATGAATTGATGTATTATTCAAGTCATCAAGGGAATTTTATAGCTACATAATTGGAGTATAAATAATTGAGCTATCAATGTCCTGTCTTACAAGCGCAGCAGACAGATCTTTTACTGTATTAACGCACAATCGCAATATGTGGTACACAAAAGTAGTAACACAAAGCGTATACAAAACTTAGTTACAGTGCTGCGAAAGCGATTTCAGGGATATTTCATGTCACTTCAATCACTTGTGCTACTCAAAGGAAATCTATTTTCTTAAACACACATTTCATACTGTTCATTAAACTGTCGGTTTTTGACCTCACTTCCTCCGGAAGTCTTTGCCTTTGAACTACTTTTTCCTTTTTCAACCACTTCTAGTTCTTTTCGTCCTGTTTTCCCAATAAATCTCCTTCGCGAGCATAGAGAGAATATTTATCAATTGAATTTCGCATCAAGAACATGACTGAAAAGAAGGTAGAAAGTAAATTAATACAGCATTTACTTGTCATGATACGCTGAGAGTATGAAACACAATTAAAATATTTGTAATTACTTGCAAACAATTTTTTAATTGCATTATCTAGTCAACCCAGTTTCATCCCAGTATCTATAAATAATAACGAGTTAACTCGAAAGTTTGATAAAGTTTGCAATGCGAATAAATTATTTTATTAATTAGCATTTAACTACTGATATCAGCTTATTTAGTTGATGGAATGTTTCATATGTTCTGGCACATGTGTTCACGCCTGAATTCGCATTAATAGCATGGAAAGTTTAATTAATAAATTGCTATTTGTCTACTTGAATTACACATAACATCACACATATATATATTAATTCATGTTTTTTTAAGTACCGACAGTGAAATTGTTTACGTTTCGCAATTTTGGTGGGATTTCGCCTGAAGTCATTTAATTAATTTGCGTGGTAAAATTCCTCATGGAGGAATTCAAAAACAATCCACACGCTTAAATTACATTTGTGCCCCCACAAATACTGTCCAATTGATTTTCATTAAAAAAAAAGAGAGCATCTGGTCAGTGTTCAAATAATTTACACATTGTCATGTGACATTTTTGTGGGAATTTCCTTTTGCCACTTGAGGAAGGAAAAAGGAGTGCGCTTTTTCAAAGTGAAAAGAAGAAAAATCAATAAAAGTGATCACTTCAACTTTGCAACTTTTTCCAACATTCCTCTCTAAATAATTCAATGAATTCTCCTTCCGATGGAGCATCATCAAGGCTCAATTCACTCAAGATTGAGCATCAATGAATACTCAGCCGTCAGCACTTCTCTGCACACACACACACACACGGATTGGGGCCATTTGGGGCTCTTCACCGCCTGCAGACCATTTGAGGGGTCTTTGAGCCTCTTGGGCGGGAAAGCGGCAGGGATTGAAAATCATTTTCAAGTCTTTGAAGCGTCGAGTGCAAATGAAAGGGCGTGAGATGAGGGATTTCCCGTTGATTTGAGTTCTACTTCTGCCCACCTTCTGTTAATTATAATTCACTATACTAACGAAGGCTGTGCTTCAAAGGCGAACGGATCCGCTCTCTTGCCGACAAACTATATTACACGAGAAAATACTTGTCCAACTTGACAAACATGATTAACATTTTAATTATCCCTCCTTAAATATTTTATTAATCCCTCATCATAACGCTCCTCGATGTCATATTTTCCCATGCTCACACGTGAGATGCTCTGCAGGGGGGCGTTTTTCAGCGGCTGCGGAAGATGCTTTATGGCTCTCTTGGAGCCGGAAGAGTGCTTAAGAGTTTCCACGCTCGAGACCATTTTATTGACCAGTGAGCTCTTAAAGACGCCTGCAATAACTTTTGACAGTTTTTCCTGTCCTCACGACGCACATCTTTCTTTATTGATTGAATTATTTCCTGACAGTGACACACGTAATTAAATTGTCCCGGTCTCATTATTTAATCTCCGGCAAGCCATTTAAAAAGTCCGAACAGGAATTATGAATTAATCAAATAAAACTGCTCAATTGGATGGACTTATTTCCGTGCTTTGGCATTAAAAGCCCTCAATTCCACCCCGTGGGAATGATTTGAACGAACTCTCACTGGCAAAGCTCTGCTCTTTGCGATGGCTTTTGAACTATGTATATGTGTATGGTAAAAAGTTTTTGGGGCGCTGAACTTCTTTAGAGAAAATGAAAAACTTTCACTCTCATTTGCAATGTAGAAGAGATTTTGAAGGCATGCAAAGCCCCTTGATTACAGTGGAGTGCCTCCGCATAATTTCGATTTAAATGCATTGGATTCCATTCACGCAGAGGTACTTTGACAAATTAATAATCGATATTTTCACGTAGAAATTTTGCGTAACGCAGAAAGGAGTGGGGTGGGGGGGAGGAAATATGTTGATAAAAGGTGAAAAACATGACCAACAACTCGTGCGGAAGAAATCGATGGAATTTTCCATTAAAATATCAATTAAACTTGCGTGAATGCTGCAAAGATTTACTATTGATGTCACATAGCTTTTCATTTTGTTTGCCTCTAATTGAGTTTCACCCCAGAAATTTTGTTGGGTACACAAATTGAGGGTCAGTGGTTAATCTGTGGCGGTTTTCCTCAACTATTTTGCATGCTTTGTGTGTGTATGTGTGTTAGACAAGTGATCTTGAAAAGGGGAAAATTGATAAGAGTTTCCTTCTGTTGCGACACATTGAAAGATAAATCATCCTTGTGGAAAACTCAAGATAACTCAAAATGAACTCTTCGTCTTTGTTCAGTGTTTTAGAAAGGAGAAAATATTCTATTCATTTCTTTATTAATGCTATGTTAACTCTTAATATTTAATTTCCTAATTTTACTCAATCAATAAAGTTACTCATTTGTGAGACCAAAAAAACTTTCTGATAAGTTTGTTAATATCTTCTAAGTTTCACTTGATTATTACTCAATTTTCGTCAAAATGAACTATTCAAATACAAATATCTACCCTAATTGCTCCATCTTAGTTGTATTATCGACTTGATGGAGAACTGTTAGTGAACTTAGAAACTTGCTTAAACATTTTAAATTAAATTACAATCGATTTTGCTCCCTATCAGCTTCAGCAAAAGGCCTTCGGCTGTTTTTATTGTGTTCTTTCAAAGCTATATTCTCTCGATCGTTCCGGTGAAATAATTCAAAATTTTATGAAATTTATATCAAGCATGACAGAAATGTTCTTCAGACAAGCTCTCAAGCTCCGCTGGAAAGTATGGTGAGAGGCAAAGAGACGCACTTTTAGGGACAAATTGAATAAAACATGGTGAATATTTAATTGAGAGTGAAGGAGTGAATATTTCATGCACCGCCAGAATCACGAAAGATTTTCTTTATAACCAAGATTTAATTATTCCGTTGCAAATAATACGATATATCTTCAGGTTAATGCTTGATTTACATTCAGGGTGTAAATTCCTTTCACGTCTCTCCATGAGAAATTTCCCTGGTGAAATCTTGAGAATGTGTCTGCGAGTAAAAAGACGGTATCGATGGAAAAAGAGATGGAGTTGCGACGGTGTTCTGAGAAATTCCTCCAAATAAATTGTAAACCATATTGATGGAATTTCGTTAGATAGCGAGCGAGCGAGAGACACAATTTAGCATGCCATAAAGTGTAACATATAGAGAGCATCAGTGTAATCTCACCTCCTCCAATTCCTCTAAATGCGATTTAATCAGGCATTTTAGCTCGATACTATTGTTAACAGCTTGGAGAATGTCCTCAGGCAGGGAGATGTTTTCCTTCAGTAGTGCCACTGTGACCTGCGGGGGAAATTCTCACTGATGGGGCGCCGGTCGATGAGCGGCGGGACCGGAATGCGGGGGGGCGACAGGGAGATTTCGATCGGAACGCCCGAAAGGCCTGGCAATTAATTGTCTTTGGCAATAATTGCTTGAAATTACGAAAATTTCCGTATTGTGTGTGTGTGTGTTGCTGTCGAATCATCCTCAGAACGGCATTTGCGTGTGAAAAGGATCCATAAAGTCCCTTTGAGCTCCAACATTCCACACCCAACCTTTGGGACAACTAATTGTTTTATGCGCTGGATCATCAACGACTGGTTATTAATAGGAATTCCCCTAAATCATCAACTCCTCTCGGCGGGAATCAGAAATTTTGCGAAAAGCTTCACAAAGCGTTATAACAATTCATTTTGAACAAGTCTGATAAACTGATTAGACGCCGTATCGAAAAATGCAAAAGCAATTATCAAAATGACCAGCACTAATGGAAATATGCACCTGCATGACGTGAAAAGGTGATAAAGCACAGAGTATATTCAGGAATTTTGGAAAATGCACATGAGCATTGTGCATTATAATTAATTTACATGGGACTTTGAGTGTGAATTTCACCTCCAAAGGTCGCCAAAATTACAGTCAAATTTTATCTGTCATTACCATGCACACTCTTGGGCGTTTGTGCCATTTGTAGCGTCCAGAATCACGACAGAACTCCTAACAATACTTTTCACCACGAAACTCTCCCGCCAGTGGACAGAATATAATTTTCATTTATGCCCCAAAGCAGCTTAGGAACGAGCGCGCGGTAGAGAATTTCCCAATAATGTTTCTCCACCATTTCACTCTCGTAGTATTTATGGTTGGACTTCCCGGGGAAGTTTTCTGTGCGCAAATGGGTGGGGGAAAAAAGCAGTGATGGTGTCTTGTAACACTCTTCTGCTACTCATTATTTACGTATATGTATGTATATATATTTTAATACGACACGTAAAGTTTGTTGATAAATTGTTTTCAAAAAATCTCTCTTTTCTGCCACTTTTTTCTTGCCATCACCACTCCGTATTAAAGACTTTCCGAGGCTTTTTTGTCATCATGTGAAATGAAAAATCGTGGGAAAGCGATCACCCTTCTTGAACAAATTCCTTCCTCCCACTGAATCGAATTGTATTTCAATTCAGAACATTTAGCAAATAAGACTGTGAACGATTGCAAAGCAAATAGTGAGAATGAGGCGCGGTGAGAATTGTGTTGAAAGTATATAGTGAATTTTCTGTATATAGAAATGATGGGAATACGATTGAGATGTGTTAAAGTACTTGTCAAGTGATAAATTTGGTCTTTCCCGTGAGATTTCTTTTCCACACAATTTAAAGAGAATTCAAACGAGGACGAATTTAAAGCGCTGGGGATCTGAAAATGTCTAAGAACATAATGCGCCAACTATGAAATTGATAAACAACCATTCATTGGCATAGCAAATAAATGAAGAGTGTTTATTTTTAATTATAAACCTCATTTCTTAGACAGAGCAGCAGCTTTTCACATCATAAACTCTTCACCTCTCAGTTAAAACGTATACTTTTCATTCAGGGACGGAGGAAATTCACTTCTGAAGTAAGTTGAGAACTCAAAGGAATTTAAATATTAATGTGGGCAAGATGAGAAGCCCTTGCACTGACGTCACACGGGCACTTAAAGCTTTAAAAATGTATGATTTACTGTGAATAATTACAGCAATAAGAAAATAGTAAGTGAACGGCAATTTCCTTTATAATCTGGCAAGTCTTTTTCATCGCTCTTCTTTCATATTTCCTCGTTTTCTATCCGCAATTGCTGAAAGAGCTTTTGCAAAGCACTCTCGCAAAACAATTAACAGTGGAAACAACATTAACAATTACACAAATGAAGCTTTGAGAACTTTCATCAAAGTTGCGAGGTTTAGCAAAAAGTCGAGCAACCACTAGTGCTAACCTTAAAAGCCCCTCGGGACAAAAGTCAAGACAGAGGCAAATTGGACCGCAGACTTGTTAACCAAATTCTACAGAACCTCCCCCATTTGGGGCTTGAACTTTGGCAAGGGTAGCACACAAGTGAAAGTTAAAAATAAACAAGAGCGGAGAGAGAAGCCAATTTTTCAACCCATTACAGCATATCTCAGCGTGTGTGGGATGAAAGTTTGTATAGTTTGCAGCGAAACAGGGACGAAACGGCAGTGAATGTGTCCTGAATGATGTACAGCAAAAGACAAACATGCTCTTCAGTCAATAATGGATGAAGCTGCTTTTTGTGCAGAATAAGAACAGAAGTACAGCATTTAATCATTTATTCATGCACCTGAATTGTAGTTGAAATGACAAATGCGAGAATAAAGCCCAAGGATGCATCTTCAAGTCGAGTCGGGATTTAGAAAATTGCTCAGAGACGGGAAGACAGGCAACAAGTGTTTCAAACAAGTCTTAAGGCTTCCATATAACAATACACAATGCTTTTTCTGACGTAATATAATTCACAAAGTTTAAATTGTACAAATCTACAAGATGTAGCGAGAGATATGCAAGAGTCGTTCCTTTATGCTAATTTAACTGACGTCAATCAAATGCTTTCGTTGGAATATTCATTCTGCAAAAATCTTCCAAAACTGCTGGAGAGACTTTATCAATTGAATCATATTTCTTTAACGAGATGCCGTCATTCAGTGCTGTTGTTTAATTTTGTCGACAACATTGAACAATTTGACGCGAAGGCGTCGCAGTTCATATATCTAATTACTTGGGGTATTAATTCCCTCTTCTGAATAACACGATATCTCTCCACATGCTCTGCTTAACCCCTCTTCTCATTACTATATAAATAGCATGAGCGAGAAAAGTGGGATTACTGCATGAATCCACTCATTTTGGCGATATGTTCAATTAATTTTAAAAGAATTGGAACACAAATATTTGAGGAGCGCAAATGAAATAATTAGAAAAATGCTCTTCGACCATATTTGCGGCATTACGGCGAAAGCTTCTTATAAAACCCTAATCTCTGCCACACACTCTTGCCAAATACTTAGTTATTATTCTTTCCTCTTTGGCGACGCGCGAAGAAAATAGGAATTAAGGCCCAGTAAACAAACTCACGAAATAATCCACGTCGACCGGAAAGCAATCAAGCAGTCAATTTGTTTCTCATAAATTTTTCCTTAAGCCACGCTACAAGGCGAGCTTTTTCATCCGGTTGTCATATTGCGAGGTATATATACAGAATTTTTCAAAAACATTGTCAAATTGCTCGTGTTTGTGTATATTTTTCCTCGTTTGATAAAATACATCCCAATATATATTGGATATCACCATCTGGATTTTCTCGCACAGAATATGAAATCATGCGGAGCTTCATGTGTTTTCCATGTGAAAAATATTTATGTAGACGTGCTCTACGGGAAATTCACCATGGATCTTCTCCAAACAACCCCTGTTGAATGAATTTCCTATAAAATGTGGGTGATATTCTAGAGAAAATTCAGCTGGAATAGCTCCGTGAATATCCCAAAAGTTGATGGTAATTTGGGGACACAGACTCCTAAAATTGCACGTAAAATGAGGTGGAAGTTAGTGAGAGAATGACCAGATTCTATACGTGAGGATTGAAGAGACTTAATTAGGAACTTTTAATGGGGGAATGTAGGAGGATTCACCTCAACTCGAGCTCCCCATGTGCAAATTCTCACAGAATACGCCCTTTTTCCACCATGAGTATTCCACAGGTTGTATCTCTGGCACTGAGAGAAAATCACGGGGAAATTTTACTGGCAAACGGCGATAAAAGTGTCTCATGAATTTATTCACTGTCAAAACTAAAAGCAACAGTTGGAAAATCAGGAATTATTTGAGAAAAAAAATCCCACATAATAAATATATTTAAGTATATTTTTCACGGATTTTCTTTCAGTGTGAAATGAAACAAAATACTCAAAATGTGATTTTAATAGGCAAATCTTCCCAGGACTTTTTGTTCTTTATTTGTTGTATTTTTCGAAAAAAGCTTCGCGATATATTTTTGAGTCTATAAAATGTTTTATTGATTTCTGCGCTAAACGATTTATAATAGGCTCCGCAACTCGTGGTGCTTTCCCACCACCTAGAGATACCCTATTTACATACATTTGTGTGTCTACAATCTCTAACATTAGGCCTGTGAAGTGTACAACTCTGTGTCTGCCTAGGTTTTGTTCTCTGAGATTCCACATAAAACTCCGAGTGGTGCATTAATTAATTAAATTCTATAAAATAATAACTTCTCTGTTCTATGCTCCAATTAAAACAGCCAGCAGCTAAATAGCAAGACGGAGAGAAAGTACACAAGAATACCTATTGCATATAATTTTCTTTGGTCTACTCAGCATCCAATATTGCATGTTTATCTGTGTATCAAAATATTTTCACGAGTAACAGCATTCCCAGTATTATAAGGAGATGACAGGAGCAGAACGGACTGCGAGAAGCAACAGCCCGAGGACACTATCTGTCCAGGAGCCAGGGAAGCACAGGCACGAGATTCCATTGAAATGGAGAAATTTTCATACAATTGGAGCGTCTTCGTCCCACCTTCGCGTGACTTTTTCCGTCTCCATTCAAGAGTGATGGGAAGAAGGAAAAAACGAGACTTTTCACTCAACCTCAGGGGCAGATTGGGTGGCAGATTAAAGAGCTACAGGTGAAGTGGGAATAAATCTCCCTTCATCTGTGATTTTGGGGGTGTATTTAGGAAGAGAGAGAGAGAAGCAAATTGAATTAGGGGCCAAATAGGCAAACAGACAACCACTGGAGGTGATGTAGTATGAATATTGAGGGTAGCATCTTAGGGGGACGTTTGAGGCGAGCTTTTTGAGCTTCTATTCATCACACAACAATTTGTGGCATTTCTTTTATTCTCCCGCATGACATTCTTCTCACCACAAAAGAGTCGACTTATCTTTTGTGAATTGTACAAATATCCATAAAGCAGGTGATTTTAATTTTTGTCCCCACACAATTCTCAACTCCATTTACATATCCTGGAATTACTTCTGTGCTAGAGTAGATTAAAGCCTGGGTATTCGTCCTGTAGCCCAATTGGACTGATTATAATCTGGGGACCAAGTCAATTACTCTTTGGTGAAATATCACTGACCGGAGTTCATTTTTTCCCAGAAGTACCATCGCGTCAATATAGAAACTCCTAGTCAGAATATATGCAACCACGCCTTACTTTTCGCTCCCTGTGCGATACACATAAAGTAGGACTATTCTCATTTGATGAGAAGCCACAACACTTTATGTTAATAACATCCATCCACTCATATTTTTCCTCGTGTAAAATCTCACAGCTAATATTCGAGATGAGAAAATAGCAGCAAGATAAATGATTGAGGTTTCTCTGTAACTTCATTGCGAACTCAACTTCAGGCTGGGAAAATTTCACACAGAGCCTCGATGGTTTGTGTGAAATTCAAATAAAGCCACATGACACGGGCGCTAAATTGCCTTTCTGCAAATGCTGCCAACCATATCCAACTGCGCGACGATATTTCAATTACTCTTATTAATAATATTAAATTAAGAGGATAGCTCGAAAGGGAGCGAGGGAGAGTTTAATGGGTGTAATGAGGAAAGGGTGAGAGTCTGACAGAAGCATAAATGTACTGCACTTGATTGATTG